AGCGGCACCGGCAGAGGCAGAACTGGAGTCCGAGGTGGACGATGACATCAAGTCTAAAAAGGTCACCCTCGCCGATTTGAGTGCCAAGGGCACCGCGCTTTACGCCCACAAGAAGTACGAAGGTGCCGCCGACATCTTCTCGAGAGCGAGCATTCTCCAGGCAGAAATCAACGGCGAGACCGCACCAGAGAACGCCGAGATCCTGTTCCACTACGGCCGTAGCTTGTTCAAGGTCGGCCAGAGCAAGAGTGACGTTCTTGGCGGCTCTGCTCCCGTCGAGAAGAAGACAAAGGCAAACGGCGGGGCTTCCTCAAAGAAGGCTGCCAAACCGGAAGAGGAAACAGTAGCCACTGCCGCGGGCCAGTCAGAAGAGGGAAAGGAGAAGAAGGGCGACGACAAGAATGATGTTCCAGAGGGCAAGAAGCTCTTCTTCCAGTTCACGGGCGACGAGAACTTTGACGACGAGTCTGACGAAGACGAGGTGGGTAATATGCCAGCATTTTGTGTTCGCTGTCTAATTACCCATCATTTGAAACAATATAGGGCCAGGAAGAGGGAGACCAAGACGAGGAAGAAGAAGACGACCTTGCTACTGCCTTTGAAATTCTCGATCTCGCCCGTGTCTGCTACCACAAGCAACTGGACAAGCTGAGAGAAGAAGAAGAGGCAGAGGGCAAGGGCAAAGAAGCCGCCAAGGAAGACTCTTCGGCCGTCAGACACATCAAAGAGCGCCTCGCAGAGACCCACGACTGCCTTGCTGAAATCTCTCTCGAGAACGAGCGGTACGTTCAATCGTAGCAATTTCCTCCTCTTCTCACGTAGCGCCTTTGGCGAAGCGAGACGCAGCTAATCGGATTGGTCTTGTATAGATACCCCAACGCCATTGAGGACGGCCGCACATCTCTCAATTACAAGATCGAGCTGTACCCTGAAGAGTCCGAAATCATCGCTGAGGCGCATTATAAGCTCTCTCTTGCGCTAGAGTTTGCCTCCCTCACCGTTGCTGATGATGAGGGCAAGAATACCAAGCGCGAGGAGATTGACCAGACACTCCGCGACGAAGCTGTTGTCGAGATGGAGGCTGCCATTAAGAGCTTCAGGCTCAAGATGCAGGCCATCGAAGTCGAAATCGCTAGCTCAGCTTCTCCAGAAGACAATGAGCTGTCACGTAAGGCTGTCGAGGAGATGAAGGAAGTCATTGCCGACTTGGAGCAAAGAGTATGTTGTAAATGATCAGAGCTTCTTATTTCAACCCCGCCGAATGTGCGCCCAGCACATTTCGCTATCCTTTCCTTGCTAACACAAAACTACAGCTTGTCGACCTTCGAAAGGACCCTCTTAGCACTAATGAGCTGCTGAGCGAAGGAGTGAACCCTCTGGGCGGCCTTCTCGGCGCTGCCCTGGGTGGATCCGCTGCCGAAGTGCAAGCTCGCGTTGAAGAGGCTACCAAGAACGCAGTGGATCTTTCGGGCCTTGTGCGAAAAAAGAAGCCCAAGGATGACGAGGCTACCACCCCTGTAAACAATGGTGGTAAGCGCAAGGCTGATGAGGAGTCTACCGAGCTTGAATCGAAGAAGGCCAAGGTGGTGGAGGAACAGCCTGCTGAAACTGAGAAATAAGCCTATTCTTCTACCCACCACCGAAACAAAGATATTTCTATATCCTACTGGTATGAATTCAGAAAGGGAAGAATGCTACCTCCAGTTAACTCTATCCATAATTGGCCGTATTCGCCTCGCTTTCGTCGGGAAGAAGGATTCTTGGGTGTCTAGCAATGGACGAGAGAGAGAGAGAGAGAGAGAGAGAGGACTTGAATAATGATGCAGATCCAGAACCGCTTCTGCAGTTTTTCGCCACTGGAGCTTATAAGTAGGCGCAACACAACACACAAAGGGTAATGATTTGATAGGGTATCGCTGATGACTCCTGTACCTTTTTTTTCTTTGGCTGCATAACGAACTTGATTAAAGTTAAGGGGGTGCTTGGAATATGAATGAATGGTTAAGCAAATCTCTCTTTTTTATAAGAAGGGAGAAGTGAAAGGAATATTGTCTATAAAATGAATTGAAAAAAAAAGGAAAAAAAGTTTAAAACTCTTTCTCTGAATAAATGAGTAAACAGATACTCTTAGCCCTTCTCATATTCTTCCTCTTTTCCCTATAGTTACCTATAATCTAAATTCTCATATTCTGCAAACAAAAAATAAAACGACAAATCAGCCCAATGCATTAAAAAGCAGCCAAAGGCAAATGTAATGACAATTTCAGACTTTAAAATCTCTCTTCCCAGAGAAATAGGTTTATATATGTACATGTATGTATAGAGATGCAAAAAAAAAAATTATTCATCTTCCCACACACTCTCTCCATCCCCCACCGCTCATTGACCAAGAAAAAAGAAGAAAAAAAAATTCATCGCTTTTATTACAGCTTGAAGCTTCCTCCCGAGGCAATCTTGGCCGTCACCTTGGTCTTCTTGCCCTCCACGTCCGTAATCTCACCCTTGCGGTTAATCACCTTGACGCCGCCCTTCTTCAGGTCCGCAATCGTCTCGCGCTGCATCTTGACCTTTGCAGAAAGCGGCTTCTTCGCACCACCCTTGGCCGTCGTAGAAGCAGCAGCATCTGCGCCGCCAGCCTTGCGAATGCGCTCCTTCTCACGACGACGGCGGCGCAGCTTGTCTTCGCGGGACATCTCCTGGCGAGCGAGGGGTAGGCCGCCGCTGGTGACGATCTCGCCCTGCTCGGCAGTGGCGGCGCCGGCCTTGTAGACCTCCTGAGGAGCCATGCGGCTGGACTCGCCGGTAATGGCGGAGGCGGTTGTGGGCTGGGCATCTTCCATGGCGACGGCGGCGACATCCGCAACGACAGAGACGGTGGGCGCGGTGGGCTTGGGTTTGTATTGCCAGCTGCTGAGGGCGTCGAGCTTGCTGGAGAGGTCGCCCCACATTGCCTGAACCTCCTTCTCTTCGCGCTGCAGCTTCTCGTCGGACTGGCTGACGTAGGTATCCGGGTTGGCATTCTTGACGTGCTCCTCCTCGTACACCTCCGCAAGGCTCTTGTTGGGCTTGCTGTCGTCAAGCTCAACCATGCCACGGCGAGTTCCGTTCGGCACACCATCGACATCTGGTCGTCGGCGCAATACCTCGTCGAACTGCTGGGCCAAGATTCGTCGCTTGATCATGTCCTCGATGCCTTCTGTCACCTCTGGGGTAATGACAGGAACAGGCTTACCGACGTGCTCAAATTCGAGATCCTCCTCCAGGAGGGAGTTCAGCGGCCGGTCAACAGCTGCGGCCTCACCAGAAAGAGTCCACTCGCGCTTTGCCACGGAGGCAGCCTCCAGCTTGCGAATCTCCTCTGCTAGCTTGGCTTGCCTTCGCTCGTGCGCTGATCGTCGGGACCTGGGGTCGCCCGCCGAGACGTCGGACAGGGCATCTTCGGAATCGTTCTCTGACTCGTCGTCGAAGAGGTCTCGGCGCACATCGGCCATGGCTCTGTCGACATCCTCATCGGCAGGCTGTGTCGGCTTGAAGTGAACACTCTTCTTTGGCTTGCCGGGTTTGCTCTTCTTAGCGGGTGGCGCAAAGAAATCCTTGTAGAAGACTCCGTTTGCGTTCATATCCATGCCTTCGTCATCCATGGCCTCATCGTCCATAGCTTCATCTTCGCTGTCACCTTCCGGTGCGTCGAGAGCCATATCGCCGAATGTTGGGCCATCCTCGTCGTCATCATCTTCCTCGTCCTCGTCTTGTAGCGGGTTTTCGTCATCATCTTCTAAGTTGTGATTGGATGATTTCTTGGACCCAGATTTGGATTGTAATGTTGGATCTGCATCCCAGTCTATATCTTCGTCATCGCTGTTTCGATCGGTATTGGGATCTCCTTTTGCGTCCTGCTCTTCAAAGTATTGTGACTGTCGGTTGAACTCCTCGAGGTTAAAGAAGCCGTCGTTAAGGCCATTAGGATCTTCGACGAATTCCTGGCCATCCTCCTCATCCTCCTCATCCTCCTCATCCTCTTCGTCATCTTCACCATCCTCATCCAGTTCATCGTGGAGACCATTCGCCAACTCTTCTTCAAGGTCCTCTTCGAGCTCATCTTCATCTTCTAGATCATCTTCTAATTGATCCTCGGACAATTCTGCGTCGAGATCCTCCTCCGATTCTTCATCTTCTTCGCCCTCTTCTTCGTCATCTACCTCCTCACCGTCCTCAACATCATCTTGCTTTGCGGCAGCCACCTCGCCCTCTTCTTCCAATTCATCCAACAACCCTCCCGAAAACTTCAGCACGCTTCCAATTATTCTTCTGGCCTGCTGCCACACCTGCTCTGTCTCGAATCCATCAACGTACACCTTTCGCAGCTTCAACACATCAATCTCCTCCTTCCTCGGCCACCCTTCTCTTTTCCTCTTTCGGGTCTCTTTCAGTCTGATCTCCTGCTCCTCGCCGACCTCCGTGGCAAATCCTTCTAGGGTGTCTTTCACCACATTCAGTGATCCCGTTGGCAGCGCATCGCTCGGTTGCAGAAATACGTGCCGCTTCTCCGGCCGCAGGCTCTCTAGCAAAGATAGCAGCAGCTTGTTGTTCTCGCTGCCATTGATGCCCGTGGGCGAGATTGACGGTACCGAAGTGAGTGGTAAACCAGTCATTGTGTGCGAAGAAGACGTCAGAGCTGGGGATGTGTTGGCTGCCATGCTCTACAGCAAAGAAAGGCTTTTTCTTTTTCCTTGCCTTTTGATAGCAGAAGCTAGTTGCGATAACGCGACGCTGGCTATGGCAGCGGAAAAAAATTTTAGTTGATTGAACAAAAGTTGCTGGCCCCGCAGCCTAATATCTTATCTCGATAAGACCGATAAGCAATCAACTGATGCTGATCCAGAAGCCCAGCGTCATCTACGAAACTTTTTGAGATTGACATTGAAGTTGAAATTGAGAGTGCATAATATATATATATATATATTTATTTACTTATAAGCATAAACAGGAATGTTCTTATTGTTTAAATGGTGATTTATTTGAAAACAACGCTTGTATTATGCTACGCCATCTAGCATAGAGAATGAGGGGCCTTGCAATGGTCGTGCTAACAACTGAATCTCGTTGTGAATCATCGCCGCTGCTTCTTCGTTGCAAGACCACTCAATAGGCCATAATACCTATATTGGTGGGCACCTTAGGTGATTATATATAAATAACTAAAATCGCGTTACTTGCCATCGAGCTCCAGGTAATTCCGGCCTAGCTTAAACATGAGATCCCGTGAAAAGGTTAAAAAAATCATCTTTGATATCGACTGTATCGATTCCCCTAGATGCCACGCCGCCCGCCAGTGCTCATGAGCGTAATCTTCTGCTTCTTCTTCTTTTTACCGCCTCCGCCGCCGCCGCCGCCGCCTCCACCACCGCCGCCTCGAGAACTGCTGCTTTGTCCATTCTCGTCCTTATCGAGGGTGTTCAAGGCTTCCATTTGCCTAGCAAGCTCGGCTGGGCTGAGGAATAAATCTTCATCTTTAAGCCACCCATCGTCAGTATTGGTGGGTGGGTGAATGTCTTCCATCCCAGGAGTCGTCGAGAGTGCGGGAGTACCCCAGACCGTCCTCTGCGTCGAGGGGCTGGTTGACATCGAAGCCAAGGTAGAGAACCCTGCTCTTGGTTCTGGTGGTGTCGTACCAGATGGTGCCGCTAAAGGCTGAAACTCCGACATGTCCATGAATGGAGGCGAATCAGGTTCAACAGGCGGAGAATGCGGCCGTCGGGACCCGGTAAGGCTTCGAAGGGCAGCAGCCTCTATCCTCTCGGACTGAAGGCGTTCTCGCTCTTCTTGTGCAGCCTTATCACGGTTGCGATTCCGCCTTTTCTCAATATCTGGCATGAATGACTCTAGCGTTTCAGCAGGTACAATATCTGTCCAGTCGCATTCCAAAAAGCTAATGACGCAGCCATAAGGAAGATGCCCCAGATACTTTGCCCGTTTCCGTGATGCATCATCGACGACATGGCCAGTCGAGATGTGTTCAACTCTAGGTAGCAATGTAGAAGGAAACGCTGCAAAGGACCCATATGTGGTTTTCAAAATCCGAATATCTAGAGGAGAAAGATATAGGTGAGGCAAGGCGCTGTAAAAGTAAAAGTCGGCATCAGATGACTGTCTCGCCGGATTAGAGAGCGATGCTGTATTGGATCCGTCGGCCCCACCAAGGGACGCAATCTTTTCTTTCGCCGCATTGACAGCTTTGACGGCTTTTTGAGTCCATTCATTGTCCTGCCCGAACAGCGCTTCGTCTTCCATGGCTTGTTGTAGCATCGTCTCGATTTCCTCATCATACTGGCCGGCCATATAGTCGCCTGTGCCCTTCATGACACGAGCATAGTCCAGGACGTTGGCAGCGAAATGCCACGGGATGCTATCACCTGAGCTGAGCACTTCCGCTCCACTTTCTCGGGGGAGAGCCAGCGTAGAGTCGGCGTTCCTTGCCATAAGCCTCAAGACGACATCATCCCCTACTCGGGGAAGGGGACTCTCTTGGCCGGCGTAAAACCGCACTGGTCGCACTTCAGGAAGATAGATGCTATCTTCGCAGATGGGGCATTTTCTCCATTTGGCACCCTTCCCCGGTTTTGCCTCTTCATCGTTTAGGACCGAGTTCATGAAGCGAAGCAAGCATGGAAGGCAAAATATATGCCCACATTTAGCCATTCGGGGGGCCACTGGTTCCGACAAACAGATAGGGCATGAGGCCGCCTGTGACTCAGATGAAGCAATCACCTGCAGGACATTGGACCAATCCAAGAAAAGGTCTGCATCGGCTGCGTTCTTGGAGTAGTCTCCCTCCGGAGAGACGACGAAGCGGTAGTTGGCGTGGACGTATCTAGATTTATCAACAGCATGGTATCCCGAGCCCGGACCCCAGGTTGGATTTCGCCGATATGACCTAGGGTTCGAGTGGTGGTGATGGCCGTGGTCATGATGATGATGATGCAACGGTGCTGAGTAATTCAAAAGATGCGTAATGGATGTCTGTCCACGCCGACTGGTCGGGTTTCTGAGCGCTCGAAGCTCTGCCATGGCGTCGTACTCGTCGACCAATCTCTCCCCTATGTGATGCCGGCGCTGAGGCCGGTGTTGGTTCCGAGAGCTCTGTCCCTTTCGGGGCGTGGGCTGCGGCAGAGAGCCTCCGGCGGCCGGATTCGCGCGGCGGGACGTTTCGAAACTCGGTAGTGCCGGTGCTGCTTGAGCGGCTGGAGGATAATTTGACTGGACCTGAAGGGACTTGCCCGCGCTCGGGTTCGAAGAGTTCATGATGAGAAGATCGAGCAGGTGATGAAAGCAGTCAGGGCCGATGGTTTGCTGATTGACTGCTCAGCCTCCCAGGTCATCGCAAGCGGAGGGCGCCAAGTCCAGCATACCCACGAACTGCACGTCGATGTTCGCAGCTCTTCTTGCCGTCAAACTATCCGCAGTAGCGAGGCAAGAAGAGACCTTAGAGAAGCGGAGGATATGAAGGGTTGAAAAATGAAAGAAAGTGATGCAAAGAGAAAAGAAAAGAAAAAGATGGCCACTGGAGCTTCTCCAAAAGGGACCCGGCTGGCCCCGGTCTTGGAGGATAGTGCAAGATAGAGAGAGGTTCGGACGACAAATGATGGGCGGGGCTGAAGGCACGGGAATCACGCTGTCTGGATCCGCGAGCACGTACAGTAAGCTCTGGCCGGGGGGCAAGCCACAGCACGTGATTGGGCGTGTGACTCTTATCAGTGTCTACATATATGCATTCAGCCAAGATGCCGTCATTGTTAGTAATTAAGGCCTACTTTGAGCACCGAAAAGTTGTATGATGAAGGCCGTCAAGGTGCATCTTGGTCTGCTACCAGCGTTTTCTTCTGTGCGCATCTTGTAGCAGGCAGGCCGTATGCCCTTGTACTTGCAGAAATGGGCAAATATCCCGGACAATGAGTCACAGTAAGCATCGAGCCATCCCCGCAGATGAACTCCAGGAAAGGTCTGGACCAAGCTAGCAATGTTTTTAACCCAATTATCATTTTGAGCTTCCTACGGCTTAGACGTGAATCCATTAAGAGGAAAGAATGCCTAGAGAATGAGGAAAAAATAATGATAGACATTAAAAACAGACACAAGTATCTACACGGGGGCTTTGCCATCCCATGCCACATGATAAAAATGAACTAGTAGTAGTAGAAGTTGCCAAGCCTTACGCCATAGCAGCACAAAGAGAGACGCAACAATAGCTACAAGCTGTCTAAGGCCCATCTCGAATATCCATCTGCCGGTAATAAGATGTGACTGGCCAATTTTCTTTCTCAGAAAACACACATACATAGGGACACATGTTACACACATAGCATATCCAACAAGAGCAAGCATCAGACGAAAGAGCCAGTGACACAAAGCAAGACTGAGGGAAACGAGCGCAAGAATGGAAGAGAAAAAGAAACGGAATGAATTTAGGTATATGAAATGGTGATCCAGGTATCCGACGTAATTCGACCCAAGTCACACTTCTCTGCCAAAGTGGGGAATCATAGACATATAAACAAAGCCACTCCAGCAGCCAAAGAAAAACCGACACCGTAAAAAACGTAAACCAGGCGTTTCAACATGACGACGCGCGGTCTTATCATCACCCATGACTCTTAGTTCGAGAGCTTGTGTCTGAACCGGCTGAAGAAGGCGCTGAATCGATTCTTTTTCTTCTCAGACACCTTGTCGTCGTGAGAACCACTCGAGCCGTTGGCCTTGGCGGGCGCCTCGGTGGTGGCCTCGGTGGGAGGGACCTCAGTCTTATCGGTCTCGGTCACAGGAGTATCAACGGCGGGAGCGTCGGTCTTCGCAGCCTCGGAAGCAACCGTCGTATCAATGATGGGGACTTCAGTGGTTGGGGCCTCAGTCTTGGCCACCTCAGCTACGGGCTCCTCGACCTTGGGCTCCTCGGCCTTGGCCTCTTCAGCCTTGGCCTCCACCTTGGGCTCTTCAATCGCAGGGGTATCCTTCTGGGCCTCCTCAAGAGGAACCTCAGTCTTGGTCACCTGGACGTTGCTAACTTCAGTGACGGGGCTGTCGATTGCCTGCACGTCGGTGATAGTAGCAGAGGTAACGGGCACGGCCTCCTCAACCTTGGCCTCCTCGGCCTTGGTCTCCTCGGCCTTGGGCTCGTCAACAGCAGGGACTGGCTTAACTTCCTTCAGAAGCTCAGCCTCAACCTCCTTCTTCTCCTCGACAGCGGTGGTGTTGGCGGCAGCCTCGGGGTTCTTGCCAGCCTCAGTGATCGACTCCTTGACCTCGGCGGGGACCTCGGGAGAGACCTCTTCTCGTGTCTCTTCCTTGGCAGCAGTCTCCTGCTGGGCCAATGTCTCTTGAACAGGTGCAGGAAGGTTCTCCTTGACGGTGTCGGGGAGGTTCTTGTTGGCGGCATCGGCAGCGGCTGCAACAGTGTCGTTTACAGCAGGTGTCGCGGCCTCGACGGCGCTATCCTTAGCAGCGACGGCAGCGGCAACGACAGCGGCGCCAGTGGCGGCGACGGCGGCGGTAGCAGCAGCAATGGTGTCGGTATTGTCGGATTCCGATTTCTCGGTACCGAGACCAGCAGTGCCCTCAGAGGTGGCGGGAGCTTCAGTGACCTTGGCCTTGAGCTCCTCCTCGACCTGAGCCTTCTCCTCGACCTCCTTGGGGTCAGCAGCGGCTTCGGGCTCGGCGCCTGCCTTCTCTTGGCTCTCCTTGACAACCTCAGGGACCTTAGCCTCCAGAGGAACCTGAGCGGCCAGGCCGACGGTTGTGGCATCAGGGTTGACAGTGCTGATGTGGACGTCCTGGGCGGCAACCACGGGGAGGCTGGATTCAGGAATCATGTTGCTGGTGACAGGAGGCAGCTCGGTGGCCTCGACACCAGGAAGAGCATCGCTCTTCTCATAAGACTCCTTATCCAGCTTGACATGCTCATTGATGCTCTCAATGCCGACGGCAGGAACCTCCTCACCAGGCGCAAGCTTGATGGGGTTGACAGCACCAGCGGCAGCAGGCAGAGGGTTGACGCTGACGGGCTTATCCAGCTCAGTGCTGGGGGTAACCGGGAAGCCTCCAGGGACGTCAGAGGGGGTGGCGGTTCCCTCAGGCTTCTCAATGGGCTGCTCGCTCGCCATCTTAGCGGTGGTGGACTGAGGAGTAACGGTGCTGATGAAAGCAGCTGCGGGGTCGGATTTGAGAATGTCCTCGGGTGTGATGAAGTTGTTGACGTTGCCCTCGTGGTCGGCCTCCTTGGGAGAAGACTCGTTTACAGTCCAGTCTCCGTCAACGACGTACTATAAGTAGGAGCGAAAAAAAAGAAGAAAAAGTCAGCAAAAGATTCCACAGACAGAAATAGCCTCGTGTCGCTGGAGAGGACGGGAAAGAAATATATATGTACTATGATGCAGTGCGTAACAGGCTGAATCCACTATCTAGGTGCGTGTGACGTGATATATGCACGACAACAGCCTTGGAAGGGGGTTGGCCAGGCCGGTGCGGGGGCTTTTGGTACGAAGACAAGGGGGCTTGGCTCAATCCCCCCCAATTAAGCGGCTGCTTAGTGGGAATCATGGTTGAGATGAATTAGGTAGGTAGAATTAAGTAGATTAAGTCCCCTTGATCAGCAGCGGACTTTGGCAGCGCGCCAATCAGGCCAACCGACAAGCTTGGGGAGATCACCACTGTCATTGCGGCTGTGGCGCAAAACAAGTTCGCTGATTTCTCACCGCTACGCCGGGCTGCGGTCGCGGTCGGCGAGCGCTAGGAGTCGCGGAGAGACAGAAGAGGCTGGTGAGTCGGATGACCAGCGCCGTTATCAGCACCAACACTCCAACCCCGCGAGCCATTGCGCTGCGCTGCGTCACAGCCCCCGGTCCCGAACGACTGCGACAGCGCCGTGGGGGGTTCCGGCAAGTTGCGCAAACCGCCGCAGAGCCTGCGACGAGAGCCAGAGCAGGTGCCAGCCCAGCGACAAGCTTCCCATCGCCGGTCGCCATCAAGGGACGCAATCCGATCCAGCTAGACTCTGCCTGGCAGATCCGCCTCCAATGGTTTGCGCCGCGGTTGGAATGGCATCTCGCGGGATCGTGTGCGTAGAACGGCAACGTGCGGCTTGATTGGGCGGGCGTCTACTGCGGCATTGCGAACAAGGGAGGCACTAGCCCCCAGTGGATCAAATCGAGAGATGGGATGGACGGCGCATAGAAGCTGGAAGACAAGCTCGACGACGGTCGCATTTGCAACATGAGAAGGGAAAAAAGGGGACTGGCGTATGTCGCAGTGCATAAACCAGGAGAGAGGAAAGGGAAGAAGAGCGCAGCAAAAGGTGGCCCAGAGACAGAAAACGGACGAAATCAGGGCAGCAGCGGCTACACGAGAACAGTATCACAACCCACCCACCTTGTAGTATATTTTCTGCGATGCATCCTTCAGAGTGACAGTCTTCTGGAAGACGTCACCCTCCTTGGCCAGCTGCTCGCTCTTCGTCCAGTTGTCGAAAGTGCCTGTGACGAACACTTCTTCGGCGGGATGCTCCCTAGATCAGAAAACAGCCCAAACGTCAGCTCAGCTCAGCGTCTCATAGCGTAAATCCATAGCCTCGTTTCTTTTCGCGCCAAGCCGGTGGAGAGGCTCGACTCTTTTTTTCTGTTTCTAATCTCGCGGTCTCGCAAAATGGTGACCATTTGTGCGAGTAGCGGAATTTTTTTTTTTTCTCCCTTTTGGACGGGGGTATTTTGGCGGCGCAAAGCGTTTGTCGTAGTATGGAAAGCGCAAAACTCACCACTTGAATGTGTAGCTGCCCATGGTCGCAATTAAGAATTAGAAATATTAATGAGGTCGACGGCGTTGTCGGAGGGGAGGTAAAATAAGGTGGAGGGGAGATGGGTATCGAAGCAATCGAGGAACAAGAATCGAAAAGATGATGACCACGAGATGATGACGACGAAAAGAAGCTCAAGGGTCGCCACAGCCCGGGATGGAAGAACCAGCGGCGTCAAGGACAGTATGAGTTTGAGGTACGAGGTCTTGCTAGTTTGAAATCGTGCGAAATTAAATGTGGCCGGTGAGCCTTTGGGCGGTGGGGGCTTTATCGCAGCTCTGCTCTGAGACCAGATAAGCGTCGGACGGTACCTCCAGCCGGCTGGGCTGGGTACTCTGTACCTGTGATTGCGTGCCAGAAACAGGGTGCGGCTGGCGCCCAATGGCCGCTGGCCGCAAGCAGCCAAAAGCCTGCGAGACTCTGGGACGCGTTTGCTGGAAGCCATCGAGGAGCGCAATCGTGCGATTCTCGCGAGGCTGCACAGCTTGCACCGGCCCCATCCAAGCTGCATGCCTTGGAACAGCGCTGAGGGGCCTATCGTGCTCGCTACAGTGCCCACCGTGGGCGGTCGAGCCCACCAGAGAGGCCACTAGACAGTGCTGAAGGGCCGCTAAGTGCCCCCTGCCTGCTGCAGCGTTGCATCAGCGCCGCATTGCATGGCACTATCTCGCATGCGGCCATGCATAATCAAGGCACGCCAAAGACAGGGCCGCAGATTGGACAGGCCAAGGCGTTGAAGTTTTTTTCTTCCTTCTTTTGTTCGCCTCTCTCGCCTTGCTGGGGTTCTGTTCGTTTCTGAGCGCCAGGGATCAATACATGTACGCTGGACCGGTGTCTGCCGAGGCAAGGGGGGGAACAGCACACCAATTCCCGGCCAATGCTGAGATATCGACAGATGGACGGACAGGGCTAGCAAGTACTGCGTACAAAATGCCAGATACACAGGTACGAGCAGACAAATCACATGGAAAATGCTGGGGTTGTTTCACACTCACGCGGCCTGGCGGTCGTTTTATCGCCGCTTCTGTCAGAGCACCTGCTAATGCATCTTCCTGCAGCATGTACCAAGTACCAGTACCTAGCACCGCTTCTTACAAAGCTTTTTTTTTCTGCACAAACATGAGATGGAATTATTTTCCACAAGCTACGTACCTCGTACTCGGTACGGATGGTCCCTGCTGTCGCACAATTGCTGCCAATCTCTATTTTAAGTAGTGGATCCCCCTATGACGCTCCTCCTCTTGCTTATTCCTGCCTAGCTGGTATTATCTGACAGTGGTGCAATGTTTGAAAGCCTAGTTCGCTGTGGCGCTGAACTACCACACAACTATAGAACCCTGAGCCACAGCGATAGCCCCTGCTGCGCCGCATCCTCCTTTTCCACAACCATCACAACTGCGACTCAATGGCATGAAGTTGCGGCCCCAGAAGAGTTAAAATATGTAAAAGAAATGTAAAATATGTAACTAAAAGGTGCAAAGAAACGGCTGCCTAGTTGACTGCGCCAGGGACGGGATATTCTTGATGCTCCTTTTCCGCGGCAGTTTATCATGTAGAAATCTATATCAAGACAACTGTCTCGCCTTTCATCATTGACTTATTAGGTCACGACAGATGCAAACTAGAGAGAAAACATGGGGTTCTACGGATCTAGCAAAGGCCGCCGCCGGCCATTGACTCGCTTGGGATTACTTACAATTGCGGGCGCATTTTTTATTGTCGCCATCGGACTCGGGGTCGGCCTGGGCGTCGGCTTGACGCAGCGAGACAGTCACGGGGCCTCTCACCAAGACAGCTCCAGCCCAGGCTCTTCCGGCACCGGCGTTGTCCCCAAAGGCCTTCCAAGCGGTCCCAATCGAACATCTACGTGGCAGCCCAGCGTCAATGCGACATGGCAAATCGTGCTCCAGGACGCCATCGAGCTCGACAACACGACCACGACCCCAGATCCGGACGTCAGCATCTTCGACCTGGACCTCTTTGACAACAACGCAACGACGTTTGAGACGCTGCAGCGCGATGGGAAGAAGGTCATCTGCTACTTCAGCGCGGGCTCGTACGAGGACTTCAGGCCCGACAAAGACCGCTTCAACGAGTCGGATCTGGGCAAGCCTCTCGACGGATGGCCCGGCGAGCGGTGGTTGAACCTTAGCAGCCCAAATGTCCGCAGCATTATGAAAGATCGTATCGCGCTTGCGTGGTCCAAGGGCTGTGATGCAATCGACCCCGACAACGTCGATGGTTATGTAAGCCGCCTCCTTTTTATTTCCATAGAGTAAAAAAGAACTGAAGCTGACGTGTGGCCAACGGCTTAGCAAAACGACAATGGGCTGAATCTGACGCAACAAGATTCCATAGACTTTCTCCAGTTTCTACATGGCGTGGCCAGCTCATACCAAATGGCCATAGGCCTGAAAAACGCCGGCGACATCATTCCCAACGTGCTCGACTTCGTCAACTTTTCTGTCAACGAGCAGTGCGCCGAATACTCCGAATGCACGACCTTTGAGCCTTTCATCAAGGCCGGCAAGCCCGTCTTCCACATTGAATATCCAAATGGCGCTCCAAACATTGACCCCTCGCGGGCAGCCGATCTTTGCTCACATTCAGGCATCGGGGCCGGATCTGCCAACTTCAGCACGGTGCTGAAGAAGATGAATTTGGACGGGTTTGTGCAGTACTGTGATGGCAAGCAGTACAATACCCCGTTGGCATAAGATTGTAATACCTACTTACCTGTATTGAAACTGCGAGCCGCCATTTTATGCATGTATATACGTATTATATTCCCAGGAGCTGTAGTTTTCAACCCTCCAGTGCTTTTTTTTTTTCTCTTCTTTATAGCATTATTAGCTGTACTATTCTTACTTTGCTGAGATCATATCCAAAATCTCATATTTCAGAAACAAAAATTGTATATTTTCCATTCTGTTTCCATCTACATACAATGTCCAAGCATCAAAATCCGTATAACGCAGCTCCATCTTTAAAAACAGCCGTCCCCACGAATGAACCCCGCCATACAGCCTCTCAACCCCACCTAAAAGAGCAAACCGCAAGCCAAGGAGCAGCTCCATCATCACCATCTATCAAAGAAGCCCAACATCTCACCCGCCGCAATGGGTCGCGAAGATCAGGTCGAGGAGCGCGAAGTGCTCGAATCCATTTTCCCCGAAGAAATCACAGGTATGCGAATTTCTCTGCGTCTTACATCCCCTCCATCTCTAGATAGCGCCATGGAGAGGAAGAAAAAAATGCGACGAGCCAGAACAGAAGAAAGGGAAACATCAAAAAAGGCGGCACAGCAACTTGGTCACTAATCAATTCTACGTCTAGACATCTCCGAGACCGAATTCCGAATAAACATCGTCCTCGACGTCCCCGGCGAAGAATCCCCCGAAGAAGAAGACAATGAACCCCCCAGCTTCCTGCTCTCCGTCCGCTACCCAGACGAATACCCCGACGTCGCGCCTCACCTCGACATCATCGCTCCCCCCAACGCCCCCTCACACCCTCACTTCAACGTCGGCGACGACCGCGACCAGCTGCTCGCCAACCTCGACGACACCATCCAGGAGAACCTCGGCATGGCCATGATCTTCACCCTCTACTCCACCCTCAAGGAGGCCGCCGAGCAGCTCATCCAGGACCGCCGCGACGCAGAGGCAAAGGTCGCCGAGGAGGCCGCCCTCGCCGCCGAGCGCGAGGAGAACAAGAAGTTCCACGGCACGGCCGTCACGCCCGAGACGTTCCTCAAGTGGCGCGAGGGCTTCCTGCGCGAGATGGAGGAGCAGCGCCTGCGCGAGGAGGAGGAGAGGCTGGCGGAGCTGAAGAAGGCCAAGATCAAGGAGCCGACCAAGCTGACGGGGCGGCAGCTCTGGGAGAGGGGTCTGGCGGGCAAGGTTGAGGAGGATGATGTTGCTGATGAGGAGGATGGGCTGGCTGATGGCGTTGAGCAGCTCAAGGTGGAGGCTGTTTAAGTGGAAGGAAAGCGTTTAGAAGGATATGATATGATGCATTTATCTTGTTATCTTGGGATTTTTTTCTGTTCTTTGCAAACACATGTATGGAGTTTTTATTTTTCTTCTCTCTCTCTTTTTTTTTTTTTTGGTGGAGTTATAAAACGTCTTCATCTTTGGGAATCTTGTACAATTTGCAGAGAAAAGAGAGGCAACAGAACAGAAGCAGAAGCAGAACAATTGTCTGTTTGAAAAAAAAAAGGAGAAGAATTATCATTTTGTCGCTTGACTATTCCAATTGGAAGCATTCTCATCCATCAACAAAGAAGAGAATCTCCTAGTGAAGAATCTTGGGTATATTATCAAAACTTTGGATTGTCGTATGTATCTAGTAGCATAAATCTCCTAAAAGCCTTCATTTATCCACCTCTCATCATTCATCAAACCCGCCCTTTTTTATTCTGCGTAATCTGAACCCTTTTTGTCTAACGCCATTCATCCAAATTCACTATTAATCTCCTTTTTTCCCCCGTTCCTTTTCCTTGTCTAACCCTGCATCTCCTCATCATCGTCTTCATCATCGCTAATACCAGACCACTCCTCCTCATCCTCCCCTTCCGGAGGCTCACCCAGCTCCTTGTTGATACTCTGCAGCAGCTCCGACGCGTGCTCACCAAGCCTCTCATCCTCATACTCCTGCTGCTCGTACAGCTTCAGCGACTGGCTCAGCCATTTCCTGGAGTAGCCCCACGTCGCCTTCCACTCTTCGCTGGCATCCTCGGCGCCGTTCTGCTGGGGCTTCGCATCGCGCAGCTTCTCGCCCGCGACGTACAGACACCATCCTCCCAGGTACCACACCTCGACACTAGAATCATCGTCTGTGACTAAACGCTCCAGCACCATGAGGGCCTGCTCCTCCATCTCAGTCTCCATAAGCAGTCGTGCCAGGGCGACTCTGGTAGGGAATTCCGGCACCGAGGGATGTTCGGGAGGCAGATCCTGCCAAAGCTCCAGGCTTCGTTTCAGGGCAGTCCGAGCCTCGTCGACTCTTTCTTGTGAGATGCGCACGTTGGCCACTGTCTGCCAGGTCTCGGCGTAGTTGGGGGCGATAAGCATGGCCTCGGTGATGAGAGCCTCACATCGCTGCTCAGCATCCGCCTCCCACGACAGATCTGTCATGTATACCTCAGCAACCGCGCACAAGACACCACCGAGCTTGCTCTGCATCTCGTCGAGAGCAGCCTGCTGCTCGGGTGTCCTGTTGGTGATGTCGTTCAATGTCTGAATCTGTTTTCGTAGAGCAGAGGCGCCGCGCTCGAACCACTGAACGCTGTCCTGTCCACCCTCCTCGCTCAGCTGAGCCAGAAACAGGAATTTTTCGGGGCCACCGCCAATCTTTTCCTCCAGAATACCCTCCTCATCCAACTTGACAGCTCGTAAGAAGTATTCGCGAGCCTCTTCCACCTCACCATCCTCCACGTTCAAAACGCCCAGCAAGTTCAAGGCTTTGAGTTCAAAGTCGCCGCCTTCTCCTGTTTGCTCCAGGGCCTTTGATGCGAGAGCAATGGCCTCATCGAGATTTCCCACTTCATACTGAGTCTCTGCATCCGCAAGAAGCTTGTTCAGATTGGGGGCATCCTTCTTGGCGCCGGCACGGCCTGGTGCCATGATTGATAATTAATTAGATTTGTAATATGAAACGATGTGCGAAATGAGATGTTAAACAGAGTGCTGAGAGATTGATGCGGAAACGAGCTGAAAAGTGATTCGCAAGGTTGGTGAAAAATGGTATAAGGACTGGAGGTTCCAACACAGACGCTGTGACGGCTCAGTCGCATCGCACTGCAATTCCGCTTTGAAAACTTGAGATTTTTTGGCGGGGCCGTTATCGATAAGCTTCTCGACTTGCGAAGATGCATGCGGGGCCTGCTTTGGCATCAACCAGCGCCTCGAGCTATAGATTGGTAAGACTAGCCTCATGCTTATTTGACTGAGAAACGAAGCGAGTGAGGCTAATAATCAATCAGTTTACATTGTAATCTCTTCTTCATATTGCTTTGCTTCTCGGTAACCCTTTTGATTTTCTCCACAGAGCATATAACAAAGTTGCCTGGCCTCATTCACTGTTTGCCACAAAAAGCGTCTATCCCGCATCGTTGTACACCGTATTCCGTAGTCTCGGCTTATTCACGGCTTTGTTGAGCGGCTTCCACTATCGCCTGTGAGTAACCTTCTAAAGGATTCCAAGGCTTCGTTTCACGTCAACTCAGACTCAACCAGGTTTCTTTCTATTGACATCAGACACCATGTTCACCGGTATTGTTGAAGAGATCGGAAGTAAGCAGCACGTATCCTATAATTATATAATCGCACTACAACCTAACATTGAAACTAGCCATCTCTCGGATCGAGAATGATGCCGCCACCAGTAGCTCGGTGATGACCGTCACCATCTCCCCCGGGTCCAATCTTCTCACAGACTGCCACGAGGGCGACTCCATCGCCGTCAACGGCGTCTGCTTGACCGTGACTTCTTTCACCAAGGACACATTCACGATCGGTGTCGCACCCGAGACGCTGCGCATCACCAACCTCGGCACGCTCGTAGAGTCCAGCAAGGTGAACTTGGAGCGTGCCGTCAGAGCTGACACCCGCATGGGCGGTCACTTTGTCCAGGGCCATGTTGACACAACTGCCGAAATCCTCTCAGTAACGCCTGATGGCAATGCTCTCACTTTCCGATTCCAGCCAAAGAAGAGGGACTTCTTGCGATATATTGTGCACAAGGGTTATATCGGCATTGACGGAACTAGCTTGACTGTTACACAAGTCAACGATGCTGAAGGATGGTGGGAAATCATGTTGATTACATACTCTCAGGAGAGAGTTGTCCTGGCAAACAAGGTCAAGGGAGATACGGTCAACATCGAGGTGGACATGATGGCCAAGTATGCTGAGAAGTCCCTGGGCGGTATTCTTGGCGACGGCAATGCTTCTTCGATCCCTCTTCTTGAGAAGATTGTTGAGCGTGTCATCGCAAAGACCCAGGGCACAAAGCAGTAATATTGCAGCGTTAGTAAGGGTTAGGGATATTTATATATAGAGGTTAAAATGTGTGAAGCGACCAAGTTCAACTTGCGATGAACTCTCAAGCGTCTCCCCAAACTTCTGCAATCTTGTGACTCAGGGGTCTGGATATCTTTTTACGTCCAATCAGGTGACTCAGGTCGCTGCATACGAGCTCCTTCTTGCGCTTTTTGCCTTGCTCATCTGTTCCACATGCGTGAAATGCTTTTACAAAATCATGTGGTGTCTTCCATCTGCGCTGAATTTCGAGAGCGCGCTCTCCAGTGAGTCCCTTGGTTGTCATGAGCATCTTGAGAAAGATGTCTCTAAGGGTCATCGTCTCCGATTTGGAAGCTAAAGATGCAAAGGCGGGATAGGTAACATAATATCCAACTGAGGGCTCCTTTTCACGAAGGTGCTGAATTAAGCGCGAGTAATTCTGTGCGGTGATTACTTTCGTTGGGATGACAAGCAACTGCTTCTTCTCGTAGGTACGTTTGAGCATTGCAGTCAGCTTAGCTAGATATTTGATGGTGTCGTCAATCTTTTGAGTTCGTTTCACAAAATAGCCATTAACTACCTGCGTTGAAGCGATGGCTGACTGCACTGCCTCCTCATATCTCTGATAGGCAGCAGAATCCATCGAGATTTCTTCAATGAGATAGACAACTTTTTTGACGCCGGCTCGATTAAGTCGAAATTTCTGTTCGTGGAACCGACCGTCCTTGATACTCCCAATCAAGTCATCCAGACGCTTTCTCTCGACGATCCAGTCCAGGACAATCTCATCCCCTTCTGCTCCGTGTCTAGACAATAGCGATGGGTCATGGCATTTGGCAATCCACTGGACATCGCCAACCTCTAGACTTCTCATGATTGGCTTTACGCCTTGCTTAACCAATTCCTCCTGCATATAGTCGCGATCCGTTTTGGCTCTGACCTCTCGAACGTCGAGTAGCAGGTGCACGGTGAAAGAGCCAGGTGAAAGTATAATCGGAGTGAAAGTAGGCAAATCTTCATCTTCCAATACAACTGGGCCATCTGAGACGATATTCTTATAAATCGAAGGCTCGTCGGCTGTTGTTACGGCTTCATAAACATTGGGCATCAAGCCTTCATCTTCTACTGTTATAGATGGTGGCTGCTGGCGGAGATTCGATCCTTGCTGCATGTTGGACCTGTTTTCATCTTGCCACTGCGCTGTCTCTTTGATTCGTTTAGCTACCGCCCACCCTTCGTCTGTCAATGCATAGCGGCGTAGCGGCCGTCCCCTCTCATAAACCAGCTCCTTCTGAACCAACGTCTTCATTGAGCTCCAAGCCGTGTAGAACTTTGTTGTGTCAACTGGCGTGGTGAATGAGGCGTCACAGTGTGGTTGAGCGGCCTCTATCAGCTCCGTCTTGGTTAAGCTGGAGGATACGTCTTCGGGAAGATGGGAGAGGCCCAGTATTAGAGCATAGGCTCCTGACCGAAACGCAGGGACGTACGCCTTGGGCTGTCGTGTTTTTTTCTTGGGCCTTGCCTCTGCATCACCTCCTTCTTGCTGGGCCCTTTCATTGGCTTTCCTAACTTGAGGGTGTTCGGGCATCGGCAGCCCATTTTGCTGACAGTACTGCTTCAGCTTATCTTCAAGCCTCTCGCAGAGTTTTGGCCCAAATCCCTTGAGCTGCTGTAGCGACGCGGGATGCTCAAATGCGATAGGGCAAGCTTTTAGAGATTCATATGCATTTCTGTAAGCTGTGACGCCTTTGGAGTTGCGTTCTCTAGCAATATCTAGCCATTCCTTGACCCAGGCCAAGAACTGGGCGTTTGCACATTCAGAGTCTTCCATGCTGACGAGGGCTGCAGTGAACAGCCATCCCAGAATCCAGCCAAAACAAGATTGTGAATTGCGAGAGGTCGGGATAAAGAGAGCAAATTGATTGGAGGGTTTGGAGTAAATAAAGAGGTGGAAGAAGAGCAAATCACAAGTAAATTATCTGAACGTGAATTCCGAGTATTTCAAACAGTGCCAGCATTAGTGCACGCGTCGAGCACTGAGGCACGCGTCTAGTGGGCACGGCCGGCATCAGTCATCAAGACATCAATGTGTTTGGCTGTCGTCACTGCGATGAAAAAAAAAAAAAAAAAGATGAGGAGGTAAAGAGAAAAAGAAAGAAAACGAAGAGGAGAGAAAGATTACAATAGATGACTTCGAATATTGGCGGACTAAGTAGCTCTTACTCTTTTTGGATGTATATTTTTTTTTGAATTTCTTCTCAGCCGTTGCTAATTTACTAGTAGGCATTCTCCCTAATACTGGTAACTACCTAGGTATATGGACATCTATGTCAGAGTTGCGCGAATTCTATCAATCGCCTTTTATTTTGTAAAATCTTGCAAATTCTTTATTCCAGCAGTGCCGTCCCAGTAATTCGTAACGATCATTCAAATTCGTCAACTGTTTTTTCCCTGTGTAGTTTGCCAGTCATCATAATAGCTTTTTGAAAAAAAAAAAAAAACATGATACGGCTTCTTCCTTTTGGCCTTTCATAAAATTTGGTATATTGATTTTTTTTTTTCTTTCTTTCTTTCTTTCTTTCTTTCTTTCTTTTTACTGTCTTTCTCTCCCATGTATATATTGGGTTCTCATATGGTAACTATGAGCCGAACTGCTTGATGATGTTGGCCACCTTGTTGGCCAGCTCATCGGCCTCGTGGCGAGTGGCAGCCTCAGCATACACACGGCAGGCGTTTTCAGTGCCGCTGGCGCGAGCAAAGGAGCGAGCCGTAGTATATTTCCTAACGCACTGGTCGATCTCGTCCTGGGCACCAGGAGGGTGGCTAAGGCGTCGCTCAGCGTCGGTGGCCTCGAAGATGTCCTTGTTGGCGACCTCGACACGGACAAGGCGGTTGGGCAGGTCGGTGTATGTAGTGGCCCAGTCCTGAAGGGACCATCCCTTGTGGGCAAGAATGACCTCTACCATGAGCATGTCTGAGATGGCATCGCCAACCGTCTGGTTGATGAGATCGCCGACAGCAGCCAGTGTCTCAAGAGCATCCTTCTGAGCCGGTGACTGGGGCTGCTTCTCTCGGAAAACGCGAAGAGCCTCCTGAGAGAAAACAACGGTTCCATGACCATTAGCCTCGAAATAGACACCGATGTCGAACTGGCAGGCAGCATGGTGCAGGTGCTTGACACCAGTGGGGGTGAAGACAACAGGGAGCTGCAGGTTCTTTTCGATGTATGTAGTGCTTGCGCCGTTCGCGTAGGCGGTCTGGACGACTCCAATTCGGATATCCTCCTCCAGACCAGCAGAGCGGACAAGATCGCCGATGAAGGAGGCGTTCAGAGACGAGATGCGATCTCCGTCAAGCATAAAGAAGCCGGCCTCGGGGTCGGCCATGTAGTAAATCAGACGGTCTGCGTCGCCATCGAGTGAGCAGAATCGGGTATCGGCGGCGGGCTTGACATTCGGGGGAGCTCGCTGCTTCGTCTTGACAAAGTCGGCACCACACTGAAGATCAATAACATTAGCTCTGAATTTGAATTTGACAACATGGCATAGTGGCGGTGAAGACTTGTACTCACATCAAGGTTGAGGACCTCGGGGCGCAGCACATCGTCGTTGGCGACCTTGACGTTGAATCCAGTCTTGTCCTTGGGAATGACCTTGAGGAGCTCGGTGAGCTTGGGGCCTCCCACGCCGTTGGCACAGTCGACCACCAGCTGGCCCTGGATCTGTCTGCCCCGCAGTGCGCGGACAAAGGCCTCTGACAGCTTGTTGTAGTAACCGGCCTCGCTGACCTCGCCATATGCCTTGGGGGTGCCCTCGGTGTTGACGCAACGAGTCAAGTAGTGGAGCTGGGGCGTGGTGAGGATCTTGAAGTCGGTGTACTCGGTGTTGGTGGCCTCCAAGGCGTCAGCCAAGGCAGTAGCGAGGCTGTGGCCAGAGGGGCGGGTATCACGACCGTAGACGACGCGGCCGGGGGAGCTCAGGTCGATCTTGAGCTGCGAGGCCAGGTTCTTGTAGGTCTCGAGGAGCTCCTCGTGCGTGGGAGCATTAACCAGGAGCGTTGCGTGAGACTCCCAGTCCTGTTCGAGCATCTCGCCCATTGGGTCGACGATCTTGACGCCATTGTCGGCGGCAGGGTTGTGGCTGGCGGTGATCATAACACCAATTGCCTGGCCGTTGAGCTTGCGGCTTCGCAGGCCAGCAATGAGGCCGACACGGAACGAGACGCCGGGCAGAAGGTCGGCCTTCATGCGAAAGCCGGCAGTGCCATATTTGTAGACGTGGTTCTCGACGATGGGGTGTTTGGCCGATGCCTCGAGGAACTTCTTGTCATCCATGGTGGGGGTTTGGCCGAAAAGGTCAAGACGGTGAAGATGGACAGATGAGAGGGAACGCAATAGATTGATGCTTGACACAAAGCGTGATGTCCTGCAGCAGTATCAGAGGCAGAAGCGCAAGCCGCGTGGAAGCGAGAAATTAAAGGGGAGACGAGAAGAGGAGGAGTGAGAAGAATCAAGGACAGGGCCTGATAACGCAGCTGGCGGCCAGAGAAGGCGGTGCGAGGGCTTAGTGAGAGAGGCCTTTATTTGGACCTCGCGGGTGGAGTCGACTAATACGCTGTCCTCAGTGACCTGGCCCCGTGGCTCCAGGAGCTTTTCTCCACGCCGCGGGGCAGTTTTTTGCTGTGCTGCTTGGCTTCTTTTGTGGTTTCTAGCTCTCAGCCACGTCGGTCCGATGTTGCATCTACGTTTCAACTCCTGCGACTTGGTGGCGGTGGCTTCGGCGGGATCGACAACAGCGTGGCCGTAATAGTTCGCCCTTTGCAGCCTGTCGGCCATGTACAAAAGCCACGTTCAATGTGTAGATGAGCAATGAGCGACTTGCTTTGCAAAATATTGCTGGCACAACTCTCATCATTTCATTGCTTGGAGATGCCACAACCAGTAGTAAAATCTGCTACTGAGAACGGTGTAGGTACTAGGTAGGTAAATACATGTGCATGTAATAGCGTTTAGCCACTTGTTCTGTTCGAAAGACTACGGTGGAATCCATTGCGTCGTTTTGACTTCATCGTAAAGCTCAATCTCTATCAAACTTTTCCATCGTATTCCCATTTCTCTTCTTCAATCCAATAGCGAATTCTGCCAATGATGGCAGCCAATCCAACTACACAATCTTCGTCCACTTACATCCGTAACACATGCTCGACTTCACGATACCTGGCTTATCATGGCTCTCTTACAATCATTGCACGAATGGTACGAATGAAGCGTATAAAAACGTATACTCCAATTATTTATCTACAATAATAACGCCACAGCTAAAAACATGAATACAACGTACATTTCTCAAAGAGTAACAACCTCCCCGCCCCAAATTACACCAATACCAATACGCCAGAATCAAGCAAACCCTTCCGCCACCATCCAGATTATTATTTTACAAAGTACAAAGCAATACAAGATTCCCCTCCAGTCATATGGCCCCATTTAGTGAGTGCTATGGATCAGCATCGTCACTATTCTTCTCTAGCATGACACGTGTCATTCCAAGGTCCTCCAATTCTTGTAGACCATTCACCCGAGTTCCCATAACTCCGTCCTTGTCAACGGAATGATACAGCACGGCCAGAGCTGAACCCTTCCACAGCGGCACGCCCTTGGTCTGCCGTCTCCCAAGCAGTGCCCCGATCAGCGCCAGCGCTCCGAGCACTTGCAGTGTTATCGGCAAGATGAGCCACAGCCACTGCACGCGCATATAGACGACGGCCTTGCTCGTTAGGCCTTGCGCGATTTGTACCGTGCCCTTTTCTCGTATCATGTCCGTCAAGCTTTGCGCCATGTTGTCGAATATGCCCGATACGATTTCCAGGCTTCCGTTGCCAAACGCCGTCGTGCTGCCCGGCGGTTGGGTGGCGGTGGGATAGACTATTGGGCCGATGCTACCGGCGAAAGCTTCCGATGAGAAGAAACGAGAAATGATTCCTAGGTCCTTTGAGGAGAAGGAAACGTCTGGAAGACCAGCGCCGGTATTGTTCCACCAGATCATTTGATCCATCAGGGTACAAGTACGGGAAGTACAGTCTGATCGCATAACGTCTGTAGCACCAGTCATGTTTCTAAGGGTGGTTTTCTTAGATGAACCGATGTTAAAGTTGTTTGAGATGGATGAGATATCCGAGTAGTTGTATATCACGATGTCAAATGTACACTCCACGACTGTCGAATTCTGCAGCATCGGCTTCAACTCAACATTCATGTTGGTAATATCAATGTTTTCTCGATTCCAAGTCCAGACGGCAGATTTAGAGAAGTTTCTGCCGTCCAGCAGATCAAGGTGTTCAGAGTCCCAGCTGCTAGAGTTTATGGCCATTGAAGAACCCCCGGGTTCTGGGATAAACGGGAAGTGTAAGCCTTTGGGCGTGGTCATATTGCAAGGGCCAATGAAGCCATAAGGCACGCTGAAAGTGCGGTTGTTCACGCACTGGACAGTCTCCAAAGTCTCCTTCGTAACGTCGGCACAGGTGCTGCTGAAACCTATGGTGAAGTATGATTGGTCCCAGGTGCAGTTGGAAGTGCAGTTCACCCCAGGTGGCCAACTAGTCTGCCACATACCCCTGAAGAAGGCAGATTGCACATCAGCGTTTATAGCTATGGACCTCATGTTAGAATGCAGTTTGTATCGAAGTAGGTATTAGGATAATACTGACGGTCATAACTATTTAAGAAAAGTATACCGTCGTGCATGTAGGTTCCCCACTCAAAGTTGGTGCCACCGCTATAGCTGAGCGCGTGTCCGAAAGTTGCTGACCCGTCTTGAAGGGTATATATGTTTCCAGGTTGGAAGTAGACGACCTGCTGCACAAATGTATCGGTGAGGAGAGATAGTATCATGACTACGGCGCTCACTGTTGCCCACCCCCATGGGACGCTGAAGAGCATTTGGATGGAGCCCAAAGGCCCACGACTTGCTCGATCGATGATATTCAGGTCTTGGAGGCGGCGCGCCTTGTTATTGAAATGGCTCCACTTGTCCTGGCTGAGGAACACCGATACGGCAGCGAGGAGTGTCGCCCGTGCTGCAGTGATGGCGATGGCCACGGCGGCGTTGATACTGATGAAGAAAGTCCAGTCTGTAGTGAGCCGATTCTGGAAACTTGCAAGGATGGCAATCAGGCCAGCCATGCAGCCGCTGCTGATGCATATGGTGACGATTTCCATCCACCACGTTGAAGACAGCCTGATCCAGGCTGACTGTGGCTTCTTCGGCTTCGCAATAGACCGACTTGAGGCCTGGTCGCTATCTTGATCCGGCGCGTTAAGGGTGTCGCTGTCGCTGTCGAGCCGAGTTGCGCCATGATTGGCATGACGGATACCATCTTGTCCTAGCATATTGGCGTCGCTTTCCAACTGAATCGTGGTGTACTCGGGACCACCCCGCTCTGGTCTGTTGCTGTAGTCTCTTTCAGGCCTTATATCATGAGGCAGTGGAGGTGTTCGTAATCCATTTCTCATATCCAAGGCCCATCGGCGTCGTGTGTACTGATCGCTCATGGAGACGGCTAGTTTTATAACATGACATTTAATGAGAGATGGGTTGCGGGCCAAGAAAAAGAACAAGGCAGCGACTTTATACGGTCCAAGACGGCTGAGCACCAGCCCTGGGTGATTGTAGCCTGCTCCTATGTAGTCTTCATAGCTGTTGGTTCTGCGATGAAGATGCTACCAACATGCAGTTTTCAAACTCATTAGCCTGGTCGAGTCTCAGCCTATGCCATCTTGCCGCTCAAGTCTGCAGGGTATATCGGCATCATCTATACACGGGCCCCCTTCTATCGCAATGGGATTCGCCAGCCGGGCCAGACATGCGCCTGCTTAACCTGAAACGATCATATTTTAAGTACGAAGTCATTGTGCCTTGCGGATCCTCAGAGAAATGGCATATTAAGGCGACTGTTAACAGCGGCAGAAGCGCCTTGCGGCCGGCGGCTAATGAAACCTCAACCAGTCCTTCGGCCGCATGTGGAGAACAGGGATGCAGTAGTGCAGCAATCGACAGCAAGGCAGCATGTGGTAAGGCAGCTCGTGGCAAGGCTGGATGGCATGCTACGGGATGAAGCGCAGCATATACCTACATGTGAGCTCTTGGAGCTGCTGAAAATAGCGATTTTTATATATGTAAACTTGCCATGATGTCGGACACTGACCTCCTGGGCCAGCCGAGGTGGCCACGGCTTAATACTGGGATAATTACATGATTCATTTCACTACTGGGGTGCCCTTCTCATTCGCTTCTTTTACTGCCGTATTCAGCAGTATAGTCAGCGTTGTTGCGCTGTTGTTTTGTAGTGCAGGTTCGCTTTCAAGCCTGGATGCACGTCCGCTGATACCGTATTACCTCGCTTTTTTGACGGTAGATACTAAAGTAAGAATTACACATTTTAATTGGCTAGTACTCAATAATTGTGGTTCCCTCGCAGGTTCGACGGTGGAGTAAAAAGCGATTTAACCAATTGAAGTTCATGGAATTTTATATATACCCAATTAAATTCCTTATAATACAAGTTATATCCACCGTCCAATTTGCGAGGGAATCATTTAGTAGTGCTATATAGAAACAGGGGTTGTTTATTATGCTTCCCTCACAGCTTCGACGGTGGTGTAAGCAAAATGGCATCTAGCCAATCAAGCATCGTATCCGCCTACTTTTAGCCAATCAAGTGTTACGCTATGTTGATCCTGTATCCACAGTCGAAAAAAGCGAGGCCATGTTGCTTCGGATTCTGGTTGTATTATTTCTGCAAAAATATCATTACATAGATAGGTGATTACATAACAGTCACATGACGTGACCGTCAAAGACTTTCACAATCTGGGCATGTGTTTTCGCCCTGAGTGCAGCCCAAGAGCGCTCTGCTCGTACCTCCATAAGGGACGGAATTTGTGGAGAGCGGCGGCCAATGGCCCCCACGCACACTTTCTATCTACCTTGAGCTACAAAAATACACATTAAGTGTAATGGCAATGATCGGCACTCTTCCACAATTCGGTGCAATTTTGCAATCCAATTTTGGACAATGAGTAGAAGTAGAGGTACTCTTAAGTTACTTTACGTATCTCTACATCATCCAGTGAGCTTTTATGGACTTTAGAGAGTTGTGCACTACGGAACAGCATTTGCATAAAACATTATACCTACTCATAAGCTGTTCCAGTATAATGAAAACCTGGTTTTTTTATGAACAAAGGGCCGGATACTGAAAGAAGAAAGTGAAAGAAGAGAGTAGAAACATCACAATCTAGATACATATTTACTTAGGTACCTTTTTTTCCTATGTCCCTTTGTGAATACCTGCCAGAGCACCTACATGATGCTGAACGTAACCCAAAAGACAAAAACCCACCAAGTTCACCGCCTCTGCCTGTCCAGATTGCCAGAGCCCAGAAACTGCTTCTGTCCAAAAACGAGTGCAAGATTTCCACCCCCTTCCACACCCCATGCAGTGGGGAAAAAAACGCAAGACACGCCCCTCCCAATTCCACCCCCCAAAGATGAGCAGATTCTAGCTAATGAGAAAACGGTGAATTCGTAAGAAGTACATCAATGGGGCTACGATATAAGATACTTTTGCAATTCCGACCGTGTGGCATCTTAATTGCTGTATATTGATTGAAACTGGATATGGGGCATATCTATTACATAGCTACATTGAAAACACTAGTCAGTCTATGTGGCATAGTGTTTACAACTTGACTGATCTGCAACCTACTTTGTCTCCCGTCTTTAGCGTAAAAGCAAGCTCTAGTTGGCAGTCAGTCTGGTTATGTAAGGGGAGAGCTTAGGCTGCGTACTTCAACCTCTAGTGTAGAAACTGCTTCTATCATAACCGCCTCTGTCCAAAACCACATCTGTCCAAAACTGTGTCTGTCTAGAAGTTGCATCAGTATAAAACCGCATCTGTCTCCAAAAAAAAAAAAAAAAAAAAAAAAAATTCGCCTCTATCCCGAGCTGAAATCACGCAGTTGCTCAGAAGCTGCCGTCCAACAACCGCGTCTGTCCAGAAACTGCCGTCCAAGTTCGTTCGTCCAGAAACCGCCGTTCAGAAAAACGCGTCTGTCCAGAAACCGCCGTCCAAAAACGCGTCTGAAGAAAAAAAAATGTCTCTCCATAATCAATATTACAAAGCGAGTGAAGGCCACGTAAATGGGTATTTAAAGGATTGTTGAAGCTTGAAATTTCCTGATACTTCTTCACTCCTACACCACCAGCTTGAGATACCTCACCTTCTCGATTCTCCATTACCACTCAGCATAGCCTCCAGCTACAATCCAAGCCATGTTCAAACCAACGGCAGCTTCTGGGATGCTCACTCAGCACAACGGTTTACCCAATCGGCGCACCGGTTTAACCACTCTCCAAAATGATCGCCTTGACTCAAATCCTTGGCCCGGAGATGCATCTATAATTCGGGAGAGAAAATCCGGATTGGCACTCGTCGTTCATAACGGGGGGCTTTCTTGGGCAAAATGCTATAGGAAAGACCTCTATTATCCCGCACCACGCTTAGTTTGGCTTTGCGTTGAAACTGGAAACTTCAGGGGGTTCTTCAACGCAAGTACTGGCATGTATCTAAGTTCCAGTAACGATATAGTTATGCCAGTCGAGGCCTTCGACAGCAATGGACAGTTTGTGCCAATGAGGGATATCAACGGAGGATATTTGCTGCAAACTCCGGCTGGGAAGCAAGTGGCGATCGACTCTCGTAATCGTCGGCTTGTAACGAGGCAGCATGCAGGAGCCTGCTTCAAATTCTTGAAAGTTTAGAGGTAGCGCTGAGAGTTCTGCATCGGAGGGGCTTTATCAGCACTTGGTTGCAATCACCCATCCAGATATCTATTTCAGATGAATACAATTGCTTTCTATGATGCATCTTGTATGCAGCCGCTTTCGCTGCTATTCTGCACGTTTTCGAGACCAGTCTATTTACCAAGCTAATTGCAAAGGAAAGCAAGGCGTCAAGATATAGTGATATACGATATTGTACTTTATGTTGAGATATAGTCTCCGCCATGGGATAGTCGCCTTTAATATAGCCTGTTACAATATCTACATGCAAGTAAACAATCACATACGTAATAAATGGAAGTAAATAGTATGTAAATGAACTTTCACCTTGATGCCCAAAACGCTGCGAGGGATGCTTGACATGCCGTCCTTGTACTTAGTTCTAAATGGCGTATACATCCTCGCATGCTATTATAGGCTCTTCTCATGTAATATCGTCCTTTCCTAGCCTATCCAAGTTTGTTCAATGGATAGGTGAATAAAGCTGAACGCATCAACGACAAGTAGCCCATTCAGTCAACCACCTCTGTCTAAAACTATTGTCTGTCTAAAAATTGCCACTGACCATAACTGCGATCGTATGACGTGCAAAAACGAACACCATGTAAATGGGTATATGGTACATATAAGAGATAGGTAAAGCTGAACCTTTTCTCTATCATTTTTGCTCTTACACCGCTAACTTGGAATCTTACCTTCTCGATTCTCAATTGCCCCATTCTTACACATCACTCGGCATAGCCTTCAGTAACACTTCGACGAAGCTAGGTCGATGAAAGCTTCTGAGATGCAGCACACGCAGTGCACCGAGTCATACAGTTTCTATGACCCTAATTCTGAAGATGTTCGTTACAATAATTGTTTTGACAAAGTTCCTTGTCCCGGGGATCGTTGTACTCTACGGAGGTCATTTCAAAAAGACGTTTCGCATTTACAAAAGGAAACTCCTGGAAAAGAAAGTTATAATGAAGATAATCTGGAACCAGACTTTATTTGGCTTTGCGTTGAATCCAAGGACTGCCGCGGCCACAGGTGCTTTAACGAAGAGAGCAGCATGTACCGGGGATACAGGAGAAAAATATAATCAAGCCGATCAAAAAAGTTTGACGGCGGCCGATATTTCGCAGGAATAAGGCACGGGGTCAGGGGATACATGATGTTTATGGAAAGTGAAGGTGTCGAAGCAAGTGGCGATTACCGGCCCTCATTGAATTGTAATGAGGAATCATGCAAGGACCCGCTAGACCTTCATCCAGCCGGCGAATGGTAACTGATGGCACTATACTGGTTACAACTGTCCAGTGTCTACGGAGTATTTGAGTTGGAAAATGGGAAAATGGGTGAGCTGTGTCTGCACACCAGCTAGGCAGTTTTCTCAATATTCTTCATGGTCCTTTTTTTTTTTCCTTTTATGGCAACTTCTATCCAACTTATGCAAAAAGATCAAGGCTCTGCACAGCTCATCCTGTATTTGTTCCAAGGTGTGATATTTGGATCAGTTTATTGCGAGATGGAATTCTGTAAATTTACATATCCTCATACTCCATGAACAAATCACTAAATATCGTCCCTTCTTTCTTATATATTGTCACAGTTTGCTTTTGAGGTGAATGAGTTGAAGCTATATGACATGAGAGAGTGTTCATGAAAGTCCTAGTCACTACCAGATACACATCTCAATACAAAATCTAGCTTCTCACAGCAACGTTACCATAGTCCTACGATACATTCTAAAGAGTTCATGTGAATTGAACAAGTTGCACACGCAAATGTCCCTCACTCTCGTCAGTCAACAACTTCTCCACCACCTATCAAACCGGCACATCGTCACGCCAAGCTCATATGGTGGGAGAAACAAAAAAAAAAAAAAAAAAAAACGCCCCCGCTACATCCACTTCTCACTCCCGCGGCATTGCTGCTCAGAGGAGAAATAAAAGTTGTTGGCCCCCTACTTGCAAAGAACATCAGCCGGGCTGTACAATCCTCCGCGGACAATCCTTCTGCTGCTGATCCAACATAACGCAAGAGGAAAACTGAACAGACGCGAGCAGCGCGCGGATCCAAAATGTGGAGAGCCCATGACAAACGCCTCAAGCGAGCTTGTCTTGATCGACACAATTTGTTTCGACCAAGAAATACCCTGTTTGTTTTCCCAAAGCCTCGCGATACAACTCCAACGGCCCCGCCGGAATGATTCCGGGCGCTTGACAGCTCGAAGTAGCAAATTGCAAATCTCAATCATCACCTGATGTCAAGATGTGCCATCGCCCTTTTGTGGACTCCATTCAAGCCTTTACGGGCGAAATCCGTCTTACAGTCCCTTGCAATCGCCTCACAACCCCCTGCTCAAATAGTCCAAAGCTTCAAAGCTTTTCCATCTTGAGAAAAAGAAAAATCGAACCTCCATGAGCATCCAAGCTTTTGATCCCGATAGATACGCGGCTCCATGGGTCCCCTGGCATGGTTCGTGCAGGGGGTACAAGTGCCCGCCCAAAAGTTTGCTAAGCGGCGGTTAATCGACGAATCACCATCACAACCGCCTTGTGATGGAGATCGCAGCACTACATATCACATCGCAGCCGCGCACGCAACATGCGCCGCCATTCAAGGGGAGAAAAAACGCGCAAAGCAGGGAACATCTTCCGCGGGAAGCGAGGATAGCTGCCGAGACGGAGCTATCCTCTTTATCCGCGCGCCCTCTGCGGAAAAGAGACGATTCTTGTGGAACCGTAAGCGAACTAGCCGCGCCTTGGTGAATACAGTCTCCAGGGAACAAGGAGATCCAATGGGAGTTGAACAACTTTAATCAATTTCTTTAATCTCATAGGCTCATTCGCCCCTTGCAGGGTCTCGAACCACTTCGACCCGTACATTATACCCAATGTGCCGGGTTGAACGCAGTTCTTGCTGTCTATATACTTGTACATGAGGGGAGCATAGTTTCCCTCGTATTCACAGAAGCAGTGACAGTGGAGCAATATCTCTGCAGACGCTGTCAGATGCCGTTGGATCCAATTCCTCCACATACGCCCTTCGCCCGGCTACCATAGCTCTTCACTGTCTACCAACTCTGGCGGCACTACCCACCTCTCCAATCGTTCACTTAGTCTCTCCGGGTTCACCGTTCGGGCCGATATTGGTGACAAGATTATCGGGCTCAGTGGCTTATTCAACGGCCGTGGAGATGATGGTAAACCGTAAGAACCGTACGTAGGCGGGGGCTTAACCTCTCGAAGTGGCCGTTGAGTAGAAGGAGAAAATTGTTGGCGGATATTAGGATCGTAGCGGTGATGGACGGCGTGGCCAAACGAGGTTTGCAGTGGTGGCAGAGAAGGTCCGCGACGCTTGTGTTTCCGAGAGGAGGTTGAAGCCCAAGATGATCCAAACGCAGCACCTGGATGGGCCACCGTTAAGAGGAGACAGGCGAGGAATGGAACAAGCGCGTCCATGATCATGAAAGCAGGCTCGCTCTGGAATAGAGTGCCTTCTATGCCTCCAATCATTTCGAAGATCCGATATATCGTGTGCCCGAGAAGGAGAAAGGTTGACATCTCCATGCCTTTGCAGTGTTAGGGGGTATATTCTACTTAGGTTGGGGCTCACTTGGGAAGTACTCACAACGGAGGAACTTGGAGAAGCGGCTAGAATAATAGATTTCTGAGTGTGCTGGGTTCGGAACTTCGTCCTCGGGTCTCAGACCAATGATAAAGCAAGTATACACTGCGGAGATGACTAGTAATAAGAAAATTTGAGCACCCAGCCCTCCAGCAATGATGTCGGCACTTCGATCACGCTTTCGAGGATATTAGCAGAAAGTCTTTGCCGGACATAAACACGAGTTTAACAACATACGCTTACTCCCCCATACCCATAAACAACAAAAACAATGCCGATTATGTTGAGTATGAGGCTCACTATGAGCAGAGCACTCAAGAGGAAAGCTGTAAAGAAAGATTGACATGGTGCGTGCCGGTCTCCGAAGAGGGCAAGTATATGAGGCAGTACAATCGACATGGCACTGCATATAAATGTTGCTCCAAGAACACTCCCTAATAGAGTGAGGGCAAAGTAGCCTTGGTGATCTCGAGTGTGGTGCAGAAGTATTCTCCCTAGAAACCCCAAGACTTCAAAGGAGAGTCCAGTTGCCAGCAAGGCAGAGAAGCCTGGAGTGCGGAACCGGTACCCTTGGTAAAAAGTGACGGGTGTCAAGAAGGCATAGAGAGCGAGGAAGACTGCACTGGCCCCGATACTAAGATCATTTGAGAAGAATCCGTTCTCGGTAGGGCATGTTGAGCCACAGTTAGTTGCCATGATGAACAGTAGTCTGGTGCAGTAACCTCAAATGCTCCTAGCCATGGGCAGGAAATCCCATCAGGGAGGAGACGGATTAGGGATTCGCTGGCTATTTAATAGATATCCATGGACGGCATATTGCTAGCTGTTGCTCGAAGGATGGCAGGCAGATCGGGGGGCCACAGCCCGATGGAGTAGCTCCCTGGTCATCTTTGATCGAGAGCATCCGAGCTAAGGCTGCAGAAGTCACTGCCGTTCGGCGTATCACTAGAGCAGGGGTCATGATGTTTTCCTCTCCACCGATCAGTTCTCTTTTCAGACGGAGGAGAATCTTGTTGACGGGATGGGGGCCAGTAACAGAGCCTATTCGGGGATAATACCGTGCCGTGCCGTGGTACTAATGGTTTCTGCTGTTGGTTGACACCCCTGCTCACTAGCCTATTATGTCCGCACATAAGTGCGTTGGTCTGCTGCAGCATGGATATTGGATGGAGCCCATTTCAAGAGGCAGACAGGTTGACACAAAGAGAGGAGAGCATAGGATCCGGCAGTCTGGCTCCATCAACCGACTTTTGGCCATTCGTGTTATACAGCTTCCTGATTGCGGTTGGTGACACCGGCTGCCATGCCAATACGACCCGGCATGCCAATCTCTTGTGATTTCGCGGCAAAGATTCTCGTCAGAGAGGAACCCATACTTTGAAACCCATGCCGCTGTACGCTCGTACTCGAGTTTGAGCTGTATCGAATAGTAAGGTGAAGTTGCTTCTTCTCGATATTCTTGGCAAGTCATCCAGTCTGGGCCTCTGGTCAGATGGAATCAAAGACAGCCAGTTGACTAATCCAAAGCATCATCCCTTTGTCCTATGCAGTTGGTTCTTCACAGCCCAGAAGCTAGTAGTAGCAGGCATTACTCGTACACTTATCACGACGTTGCAACGAGGTCGAAAGGGTGGACTGCAGAGGCGAGCGAGAGCCAACAATGGATCCACTGCAGGTTGACGAGGCCTGACTATGTGCCAAACAACCTTCCGCTGGAGAATCTGGGGACTGAAAATGGCGCCATGGCAGAGGTGAAATATGCAGCCGAAGTGCCTGGAACCAACAGCCGTAAAGACACAACCCGGTTTTTCTCTCCACGCGAGCACCGGTGCGGAACAGGCGATGCCCAACGAGCCAAACATGATTTGTGAATGGTAGAACAGGCCGGCGTCAGTTGACAGACGGTCGACATGGAAATCAGAGAAACAGCGCATCCAGCAGAGGATGTTCACGGCCAATGGATGGAATTAATCTGGCCATCACATGATGCGCCGGAGAGTGCAGTACGAGGCGAGGTGGATGCCGATAGGCGGGCAGTGTGAGGTGAAGTTGCAGCGAAGAGCGCCTCAGCGCAAATGCAACATCAACTAGCTGCTTTCATACAAGCAGTGCAGCTCCTAAACCGTGACCCGTTCGCAGCAGCAGAGCATGGAGGAGGAAACTTTGCCGTCGCGGGTGTTTTGGCACCTACATGGTACGTGGGTATTCACGCCTGCAGAGGATGTCGTGGTAAACATTTAGTCAACGGGTGATGGCCAGTTGGTTCATCCTGGTCCGAGTCCATTTGTCGTCGCTGTGATGGGATTGTTGCTTTGCTCCCTTCTCGTAGCCAGCCACGTAAAGCTCTCAGCGCCAAGCTAAGCTCTCAGCGTCAAAGCACAGGGCTTCCGCAGCAGCAAAGCTAGGTCCAACTCGCTCGCGCCGAACAAGACAACGATGCTTTGTTTAAAAATAAAACAGTAAATGCTCAAATCATCCGACTCCCGTTGCATTCGTCGCAGCTGTTTCCAGAACGGTCAAGCTTCTGCAGAGGACCAGCCGCAAGCTCAAGAGCTTCAGACATGAAAGCCACGCCGGTCGGATCCAGCGGGTTTTGCGCCTCAGCGACGTCGTCAGTGCCTCGCGCGGCAAGCCACACTGGCGTTACGGATTAAGCAGCAGGCACGCCGCGCCATGCAATTTGCGGGCATGACATCAACCGCCAAAATCCAACCCACGAGCTCACGGCGTGGATTAAGGCTGCGCCTCCATCGCCAAACGACCTGACGCGTGGTCCTCTTCTCAGCCCTGAGACAGCCCTGCCGTGTTTGCCCTCTTAGTTATTAATTATCTCGGGTTCGCCATCCGGCTTGACTCTGCGTCGTTTCGCCGGTCTCGCGCGCAGACAATGACATTGCGCCGCATTTAGCCCTCGTCTGATCCATTGCCGAGCGTCGTCCGACTAGCCTTCTCGTCTGCTTGCCCAATTGCGCAGAGCTAGCAGCAAAAAATTCATTTCTGTGTTTCTTCGTTATTTTTCCTCGTTGCTCACCATTCGCCATTGCATTCCATAGCCGTGCAGGCAGGCCCATCTGCTCGCCAAGGAGCGGCTGAATCACTAAACATGTCCATCAAAATTGCGCTGGATAACCAGCCAGAGTTCTACACCAATCTCGATGCCGTCTCCGGCAAGGTCATTCTGAACCTCCCTAGGAGCGAGCAGATCGGTTCCATCGTCGTCAAACTCGAGGGAGAGTCCGGCACAGCTCTCCAGGTTCCCAAAAACTACGGCTACGAGCCAAACACTGCCCGGGCCGGTCCCCCACCGGGGCCTCCGGGCAGCTTCGTCAGCGAGAACCACAAGATCTTGTACAAGCTAGTAAAGGTTTTCCCAGACGATTACTATGAAAGCTCCTCCAGTCCCTACGGGTCGTATCCCCTCGATGCCGGCCAGCACCAGTTTCCCTTCAAGTTCAAGCTGCCCATCAACAATGCGTGCAGCAACCCTCAAGCCATGGCGAGAATCGGCGGTCTGGCCGGCATTGGAGGCTACGGGGCCAGCGGCGGCCTCTTTGGACTAAGCGGCGTCAGGGTCATGGACGGCACGAAGCAGCTGTATCTGCGGCATGCCACGGCGACTCTGCCCCCATCGTTGACTGGATATCCCATGGCGGCGGAAATCCGGTATTATATCAAAGTCACGGTTCAACGGCCTGGGCTTCTGAAGGAAAACTGGCGCTACCAGCTCGGCTTCAAGTTTCTGCCCATTGAACCGCCTCGGCCTCCCATCACCGGCCAAGAGGCCTTCGCTCGGCGCCCCTTTTCCTTCCAGCCACGAACGCCAGGACAGAAGAAGCGCAGTTCACTCTTCAGCAGCAAAAAGAATGACTCTTTGGCGACCCCAATCACCGACGCCCCGACGCCCCCATCAATAGAAATTTCAGCCCGGTTACCGCATCCTTCCATTCTCACCTGCAATCAGCCAATTCCCCTCCGGCTCATTGTAAAGAAGCTCGTCGACAGCCCCGAACAAGTCTACCTGATATCGTTCCAGATGGACCTGATTAGCGTGACGGAAATCAGGGCACATGGCTTGGTCAGTCCTAAAGGCAACCGCTGGGTTGTTGCCTCCTACACAGACCTCGAAATCCCCCTATGTGGCGCGGGAGATAAAGTTGGGGAAGAGTTGATACTATCAGATGAGCTCTGGAGGAGCAGGCCCCTACCCAATACTGTCGCCCCTTCTTTCAATACCTGCAACCTCTCTCGAAAGTACGAAGTGGAACTTAAGCTGGGAGTGAGCTGGGGGAAGCCAAAGATGTCCAAGGACTCTACGCAGCCCCAAGCTCTGTTTCTGCCTCTGCATTTTGCAAACGTCAGCGTCTTTTCCGGCATCACGCCACCTCCTGAGCTGCTGGAAGCTGCTCGGAACACGCGCCCAGGGGAGGTTACCATTTCTCGAGCTCCTCGGCTGCCTCCCCGGACTTCTGTCTCCGAGGCCAGCGGCTCAGGGAATCTTGGAGTTCCTCAAACTCAAAGAATTGCCCGGCGGCCAAGCGCACCTGCTGCACCCGCTATGCCTCCAAGACCTCCGCAAGATCCTCTATACCCTCCGCAGCTACCACCGGGCGATATTCCGGCTTATGAGGACGTACCGCCTCCGAGCTACGATGAAGCCATGGCAGAGAATTTATCTGGGCCGTTTGACGGATTACGGCCACGGCCGGCCTATAGTGGCGTGACGAATGAGAATGCGCCTAGCGAGATGCCCCCTACCAAAAGCTAGGGTTGACTGAATTGATTATGAGATGTGGTTTTTCTTATTATTATTCTTTTTCACCTCGGTGATTGGTTACTTGCATTGAGGGAAATATGTGGGAGGAGTTTGTATGAAAAAGATTTTGTGCATAAAGAATTGGACAAGCATAGATTTGGGAGATGGGTTAAACGCGTGCGGCATATCTATGGACCTGTATATAATGAGGGATGGTAAATAACTCCGAGTAGCATTTTTCTGCAGATCATAACACAGCCAATATGAAAGTTATACCAACCACAACTGCATGCAGAGAGCTATCGAGTAATGAGATATGTTAGATATCTTTCTCAACACACGTAACCAGGAGGCTAATGACTCAATTTCAAGGCACAGTAAAGCTATGGACTTGAAAAGCCGCCATACTCAAAATACAACTTGCGACAGTGACGTCAGCAACTTTCCCGACACTAAAAACAGCATCTAGCTTCACCAAGGCGCAATCACTACCAGCAACACCTTTCTTTCACCTACTGCCACCCTCCCTTCCAAGTTATGCTTCATCTATAGCATCCAGACAAAAAAAGAGCCATGAGAAAATGGCTTCTTCATCGCGGCCCTCGCCTCTCTCGTCCCCCGCCGAACCTACGCTCTTCTTCGCATCAGCTCTTCAGCACCGCTAAGCCGCATCTCAAATCCAGTCACGATCCTCGCATTCGTGACTTTGGGAGACGCATACATGATGAATATGCTACTATCCGCGAGAACTACGGTATGTGGGATATACATTCTACTCCCCCAAAAATAAAGCCCTCTCATCTTCAAAAACCAAAAAAAAAAAAAAAAAAAAAAAAAAAAAAANACAAAGGATTTACAGCTACGCCCAAACATCCCATCGTCCTCGCCCACGGCCTCCTCGGCTTCTCCGAACTCAGAGTCTCAGCCCTCCTCCCGCCCATTGAGTACTGGCACGGCATCAAGCAGGCCCTCGCGCAGAACAACTGCACCGTCATCACCGCGTCCGTCCCGCCCACGGGCTCAATCGAGGAGCGCGCCGCCAAGCTCGCGGCCGACATCCTCGCCCAAACCAGCACGCACAAGGAGCATGCGGCGCCAACCGTAAACATCATCGCCCACAGCATGGGCGGCCTCGACGCCCGCTACATGATCTCCCGCCTCAAGCCGGCCCTCGCCAACGTCCGCGTCGCGTCGCTCGTGACAATCGCCACGCCGCATCGCGGCAGCCCCTTTGCGGATTACCTCGTCGAGCGCGGCGCCGGGCCGATCCACCTGCCCCGGCTGTACGGCATCATCCGGCGCGCAGGCCTGGGCACCTCTGCGTTTGGGCAGCTGACGACGCGGTACATGCGCGAGGAATTCAACCCGCGCGTGAGGGACGACGAGTCGGTCAGGTACTTTTCGTACGGGGCGGCCATTGACGAGCCTTCGCTGCTGGGGGCCTTTAGGCTACCGTATGGCGTCGTGGGCAGGGCCGAGGGGGAGAATGATGGGCTGGTCAGCGTGGAGAGCAGTCGATGGGGGGTGTATCAGGGGACGCTGATGGGAGTCAGTCATTTGGATTTGATCAATTGGTCGAACCGGGCGGCGTGGACGATGCGCGAGTGGATGGGCATGAAGAGGACGTTTAATGCGGTTGCGTTTTACCTTGACGTGGCCGACATGCTGGCCAAGGAAGGGTTGTGATTTTTTTGGTACTTGTATCTGTATTTTCTTAGGGACTTGTAAACATTAGTATTGGGTCTTAGACAATCACCGGTAGAAATAGATGCGCAAGGAGAGCGAGTGTGAATTGAACAATAGGAAAACTTTATATCTTTATAATAACTAGATTGTTGTATGAGGTATCAGGAGTATTAGATAATAGAGAATACAGCTTCCTGTGGCCACGAGCACGAGCGCGCCATTCAAAAATCTCCGACACCAATAGATAGTAGCCAAGCCCACCGATCATAGAGCGATGGCGGGCTTGAATTGCGAGCAGATAACGCATGCGTATATACATTAGTTGGCCGATATCGCGCATGTTGTTGTTGACAAACTTTGACGACAAGATGACGACTTGGCTGGTGTTGCTCGTGGTCAGGTTGATAAAATATTATACTTTGGGCGGCTTGCTGTTTTTTTGACGCGCGCAACGTGTCGCTGTTTATAACCACGCTGAAATGTCGCGCGCAACACCATTTCGCCATTTAACAATCACGGTCCATTACTGCGTCCCCTCTCCGTCGACACCTTAGAGTCCAACCCCCTCTTCCCCTAGCCTCAGGATGTCGTCTAGATCTGAGACTTGGTGGCAGCTTTTCTCCTCTGAATCCACTTGTGGACGAGGAGACCAAACAGACCAACACCGACTGTAAACAGGCGATGAATTAGAACAATTGACCTTGTACATGATGCATGTGTATGAGTGGCGGCGACTTACCAATGAAGACGATGCAGAAGACGACAATGACACCAGGCTCTCTGGCAGCGAAGTTCTTTCGCTTCATGAGCTGGGAGGCAACATCCCGGGCGGCAATGAGTTGCTTGTCGATGGCGGCCATTGTGTCTGAGGGGAGAGTTTGCTTTGTCTGGATGAAGAAGGCGAGTTAGTGTCGGGGTGCCTCAGTGGTATTTATGTCTCAATTGAACAATGAATAGGTCCGAGGAACGTGCCAGGGGTGAGGAAGCGGTAAGGGACAGGGGCAGGGCGATGTGGAAACTCCATCAAATGCCTCACAAAAACCGACAGTTCCAATGCATCTCATTGAATTTCCCAGTGCAACTCATGGCAGGCCGAACAGATGTCAAACTTAAGCTTTTTCCCCGCGAAGTTCCCAGCCAATGTGGCAGCCTCTGGCGAAGTATAACAAGGTTTAACATCTGAAGCAGCGCCGGCTCAGAAAACGCCCGAGATGACCAGGATCCAATGAGACGGACAGGAACCGACGTCGAGTGCATTCGCAGATCGTGTTTCCACTGGATGTGCAGTGCATTGGGGCTCGACAAAGGAAGAGGAAAATGAACCAATTGGGAGCGGGTTGTCTGTACCTGTTGGGTGAGACGTGAGACGTGCAGAGGATGAAGGCAGAAAGGGTCTGGAAAAAAAAAAAGGTCGCGTAAGTGGACTGCGCTGAGGTTTTGTTTCAAGGCGCGGGAGCTCGGTAGGGGAAAAGTGGGGGAGGCACGTCACGGACCACCCGCTGGCAATTGGCAGGAAAGATGCGAGGCGAGGCGAGGCGAAGGGGGAAAAAATGCCCAGGGGAGGGCCGAAAACTTGGCTTTTTGGGGGGGATTGAACTGGCGCTCTGACCTTTTTTGTCCTGTTGCTTAGCGAAAAGGTTGGAAGAGAAAAGACGGGGTAGCCTGGATTGTCGATGGGCGATTGACGATTGGCGAGACACGCAGCACTGCTCTGGAGAGACGAGACGAACCAAGGCACGGAGGACGAGAGGGTTGGAGGAGAAGAAAGAAAAGAAGAAAAAGAGAAGAGGCAGGATAAAAAGAATTGGCGGGCGCGAAGCCAGAAAAAGGATTCGCGCCTGGTACGGCATGTCATGAGCTGGAGCCCATCGACGGCGAAGGGGAGGTACTCGCTACACCGCGGCCGGCTCGCGCGAAAAAGCTTGTAGTCGTTGATCGGAACACGGCATGCGCCTGACCCTGGCCGCCTTAGCGCCCATCCTCGGCCGGTACGTGCGGCGACTCTTGTCGAGAGTGTGCCGCCAAGTTTTTTTTTTTTTTTTTTTTTTCTTCACTTTTTTTTTTCTGACTTTCGCTCCTAAGGTAGGTACAAAGTCCTCTCGATTCGCACTAGCACCGCTCCGTTACCTCTCCGGGCTAGGCCAGCTTGCTCCCATTATTCGCTCTCCCAGCCTCTTTTGCACAGGTTACCCGGGCGCCCCATGTGGGGAAATCATGACGGCGCCATACCAGGTGGATTTTTTTCTTTTGCCTGCGCGAATTTTGCCAATCGCGCCGGCCGACTTGGTCCCTGCCCTGTTAAAGAAAAAAAAAAGAGGGAAAAAACACTACGAAGCGCACGTACCAGTCGCGTGTACCGTGTACCTGCAAGACTTGGACCCCGATGAAATTGATATTTCCGCGAGCGCCATTGAGTTGGAGCTGGAGATCATTCAAGTACTTGTACAAGGTAAGCATCCGAATCAATGCAATTGGGTCTGTCGCATGAAGCACTTGCAAGTGCCTCTACATGGGGTACCGTAGCACTAGAGGCAGTCGGAGGTACATGCAACCTGCGCTTTCAGAACGCTTTCCTCCGCGGCATTGACACCTGTAGTACGACCCAGGTGGCAGATGTCTTATCCCGTATGACGCACCCTTCAGGAGGCAAACATGCTCTTCAGGGATCTTCGACCTCTTTCTTCTCTATCCGCCCGTTTCCAGGGAGTCTGTTTTCTGCTGCGCTGGCTGCACGCTCCAGCCCCAACTCCAGCTGCTACTGCAAGTACCCCGTACATCCCCCCGGCGAGCCATAATAACGGGGCACACCACACACACCTTCTGACACCCGGCCCTCGCGCGCGTATCAAAAGATGCGTGGCTTATTTGAGTGATATTCTGGAAACCGGACGAGCTGCTGCGCGAATGAGATTTGGTATCTGCGCAGGTCCTCCAGAATTCTAGCTCTACCTAGTGGCCAACGGCTTCGGCTCCAACGGATATCGCGCGTCGGCAGAGCCCATCGTTCAATCAGACAGCGAGCATTTCATGCCAGCCTGTTGTGCGTTCGTACTGGGTACCGACTCCGACTCGTACCTACAGTACGCTCCCTACTTGCACATACACCGTCTCCATCATTCAGCACCAAGCCAAGGCTTGACCGATATATGCCGCCACTTCATTTGTGTATGTGGTTTGAAGTAAGTAGGTACGGTTGAAAAGAGAGAGAAAAGGGACGCCAAGCTTCGCTGCTAGTCTGCTAGCTGGCACGGAGTCATTGTTATCACGACTAGCAGTCACACCATGGAGGCATTATGCTAGATTATGTGCAGTGTGCGAATTATTTGTGGCTCTACATATTACCCCATACAGACCCTTTCATTAACACCGCGAAGGGAAATCAAAGGCAAGGACAATGCGTGCTTCGTTGTACCGATACCGTACTTCTCTTACCGATACCGTCAGCTGGAGGCTCGGCTCGATGGATGCATAGATAACATCACATCACCCTGGAAGCGGCCCTACTATCAAGCCGGGCCAGACAAACACGAACCAAGCCTGCTTTGCCTTACATGTACATGGACTCCCGTGCTCCCGATTGAGTACGAGTTCAGGGTTCTGCCGATTGCCCAATCGTCAGCTGCACCAAGCAGCAATGCTACCTGCTGTTCCGCGCTGCCGCTCCCCAGTCGGCATAGCAAGACGCCGCCAGTCATCCCATCAGCGTCATGCCCTCCCTCGTCCTGGCCGTGCAGAGCAGCAAAAAGCACAGACGCACACACCGCCAGCGGCGGCAACGGCACAGGCAGCGCGCAAATCCAGGCAAGCCCAGTCCGGCCTATGTAGGACCAGAGTGACAACGAATTGTGCCCTTTCTGTTTGCGGCAGACGTGCGAGCTAAGGCACAAACTCCACACCTAAATTCGCTACCCGGCAAGCCCGATAAAATGGCGGCTTGCGCTGCAAAATAAAAGCCGCTCCGTGGACTCCGGACAAAGCTCGCTCTCGGTGGGGCCGGCAAAATCTCGGGAGTTGGCCACCCTTCCTATTTTGTGCATTTTCCTTCCTGCTGCTCGACTCAGGGCACCGCAAGATGGGTCTCAGCTACGCGCAAAAAAAGAAGAAGGAAAAGGTGCGGGCTAGCTCCGTCAGCCGTTGTTCTCTTGCCCCAGCGAGGATCCAAACCCCCTACCAATGATCAGCTACGCGCTGATGGGTATCCAGTTGTGTGCTTCTAGATTGTTTTTGGCGTCGCCTTTTTCGCGTTGAAAACGGGGGTCCTGGAGAGCCGCCCTGACGGTGGTCGGCCAATGACCTCATCTTGCTTCAGGTACCCCGGCCTTGGCACCAGTTTGCAGGAGAGTCAAGTAGCTGTGAGTAGCGGTTGTCGATACCGCCCGTGCTAGCGGCAGCTGCTGGTATGCAAAAAGTAGCCATCAGCAAGCTTCTATGTACAAGTATATGTGCCACTAGTGCATCGCCTGGTCTCCATCTGCATTGGGGGCCTTCATTAAACATTTCATTATGAGCGTCAGTCAAGAATGGATTGACTTCCCGTGCGCCTCTTGCTAGTACTACGGGACATATAAGTCGTTTATTAGATGAACCGCAATAGACAAACCAGCTTCTACAGTAGGAGGCTAGTACTAACAAAAGAAAAAAAAAATCATGCCAGGGATAAGAACAAAAAGCACCGTAGTTCCCCCAGGCGGTCAGGCCTTTTTTTTTTTTTTTGTCGCTCTCCGCGACTTCTAGACTTGTCCTTTTCCTCTTCATTCACCGCGGCGGGGACCATCGTGGAGAACGCCGGATATCGATTTCCGCGCATCGGAGAAAACTGCTGCAGGTACTCCGTACGCGCACCGCCACTAGCACCTGTGCTAGTACTTGGTGCCATTGACTGCTAGTATGCTCCGTATCTCTAGTCTCCAGTCCAGAAGCAGCGCTTCCACGGCACGCGCCAAATCCGGTACAGGCGGTTCCTCCGGTAATGAGCTCTCCTGCCTAAAGGTATGGGGGCCGATGTTTAATAATAATCTGAGTGGCCCAGAGCGATTTTTGTGCCAGCTATCTCGGTGGAACTCCGTTGATACATGTATTAAAAGAGGGCACGTATTTTCGGGGGGGAAGCGCATTTGGGTATTTGATGGAACGGCACTACTAATACATAAGCTGACCAGCGTTATCTTCTTTACCCCCTTCTTTGCGTGTCTCTCCTGTTTAAGAAGGGCGCCTTTTCTGGGGAGCAAGCGTCGCTTCGGCCCGGGACTGAGACCTGATAAACAGAGCACTCTTTCTGGACGCGATATTGCTTGCACCGGCAACATCACCGAGATACGCGCGAATCGAACGCTCTCGTATACTCCAAGCTCTCTAAGCACTGGCTCTGAACCGAACGGTCCGCCGCAAGTCACGTGACGCGACATCATCGTCGACGGCCCTGCCGACAACATCCTTGGCGAAACAAGCTTAATCCAGCTGAAGTGCAGTTGCGCAAGGCAAGAAAGCCATATCAGATTTTTCGGAAGGCTGTGTGGCAAAGCAAGATGCGAATTCTCGGATATCACCAAGCGGTGATATTTCATGGCTCTCCGGATAAAGAAACTGGGCTGCAACGTACGTCATCTCAGCTGCCCTACCCGACGCTAGGGCGCTGCGGGAAGAGGCGCCTTGCGGGCGAGACACTCTGCCTGGAAGAGGAGACGAGCTCATGATCGCCCAGCTGGCCAAGCGCTCTTTTTTTTTTTTGCAGCATCTCAGCCCCGACCGGCGAAAAAAGGACCTGTAGATTTTGATCGTTTCCCCCGTCTCCTTACGCCGTGCCACACACCCCGCTGGAAGGGAGGTAGCTTCTCCAATAAAACCGCGGAGAAAGCGTCGATAGTACGGAGTACATAGTATAGGCATCTTCATGTCTTGGAGATGGCACCACGTGAGAGCTATTTGAATCCGCCGACGTAATCCATCCCACGTGAGTCGACTATGGCGGCCCGCGCCTAAGCTTGAAGGTTTGAGTAAGTGCTCAAGCTTCCTCTGTAAAAGAAAACAAAAACACCAAGCTACTGTTCATATGTGGTATTGAAGAAGAGGAAGAGGGGAAAGACAATAGTCCCGGTGCATGTTGGTGTCTTCTTCCACCTACAACTCTATAACGCCTCATCCATATTCTCAGCACCATCATCATCTTCATCGCCTCCATTCGTCTCATCTTACGCTCTACCCAGCGCCAGACGAGTCGTAAAGAAAATAGAAAAGAGGCAAAAAATGGCGACCGCCTGGCTGGCCCGAATGCGGCGCCTCAACGTCCATAACTTTACCACCTTTCGAGATTCGCCCCTGGCCGAGATATCCGGCTCTTTGGGCGATTTGGGCACGCTGCTTCCCCTGATGATCGCCCTCGCCGCCAAGGGGTACATCGACCTAGGCTCGACGCTTGTCTTCTCCGGCGTCTTCAATGTGCTCACCGGAGTTATCTTTGGCATACCGTTGCCGGTACAGCCTATGAAGGTATGTTGGTAACAGTAGTAGTGAGCATACGATGCCGTTTCCTTCTATACTATGCACATGTGTGGAGCGTATGCCTTTTCTTTGCCCCTGGAGCTAGACCTCGGCATTTCTCTTTGCTGCTTCTTTCATTGTTTACCTCGTTGGGATAAGAGTGTTTGTTTGTTACTCGTTTTTTTTTTGTTCCAGAAAGCTTCTCATTGCTAACCTGTCTCTCATGCGGCAAATTAGGCCATCGCCGCTGCTGCCATCTCGGCGCGGGAAGACCCCTCCATGGGCGTCGTCGTCGCCGCGGGACAATGGGTCGGAGCAGCAGTCTTCATCATGAGCGCCACGGGCCTCCTTCGAGCAGCTGTGTCGTTCGTCCCCATCCCCGTCGTCAAAGGCATCCAGCTCGGCGCGGGCCTCTCCCTCATCATCGGCGCTGGCTCGTCCCTCCTGCAGCCCCTTCACTGGCTCCATCCCGTGCTGGACAACCGCCTCTGGGCCCTGGCAGCGTTCCTCGTTCTCATATTTACGCAGAACATGCCGCGGTTCCCCTATGCGCTGGGATTCTTCGTCCTGGCGCTGGTCCTGGCGCTGGTGCAGGTGCTGGGCTCCGACCAGAGCAGCTTGCCTTGGTTCCAGGTGTGGCGGCCGCACTTTGTGCTTCCGTCTTGGATTGGCGTGGGGGATGCTCCGGCCTTGTGGATGGCTGTTGGGCAGCTTCCCCTGACGACTCTAAACTCCATCATCGCGGTGAGTGCGTTGGCTAGTGACTTGCTGCCGGACATTCCCACTCCGTCCGTCACATCTATAGGTTTCAGCGTGGCGCTCATGAACCTCTCGGGAACGTGGTTTGGAGCCATGCCAGTCTGCCACGGAGCTGGAGGGCTGGCAGCGCAGTATCGCTTCGGTGCGCGCAGCGGAGCGAGTGTAATCATCTTGGGACTCTTCAAAGTCGTTCTGGGACTGTTATTCGGTCAGACGCTCGTCAGCCTATTAACGCAAATCCCACACGGCCTACTCGGCGTCATGGTCGTAGCCGCCGGCTTGGAGCTGGCCAAGGTTGGACATACGCTGAACCAAGGCGCTCCTGATCTCTGGCACAAATCTGCTAGTCAGGGCGGCCTTGATAGTCCGAGGCGACAACGACATCTATCAGATGAAGAACGCTTAGAAAGATGGACAGTCATGTTGGTCACGACGGCGGGTATCCTGGCCTTCAAGAATGATGCAGTTGGGTTCCTCGCCGGCATGTTTTGCCATCTCTCGTATAGGCTCTCAGAACGTTTTATGAGCTGGAAAAACAGTCATTCCATCATCTCAAGTGAGCGGGCACCATTGCTACGGTGATGATTTTTATAGTATAAGCGAGAGTGGTACAAAATTGCCTAAATTAAAGTATGTAAAGGTTAATGATTAATGTCTATCCTATCCTATCCTTATCCAAAACCAAAAGAGAGAAAAAAAAGAAAAAAAAAAAGGCTCGTTCAGTTTTATTCTTCGCCAGCGAAGTAAATCCGTGGTTTTATCATGTCTAGCTCTCAATTTCGTTTCAGATTCTGCTATACTTTCTCAGGAAACAGTCGCCTCGAATATCGCTGCTGGCCTGGCCAACCACTGTAATGCTCCCCATGGCTGGCCTTGATTTGTTTCAAGAAAGCAAGTCGGTATAAAAGAAAAAGACTTCCGCAAACGCAAAGCGAGGCTCCTTCAACCATGGCGGTGATCTTGGCGGTGATGCTCCATGTTCCGTGTTGTTGAGAGTATACGCCAATGAGAGTCGACACCAAGCCGGCCAGAGAGTTGGTCATACCCGGCAGGAACAGCTTATTCACAAGCCAGACGTAGTTTTTGGCGTGTCTAAAGGCCAGAAATAGCATTCCGAAAGAGGATATGGCGCACATTGCCGCGGCTATGACCAGCAGTGGGATGTTTTTGATGCTCTTTACGATGAACTTGGCGGCTTGGTCACTTAATGTGTGGGCATCATCACCTTTGCGCTCGACGGATTCTTGGAGGCTGGTGAATGTTCCGGGGAAGACAAGGAAGCCCGCCAGCAGAAGCCAGACAAGCACAGCGGCGAGAATGTTATGTAGTAGAGGTATATCATCTTGATGGAGGAGCATCTGGACATAGCGTGAATGTTCAGAGTCGGTGTGATGGGGGCTGGAGTGCTGAGAGCTAGAGGGCCGAAGGTTTAGGAGTGGTCGGTGGTTGCGACCTGGACGGAGAATTTCAATCTGAAATCTTGGCATTTTGGCGTCTCAAGTATTTGGGTATCAAAAATGTATATGAAATTTCGAAAAGAATGTATGATGCATATACGCGAGCAGGAAAAAAAATGGATATAGAGAGAGAAAAGAGGGGATAGCAGGCATCGAAACCAGCAGGCGGTTCTGCCTTTGAATTTATGATTTGCCTACCCTCGAATACAAACGAAGCGCAGCCCCAATCCTTTGCTTATTGTGCTGAGACAGTCCTCGGTGCTATTGGTAGTCAATAAAACACACTTGCAACATCCCTCAGCCCCTTGTCTTTGTACTGCCGGCCGTTCATTTCTGAACAACTTTCTTTGTGCAACATCGTGATACGAACTTTTGAGTGGCCATGGCGATCCCGCTGCTGTTACAGTAGCCGCGCGCAGGCTATGCGGTACAAGCGGCAAAGCGGGCGAGACTGCCCTGTGCTCAGATGCCTAGCGGCTGTTCAAAAGAGGATAAATTTGGAGTGCTGTGAGAGAGACAAGAGAAAGTGGATTCAGTCGGAGAAGACAATAGGTAGATGTGAAATTATTGTAATGGGGATGAATTGATATTTTGCAATCTCTGGAGTGAGAGGTACGGCTAAGGCAGGTACAAGCAGCAAAACTAAGGCGGACTGGTCGGCGAAAGAGGCTTAGCCATGTACTTAAGCTGCAAGTACTTTGACCTTAAATAAGCCAAGCCGAGCGATCACTTGGACGCCTCAACACGCCGGCATTGATGGTGGTATGATGTGCATAACGCGGATTGCGCTCAATGTGTGTACAAGCATGAGACAGATCATTACTCTTGCGGTGGTAGCTATGTTTTAAAGACTGGAAAAATATCAGAAAAGTATATCGCTGTTGAACAGTTACCGAAAGAAAAAAAAAAAAAAAAGCAAAGCTGGTTGCTTTTGGCCAAAGCCGACTTCTGTCACATGGTACTCGCGGAACGTACTCGCCCATGATGCGGTATGAAGAATGTTACACAAGGCGACTGCACGATTAAAAAAGCCGCTCATCAGTGGTAACTTTGACATTGGACGGCAATTAACGATACGACGATAATACAAACCAATTTCCCATCGCCAATCTGCATGAGTCAGCAGTCCCTGCCCAAACGAGGCCAAGCCAAACAAAACAAAAGCAAACAAAACAAAAGTAGGCAAGAGCAACGCCGGCAAGAGGCGAACGCGGGGGAGCCAACAAACGCCTCTTTCCTGCAGATGCCCAAGTGTTGCTGGGCTCCAGCATTTTTTTTTTCCGCCGGTTGCTGTTAGCGGCTAGAGCGACCCGGACCAGGTGAGGAGGCTCCAAACTGCCGCCAGGCTGGCCAATCACAGCGCCGGATCGCGCCTGTGACCCTCCCCGGCAATCGCGCCAGAAAGTTCAAGGCAAGAGCGAAGAGGCTGCAAGAGGAATCGGATCGCAATTTCTCTATTCGCCCGAGGCTGCTGCTGCTGCTGCTGCTGCTCGATCAGCGCCAAACAAAGCAAGAAGAGTCAGACGGCAGCCACGGAGGGAGATCCACAACCACGAAGCGACACGCGGCGAACGAGCTGGACGCTGCACGAGCGAGCGAGCGAGCAGCGATGACTTCGTCCAGCGCCGGGCACGACGGCCTCCGCGATCAGAACCACGATGCCCATCCTGAAGTCGAAGCTCAAGCAAACGCCCCAGCTGCGGTCGCTACAGCCCCAGCTGCTACCATGGCCCCCCAGGCAGTGACGGCCGCTGCGCAGCAGAAGGAATCGCCGTCCGACAGGCCAGAAGCTGCGGCCGTCTCGATGGAGGCCGAAGCCGTGCAAAAGCCAGCGCAAGAGCCTAGAACCTCAGAGGCAGAAGCACCTGCGACGAAGAGTGAACAGAAGATATCGGCGGATGCGCAGTCCAATTCCAAAGGCGGTGACGACCCCGTTCCTGCTGCGACTGTTGCTGCCGAGGCTGCTCCTCCTCCTCCAACATCATTATCGCCCTCATCAAATTACGATCCAGCGCAACAGCAAACGGCTGCGATAGGTACTTCTGCTCCTTCAGTCGCTACAGAGGCCCCGGCAGGCTCATCTTCCGCAAATGCCATCACCAGCCAACCACCAACCCCGCTACCACCTTCAAAACCTGACGCAAGTGCCGAGACCGACAACACAACCCAACACCCGCCCGCTCCATCAACAGCAAACGCCTCAGGCGATTCTGGCGAATCGAGAGACAAACCTGCATCTGTAGAGATCAAGACGGAGGATGTTACAATGGTGGATGCTCCTGATACCAATGCGACGACTGCTGCTGCTGTAGCCGAGACCCAATCACATGCATCTGCCATGCAGGCCCCTCAGATGTCTTCGACCGAGCAGTTCCAGCCCTCAACGCCCTACGCACCACAGGCCCCCATAGACCATAGACATGCGTACATGATGATGGCTTTGGCTTCCATGTCTGCGGCACCACCCGCCATGTCACCACCACCAACCGTAACCCCCTCTCAAGTGACTCTACCCAATATCATGGGAGACGGATATTTTGGCCTGGGCTCTGCCAATAATAATCTACGGCAGCCTGGGCCAGGCACCGACATGGGCCTTGAGTCATTTGCTCGTGTTGAGTTTGCCGACAGTGTCTTCCAGATGACCACCTACGCCGTCATTATTGGTCGTGACCAGAGAGCTCTGGAACAGGCCAGGCGTGATGAAAAGCGTGCTGAAGAGTATAAACGGCGGGCTGAGGACAATGCCAGCAAAGGGCTTCCGCCGCCATCCCCCATCGTCCAGGACCGCCACAAGTTTAGTAAATCATATGTCAGCGAGGAAGGCGGCATGCTGGGTCCCGAATCAGATAGCGAGGAGAACGGACGTCCGACAAAACGGCGCAAGACGAGCACCACAGGATCGTCACATGAAGAAGTTGAAAATTCCCAAGATAACGTTATATCAAATCGCCAATATGTCTCACATACCCCTGGGGCGGCTGCTGTCGACTTGACCTCGTTGAGGCCCTCTCCTTGGCACGTTCCCTTCATTGGTATACACTCCCCTGGTCCGAACATCGCAAGTAAGACCAAAGCCATTTCCCGGGAACACCTCAAGATTGCGTATAATCAGGCCGAGGGCGTATTTGAGGCCATTCCATTACACAAGAATGGCTTTTTCTGCGAGGATGTGCATTACAAGAGCGAAAAGGTCGTCTTAAGGTGTGGCGATCGATTGCAGATCAAGGATATTGATTTCAGATTTATCATTAATGGAGTCGAGAAGGGGCGAACTGGCGCAGAAGAATACCAGGAGGAAGACGCTGCGAAGAAACGGCACTCTCATGGTGGAAAGAGCATGAGCTTCGACTTTGAACAGTCTCACGGTAATGGCCAGATCCAAGATACAAGCGATGAATTATCAGATGTGGAAGTTAGTCCAGTCGAGCTGTCCGATTTTGGCGGAGATGATGAAGAAGAGGGAGATGAGGAAGAGGCAGCTGAAGAAGAGGCAGCTGAAGAAGAGGCAGCTGAAGAAGAGGGAGATGGAGAGGGTGAGGGTGAGGGCGAAGGCGAAGGCGAGGGAGACGGAGAAGACGGAGAAGACGGGTATCTGGATGCGCTTGAAGCATCCATCGAAGGCGATTCTGAAATCAAAGATGAAGGAGACGCGCACAATGATCCCTCAATGCCACAGATAGCTAGGAAACGAGGCCCGGGCAGGCCGCCTAAGAACGGTATCATGTCAAAGAGGGAGCAACGCTTGCTTAAGAAGCAGCAACAAGAGATGGCCAAGAAGACATTGCCTCAAGCGCCACCAGTTGAGCCGCCTCTCAAGCGCAAGGTGGGCCGGCCTAGGAAACATCCATTACCCGAAGATGGAACCGACCGCCCCGAGAAGCGCAAGTATAAGCCGCGGAAGCCCAAGAATGAAGATGGTGTCGAAGGCTCTGATGCAGAGCGACGTGCGAGAGAGAAGAAGGAGAAGAAGTCACGGCCCAAGTCACCTCCTCTGGAGCTTAAGATCGAGGATTATACAGAGGAGCAACTTCAGAAGCCGAATAAGAACTATGGAGTTCTTATTGACGAAACATTGACAGCGGCAGGTCCTGACGGTCTCACATTGAAGCAAATTTACAAGAGGATTTGCCAAAGATACCCGTGGTTCTATTTCCACACCGAGACCAAGGGATGGGAAAGTAGCGTTCGCCATAATCTGATTGGGAACGAAGCATTTAAGAAAGATGAGACAACAAATCTGTGGTCTCGAGTACCTGGTGTGGAATTAGATGCTGGCAAGAAGCGAAAGGCAGCCTCTCCTGACCGGGGACTAGTGGCTGCGCAGGCCTATGGGCACTACTCTTATCCATATGCTGCACAACACATGGCTCCCGGCACCCATCATGGTTACCCCCCTGGCCAAACGCCGGCTCCTGGATATCAAGCACCTGCATATGCTGGACAGCCGGCTCACGCGGCGCGCCCAGTGCAGTACGGTGCTTCTCAGTCCCCTCCTATACACCAACCAGTCCAGCCAGCACAGCCGGTACCGGTGCAACCGGTGCAGCCAGTTCAACAAGCTGTGGGTGCTCCACCTCCAGCCCCGATTCAACTGCCAGGATATGGCCCTCCTGCAGCCCCAGCCCGCCCTCAGCTTGGCGTGGCTCAGCCAGGAGCCTACAGCTCGCCCTATGCCTCACGGCCGCCTCCTTTGACAAACCCGCCTGTCAAAGCTGAGGACGGCGGTGCCAGTGTACCGTCTGCTGCCGCTGTGCCAGGCCAGCGGGCTATTTCGGTTGCCTCCACGGAGTCGAAGCCGGTTGCTGCATCGACATCGCAGCAGGCGGCCGCCCAAGCTAGTACCGCCCACCCAACCCCTGCTCGGACATCAGCAACGCCTGCTAGGCCGATTATCGAACCTCGACTTCTCACTGCAGTCGTGGGCCTCAAGAATGGCCTGGTAGAAAACCTCAAGAAGGCTGGCAACCCCAAAGCTGAGGCTATTGTTATGTCAGCTCTGAACCGGTGCATCGGGCTCAAGAAAGAAGCTACTGAAAATGACAAAATGGAAGCAATCTGCATTAAGGGCATTCGTCAAGTTATCGATGGTTTCACCAAAGGCAAAAGCCCTACCCCCAGCGGCTCTACCCCGCTGCCAACAGACACACCCCCTGTTTTCGAACCCAAAGTGCTAGCAGCATTGAATGGCCTCAAGGATGCCTCTGTTAATGCGATTAAGGCAGGCCTTGGTGCAGCCAAAGCCGAAGCTGTAACTCTATCGGCTATTGATCGTGTTATTGGCCTGGCAGATGCAAGTATAATGCCCAGGGCTGCAGAGGGCGAGCCAGTCAGCAACTTTGAAGGAGTAGAGCAACATCTTATGAAATCCATCCGCCAGCTTCTGCAAGGCATGAATCAGAAGCTACAAGGCGATTCATAAGGGCATTAGGGGGGTTCCAAAGCCATTGCATCCGAGAGGAGTGAACAGTGATGATTATAATAATTATAGAGGTTCTATATGTGACTCTTTGACGAATGAACATGAGCTGAGCAATTTTTACGATGGCTGCCCTGTCTGTTGCATGGGTAGTGGTGATATTGGGACGCAAAAGGGAACTTCTGGAGGCGTTTCTGAGCCACTAGATGAAAAGACGGACACGGGTATACAATTTTTTTTGTTGCTTTATGATAGCGTCTCTGTTTCTCATCTCTGCCATTCAGGGAACGAATATAATATTTGATAGTTCGTAAAGATTTATTACATCTCTCCGCTATATGAAAGTGATATCTATCTTTATCAAAGTGCCTTCTCTTTTGGTTGCTGGCCGTATGTGAAAATGTGCGTCTTGAGTATTTACTATGTAAGTACACGGATAAAAGAAAAAAAAAAAAAAATGCCAGAAATAACCTCAATTAGAATTGTGTACTAGAAAGAAACAACTCTTCCGTAAACACAAAAGCCTCTCCGCCAGTCCAGTCATCTCATCCATCCACATGATATACCTAGTTGTCTTCCACATCGTCTTCCCCAAGGCTCCAATTTCAATCATCATCATCTCCATCTTTTCAACATTGCAACTCATATAAAGAAGAAAATGAGAAAAAAAAAACTCCACCACCAAAGAAAATAACCCCCCCTTTTTTTTCCTCTTTGCTTTCTCCCCCCTTTTCTCTTATAAATAGCCCGTCTCTTGCGCTTCCCAACCTCATCTTCGTCTTTAAATGGAGAGAGGAAGAAAAAAAAAAAGAAAAGAGGGAAAGAAGGGAGTAAGGAAAGCAAAAGGAAAAATGAGAAATTTGGATTAGGAAAAGATATTGAAACGGATATAAATATAGAGACGTATATATGTTAGCAGCTTATGTAGCCTCCCAATTCCACAAAAATCATCAATATCTTATTTTTTTTTTTTTTTTGGCATTTTCCTTTTTTTTCTTACTTCTAAACAGCCCATTAAATTATAAAGATCCATGAGAACGCCAAAAGAAACAGCCTCTTTGACGCGTCCGCAAGGTAAAGGAAAAGCAACCAGGGAATTCATGGCACACTACCTCTTGGTGATTAATTCGTGCAGGGAAAAAAAAATAAAAATAAAAAGCAAGCAGACACATGGCCTAGTCATCCTCCCAACAATATGGTTCATGCGAACTAGAGCTGGGCAAGAAGAGACAAAGGCATGCTATTATATAAGGGGAGGGGAAAAGCAAGGGGGTCTTCATGCTGCATAGTCTTCATCATCGATTAAGTCTCTCAAAGTCTTTCTCATTTGGCTATCAAGCCAATTCTTCTTATATGTCAAATTACTTCTGGCGGTATAGCCCTTCGTGACACATGTGATTCATTTCCGCCATTCAACAAGTCCTCCTCCATCGCAGCGGGCTCTATGCGCTCAACGGCGAGCCATCCTTGTCGCCGAAATTAACGTTTAATCGAGCACCGTCGATCTGGAGGGCTGCCATGCCAGCCACGCCGCTATCTGCTTCATCAGCCGCTCTGGCTGCGGCAGATTCTTCGGCATTCATGAGTGCAGGAGGACGGTGGCGCATTTGTTTCGCTTTGGCTAGGGATATCGTCTTTTGTTGATACGTTGTCGTTACTGCTTGTGTGTCGTCTCGTTCAATTGTCGACTTCATCAAGGCAGCCATCCACAAGCGGCCTTGTTTTAGATTGGGCACCGCAAAGTAGTGGACGGTGGGCTTCGTGAAACTGACGCCTTTGGATAGACCTGCTCGAGGTGGTACTAGCTTGAAAATGAACATGCTGTCATCGCCCTTCTCCATGGCTCCATCGTCGCTCGCCGGCGGTATGCTGTGACTACCTGGCATGCTCCCACCACCAGCTGCACCAGTCAGAGTAGCATGCAATCCGGTCAATCTCTCGTTATCGGCAGGAAGAACACGATGGAATGAGATGTCGATAAGACCTTTTTCTTGGTCGTCGTCTTCAGAGTAGTAATATGCCAGCCGTCGTCCCTTGAGGACAAAAAATCGGGGCTTCCATGTGGTCATCAGGTTGGAGCTCTTCTTTTTCATCCAGCCGTAATAGTCCGCGTCCTTCATGGCCACCTGGGGCGATATCTTTAACAGGCCTTGTGTATAAGCACTTGTTTCCTTTTTGCCCTTCTTCCGACTGCTCTTGCTGGAAGGGGCCGTCGCTGTGACGGGGCTTTTGAGCGCGTCATGAGAGTCGAGATCAAGGCTCTGCCCGGCTGAGGGAGTACTAGAACCTGTTCTTACGGGAGAAGGCATAGAAGACGGGTCATTGGCTGATAGGTCAGTTGATCCCTTGGATCTATCAAAAGTAAGCTTATCTGAAATGGCTCGCATAGCTGGTCGAGCGGCTTTGCCGACTGGTTTGGCCATTGATGTGAGCCAATCAGCACTGAGACCCTGCGACCTGCCGGAGATTGGCGATGGTTCCGCATGAGCCGAACCGATCGCAGTATCCAGCTTAGTGACGGCTGGAGATGGGCCATCTTTGGCTGGAGGCGGCGGCCGAGCAGAGTCAGTCGTATTCGCTGAGGCGGTTCGTTTGTGGGGGGTCGGCTGGATACCGTAGTATTTCTGAGCGGCGGATGGCGCTCCATCCCGGAAAGAATCGACGCTACCGTATCTCGAATGTCGGGAGAGCGCCGTGGCGCTGCGGACTCTCTGCTCGTCTGCGTAGCTCTGTTGTCGCTCATGGTTAGCGCTGTCACGTTTCCGCAAAACATTGCGCTTCTTTCCAAATACCTCAGTGCCAGAAAAGTAGCCTCGGTCTAGCTCAACGGCTGAGTCCTGGAGATCCGGCTCAGATGTGCCCAGCATTTCTTGCAGTCCCGTGGAGGAAAGCGGCCTTTGAGAGGTCTGTGAGACAGCGCCGCCAAGGGTCCAGTTTCGATCAAAGGAAGGTTGTTTCTTATGTACGCCATCACCAGCAGAGAGGTTCGCGTTTGTTGATGAGTGTCGTCGTGACTGATTCAGGTCTCGGATGGATGCCGCCGACGGCCGTTTGAAGTGCGTACGTGATGGGCTCTCCTGAGTGCCGTTTGTTGGGGTTATATGAGCGGTTGGAGAAGCCTTGTTAGATGACTGAGCCAGGGACAGGCGTCTAGCCTGGACAGAGGTGGGTCGTGATGCAGAGTTCCCTGTCAGGGTGCTCGTTCGACTTCTCGTTCGTTTCGTCGCGTCCTCGGATCCGCCATCGCTACCGCGGGTATGCGTGGCTCGCCTTGCATCTGGTTCTTCGCCGCTAACCTCGTCTTGGAGATTCTTAATCTTCTGCCATGTCTTGAGGCGCCGGCCGACGGAGCCTAAATCGAAATCCTTGATGAACAGGGAGCTTTGATCCATGCCCAGCAGCACTTCTCCGGAAATCTCTTGGTCCCTAAAAACTTCACAGTGGTGCTTCTCGACGCCCTCAGTGAAGAGGTACTCGGCTACGTCATCTGGAGACCAAGCCACAACTTCGGCACGAGTATGTACAGCTTCTTCTTCTTCGTCTGTTTCTTCGCCCTGGATATACGACATACGGTGGTCAATGGCAACACTATACTCACTGCCAGAGTCTGTAGCAGCAGCATTCATAGCACTGGTGCCAGGGGGCGACTGCAAGTGAGTGATGTGCTCGTCGATAACGTTGAGAGTTTCGCTGAGAACTTCATCGTGTCCGACTGATCTGCCCAGCGCAGAAACGGGGGATCCTGCGCCGCCCAAGCCAGACGTGGGGGCTGATTCAGCTTTGAGCATTGGGGTCGACAGTGTAGAGGGCGCTTCGGTTGATGTTAAAGGCACAGCAGACGTGCTAGCCGATGCAGGAGCATTCGCCATGCCCTGAAGAGCTGTTTCTTGTGTGACTTCCACCAATGGAGAAAGTGGCTGCGAAGCAAGGAAAGCTGGGGTTGACGCTGGGTTCGATACGGCTCTTGGGGTTGGTCGGGTATAAACTAGCGAAATAAAGCGTCAGTAGGAGCTCTTGATAGTTGAAAAAATCAAGAGAAAAAAAAAGAAAAAGAAAAAAAAGAATTATTACACACCTTCGGGAAAGAGACCAGTGTTGTTGTTCGCGCAGTGGCGACCGAGGAACCAGCCATCACCAAATTCATCGTCTCGTTCTAGTAACTCAACTCGATCCCCCTTCTTGAGGCTCAGTTCGTCTGAACTGCGGGCATGAAAGTCATCTACATGGCGAAACGGGAATAGTTAGATTCTGGGCGCAATGGCTGTTGAAAGAAGCTGAGGAGAAAAAGAAGACATACGAATCACCAATAGGACATCGCCCACATCGGGCCGGACAAGCCCGTCAGCTGGTGCTCGTGAAGCCATTGTTTCAAGAGCGGGCTGGTGCGGCGTAAACAAGCAGCAAACAAAGAACAGCCAAACAAGAGTATCAATGTAGCCCGAAAAGGTGAAAAATCGACAGTGGTTCCGAGATGCGTAAGAGCTGATGCGATGGGGCGGGCGGGACGGGTATCGCTGCCGCGTGCGGATGCGGATTCTCTGTGCTCGGGGATGGGCTGGAGTGGTGAAGATGCTGCTTCATGAATGGTGATGGGCGATAGCGGCCATCAGGTTGTCTGTCTGTCGGTGGCCCTGTTTCGAGGCTGCGCTGGGCTGGGGGGAGAGGAGATGGCGCCAGCAACAAAGCGTTTGCGGTCGTCTGGCCGTGTGCTGCGCCGCGCTTTGTTTGTCGTCTCAGATGGCGTCTCGTACGGACTGGCACCGCGGCCGCGTGGAAGCGTTGCAGCTGTCGACGCCCCTTTGAGGCTGGCGAAGGCTGCGGGAATGGAGACAGGGGAGTTGGGAGCTGGTAAGATGCGGGCGCCACAGAGGAAGGTCGTGACTCGCCTGTGGCCCGCGGTGGCTGCACTGCACTGCACCGCGATTCGACACGATGCTATGCTCTGCTATGGGATGCACTGCGCCGAGTCCAGCAAAGCAACCGGGACCAAGCAGAGGCCAAAAGAGGGCTGTGCGGTTGAGTGAAGCTCGTAGGACCAGGGGATGATTGGACGGCTTGTGCGATGGTGGAAGTCGGGATGGTTGAAAGAGAGGACTTTAGCGTGCCGTGGTGCGATTGGGCGGGCTCTTGGCTGGCAGCCAATGGCAGGGGCGAGCGAGATCTAGCCGGCAGCCCAGCGCCTTGTCTCTGTCGGCGGCTAGCTGGTACCTAGTACCTGGAATGTGCCCTAAACAGCTGAGCGCGGTGCTGCAGGAATGGAGCACGGGGAGATATTAATAGAGGCTTCCAGGCACTGTTGGGCTCCACTGGGTGCCTAACACGAGCACGAGGGCGTGGAGCGCATTGCGGATTCGCATGTACTCCATACTCCCTGCCTACGACCTGATACAATGGAAGCTTAAAGAGGCGAGAGACAGGCTGATACTACTAATGCGGGAAATCCCTTGGCTAGAGGGAGCAGTTGCTGCTTGTACTTTACGTACCTATGCTCAGCTTGCTTCATGCGCGGTATAAAGAAAAAAGTAAAAGCAAACAGATGGCTACACACTATAGTAGAGCACCAATGGCCACCTCTACATATATGGTTCTGCGCAGAGGCAAAAATCCAGCGCAATTGTGCGAGGTTCCCACCTCTTCTCTTCTCGGCACCTGCTTTCTTTCCTTTTCTATGCCTTCTTTCCATTGACCGTCTCCCTGCATGATCTGAATCCAACCATCAGGTGTCACGTCAGAGCTGTCGCGGGGCCCTGGTCCAGAGTCGTAGAGCTACTGCGACTTGAGCCCCCATACGGGGCAGCGTAGGCAGGTAGAGTGTGGCTTGCAAGCACAGGTACTAGTGCCAGTAGTAGCTGCATGCAGCCCATTAATTGCCCCGTATCGCACTTCGTACTATGTGCCGTACTTCGCAAGGCTCTGGCCCTAGTCCAATACCCACTGCAGCTGCGTTCAACGTCTTCTTCTGCCGCCATTACTGTAGTTGCAACGGTTAGCATGGATGCAGTGACGGGACCCTCCGCTTTCGCCCAGAGGCCCAACATGCCTTGTCCTGTTCGCCATGTGTGCCTGATGGTCAAATACTCGGCGGCGCTCGCATGAGTGCAGTACGACTACCAAACTACTTGTAAAGTGCATGCGGCGTGGGTGGAGCTAAATACACGTACCCTGGCGACTGGTCAACAGGCAGTGTTCACATTGTTTGCTTTTGCCGCAGCATCGCTAGCGGCCCCAAGAGCAAACATGATGCTACCACCTATACGACGACAAGCGGGATGAACTAGGAAGAGACAGACAGGGCATCACCCAGCAGCTCTAGGCCACCATGTATCCCTCCCCCCTTCTCCCTTTGCACTTCTCAATGTTTCTTTTCACTTCTCCCTGTATTGGTTCATCTACAGCTGCTGCTAGTAGATACCTACCTAGTAGGTAAGGCAGTTATGACACGCAGATAACTGCCCGTATTGCTGCCCAGTACGTGGCCGGAGCTTCAGTGTCGAGCGTCCAAGATTGTGTTGATGCCACTGGCCCGTATACCTTTCTTCAATCTTATAACCAAGTAGTATCTCAATCTACCCAGGTGTACATGTCGTAGACAGTCCAGCTCGTACATTAGTACGTACGTACGTACGAATACTCGGTAGTCGTACAGAATATTTTGGACTATCATGGCAGTCATGCCTTAAGGCTAATACACACCCAGAAGCTCTTGCATACAAACAGCAGCAGCTGGGAATCCTTCCATGCACATTGTATGATTGCTCGCAATTTCATTCAAAGCCTGCTCTCACCGCTCAACCAGCCATACCTCTTGGTGCATATGCTTCGTTCCCGGCAGCCTACTCCCGGATGTTTGTGTTACTTGGCTTGCGGTGGCTGCATGGGAAAAGCAAAAGGAGGAGTGTGACAAACAGTGCAGTGACTGACATCCTTGCAAACCTGCGCCTGCTTTCAGCTTTTGTCTCTGCCAGCACGCTGCTAGGGTACATGTACCTTCATGTTATCCAGGACAGCAGTACGCCGAGGCTCCGTTGCCAATCTTGCTAGTCCCCTATGCTCGTGAATACATGTAATGATTTCTAAAAGGCAAAGCAAAATAGACACATACCTTATCTTACTCATATAGGTAGTTACCTACCTCTGTTGAATTCTATCATATAGCGTATTGGAAGGTGCCTGATATAAATACATATGCCTATCGTCCTCCTTCTGTCGTTCCCATCCCCTCTCTCTTCCTTCCTCATCACGCATGTTTCTATTCAACCGCCGATGCAATTCTCCCTTACTCAGAATCAGGCCTCTTGTATTCGCACACTACAAAGTTCTACACTCGATGCCCAGGCATCTGCCCGAACTGCTGCAGGGATAGCATAGACGTTTGCTTGGTCAGTATCACTGCTCCATATGCGCATCTACCCGTCTAAATCCCAGTACACTAACGGCTCTGTCCCGCCAACAGACGCGCAACGATGCCTAGGGGGATCTATCCTCGTACAAAGAAGCGCAAGCTTACCGATCAGAATCCACAGCCAACAGACGATGCAAACAACACACAGACTCTGCCCTGGTCATCTGCCCTGCCTGTCTTGGATCCCGCATCGGCTCCAGCCTCGAACACACATGTAACAAACCAACATGCATGGCCAGCTTCAAATACTGCCGCTTCACATGCTGGCTCTCAGCCATAGTTGGTCTTCCAATTTCCTTCCATGAACCGTCTCCCCTACTGCCTCGCTCCCTCCTTAGTGTCCTCCAATGCTTCAGGTTCCACGAGCCCCTTTAGAAGCTATATTCATTCATCTATGCCTGGAGATACTAACACGGATGGACTCAGTGCAGTAGTTGACCTGCCTTCTCCATCTCCTACAAATGAACCAAGTCCAACATCCGCCAGCGAGCACTCTCAGGGCAGAGCAGACACCCAATCAACCGCTACTGTCGAGGAAACAGCAGCGGCTCTTCCCGCCGCTCCTGAGAACTTTCCTGGGCAACCCTTGGGCGGTCAAATTGGCGATGTCGCTCAGCAGATACCGGTACACCAACCACACCAACCCAATGCACGTCGGATACCCTTACAACATGTCATGCTCCATGCTGCTACGATAGTCAGGGAGCGAGCTTCAGGGAGTGAGCCAATGACCCCTGAGGAGAAGGCGCGATATAGCACGCTATACGCAGCCTGTGTAAACGCAGACTTGTTTTTCCTCATGATTCATCAGTACTACAGCTGCTGGTTGATAAATAAACCGAGGGTATATGCTCATTTCCGCCTTTCTGTCCTTAACATTAATCGGGCCTTTGCCCAATTGAGAGTGATGTTTAAGGATGAGGAGAGGATTTCGCCTCCTCATCGGCTGTGGTTCTCAGAATTCCCCGGGTTTAGCGAGAACGTTTATTGTGTCCCTCAGATGCAGAGCCAGATCCAAGACTTTCTCCTCGCGTTTTCCATCAAGTGGCCAGAGTTGATGAAAGACTCTCAGGCTCAAATGATGCCTCTGATGGAATGTCATATCCGCGAGCGACTCAAATGCCCATCGTTAACCATAGCCAACAAACTCTTTATCCACAGCCGCAGAATCATTGGAGTGCCAGATAATCAATTCACAAACGAGGCCACCCGTCTTTTCAACATGGATCAAAAGCTAGAACGCATGTACGAAGAGCTGAATGAACCCGTTGCAGATGTGGCTGAAGCCCGCCGGTCAATGAGATTGAGTTACCAACACACTATTGAAAATATTCGACAGCAAATGCAAGCTGCCTCGCAAGGTTAGTCAACGCCCCTTCAGGTTGTGCAGAGACTTCCACGAGACTGACAGGCCGTAGCCGCGCCGCCAACTGGCCACCCGAATCAGGAATTTCCAGCACAGCCCCTGATTAACAATAACAGCGTAAATAGCACTAATAGCACCCCGCAGCAGCAGCAGCAGCAATATCATCATCATCGTCTTTCTCTCTTTTCATCAGAAAGCTCCCAATACCCACTTCAACCTCAACCTCAACCTCAACCTCAGCTTCTCCAAACACGTCCACCCCGAGGGCGACAAATTGAAGCTCAAATACAATCTCAGTGCCGTTCCCAGACAAATCTTTCAGCCACTTCTCAGCAAACCCTTCAACAGGTCCCTCAGCCACTCCCTCAGCCATCCCCCCAGCAACTCCCCCAACAGCAAATCTATCTCCAGCAGCAAATTCTCCCTCATCAGCAAGTTCTTCCTCGGCAGCAAAACCCTCAGCAAGTCTCCGTGCTTCAACCTCCTGCATCAGCCTCGGGCCAACCCATTTTGCCTGGACCAGGTTTCCCAGAGCAATCTCCATCATCTGGTCTACAATACCCAGCGTTAGCTCCAAAGTCACCGAGACAGTCTATTCAAGGGAGTCAGGCTTTGCTTTCTCCAGTTAATCCACCTCTTCCCGCTGAGCCACAGCGAGCGATGCCACAACAGCAGCCAGGCCCTTGGCATATACAGCAGCCGGATGATGCTCAGAATACACAGCATCTACACCGTTCTCCACAAGCGACTTTGCTCCAGTCGCAAAATCTGCAGATCCCTCTATTCCAGATACAAAGCAATGCACGGCACGAAAATATGCACCTCCTAGTATCGCAGCCCAACGATTCAGCTCCTTTATCTCCCCAGCCATATCAGCAGAATATAGAGCCTGCGCAAGCTCTGCAGGCTCCTTCTCCAGCTTTTCAGATTCTTCAAGGTTCGGATGCTTCTCAAGAAGCTCAAATTCCGCGGGGTTCTCAGATAGACCAGGGGCCCCCGCCCATTACAATCTCCCAGAGGCCTCAAGAGCCTCAGACCGTCATTGTCCCCTTGACGGCTCAGAGATCTCAGGTTGCACTGACTCCCCAGGCTCTCCGCATTCACCAGTCTCCAGTACAAATAATGCAAGCCTCTCAAACTCATCATACGCAGTCGCAACAACAACCCCACCTTCAAAACTCAGCGTCCCAGACGTCTCGCACTCCGACACCCAATCGATATAGCCGTCAGTTTACGATACGCGAGACTCCTCCCACGGAATATCCCAGTAGTCCGCATGATTGGACGTCCCTACAAACAGGCCTCCATCTAACTCATTTGCGTAGCCCTCGAAGGGTTTCCTCTAGCCCGGGCCCAGGCTCGGGAAAGAATCGTTACTACCAATTCTTCTCCAGATTCGTGGTGGAGCCAACAGAGATGAAGCCACATATGGGAGTCAGTGAATTAGAGTTTGTTATCGAGCAAGAAGACCTGAGTAGACGCCCTGTTACCAGCGAACCATCTGAGTTGCCGGTGGGTGAGTTACCGATGATGGTGCCTGTGAGCCGACACTTCAACCATTCTCAACGATATCGCCTCCGCATGTGTGAACGCCGTAAGCTGAGCGATGATGAAGAAACATCTTTTGACACTGCAGAATGGGCTATAAGCCGTACCCACTGGCCGTCGTATATTTTCCTATCGCTCAATGGCGAAATAGTTTCTCCTCTTCTCAAGCAGCATTATCATAATGATCTGCCCATAGAGCTTACCAATTCTTTGGTTAAGGGGGCGAATAAAGTAAAGGTCCATTTGCCGAGTTTTCCTCAAAATATCAAGAAAAATATTGCTTATTTTATGGCTGTGGAACTCATTGTCACTCTAGATCATGGCTCTACTCGCGCTTTGGTGTTTTCTGCGCCTCATATCAGCATGGATCAGACAAAGACCGAGATCAACAGACGACTACAGCTAGATACAGATGAAATTATTATAAATAGCGACACTTTGACAGTTGCAGTTACAGACTCTTTTAGCTCTAAACTATTTGACGTTCCAGTCCGGGGTCGAAATTGCCGGCATCTTGAATGTATCGACTTAGAAAATTGGCTGAACTCACGCCCAAGCAAACCTTCCCCAGAAGCGGGCGAGCCAACAACGGTCGATAGTTGGGGCTGTCCTATATGTGGCGAAGATGCCCGGCCCGGCAACCTCCAGATAGACGACTATTTCGTTTACATAAGGGACAAGCTTTTAGAGGAGCGCAGGGGCAATGTTAAGAAGATTCAGATAACTATTGATGGCACCTGGAAAGCTGTAGGAGTGGCAGATGAAAATACGACGTCAGATAAGGACGACGTCAACTAACACACTCATCAAGCTGAGACGCTACAGAGTATCGCCAAGGTGATATAACAAAGGTGCGAGTCCATATACGTCTAGGTGATTGGCCTTATTCAGCTAACATATGACTTCTATATTTATTTAAACAGAGAGGCAGCAAGGCTAGGTGACTACTAGGTCCCTAGCAGTCGAAGCGCCATGATTCACGGAATACTATGGGCACTCTATAATTATACTATAAATCATATACAGATGGCCGCTCTGGATATGAGAGCATCTGCGTGTTTGTATGCTAACAGTTGCATGTGTTTTGGATACTTGGATGAACTTATTAGAATGACAGAATGCCTACAATAGGTCGTCTTTACCGAAAACTCAATTACAGTCATGCAAATAATGTATTTCTATCTTAATCTATCTATTAGAATCATTTCCACTCTTAAAATACCCCAAAGTTGCCCTTCACTTCCATCGCTCTTATTAGCATATCATCGTCATTATATCTTGGCTCGAGGTTCGCGGTATTTCGGCTTGACGGGTATTTTTGGATGCAGCCCTTCCAGTGACAGCCCTGTGATCTTCTCCAACTCCTCGACAGCTTCGTACGTTCTGCCTAGGGGAACTTTAATGGTATTGAACCCTTGCCTGCGCGCTTCTTTCAAATTCTCGCCAATGTCATCTAGGAAAACAATGTCCTTTGGCGAAATGCCAGTCTCCCAGCCTTTTCCTTGATGTTTTGGGTCGCATGCGTTCTCCTTGGCAAAGCTATTGAGCCTTTCTAAGGCGAGTTGATACATTTTTGGATCTGGTTTCCGGACTCCAACGTGGGCTGACGATATGAAGACGTCGAACATTTGGCGGACCGGCTCATCATAAAAGTTTTCCTTGTGCAGCTTGTGGCCAGGTGGGAAGATGACTGTATTGCTCAGCGCCGCCAGAATATACTTGCCGCTGTCTCTGAGCTTTTGCAAAGCCGGAAACATCCAAGGATCATACGAATCTGGACCTGAACCAGACATCATCTCATTGAATAGCCACTTTCCGTCAATCTTCGGCAGCGGAGGGGTTTCTTTGGCTAGGTGTGGGTTCTTCGCCTGCTGCGTCTTGTAGAATTCTTCCCATAAGCTCTGGGAATGCAAGTCCCTGTTAAATCCTTCAAAGAAGGCATCATCCATAGGAATATCCCCTCTCTCTATCCGCTGCCAGGATCCGGCTGGGCCAGATCTCGAAATGGAGTAGTTCACCCAGCCGGGCGGGATTCCTAACCCAAGTTCATAGTCTAAGATTACTTGGAATGGTGATTTAACCTATGAATATAAATGTTAGGTTTTTTACGCAAAATTACAGGCAGGTAATGCATGCATTTGGCTCGCCTCCGAAAGCCACGCGTAGTGCTGCGAGCGCGCGAACCAGACCAGTTTCCTAGATGGGCGACTTACACACACACCGCCAATGTCAAATAGAAGGACCTTGGGCTTCAAATTTTCCATTTCGATATCAATTGCTTCCAGGATTTGATCAACAGAGTAGCTTTCAGTGTCCATTCCAGGAAGCAAGTTCATGTCATGCAATGAGGAAGCGGTTCACACGCATTCAAGCCGAAATAGCGGCAACGATGCAGCGTCCCCAGATTCCAGACAGTTGCCGGTACCTCGGTCCGCGCTCCACAGAGTGCATGTACTAAAGTGCAATAGGCAAGGTATGGACTACAGCGGCGCCAAGCCGACGATAAGATAAGACGCTCTGGCTGCTGAGTAACAAGTCGATCCAGCAAGAGATCATGTCAGGTGATTCGTCCCCAACCCGGCTTCAACAGTCTGGCGCTAGGCGAGACGGTAGCGCACGAGAAATTTTAGGGCTTCAAAAATTAGCCCACCAAGATTTCCTCCTCTATCCTCATCATCAAATTTCCAAGTTTGAGGAGCACATCAGCCATCTCCAGGCATCACCGTCAAAATGGTAAGTTAGGCCTATCGGAGAGATCCCAGTAAATGGGATCTTTCTCAAATCACAAAGTGGCAGAAATGCCCTCAATTGCTCGTAATTGAGAGTCGTCGCAAGTTGCTTCGGATAAAGGACGAGCAGTCTGAAGCGCAAATTGCTGACTCGGGGATTATTTTGACAGGCTTTCCGCAAGGTCGTCAAGAGCAACGCGTACTACAGGTGAGTTTTTTCTTTGCAATGAATGCAACTTTTTTCCAGATCTTCTGGAAACTGCCCGTTGAGGATATGGCTAACAATTTGATACAGTCGCTTCCAGACTAAGTACAAGAGAAGACGTGAGGGCAAGACCGACTACTATGCCCGTAAGCGCCTCATCACCCAGGCCAAGAACAAGTACAATGCTCCCAAGTACCGCCTGGTTGTCCGCTTCACCAACAAGGACATCATCATGCAGATCGTCAGCTCTGAGATCTCTGGTGACAAGGTCCTCGCCGCTGCCTACGCCCACGAGCTGAAGGCCTACGGCATCACCAACGGTCTGACCAACTGGTCTGCCGCCTACGCCACCGGTCTCCTGATCGCCCGCCGTGTCCTCAGCAAGCTCGGCCTCGACAAGACCTTTGTTGGTGTTGAGGAGGCTGACGGTGAGTTCACCCTCACCGAGGCCGCTGAGACCGACGATGGCGAGCGCCGCCCCTTCAAGGCCTTCCTCGACGTTGGTCTTGCCCGTACCTCCACTGGTGCCCGTGTCTTCGGTGCCCTCAAGGGTGCCTCCGACGGTGGTATCTTCATCCCCCACTCTGAGAAGCGATTCCCTGGCTACGACATTGAGTCCAAGGAGCTGGACTCTGAGACTCTCCGCAAGTACATCTACGGTGGCCACGTCGCCGAGTACATGGAGACTCTGGCCGATGACGATGAGGAGCGCTACAACAGCCAGTTCGTCAAGTACATTGAGAACGACGTTGAGGCCGACGGTCTCGAGGACCTCTACACCGAGGCCCACAAGGCCATCCGTGAGGATCCCTTCAAGAAGGCCGACGGTGAGGGCAAGAAGACCAAGGAGGAGTGGAAGGCTATCTCCAAGCAGCACAAGGTTGCCAGAATCTCCAAGGAGCAGAAGGCTGCCAACGTCCAGGCCAAGATCCAGAAGATCCTGGCTGAGGAGTAAAAATGGGGCATATAGGCAGGTTGCATTTTGATTCTCGATATATTGGGTCCGGAGTTACAGGAATGAAAGGGTCGGTCATGGTAAAATAAATGAAAAGATACCTTCGATTCCGGATCTAAAGATCCATTGCTTCGTGCATCATTTTCTCTAGTATCCAGTACGAGTAAAATTCAGATGTCAATCAAAGTGATACCCAGTCAAGCGATAGGTGGATACACCTGAATCAGTCTCCTAATTTGGTAGTCCTCTAATACTCTCCTGTCATATCGAGCCAGCATCAATTATACATGGCACGGAACACGAGGTATAGCAGCTCTGGTGCTGCTCAGTGTTGTCGAATACAATGTTAGTCTATTCACTAAAATCGATTGTTGCACAGCACCTTTAATATGTGCATCCCATCAACATTGTTTGTAAATTATAATCAAGTCTATAGCATCTAAGAAATTTCTCGACTCATGCTTCACTCCACTGCTAGCCATTTCGCAGCTATCCTACCCTAGATTTTTTTTTTTTCTTATTTTTTTTCTCCGGCCCTTCCTTTGCCGTCGACTTTGCCGAACAATACCGAAAGAAAATAAAAAGAAAGAAATATCTCAGGCGCATCTCCATTTTCTCCTTTTCGAACCAGCTAGCATTCTAGGCCCATACGCTCGCCTAGCGGCTTGTCTGGGACGAAAAAGTATACTGCTCCTTGACTTCTACGCTTTGCGTCGGTGGACCCGCCTGTGCTGTGGTAGTTTGAGCAAACATGCATATGCTATACACATCCTTATGCATGCTATTCGCCAATTACGGAAATAAGCATTCCATTGTTGATAGATCATAGTCTACTTGGCAGCTTAACTACGCATGGGAGTCAACTTTCTACAGTATTTCGTAGACCGGCGCCAACGAACCCGAAATTCCTCTCATTTCCACGGAATGTATACACATGCTGAATTACACGTATTCGCTTACCAAGAGATTGGAATCCAAATGCCGGAGCTAGAAGCAATCAAACTCTTCCATTGTCCATGGAGACTGAGCAATAAATGCCGCTTCCGCTTATTTCGACCTCTTTCAAAGCTAGCTCATACCCGCGGCAAAGGTGCATACTGACGCAAAAAACCTTTGTGGAGGAGCTCTCCGTATTTTGGAACTGTTCATGCTTAAGCAGCCCCCTTTCTGGCATGCATCGGGAATTCCCGAGGTCAAGTTCGGAGACATTTTAACGTACGAGTACGGGATGCATGTACCGGATTCGGTGTGTCTTCCGGGTTGCGTGTAAAATCACACAATGGATGCTTGGAATCGTCGTCGTCGGCGGAATCAAAACTCCCCTTTTACATGTACCGAGTACACTTTTTCCAAAGGTAATGCATCAAATTGGTGGGAAAAGCCTTTGATGTCGCGTTCGTTACACATGTTTAAGACATTGTTTTGTGTAATGTTTTCCGAAGAGGCCGCCAGGAGAAGTACTATTTCATCTGGACTGGAAGTCCATATCTGGGAATGGCTCTCTACATACACCACACATGCAACATGTCGTAGTCTATAGGTAGGGTACCTGGTACTAGGTAATTAAGCAACTTGGACGTACTTAGGGCAGCACCGCGGCAGATCCGTGGCCACGCCTGACCCTAAATGACGTACAGGTGAGTACAAGCAGCAAGGAAAAATATGAGAGATCTTCATTTGGCTGAGTCGGTCCCTTGCGCTAGACTCGGAGTTTCGCCAGCAGCAAGGCTCTCGTGATTCTGAGCCATTATGCTACTCTTCTAGCCGAAAAGGGCCCTTCATATCGACCCATCGACGAAGCTGGTAAGCTTGATTGAGCTGTTATTTTCCCTATTCGAGCTCAGGACTGGTTTAAGGACTGTTAGATTGCGCTTGGTTCCGGGGGCCTTCTCGGCACACTCGGAGCTCGGTAGACCAGCCATTAAATTGCTTGAGCAAAAGCTTTCCACGGTAACTGAATGCTGTACGGACCATCGCTCACGGATGATGGCGAATGCTACAGTGCCTCGCTGAGCTCCTGACTCGCTGGCAAGCAGTCGAAACCATCCATGGCGGCTGAAGCATGGCGATACGTGTAATCGCAACGAGTTCCTTGTACTTCTGCGAAGTATTGCATCACGGCTGCACATCCGGGATCGGTCCCATGGCACTAACAAAAGCGCCAATCCGATGGCGGATGAAGAGACTTTCGAGACCTCAGGGACCTGTCAGCGCCGGGCTGGCAGCTAGACGGCAAGTGCTTAGAAACTGGGGCCACATCAAAGAGTTCAATCCACAAAAAATCCCGAATAAAATTTTTGTGCCGCGTATTGCTAGCAGTAAATAAAGTCTTGTGGCTTGCGATCGCAGTCAGCTCTACTCTGCGCACAAAAAAACCTGGCTGGCATGTAAATCGTCACGCGCGGTGTCGACTACGTAACAAATCCGGCCGGTAGCAAAGTCGCCTCTCATCCTCTTTCTTACTTGATCGCATGCCAGCGATCTCCATGGTCCAGGGGGGGTGTCTCTGTGGCGAATAGTACAGTATAATCACCAATAGCCAAGTTATTCGGCCAAGTGAGACAAACAAAAAGCACTCAACGGGGAGGGGCTCGTGATTAAAAAGTGCCGGGGGCTAGCCGAGTGGGAAGCGTCCCGCGCGCTGGCAGGTCGTGGTACTTGGGCGTGCAGGGTTCCCTAACAGCCAGCGTAGTGGCGGGTGCGGCGGACTTGCTAAGGGGATACATCTGGAGTACTGCTTCGAGTGCCAATGAGACGGACGCGCCCGGGCTCAAAGCAGAGCACAGAGCGCGAGCTTACTGGGCGTAGAAGGGCCGGCTAGACTATCGAGCGGCTGCACAGAGGGGGGCCCTTGCAGAGGGTCTGCCACTGGATCTACCCCGCTATTGGCCTGCCAGGTCTCTCCCTACAGTGGGTGCTGCTAAGTGATAGCACTGCTGCAGCGGGCTTAGTTGACGTCTTTTTTTCTCGCGCTCCCCCCATCTTTTCGCCTTACCCCAGCCTAGATCGCTCGCAGCTGGAGCAGCCACGGGGCTTCCGTCGAGTCGAGGCTGATATTGTAATCATACCTTAACCATATCTTATAGGCCCTCCTTTCGCCGCCTCTTATTTCTCCCTCTCCCGCCCATTTCCACAACACCGCATTATTCGTCGTCGCTCACAATCTCTTCAACCGCGAGCGAGCGTCGCGTAAACCCTCCAACATGGAACAAGTCCATGGCGTCGACGTCAGTTGGATGACGCAGGGCTCGCCCAAAGGCATGTTGCTTTGCCACCGTTCGCTGCCCGCATATTCAAAATTCCATCGGCGCAATGATGGTCGCTCGACAGACGCTGATATTGGACATTGAAAACTAACAATTCGCATAGATAAATTCAACAAGGCAGTCTTCGCACCCACCAAATCCCCCGTTGCCACTGTGCAACCACGAAGCGTCCCCAGCGATTCCCCGCCCAAGCTCAGCCCTTCATCAACCGCAGACAAGGCCGAGGCCAAGCCTGAGGCCAATGGGAAGCCTGAAGCCAACGGGAAGCCCACCGGCCAAACGCAGCCGATTCCTGTCAATGGCTCAAGCGGCGCCCGGCGTCTCTCCCGATCAGGCTCGGTTGAGAAGAACAGCTCCAGCGCAACACCGCCTCACCGACGCAACTCGTGGTTCTCTAATATTTCAGCCAAATTTTCAAGCTCAGCAGCTCCCCAATCAAATGGAAATGGCCAAGTCCTTCAACAGCCCCAGCAGCCGCCTGCGCAACAAAACCAGCCAGTGCCTCTAGCAAATACAGATCCTCCCGTTCCAAAGATTACGCCAACCAAGAACGCTGTTCTCCAGCATGGACTCAAGCCTGAGGGAGATGAACCGTACACGCCAGCCCCACCAAAGTCTGGTCAGGCTGGACTGCTCGGCGTATTTCGCCGTCTGTCTTCTTCATCAGGAGGCGGTCCCCTTGGCCCCACCGGCAAGATCAATCACGGATTGGTGGAACGCCGCATTTTGAATGTGGATCGTGACCGAGAGAGGTGTCCTATCACCGAGTTGAAGGATAACAAGCTGAGGCGGGTGTCGTTTCTCGTTGATGTCGAGATTGCGCCCATGCCAAAATATGCAGATGCCGAGGCAGAGCCTAAACCAATCGCCGACCACGCTCAGAAGAAAAAGTTGAGCGAAAAGGGCGAAGGGGAGGCATTGAAGCATCCCAAAACCGCCGAAGCGCAAAAAGAGGCCTCTTCTTCCTCAACAGAGAGCGTCACTACTGAGGCCAAACCTCGCGAAGCAGCCGAGGCCAAGGAAACCAAGCCGACGACCAATGGCGCAAAGGAGACGGATAGCCCAGATGACTCAAATGCCGCTCCAAAGGACACATCAAGAAAGAAGGAAAAGAAGAAGCGAAGCGAAGAGGAACGAAAGGCCAGGAAAGAAAAGAGGCGACGACTTGCCGAAGAAAGCGGAATCATTCCCATAGAGATTCACTATGACACCGCTGGCTCTCTAGAGTTGACCAATGGCAAATTTCCAACGACGTGCCCGGTCAGAGTCTATAGGAGATGCTGTCAACTTCGCGAAACGCCCATTCTCAAGAAAATCACTGAGCAGTTGAGCGATACCAACAACATTCTACCCAATGGCGCTGTAAACAAAATAGATTTAACAGGCTACTTCATGCAACTGCAGGACCTCATCACACTGGGCGATTATCTTGCTGTTGTGCCTGTGAAGGAAATTATCTTGCAGAACAGCGGGCTTACTGATGAAGGCGTTCGGGTCATTCTCGCCGGCCTCTTGGCAGCGAAATACGCAGAGCCGTCGAAACGCAGGAAATCCAAATTTCTCCCCCAGGAGATGGGTGGAGTGGTTGAGAGACTTGTGTTGAAAGAAAACAAGCTGGGTCCAGATGGCTGGAAACACATTTCACTCTTCATCTACAAGTGCCGGTCGCTCAAGTATCTCGATCTCTCCTGCATCCCCTTCCCGCGTCAAGCGCCCGCCAACGCCAACGGCGCTCTTCAGAATGGTGTCCATCTCCCTCTTACCATAGGAGATATCTTTTCAAAGGCTCTCGCAAATCGCCCAACGGGATCAACTCTCGAGATGCTTAGTATCGGCGAGACTGAACCTAGCATGGAGCAACTCGGCAAGATCATAGATGGTGTGATCAAGTGTGGCATCAAGCGGCTGGGCATGGCTCGCAACCCCCTCGACGAGGAGGGTGCCCAGCATGTTGTAAGATATCTTGAGTCTGGGAAATGCGAAGGGCTTGATCTAGGCGGAATCGATCTCAAGGAGCACATGGACGTTATTGCCTCGTCAATCAAGGAAACTGACCCGCTATGGGCGCTGAGCATGTCGGACTGCAACATAAACCCCTCGACTCTCTGCAAGATTTTGCCCATCTTATCCAAGCTAGAGCATCTCGTCTTCATTGACCTTTCGCACAACCATGATCTTTTCCAGTCAACACCCAACGCCGTTGGTTTACTCAGAAGGTAAGAATCCGTGCTAAGTGAATTTTTTAGGAGATGAATAAAGAGCTAACGCAATTCTAAGATATCTACCCAAAATGCAAACTCTCAAACGGCTACACCTGTCGGATGTTGGCATGACCTCGGAGCAAGCCATTGCAATTGTCGAAGTTGTACCGGAAGCTCAACATCTCTGCCACCTCAGCCTTCTTGGCAACACCGAAATCATGGCACTGGCCAACGCCAAGACGGAGGAGGCTCAAGAAGAAGCCTGTGCGTTGTATGCATCGCTGATGGCTGCCGCAAGGCTATCTAGCAGCATGATTTGCGTGGATATCGAAGTGCCCAGTGAAGACTCTGGCGAAATTGTTAAAGCGATGGCAAAGCAAGTTGTGGCTTACTGCTTGCAGAACATTGAGCATCTGCATGATGTCGAGATTAATAAGGCAGTGACTACGGCACTCGCCGAGGCAAAAGGAGAGTCTGTCGATGGCAAACTCGCCTCCTACCCTGATGTGCTCGCACATCTCGTCGGCCAGGATGTCCTGTTCCAGGATGATCCCGAAGACGATGGCTCAGGGCCGGACGAAGACTACGTCATTGGCGGTACGGGTGTGGTCAAGGCACTTGCCTGCTGCCTCAAGAACCGCGGTGACGAATCCCGTCGTGCGTCTGGTGAATTCCTTCGGGAGCTCAGCTCTACGGACGAAGAACCTTTTATTGGGCCTAGACTTAGGACTGGTGGCAAGGCCAAGGATTTCTCGAAACACTTGCTGGCCGGCGCTCGCAAGATTCGTCTCCGTCTCCAGCCGGCACTGAATAAGGCTAGAGCCAACCCGAGTGATGAGTTGAACCTGCGGAAGCTGACATTCTTGGACGACACACTGCAAGGTATCATCAAACGGTTCGAAGACGAATATCCTGATACCCGAGAGCATCCTGAGGATGCAGTAGCCCATGTACCGATAGCTCAAGGGGAGAAGGAGGTATTATCATCGTCGCCGCCTGCTGCGGACGATGCGGTGGCAGTTGGCTCAGACGTCGAAGAAGAGGGCGAACTTCGTGAGCCTAGACCCCTCTCACGTAGCAACTCAATACTTGGCAGGAAGCTGGCCGAGGAAGAAGGTCGCGTACACCGTGCCGGCCACAGATTCCGATCTGGTATCACAGACCATGTCAACCTACTCTCCACCCTCGATGACGTGGAAAATGACCCCAACCACGTGCGTGTGCTAGCCGATCTTGCGGACGATGTCGGTGGCGAGTTCTTGGAAATGGCCAAGCAGAAGGGCGCCGTCCAAGCCTTCAAGGACCACAAGGACATGCTGTTTGCGGCATTGAAAGAGAGCGACCCTGAATACTGGGACAGATTTGTGGAGGCGCAAGGCAAGGCTCGGGCCAATATCAATCTGCCGGGTGCCGAAAAGAATGGAGAGAGGCCACAGCTGGCCCAAAGTGACGAAAGCGCCATTGCAGATTAGATGATGTCGCACGGATTCGCACACGATACTATCCTGGCGACTCTGCTCTCTCTCTCTCCACCCCTTTTTTCGCCTCTACGGTTTTATTTCTTTTTTACATGCTTTATCTATAATGTTGTTACGTTTCTTTTTCATTTCTTTTTATTAATCTCTCATCTGTCTTTACCTGACGATATGAAGAGTTGCGTTTTGAAGTTTTTGGATATTGCTACTAGCGACAAAAATGCATGGCAACGGCGCTCTTTTTTTCTCTCTCTCTTTTACCCTTCCTCCGTGGAAGGAGTTTTCTGTTCTTTCTTTTTTTTTTTTCTTTTTTTTTTGGTGGATTATCAATCATTGGGTATGAATGGGTTCTATTAGGCGTGTGTATGTGTGTATCTGGCAAGGAGGGAGGAATCTGAATGGGATTAAGAGTTTATTACTATGGAATCTTTTTTTATTTTTATCTCTCCTGTTTAGCATTGTTTGCCTTTCTTTCTGCATGGTGAGATGGACATTGGTATCTGGTCCTCTGCCTCATACAAAAAGCATACGAAAAGTTGGCATTGTTGTTCATTCTTACTTGCTCTCGTGTGATATTGGGACAGCAGAGTACACGTAAAGGCTAGGAATAGTTTATGGATTCGGAAACAATTGGAATGAGTACTGCTATCGTGTATGAGTAGTGGTTATAATAAAGCATACCTATTTTAGCAATCTTTATGGGTCCAGGCAAACTTGATGAGTCCTGTGCATTATCAAATAAAGTAAAAATTTTTTTGCAAGGTTGATGACTTTTGTTTGTCAGATGAAAAGCGAGCATATGGCTGCCTGCCTCGGTCACTTCGTCATCCCCTTGATGAGTCAAGACAACGAATAGTGCTGCTAGGCAGCTCAAGCTACGTCCAAGGCAGCTTCTCAACCCTGACCCAATGCCGTTGACTTACAGATCACTAGAGCTAGCAACGCTAAGCAGTCATGTGTTGACATAGAGACACCGCCACCAAACTAGCTGTGCTTACTGAGCAATTCTATTCCCCTTCCAGGGCATTATTTGGCACAGAGCTGAAATAAGAAGGAAGAGGCTTTATCCAGCCAGCCCAGTGGCTGAGACCAAGACGGCCCCAGGCCTGGTTCCGCCACCCGAAGGAAAAAAAAGAGGTCAGCAGAATTATACAAGAGATGATTGGGCAGCGAACTGGCGAATTCGACGGGGGGCGTTGCATCATTTTTAGGGGATCGTGTGATATGTTTTAGCACTATTGGTGGCACTCTATTGGATTTGTGATTCGAAGTTTCCATATTACCTGGTAGAATTATATGGCATTTATTGCATTTAGTTCCGATGTTGAGAAAACGGTACATGTACATACATGCATACACACAGTAAAACACCAAAGCCACAATGCTCAGAGGAAGATCCCCCTTATTGATTGCCGACTACGAGTACGAACAGATCCCACACCGTTTTTCTAAGCGAGTCACTGTGTAAGATGATGAAGGACGTATGTACAATGCAAATCCTACGAGGCGAAAGGGCAAGGCACCGCGCTGTGGTCAAGGCGCAGCAGGAATGTATAAAAAAAAAATACTACGTACATACTGCAAGAAACAGGTACCAAAGGGGGGGGATCAGCTGTGTATATGATACTGCACTGCAATAACGAAACGAAACGATCCACACAAAATGCTCTCCAAAGCTTCCCGCTTACGTGACTCAAGAAAATCAGCTTACGCCAAAACCAGTAGTTTTTGGATCCCAAAGAGGCAGTCCCGCTGCATCTCGAGCACCCGATTGGCCACTCTTAATATTTTCTCCCTTTTTTTTTTGCAGGTTATTCTTCCTTTCCTTCCTGGACCCCTGGCGGTGGAACGACTTTTAACGCAACCATGATGTGATGTGACTCTGCGTTGTGGCTACCTGCTCTGCTCGCGTGTGTTGCTTGAACACATACAAGTAGCTTTTTTTTTTTTTTTTTTTTTTTTTTTTTTTTTTTTTTTTTTTTTTTTTTGGGGGGGGGGGGGGGGGGGAGACTTTGTTTTGGGGATGGAAGGGATAGTGTTTGCTGCCTAATACTACCACTGTGTTTTGTACATCCATCAAGGTATTTATTTGCATCGTATTATCTCTCTCTCTGTTTATGAACTACAAGGCAGGTAGGTATATGCTGAAGTAGAAAAAAAAAAAAAAAAAGCCAAGCAACAGACAACAAAAAAGGACAGAGTAATTCTTCAAATTGAAATAATTAAAAATACCGAATCAATACAATATTCTAGAATAAAATAAAACCCCCATAGTCTCTGTGCTGGCAGCCCACAGTACACGAAACATAGTCCTTGCCGCTCAGCATGGGGTTACAAAAAAACGGAGTACTCCGTATTACACTTTATTAATAATGATTAGGCGGCCTAGCTGATGGGCTCATCCAACTCTCTTAAACGGGCTTCCTTTCGCATTCTACTTTATTCCCTTTTTTTCTTTTTCTTTTCTCTTTTCTCCCCTAATACTCTTTTTGTGTTTCATCTGTTTCTCTTCTCCTCCTCCTCCTCCTCTTCTTATTTTCCCGTCTTCTCTCCCGTTTGGAATATCTCGCCAAAATAATAAAACTATACAAAACAAACGACTACAAGACAGCAGTGCTCCATACGCCAACAAACAGTCTTACACACTGAACATACGATAAATCTCACACAAAAAAGGGCCACCCCCCCCTTTTCACACACAACTATATTCACAGCCAGCCTCTCTCTCTCTCTCTCAGGCTCCCTCCCAAACTCTCTCTCTCTCTCTCTCTCTCACACACACACATACACACCGAAAAAAAAAAAAAAAATGTCTCCCACATACACAATGTCCGCACACCTGTGCCGCCAGTTCTACACATCATGGAACCAGTCTCGCCGTCAAACCGCCACGACAGAAGCAGCCAAGCCAGCCGCGCCCTCAGCTCCTTCGCCCATCCTATTTGCGTCGTCTCGCTCTCCCACGCCCGAGAAGATTCCTGAGCGGAGAGGAAGCACCTCGTCAAACTCGTCAAGTTCATCATCCCTATCGTCTTCGCCTTCGCGGCATTGATGCATAATCAGGACTTGAAAAAGAGTTTCTATGTGGTTTCTTTTTTTTTTTTTTTGTCTTTTCTCTCCAACTATCTTGGCGATATCTTTTTTTCAAAGGGGGAAAAGAAAGGCGGGGGATAAACTGTTTTTTGCTTGCATCATCACATTTCTATCTCATATTAATCAAACATACCCGGCATTTCACTGCGATGGAAATCTCACTATCAAGAGGCCGCCACTATTAGCCCCCCCTCGTGGTAGACGGGCATCACTGTGCAACTGCCATTGTACCTCTCTACGTGCCATATTCAATCCGACTTTCACATTTGGTTTTTCCTCTTCTCTCAACAAGGCATGATATGATGAATGTCTTACTGCGAGTTCAGGCGTGTCCTTTATACTCAATCATCTCTATATCTCTCATCCGACTCGGTTTAGTTTACTTGGGAAAGGGCATCGGCCCCTTATGGATAGGGAGTTTTAGCATCGAGAAATAAATTATTCGTCCATGTTTCAAACAAAAACACATATATATATGCTGCTGAGGCGCCACCTAATAATCTGCTAGTAACATGCTAATGCCCCATAGTCCTGAAGTTTCCATGCAAGTTGTATCCAATGCCAGCAATCATCTCGCAACCCCAATGTACAGTAGCCGTCCATAACTCTAACTAGGCACGATCATGTCTGCCCCCCGTCGTCTCTTACTACAGGGAAGATGCTGCCATCGTATTGACAGTGGGCGGGAGAGACCTTCTCTTCTTGTGTCGGCCATCATCGCCGCTGTCGCCGGGTGACTCTTCTTCCATTGCCATGCTGCCCTGAATTCGTCGCTTGGCATCCTGCTTCTCTGCCTCTGTAATGTCCTTATCATTCTTCCGCATGTCTGGAGCCCACTGTACTTGGTTAGGCGAGTGACCAACTGACATGCCGACTCGAATCTGCAAGAAAAACACAATGTAAGCAATCTGTCTGCCGACTTCCAAGCTAAAAAAAAAAAAAAAAAAAAAAAAAAAAATACTCACCAATGTCTCGAGAGCTCCATTAGAGTTATCCACGAGATCATCATCAAATCGCATTTTGCCAGGTTCAAATAGCACCAACAAGGTGCTACCGCCAAATGCAAAGTATCCGAGCTCCTCAGCGCGATGCACACGCTCGCCTTCATTGCGTGTAATAACTGTGCTGCCCACCATCATGGCACCGACACAGATGACCATGACCCGCCCGTGGACATCGCTGTCGATCGGCACGAGTACTCTCACATTCTCGCCGTAAACATCCAATGCTGAACGAATTGCCATCGGGTTGACCGTGTAATACTCGCCGGCAATGGTCTTGGGCTTACCCATGACACCATCCACGGGAATGTGGAATCTGTGATAATCCTGTGGCGCTAGTCGAAAGATGCCCAGAGCGCCATTCTCGAATCGCGAGACGTCATCCGGGTAAGCGTCTCCAAGTAGCCTCTTCATATTGAATTCGCGGCCCTTGACCCAAATCTTGGTCGCCTGCGTGATTTGGTTGAAGACAACGCTTCGACAATCCGCCGGCGAGACAATAATGTGAGGGTTGTCCGGCGCTGAGCACGGCCTGGCTCCAGGCTTAAGCGCACGGTAGAAGAATTCGTTGAAATTCTTGAATTCCTCAATCGGCAACAAGACCTCAGACATGTCCAGTCGATGAAAGTCGATGAACTTTTCGATTTCGTCTCGCGAAGCAGGGTCGTCAAACTTCTTGCCCTGCTTAATGCTCAAATTCTTCAACATTCTCCGAACTAAAAGTTCAATATTGTCAGTCGAATGCTTGCCTGCTTAGCCAAAATCAATATAAAGATTACTTACTGCGCTTGTTCTCCATATCTCGCGATTTCAGGCCCTTGTAAAGTAGTCGAATGCCCAACCGCACATACACGCTCATCTTCTCCTCGTTAATCTGCCCCGTGAGGCGATCCTGAACCAGAATATTCGCCGAGTTGGCGCCAAGCTTATATCCACCGTAGGATATTTTGGTAATGACTTTCGAGTACCATTTCCTTTGTGCTTGGCTGGCCGTTACAAAACCTCCCGCAAGAACAGTATTGACTTGGCGCCAGTCTTGACTAGCACATGTAGCAATGTGTGTAATGATATCGCCGTCGCTGCGCTTGTTGAGACGAGGTTGGTGGCAGATGGGGCATTCCCGAACCTCCACAACGTGTTCTTCCTTGCTGTCTTCTCTGTCAAAATAGCCCTCCTCCCCTTCGTCGTTTGGCGTGGTAGCCTCGGGTGGTGGCTCGACCATAATCTGAGGCGTCGAATCTCCTGAGCCCTCGGAGCTTAGCTGCTCGGCCGAATCATCAGACTTGCCAGAGAGGCTAAGGTTCTTGACATCCAGGGTAGGCGTCTTAGGTCCAGATCGGCTCTTGGCTTGCAGTTGGTCTTCGAGACAGAGGACGGCTTCGTCAAAGGTCAGCTCCCATGAGTCTTCATTATCAGCAGCCTTGTGAGGGAAGCGTTGAAAGAAGCTGTCAATTGTGGAATCTTTCAGGGTGGAGCCAAGAGTATCAAGCATCGTGCTCAGCTCAATCCTGCTAATGAGGCCACTTTCGTCTGTGTCATACTGTTTCAACAGTGCTCGCCAGAACTGCTGGCGGAGAGCTGGATACGGCACATACTTGGCCCTGAGATAGATAATTGGGTTGTGCTTGCTTTCCCACTTGTCCAGGTTTTTCATCTTCAATGGTATAGAGTACTCTGCAAAATCGGGATCTTCTGTATCCATCTCCGATGGTGCTTCAACGGCAGTGTTACTAAGGGCATCCGCGGGCGATAATGATGTACTACTGGATTGCGGAGCGCTTCCGTCACCGTTTGAAGGAACAGATCGAGGGGGTGGCCCTTGCGACCGCATCATTTTGCTTAGGCTTGATGTTGAGGAAGAGCGAGACACTCCAAGACGTTGGAGACGAGATTTTGTGGCAACTGGCGCCGGTGACGGGCCCGGCTCTGGAGTTCGGACCTCGTACAACCCCGTTTCCGGGTCTGCCTGTGGCGCTTTTTCTATAAGAGTCTGAATAGGCAGGTTGCACGAGGCGATGAAGTCGTTGCCAGAGTATTTATCATGATCGATGACCGTGAAAGCAAACGAATATTGCTTCTCGTGGCCTTGGACGGGGAAAATCATCTTCTCATTGAAGATTGGGTTGAGATTATGTCGAACTCGCCTCGTGCGGTACGTCTTCTTGCCAAGAGATGCTACAACGAACGGATCCATGTCGAAGCCTGTCCGGGTCAAATTAGACTCCGGCGGAAGATCCGTGATCCTAGAGACCTCAAGGTAGATGATTCCCACAACATCAGAGTCGCCATTGGTAAAAGCATATGGATTCTGCCGTCTCTTCTTCTTCAAACCTTTGATGCGGAGTCGCCGCCGGCGCTTCTCGGCAGTCTCTGGTTTGGAGGGATCTTCAGCATCGTCACCAATATCCTCCTCGAGCTCAGTTAGATCGTCTTCATCGTCATCCTCGTCGTGGGAGGATGTGACTCCCAATCGCGTTGTCCCGCTCGGGGATAGTAGTGGGGTCTCGGTTGGTGTGACGTTTCGGGACGAGCCGACAGGGACCGAGCCAACAAGAGCAGAGAACTTTTCAAATAACTGCTGGTGAGAGATGGTAGGGTCTGTGGTGTCAATCAGAGTGAACTGGAGCTGCACCTCGCCGGATACAATACTCGTCTTCTTGCCGGGACGCTTGCTCTTGAGGGGGAACCAGCGCGGCTCCTGCTCGGGCTGTTCGTTCTGGAAGATCTCCTCGAGCGCCAAATCAAACTCTCCGAGATAATCCTTGCCAAAACGGTCCTTGTCCCAGCATATGACATCGAGGACCAGACTCTGTACAGAGTTGATGGGCAGCTCTTCGATAACGTTCCATTCGGGATTCAGCGTTTTGGGGACGGAGTGGGTGACAACACGAGAGTCGCCAAGCGTAACCACGAGATACTACAAGACGAACAAATAGTTTGTAAGCTGCTGCTAATGGCTGAAATATGTGGTGTGTTGGCCGTGTAGAGGAAAAACATTGAGAGGAGGGGGGTTAGGCAAATTGCGGTGATTATCGCCTCAATTATTGGTCCAGCTCGTGATATAGTCGCAATTGTGAAGACATTCCTGCCACTTGTACTTACCGGATCCGAGGTCCCGCTACGGTCCTTGGCTGCCAGATTCCTTGCCTATGAAGCCTCACGTCTTAGCACAGTACCACTCTCGTTGAGGCTGCAGAGCCACGGCCATACCCTCATGATGACAACCTTGAGGGCCAGCCCAGAGGCTGGGCTCCCCATGGGGCCGGAGCCGTCGTTCTTTGGTCGCATTGGGCTCTCGCTTCTTGAATTTGCACCTATGGATGGAGATGGAGAGGAGGAGAGGAGGCGGTTCGGGAGGATACGCATTGCAAAGGCGGAGCTTGTGCAAGCTTGGGTGGGTAGAGAGCTACACACGTCCAAGTTGCTTGTGATCGATCGATTTGTAGGGAGAGGAGGGCCCCGAAGCAGGCGCTATGGGAACTGGTTGGCGGCGGGCGGTGCTGGCGATGGCGACGACAGTTGGAGGCGCACTGTGCTGCGGAGCTGCAAGTCATGTACTCCAGCTGGGGGCGCTTGAGTGAGGGTTTGCAGCTGCGCAAAGAATGCTGGCGATTCCCGTTTATTATAAACGGCGGAGAGGCCACCGCATGTGAAATTAGCTAAATAACATCAGCCTCTAGACGGCCTCGTTTATTACTCGATACCGCCCCGGGGTCCTGCCTCCACTTTATTAAGAAGCGAGAAGGTCATGCAGCGCGTGCATGTTGGCAGACGCCAAATGCCTATCCATTTGGATGGATCCAAGGCGGCTCAAAGGGCCGGGCCTCGGGATTACTCTGGCTAGAAGCAACAACCCCAGCACAAAAAAGAAGGGAAAAAAAAGCTGCACCGACGATGCCGCCGTTGGGGGATTCTTGCTGGTGCTCATGCCCGTCCATAGTAATCAGGCGCGGCCAAAAGCCAGTAGTTTGCTGAGTTCGAGGCCTCTGACGATGCGGCGAGGGCAGCCCAGTTTCATAGCGACGTCATGCGAATCTCTAAACCACAGTGCCTGTTTGCTCCATCTTATACTGTCGGAGCTACTGCGCAGCTTCTGGGGTTGGCCATGTCCTTCTGACGTGATGTAGCTACGGTGTCTCAGTGCACCACAGCTATAGCCAACAGTCCTCTCCTTACTCGCCAGTAGAGGGGAATAGTATATTTAAGCATGCAGATACGGGAAACCTTGGGTGGCGTTACTGCGGACGTTTAATTACTGACAGCCCGAGCCAATAGCACCGATCGGATTGCGCGAGACAGAAGGCACATGAAGGCGCCTTGTTTCACCAACCACGCAATATATCTCTCACATAAGGCAGCAGCTGCTGGGAGGAGTAGTAATGCGCCATCTTCGTGGGGCATAGGATTCCCTCGCACTCGCACTCGCCTGTGACGAGGAAGGGCTTCGACGTGCGGCCCAACAGTATACAGCGTGCAGACCAGCATGCAGTGTCTAAGACAGATCCCACTTCGTCTTCGTGGCAGCCATGCTTTGGTTTGATCAGGTTGGCTTGGCTCGAGTGCTGACGCAAGAATCTGCAGCAAATTTGTCTGGGGTAGGCAGGTGGTACTAGCAGTAGCCAAGCGCAGGAGAGCGTCGGTAGCGTGTAGTGGAAGACTTTTATATGCATCCCACTGCTATTAGGCCTACATGGTAGGTGTCTTGTGTTTATTCTACAATTAGGACGACGGCTTTGTAGAGGGATGTATCCCGACATGTGCAAGATGATACTATGCTCCCCGCCAGTAGCACGTATGGAATGGAATCCGTATAGACTACGTGGTAAAAAAAAAAAATAGAAGCTTCTGGTCCATGTCAGTAGCACCACTAATCTCCAAGACATGCGATAAAAATAAAACGTACGTCAACGATATGACGTAGCACCCATCGTCAATGCCAAGACCGTCGAATAACTCTACATAGTAGGTAATATTTAAGTTTCCCAGCACCCGCCGATGCGCACTCGATGCTCATCCTACCCTGAATCATCTCTGGGCTCAAAGCAGTTTGCCACAGCCTTGTGAAACTCCTAACCAAGGATGAAGCGGAGCGCCGTAGAAAGCACACTAATACCAGAACATGCTACTTTGTGCTAGCATCGTTTTTAATCCTTGGAGAGGAACGAGAAGCGATATCCCACTAAAACCCCCTATTGCATCGCCTCGTATCCGCAGCAATGCTCCATAGTCTGTGCAGCAGTGATGGGGAAATGAAATAACGATTTTCCATGCTTTGTTGGGGCAAGATCCTGGTCCAAGACAAGCAATTGATGTGCCTTGCTAGCGGGAGCAGAAAAAAGAGCACGATCGAGATCGTTGCAACTTCTGACACGTGATTGCTGGTGCGGCAGCATCACCTATTTTTCTTCTTCATTCTTTTGTTTTGTCGGATCAATGACGGGGTGAAGGACCAAAAGTTCCCTCCTTTCCGTCTTTACGTGCAGTGAATTAATTTGCCACGGAATTGACATCCCAATTGCAAGTAGGAATCTTTCAGGCTATTGTGCGTATTGGAAGATGGTAGCATGGTGTCTTGGAATTCGAGAAGCTGCGAGCGCCAAGTCCGCCCCAACAGCTGAGCTAAGGAACCAGCTACTCCATTCCAGACCCAGGACTGCGGGAAAAAAGGATGATGGTACGGGATAGTGCGTTATGCCCATTGTCTAGGTAGTATTTTGCAGAGTAGAGAACAAAAGGACACATGAATATGAGAAATTAACTGCTGGGGCCCCAATACGGCGTTGCCTACTTTGGCATTAATTGACAACCCCTTTCCAGTATGGTCACGCCACCTGTCATTTTGGAGTGCGGGCAGCTTGCTGGGCTGTGGGAAATTTGATTTTTGGTGCCGACCTCAAAGGTGGGTAAAATCACAAGCTCCCCGGTTCGAATTCTAAACTTTCAGCGACAAATCCCCGGAGCCTTCTCTCCACACATTGCGCACGCGAGCGTCACGAGCGAAGCCAGACACCAGCGTGTTTTTGCTTTCCAGGTCGATGCCCGTCTAGGATCGGTGGCTTCACACAGCTGGAGAAGCCGTCACGAGCTGTTTTTGTTGTGCGGCGAGAGGCACACGCAAAAAAGCAGAGCAGATACGTCAGGCTGCGTCGGGGCCCGACCCAGCTTCACTTTTTCGTCGCCACAATGTCATCACCATCCGGATCCTCCCACAGCGGCAAGCGCAAGAGAAACGCTGCCGCCGTCGCCGACCGCAACTTGCAGGATGGCGCTCTGCAGACGTCCTCGCGAGATGCCTCGGGCGAGGAGGGCGATACCACCGCACCAGAGTCGTCGCGACAGACCAGACGGACCACCAATGGCACGAGCTTGAACCCTAACAAGAGACAACGGGCCAATTCAGACCGAGTTCCTGACAATGGCAGCAGCAACAATGTTCTTGATCCCGGTGAGCCCAGTGACACCACTGAAGCCAGCGTCGACATTGCTGAGAGGGTTGGCCGAAAAGCGCGGAAGAGCGTATCCAAGGATGTCGAGGAGGAGAAGAAGAAGACGATGCCCCCGCCTCCCATTGGCGAACTCACTCATCCCGTGGGTTTCAAGACAAACGCCCCTCCAGTTGGCCGCACCGTGAGGGTATACGCAGATGGAGTCTTTGACCTGTTTCACCTTGGGTAAGTGCTGCGCTGCTGACGAAACAAGCATGGTGCTGCGTTCAAGTTGGAGTGGGCGACGTACTGACTGGATCAATAGACACATGCGCCAGCTTGAGCAAGCGAAGAAGGCCTTCCCCGACACGACCCTCGTTGTAGGCGTCACCGGCGACGATGAGACCCACAAGCGCAAGGGGTTGACGGTCATGTCTGCAAAGGAGCGCGCTGAGTCCGTGCGACACTGCAAATGGGTAGACGAAGTGATTGAGGACTGCCCATGGATCGTCACCCCAGAATTCCTCGAATTGCATCGACTCGACTATGTCGCCCACGATGACATCCCGTACGGCGCAGACGAGGGAGACGACATCTATCAACCCATAAAGAAGGCTGGCAAGTTCCTCGTTACTCAGCGAACGGAAGGCGTCAGCACCACTGGCATCATTACAAGGTGAGCTGGCGCGCGAATTTCTACCCATGATTATTATTTATTCAATGGCTGACTTGATGTCTACATAGGGTTGTCCGTGATTACGAAAAATACATCACTCGACAGTTCAAGCGTGGCACTTCTCGCCAGGAGCTCAATGTTAGCTGGCTGAAGAAGAACGAGATAGACCTCAAGCGCCACGTACAAGACCTCCGTGACAATATTACCAACAATTGGGCTACGACTGGCCAAGAGCTCAGCCGAGAACTGAAGCAGTTTTGGCCCACTAGTCGACCACAGAGCCCAGCCCGGTTCAATAGCTCATCAAGCGACATTGCACGATCTCCTACCACTCCTGGAGAACGAAACTCGAAAGAGTTCATTACTGGTTATGCGCTTGGATTGGTTGGTGGTGTGAAATCATGGGTTCGTTAGCTTCTCATATCCACCTCGCCATCTCCATCCTCATCATACTGACATGATCCCCCCTTATTGTAGATGTCAAAGAATCGACGAACAGTAACGGACAGCCACCCCGCCAGCGATGACGACTCTGAAGAAAGCGACGGCAATGGAAGACCGGCAGAACAGAACAACCACGAGGTAGCCGCTGCAAGCCGTGCGTAGATTTAGCATCAAGGAAGTGCTCCAAATGTCAAAGGAACTGTGCGCGGGCGTGTCGCTTCTGAACCGAGAGAATGAGAAGTTGTGGTGTCAAAACACGTGACAAAGAAAGGAACGTGAAAGCCAATTTGTGATAATAGATGGATTTGAGGTACTATTGGGCGTGTTGGGCTTTGTTTTATGGCTCCGAAAATGATAATTGCATATATTTTTTTTTTGCTCCACAATGTTAGTATCTACTCTGGAGCATTATACCAATATTCGAGTTCCGTAGTATTGGGAACTGTATAATGGAAGCTATTTTTGTCATATGAAACACTTGTTTGCGAGGCTACATATGTTTATTGTTCTATCATGGGCTGCACTTTAACTCCATGCCCTTTTCCTCCACTGGTCATACAGGTTTGGCCTTGTTACTGACTCAGGGACACTTACATATACGAAGAGACGCAACGAGAAGGAGATGACCGAAGGGTGAGCTAAATGTACGCTCGATAGGGCTGCTGTGACAAGAGGTTTACAATTGCGACTCTGCGGTAGCCAAAAACGGTCGAATGACAGATCAGCCTTATTGACCGGCATGGGGGTTCACAACATGCCGGGTACGATTGCTACCATACAGCCTTATCCGCAACAGGCCATGTCAGGTCATTGTTTCTCCCGTCTCCGATATCTCTCCTTTCGTCTGATGTCTGATGTGGGAGGGCTATGTAAGAAGGGTTCTAGATGTATGGCACCGGTTGCTAATATTAGAATTTGTTTCGTTTTCTTCCCATGATATTCGCTTCAAGTTCCGGCAGCCCGGTTGCTTTCTGGTGTTGCTCCTTGCGGCTACTAAGCATGAGGGTGTGGAGGTTTGACATTTGCGGCGGCTAATAGCCGATGTTATGGGATGGGATGCGTTACATTGCGAAGGGATATAGTCATCGTTGATGGGCAGATGCGAGAAAGACATGCGTGTAAGTGTACGCGTGTACAGTCACACAGCAGCAGCAGCCCTACATGACGGCCGGCTGAGTGATTACAATAGGTATCTGCACGTTTGGATGGGGCGATGGGCTGGCCCTACGGCGTTAAGCGGGATGCAACAAACACTGTTCGTGCCATTTTCAGAAGTCTTGTGTGTTTCTCTGATGGGCTCAGGCGACGTCCACATTTCCGCTGCTCGCTTTTGTCGTACAGGCTTCGGCCATGAGCTGAGCATGGGCGGCGCGTATAAACGACGAATAGCATGGCTTGTTGGGTCGATGTGGTGGTAGTCCGAGCGCTTGTGAACGGTTGCACTGATGGATGCTTTGCACTGGGCTGTGCTATTAATTCCACTCATGCTCTGGATACGGAAATTCGCAGTGTGGATTCATGATTTTTCTTTGGGGGAGAAAGAGGTTGGATGGCCCTTTAGGCGAAACAAGCGCGCTCCGCGTGGCAAGGTCTACAGCCTCACATGCAAGGTCGTTCTATATTCTCTTCTGATGTACTGCACTGTGGCATGTCTGGCGATGTGCCGCACCGGCATTGCATGAGTGGTGCTGCGCGGTGCAAACCGTCGTGTGATGGGGGAGCCTCTTTGCTGGAAACGGTGTGGGTGAATCTCTAAAAATATCCCGCGTCCCATAGGCTAAAGCCCAATTCGGGATGCAGCACGTTCTCTTAGTCTCCGAGTCTCTCTGCTCTACTGCAATACGTGCAGCCTGTAAGCGCCGAGACGAGGAATGGGATGAAAGAGGGTCGCATTTCATGGAAACAGAATACTTGCCAAGGTAGTATTCAGAAATGCATTTTGAAGAGTAGTTATTCCTGGTAGTAATAGTAGTACCAGTACGGAGTACTGAATTTTCCTTTTAATCTACTCCGTATGCTAGTATCCAAATCCCTAATTAGCAGTCTGGCTCGCTTAGTTACCTGCTACGCTAGGATGGATGTCATGCTGTATGCAATAGGCACAGTCCACATCGTCGATCGTCTGATATGGGGGGACAGCTTCGCCACACCCACTCCCGGCTCAGCAAGCCAACCCAACCAGTGCCCTGCAAATGGGACGCATTATTACCCTCGCTCTCTACGAGTCCGGAGCAACTGGCAGTGAGATAAGCGCCGGCGGGCAAGATTGACAAGGCCGTAGTAAGACCTGCAGCAAAACGTGGGACTGAATACCGCTACGTGCCGCTGCCACAAGGAAGATGTTATTGTTCCCAGCTCTCGTACCACTGCGACTTGTTTCTCGTGCACCTGCGCGTCAGGGCTCATGACATGTCTGAGACAAGCAGTTTGAAATGAGTGCTGCGGTCGCATTGGCGGTGACTCTGTGCTCAGGTTCCTGAGAGGTGTCGTAGGCTCTGGGTACCTAGTACTTATCTACCTAACATGCTGCAGCATAGCGTGAGGGTATCACGTACATTGGAGATGCCAACCACCACCGCCATGTGCAATCCCTCTGGATGCGGAATGCTTCCGGTGGCGCCCAATACAAGCTACAAGGTACATGAAATGTCCAAAAAAGATGAAACCAGTGTGTTGATCCCACATCCTTCGCCGAAACCCCTGCGACACATGACTTGTGGGGGAATCACCGTCGAGTGAGTGCCGTTGATGGATTCTGCTCGGGACCGTTGGTGATGCCGCCTCTGCACACACTACAGGTATGAGACCGGCATGGCGAAGAGTATTATGGCTCCTGGCAGGTAGCGAGTAATGAGATGGGGAATCGATGTGCATGCGAAATGCTGGTAATCATACAAACGGCAGGTGAGCAGCTGTTTGAGCGAATCCTTGCGGCACATCGCCTGGAAGTAATACTCGCAGCGGGCGCTGGCCGCAGTTCCAAATGCCTGGCCTTATACCCAGCAGCATCTTGTAGACCTATCTGCTGCTCTCATTTCCGGAATAAGGCAAGGGGAGCTGCTGCCGCAGGCCGTACGTCCATGTACTCAGTACTTCGCGATGCACTAGCGAGGCGCTAGCTGGATTTGTAGCTCATCTGGCCCCCAACTCGCCCGTTAGCCCGCAATTCTTTAGCGACCACCAGCTTGGTTCTTCATCTCATGTCCTTGGGCCTTCGGAGGGGGAAAAAAAAAACACGAGTAGAGAGCGTGGGTTGCTGGCGGAAAAGGATGGTTCTCTTCGAGTGGCTGAGATGAGATGAGATTGCAACTGGTTTGGCCAGATCTACAAGGATGCTGCGATGCACACAGACCATACTGGCGACCAGAATCCAGGGACAGAGCGCGAGAGCGAGAGAGAGTCAGAAAGCAGAGGCAGCGACTAAGAAGCAGTGACTAAGAGACAGTGACTAATAAGAGGCAGCGACATGGTTCCTGGCCGCGGTGCATGTATGTACGAGGAACCAAACGGCTGGTTTTCCCTCCTCCCTTCGCTCCTCCACCCTCCCAAGCCCATCAAGTGATGTGGACGTTCCGGTGGTCTATGGGTCTTGGTACGCAAAAGAACCGCTTGGAAAGGACGCTATTAGCACCGTACCGCCTATAGTTCTGACCACAGCGGACTGGATTCTGCGGTCGCTGCAAGCACGGCACTCCTGCGTTTGACAGCAGCGGCTTCATCAATTCACATCACCATACGGCGAGCTAGTTGGCCATTACGGAGCGCCATGGCGGGCACTCTCGGGCTCCACGGGAGCGGGCCATGGCCTCGTGGACGCGGAGACTACTTGTCCATCATTGACGTCTCTCTTGGGATTGCACTAAAGGGAATGGCGTGCGCCTGTTAAACAAACCCCTGGCCCACCGGGACGTCAGCTCTGCGCACCATGGGCGCTGGAAAGAGGGGGACCATTTTCAGCTCTGGGCCATCCTTACATCTTCATTTGCAGCGCTCCGCCAGCTGAGGTGCGAGAGGTGGCTGCCGCCGCGTCGTTAGCAGTCCTTGCTGAAACCAGAGGCGCGCTGTGATTCGTCGCTCTGGGAACCGTCAAGGCAGGGAGGAGGCGCTCATGGCAACTTCACCGATATTCCCAAGAGTTTCGAGCCGTGTTCGGAGGGGGCATCAAATTTCCTGCTTTCTCTTGGACGGAGGTGACCGATGCGTGGTAGATGCCTTCTCAGCCGCATGCCCCCTTTCCAGCAAGGAAAAGCAGCTACTTTGTGCGATGCAGGAGACGGCGTGAGGGCACTTGCATAGCACAGCGCATACGCATGAACGAGATATACGAACCTTACGCATCATCACCTGCAGCTCGAGGAGGTGTGAAACCGCTGTGTCAGTATTACTGCAGGATCCTTTCTAGAACGGAAGCATAGAAGAGTGCGATGCCCTCTCTACAAGGTACTGCAGCAAATCCTTCGAGGGTAGTAAGCGTCTGAAGAGGTGGTCCTTTGGCCAGTGGCTCCGGCGGGCTGGGAACACCAAAGGCTTGTCCAGAGACACGGACGGGGAAACCTTCTTCGCCCACCCTTGTCTTCCCCTAGGCTTGGGCCTACCAGACTAGCCGCCGATGCGCCAAAGGGAGCTTTTGTGTACGGGCAAAGCATACACCCTGGCTGATGATCATGAACCATTGCGCAAACCGCGCTGCCATTTCTAGCCAAACGGTGACGCACAGTATTCTGTCTAGTCTAATTTTTTACGTGATGCGCGCACCGGAAGAGAGCAATGCAGCGCCGGCCTATGAGCGCACAGCTCGGTGGCAAAACAAAAGACACGCCTCTGTTCTCGTGAACGTTGGCAGCTCTCAGAAAATCCTGGTTTCACTCACGCGATGCCCTGGGCGCCAACCACCGCTCAAGGAGACTTGCTTTTTGTGGCTGTTGGTCTGTCGGGGGGGAGAGACAGTCCCCACTGCCGTCGGATTTCGCTTCAGTAGAAGAGCCCACACACGCTCAATCTTGTATTACATGCTGCTACTAGCATTGTGTGAAGGAATCAAGTAGGTACTCTGCTAGTACGAGCAGACCAAGTATTACTGTATGCTACCAGATCTACTGTCAGCGGCAGTTCTCGCCGGGAAAAAAAGAACGAGCTCTGCTCCTGTCATTTGTCGCCAAGCGCGCATATCACGACAAGCCACGGCCATGTCTCACAATTGCTCATACAAGCTGCGAGCCTCAGCAGCCGGAATTAACACGAACTCCAAGGAAGAAGCAGCCTACGGTTAAGGGACCCGGCGAGCGAGAGCCATTCCCATCTAGCAACCCCGCTGGAGCCGCGGGACTGGGACCTTGACGCCATACCCGCGCCGTCCTTGGGATCCCCCTTGCTGGCTTTCTCTGCCGTCGGGACCGATGCGCTGCCCTGCCCTTTGCAAAGTCAGCGTGTACTTCGTACATCTCGTTAATTCCGTGCACAAGCCTGCCGTGCCAGCCCACGGGAAAAACTGGGACAACCGTCCTCATCCAGCCTGTCGCGCGTCTTGGAGCCCAAACAGGAGATCAGCGAAGGCAGGCGGACGCCCTGGCCTGCATGTCGATAAGAAGCAGCGTTCTAATTATATCCTCCGGCGCGCACGTCTAGTCAAGCCAAGGTCTTCCCCTACGACCGGTACGACGCACATTGTATGGACGTATGTATGGCATAGCAGAAATCCTTGTGTGCCCAACTTTGGCGCGGCCGCAACACCCATCAATCATGGCGCTGCTTATGACAGGCAGACGTTTTCTTACCCCCTCCACTGCCCGCCACCCTCTCTGCTGTGCTGCGCCCAATGAAGTGTATGCAGCCGGCATACGATTCGCAGCACTCATCTGGACGGAGCATTTTAGTTTCTACCCCAGTCATGGCCCGTTCGCTCCCGCAGGCAGGGCTGGCTCAACCACGCGGCGGCGTCTCCACCAAGTACCTCCTACCGACATGGTTCTGTCAGCCTCGGACCGGGTCTAGCTCAGCAGTGGGAGTCTGGTAGGGTTGGGGGTGCGCCAGAGGGATTGGATTCCCCCCGGGCTGGGAGTCCTTGTACAGGTACCCAGTACGAGCGACGCGGGAGCTGATGCTGTCGACACCGCTTTGGGAGACAGAAACTCATACCATGCCGTTTTATCTGGTTTTACATGCACCCCATAGCTCAGCTGCCAGCCCACGGCTCGTCATGGAACCAGGATCATGAATCCAAGGGCTTCACCATGGAGTCCGGCTATGTTAGCCCGCCGGGGTCCCGTTTACTCCCACACATCAACATACATGTAGACTACTTGCGCTCTCTCTCTCTCTCTCTCTTTGCCGCTGCCGTCACCACCGCCATACTCCATACTCCAGAAGCCACGGGTAATGCGTTGTCCTTTTCCTATATTTGTCTCTTGAAAGGCAACCAAGGTCGTATCGTTACTGGAGACCGGTGTTTTGTGAACTAACGAGGCTGAGGCTGGGACGATCGCCGACTCTCCTCCCACCCCAACCCGCGGGTTTCCTTCCTGTCGACCACTTTTGTCTCTCCTACACCACCAACATACCCTTGCTCTCCTTTATCCGTGCTTTTTCTCCTTGAGAGAGACTCGGCATTTTAATCCATGATCTTTACAAGTTGCTTCACTTCACGTTACGGCACTAGCAGTACCTCCTCGCAGCCGGCTGGGCTGTGTGTATACTAAGATAGACTCTTGTGCTCCACGACTCCCCGGTACCTGCTTCCTTCATCTTTATTAACCTGCATCTCATCTTTGATCTGGGTTATCCACAATGGGGAGCCTCAGGAACATTATGAATGTCGAAGACGACCACGCCGACTCTCACTCCATAAGAAGGGACCGAAGGCCAACTTCGAGAACCTCCATCGATCAAGATCTCTCCGTTCCCATGCCCAGATATAGCATCCCTGTGGATCTATCCAGCCAAACATCTCTTCCTCACATCATTCACCCCGCAGCACAACCCCTGGGATATAATAACCATCCTGGAGGCCGTCGACGCAGCAACACTAGCACTGACTCCATGGACTCTTCCTATGGGCAGGGTCAGAACCATTCATCAGCATACTACACCGGAGCGAACATGAGGCCCATCATACCAGGAGGCTCTTCAGGGGAGCACCCTGTCAAGCTGACGCCCATTACTGGGAGAGTTAGTCGGGCTAAGAAGGGAGTTCCTGTTCATACGTGTGATACCTGCCGACCACCAAAGGTATGTCACTCATCGTCGTCGCTTATGTCTCGTGTTTTGTAAAGGGTATATGCTAACATGGGATCTTCTCTTTCGCTCGGAAGACATTCACAAGAGCAGAGCACCTAAGGTATGTCGTCGCTCAACACACTCTCTCATCTCATCCTTTCATCATCGAATGTCTAACTCACCACCTCATCTTTCCAGACGACATCAATTGGGTCATCAGCCACCCGAGTTATCTTGCACAGTCTCTGGTTGTAAGAAAGTGTTCCACCGCAAAGACCTATTGGACCGACACCTTCAAAGGCAGTAAGTCTTTCACCTGCCCCAATATCATCGCAACAACTGGGACAAGTGCTGAATATAAGCATTAGTGGCGAACAAGAAGGTAGACTGAAACGAGACTCATCCCGACGGCGGCGATCTGGCAGCAGTCCAGCTCGACCTTACAGCAGTTCACCACCAGCACCCTCAATGCAAGCAGCCTCACCTTATGTCGCCGCTGCTACAACGCCTGCCTCTAATATGGGAGTAGTCGCTGGTCACTGGTCATCAGTCAACAGATCGACGCCGCAAGGAAGCGTAATGCAATCGCCGCACATGCGAGATACACAAAACACATATCAGATGGCAGATATCGGTGTGGTCGATCCCAGCATGGCCGTACAGATGCCGAATTCCAGAGTTGTCTCTGGTTTCAACGAAGCTCCTCCTACTGGACTTAGCGCGCTGAACCCCCCCGTCCCCGAGCTCTGCATGCCTGAAACTACTTCACCAAGCATCACCTGGACGGATAGCTCGGGCATTCCATCAACTGCTCCAGGAAGTGCTTACTCGACCCCTGCACCTGGCAGCTCCAAGTTTCAACATTCGACTGGTCGAGCTCACAACGCTGAATGGACAGGGCAAATTCCATCATATACCACATCTCCAAGCCCCGTCATCACCGATGGCAGCTACGCCATGCCTTTTGCTTACGCTACTACCCCTCCGCAAGTTTATGCCTCAGTCTATGGGGATAACATAGGGACTCCCTTTCATACCTATGAACACGCCCCAAATCTTTACAGCCCACATCAAATGCTCGACACTTCAGTCCGCAGCATGAGCCCGCCACAGCTGATCGTGGGCCAGTCAAGTGAGACTCTGATCGCAGCGCCGTCTGCGCTACCTGTGGACCGCATGATGTATCCTCGCAATAGCGGCCGCGAGCCTGTAGATGCTCTTGGCCTATATACGTTGATGCCAGCGCCTACAGTTTTAAGTCAGCAAATTCGAGACATGATTCCAACTTACATCGAGGTATACTGGGATAAAGTGCATTCCCAGCATCCAATAATCCACAGACCAACATTTGAAAATACTACGAATGTACCCGAAGATCAACTCGAGATACTCAAGTGCGCCATGGCCGCTGTCGCCACTCAATTCCTCGAGCATGTAGAACATCGCTCCAATGGACACCAGCTGCATACCTATGCAATGGACAAGGCAAAGATGGTGAGAAAATACAACATCACGCCAACTACAATCGATGGGCAATAGCTAACATTTCTAATCCAGTACACCGACTCTGGAGCTCCAGAATGGCCGGTTGTGCAAGCTACAATTCTAGGCGAATATTATGCTGTCTTCCGAGGAAGGAACAAGAAGGCATATCAAAAATCGCCTCGCTTTGAGGCACTCTACCAAATGGTTAGTCCTCGCTAGATTTATTGGTTCTCGTTCATCAACCGACGTTTCTTTCTGCCCTCAAGTAAAGCGTTTTGTTTTATTCTTGTCTTCTTCTTCTTTTTTCTGTTATACGTTTTCTGGGATCCTTAAATCTCTTCTCTTCTTGCATGATTATGAGCATCTCATACCCCCCTTTCAAAAATCTGTTTTAAAAAATTTCATTTGAATTTTCTCGCTCGATACCACTTTGGTTCTTTTCTCTACTGTATTACCCCTTTCTCTCTCTCTCTCTCTCTCTTCTCTCCTTCTCTTCTATTTCTTTTTGTACAATTTTTATTCTTCATCTTTTCTTCTTATTTTGGTGTTTCTCTTTTTGAAATCTGGTAAAACGAAATCATCATCTTATATCTTACTCATTTGTACCTTGAATGCAGGTCATCAACTCACAAACCACCTACCCATCGAACATAGAATCGTGCGACGCTTCCCAACAATGGAACATTTGGGTTCATGTGGAATCAAGGAGACGCCTATTGGCTGCCTGTTTCCTTCTTGACGTCCATGCGTCGTCCTATTTGGAACAACCTCGTGCTGCGATTATTGGCCTGGACTATACAGACCCTGCGACTCTTCCAGTGCCGCTGTCAATGGGCACGCTACATCTATGGGACGCACAAAATTACGAAGAATGGAGTCGTATGAGCCAAGCAGCTATGCCAGAGACTATTGGAGCGACGAGTCTTGAGCATATCTCTGCTGCTAATATTGCATCGATCCCTGCCTTTGATGCATCGCTGTTTTTGCTCGCATTCGTTCTGCAGCTCCCACAACGACAATCTCTTACAAAGATTGATCTTTTGGACAATGCTTCAAGTATTAGCATGAGTCATTTCAGAATCATGAATCTGTTCCCAGATTCACCAGTTGCAATGTCACATCTTGCCCTTCATTATACTCCTCTGCATACCCTCCTGTCAGTCTCCGGCGACAGCTGGGTTTTCAACAAAAAGGTGCTCCAAGCCACCGACTTCATGGAGCATCAGAGAGAACTTGAAAAATGGCGAGACTCCGGCAGTGCCGCTGTCGCGACCGCATTTGCCTCTCGAGCACTCAACCTATTCCTTGGCCTCTCGAGATATGCGACCAAGGATGGAAGCGCCTCCTCCATACCTCCACGTTTCCAGCGCGCACAGCAAAAGGACATTTCCGACTTTTGGGGCATCTATGTCTGCGCTCTCATCTGCTGGGCCTTTGGACACATCGGCATCAGCCGCACTGAGACAAAGGCGCCAACTCGGAAAGCCGCCATACAATGGCTGCTTGACGTTTCGAGTATGGAGCCGGGCCAGATCGAGGAAATGACTGTGCGGGATAAGCAAGTTGGATCCGGCGCTGTGAGCCTTGCGCGCGCGGCGCTCGAGAAGGATTGTCTGGGCGGACGAAATATCTTACTTGCCGATGCTGTCGGTGTTTTGAAGAAACTTGAAGAGGGTGATAACTATAGACGATTTTAGGGAAGTTTTTCTTTTTCTTTTTCTTTGTTTTGCTTTATGGAATTTTTGTCTTGTTTTGATTTGTTTCTTTTTTATCTATCTGTTGTTTCTTTTTATTTTGATTTTGTTCTTCTTTATGATACACATGAATGTGGCTTATTTTTTTTTTTTTTCCCCTCTTCTCTTTCTTCCTCTTTTTTTTTTTTCCTTTCAACAGCATGATTTGGATATAACGGCCGGCAGATGGTTTTAGTTAGCTAAAGAGCAGGATGCATTCAATGTTTTTCTAAGGCGCATGAAGCGTGTATGGGATTTGTGCGCAGCTCATTGGGTTCATGAGCAAGGAAGCGGGCATGGAAAGCATATATATCAAACGGATCGGACGCATGAGATAGCAAAGAGCCTTCTTTTTCTGAATACAATTGTTTTGATTTTTCTATACATGGATTTTTGGTGCTAGTTAAAATTCCTAAGCGTCAAGAGTTGCTATGGGATATAAGACTTGCGAGATAAGACAGTGATGCATAGGCTATTTACATACATATGCTCTTCTTTATGCTTCCAAGCGTGACTACTTGCCTTAATCGTACCCTTTTTGATGCTTTCTATCTGTGCAATTTTTTCAATATCACAATGCTAGGCTTTGATCTAGTGCTAACGATATATTATACCATACTAATAGTAATAAATGAAACGACCCAAAGGTTTTTTTTTGTTCTTGTCCCCGAGCCCACAAGCTGATCCTGTTTCTCAAAAAAAGCAAAAATAGTAAGTAAGTGCAATCGTCTTCCCTATCCCCTTTGATAGCTAAACAAAAAAAAAAAAAAAAAAACCCCTTTCAACGGAAGAAAATCAGTCCGTAATAAAGAAGAAACTTCCCCTCCCTTCCCCTCCTCACTTCCTCCCTCCCCATTCAAGTATCTTTATCATCCGATATCATCCTCCCTATCACCCTATTCTAGATGCTTAGCCCTGTAGATCGTGCCCGCTCCCTCAATCTGGATATTCACTAAGTAGTATTAATACATGTCCCATCATTCCGAAGGAAAAAAGGTGTGACGACGAAAAGGCCAATCTGCTGCGGATAGCAGTTTGAGCGGTCTCTACTATTTCCCACCTAGCTCTTCGAACTGTTAAAACGTCAAATTGGGAACCATCCTTATCAGATGTAAATTCCTGGCCATTTTGTTTATCGAGCGTAAGGGTGGAAGCCTCTGCTTCCACCCCGTCCACCGCCACGGTAGTTTGCGCCAGGCTTTCCAGCATTCTTTGGTCCCGTTGGGGCGTTGGCCGGTGGTGAGTGCTGAGGATCAGGGGTTCCTCCCTGGCCGACGCTTCCACCACGTCGAGATGATCCCTGGTTGGCATTGGGTTGCGGCACATCATCGTACATGCCCTCCCAAGATGTAGGAGCTCCTCCACCTCCACCCATGTTGTTGTATCCGCCGCCGCCATAGCCTCCACGGCCACCTCGCCTACCACTACCATGAGGGCCTTGGGAACCTTGCTGGTACTGGTCATAGCCATTATAGCTACCATCACCATTGCCCTGAACACCGCCCTGTTGCTGCTGCATCATTTGTTGTTGCATCTGTTGCATCTGCTGCATCATTTGGGGGTTCATGTTGTTCATCATGTTTTGCCCAGGGCCACCACCACGTCCCATCATCTGCTGCATCTGCTGCATCTGTTGCATTTGCTGCCACATGGCCGGGTTCATCGGCATACCTCGGGACATGGCCATTTGTGACTGCATCATGGCAAAGTATTGCTGCATTCGTTGGAAGTATTGGGCCATGAGCTGTGGTGTCATAGCCGAGTTGTTACCAGCCATCTGCTGACCCATTCCGCCCTGGCCGGACTGGTCTTCGCCCTTTCTGAATTTTCCACGTTTAGATGCTTCCTCCTCCTCTCGTAGGTTGCCTCTTGGCTGAGCCTTTTTAACTTCGATGGGCTTTCCATGTATCTCGAGTGGCACATTGATGCAAGCATCCACGCCGGCTTCGCTTTCAAAAGTAACGAATCCAAAACCTCGAGGCCTGCCTGTATCTTTATCCATCATCAGGGTGGCATCAACTACCCGACCAAACTGGGCAAAATACTCCCGGAATTCTTGGTCCGTAGTATCTTGGCTGACTCCACCAACAAAAATCTTGCTGGTCTTTTCTTGTTCATCGCGAGGAATCGCTCTCTTGGGATCAATCTTGATACCAAAGTTAGAAAAAACAAAAGCAGTTCTTGATACCAAAACATTGACAGGGGAGAAGACCCACAATTTTACCATCCAAGAAGTGTTCCTTGACCATGACGATGTTGACAGTTTTGGCGTCCTTGAAGGTCAGGAAGCCAAATCCTCGAGATCGGCCGGAGCTACTGTCTCGCATTACAGTACACTCGACGACTTCGCCGAATTGGGAAAAGTAGTCTCGCAGAGATTCTATCGGCTATCAGTATCTTTCAAGATCACTTCAATGGGACGAATCGGGACATACGGTCAGTTGTCTCCCAGTTTAATCCACCAATGAACATTTTTCTAAATTAGCAAACGTTAGCAATCGGCATACAAAACACTATGGGCTCTTTGTAAATAGCAGATGCAGATAAAAGAAAGCCAAATCAAATCAAATCAGATCAAATCTCATTTATCGTAGTGCGCAGATTAGAGGCTGAAATTTCATGGGGCGATGATAGGAGAGATGTGGCGGTTGCCGGCTTTCTTTGATATATAAATGGGATCCATGATGAAAGTCCATCAAAATACGTTGTTGCTGTCACCTAGTTGGCCGCTGAGGAAACGCGCATATATATCCCGGGCTAAGGCTATGTGCTTGGCCCTGCCGCCTGTTGTATAAGGAAGGACTTATAGGGATGAATATATGCGCATGACCTTAGATGACACATATATGACTGTCGGCTTTCCCAAAATCTGATGCGATACATGTCCAAGGCATTCCCTCTTACTTGCCGGGGTTGAAGCAGAGATTATAACAATAGTTGTCATTGACGGCGTTCAATGGGCCCCACTGCGACGCGATGCTTGATAGATATCCAATGGCATGACAGCGGCTGCAGAGGGACGCAATGTGCCAGAAATATGTCGAAATTTGTTTCCTTTCTTTTCTGTCTTTCGTCTTTTGTGCTATCGTTTGACTCTGTCTCTGACTGTCTGTTGCTAGGTACGGTATGACCCTAAGCGCTACCCGCTGTCAATCTTGCTACAGCCTCCTGAGAAGTGCATCTGCTCTCGTCGGGCTATTTTAAGACTCTGTGACTGAGAGCTATAATAGACAAGAAGAGTTTCCATAATGGAATTGAAAAGAGTTGGTCGGTAGGTCATCTTGCTTTGTCCTCAACTTTATCAAAGTTTGAACCCCCACCAGCCTCTAGACGGGCAAAGGCCATTGCTTCCTTTTTTCATTTCCCTTGGAATATCTCTCACTTGGGATGGCGTCTTAATTGAACTCTTCCCGGTGATATCAGGATAAACCCCAGCCGACAAACTCTCATCTTCGTTGATACTTTGCTCCCTGGTAGACTAGGCCATTCCACCGCTGAACCTGATTGCTCTCCCATCTTATCAAGCCAGACACTTTGCTCTAAGCAAAGTATACCATCATATGGTTGCAGGATGCAGGATTACGCGCTGGCTGATAGTTCTTACCATCACATTGCAACACTGCTGCTGACACTTGTCGCAGGCAGTATGGGAAAAGGATTATACACGGAGTATTGTAGCATCACATAACAAGAGAACTCACCCATCTTCCTTGGCACTAGCTTTGTGAACAGTGCCGTACGGAGGAGTCGACGGCATGTCATCTTGTGGCATCATATTGGTGTTGTTTGAGGCTCCCCCTCCTCCCAAATTGAAGTCAACGTCGTCTTCATCGTCGTCTACATCCTGGTTCATCGCATCGTGGCCGGCGTCATCCAGATCGCCAGCAGGAGCAGGAGCAGCTACTGGCTCGGGCTGCTCAGAAGCTTTGGCGTCAGTATTATGAACGGCACTCGCGACCGGCGCGGCGGGCTTTGCGTCGTTATCTTCGTACCTACGAACTCGCCAGGTTAGTATATCGATAATGAGTAGATCTGGAGGAATTGAACGGCCTTACAGGTCGGCGAAGAGGTCGTCCTCAAAGTTCTCGGCTTCCGTCATGATGGATAATTGGATAAAGGGGTGAATTCAGAATTGACGTAAGGCGAAAATACCAGATGCCGCGAATATGAATCGCTGGCAGCGCCAAACTATCACGAATCGAATACCAGACGAGTACCTGAGTTAGTAAAATTCCTTCGCTGTAAAACAAGCAACGGATGGTTTTGATGGCAACGTGGAGAGAAGAAGATGAAGAGATTGACAGAGATTGCTGGCGACGGGTAGGTGTTGGGCGTGAGGATACTGGAGGATGAAGTTGCTCCTTGGGAAAGCTTAAAAGCAGACCGCGCTTTGCTACCTAGCTGCTGACTAAGGCAAACAATCCGTGCCCAGGTACGGAGAACGCCGTCAATGGGCGTGCTTGTGCAACACGAGCTCTATTTCTCGCCAAGAATGTGGTGAGTGGTTAAGAGCATGTTGTACAGAATACACGCCTCGCATACGGCCAAGGCTTTGAATCGTCCTTATCGGCGTTCCTGCGCCTTGATTTCTCTCCGTGAAACAAGGCTGGGCTCTGCATTTGTTGTAGAATATACTCATCAATACTCAATCACTATCTGCGAGGCGGTCATATTGCGCCTAAAGTCTGCCTTTGTGTTAGCGTGCATGTACCCCTAGGTAGGGTACGGTATCGGGTGTCTCCGCAGATGGCCAGGAGGTGCCAGCCTTGTCAACGCGAGGCAACAAGTACAGCCATTAGCGTTGGTCACGGCCATAATAGTGCTTCCAGCGGCCTTTCAGGGCCATTACCCCGCCTTAGCATCGGCACTTCAGCGCAGTGCCTCCTGTACAGACTTTGTACATGCATCGTCCCAGCGCGTGGCCTAAATGGAGCTCGGCTGAGACAAGTGGACAAGACACGGACAAGCAACATCAGCGATTACAACTTGCTTGGCACGGTCACTAGCATTCAACTCGTTCGCCCAACACCCCGCATAATGAGGCCTCCCCTTCGCGCTTTCGACGACCATTCGTGAACATGTGGTCGTCCTCTGGGAGCGGCAAGAAGCCGGTCAATTCAGTAAGTACATGCAGAACCCCCTCCTGGGCCTGTGTCACAACTGGCGACGAACGGTGATGCTAACAGCTGATCTCCATAGCCACAGGAGATGGTGCAGGTCGGTATGTTATCTGAAAGCCTTCCATCGCGGCCGATTGCGAGGGGCAATGCGCCCTGAGCAGCGAACAATGGGATGTGTTGCTGACCGGAGCTCAATTCCTTCGCGCGTTAGATCGGTCTGAGTATGCTGCATCACCCCATCCCGTCCTCAACTCCAGCGCGCTCGTTTCGCTAATGGCACTTGCCTGCTACAGATCAGCCTCTCCATTTTGGAGGCCACCGTTGCGAGACAGTACCGCTAGAAGAAGCGCCACGAACCCGGCTGGCCGAGATGGTTCTAATCTGGTTGTTGGGGCTGCGTACTCCCACGCGGATGTCCTCAAGTTCGACACGCTGTACGATGCCGCCGCAAATCGCACTATCCTGCCCGGTCGATATCGCTAACATTGGATGATGAAGAAACCTCTCTAGTTCTTCTTTGCCTCGTCCCAGAACTCCCCCTTCAACGTCTTCCTCTAGAAATCGCATCGGTGACGCCACTCCACCGCCGCCACGTGGCTCTGCGGCCTCTACCTCGCCACCCTTCAAAAGCTATATTAACTTCCTGTCGAATACCAACGATGATTGGAAAGCGGACGAAGATGAAATGCTAGGGTATGAAGACGACGATGGAGACGACTTTGGGCTCCCTAGCCTCTCAAACATGAAGAGAAGATCGAAACGAATAGCCACTCAGAACAAGTCTGATTTGAACCAAGAGCCCTCGATGTATGGAAATGACAGCTCATTTGGCGGAATCCGGGCCAGGCGATATTCAAACAGCGCAGATATTTCAGCTGAGCGCCCGGCACCTACCTACCCCATGCCGAAGAAAAGCGAGGGAAAGATCCTCCGGCCACAATATAAGGATATATTGAGAGGTCAGACCTAATTACCCATTGCCTCTCTGATGTGCCTTTTGCTGGGCAGTTTTGAGACGTACTAACTTTACTACAGACCCGGCAAATGCGCTTCATTTGATAAACTATCCTTCTATTCCCAGTAATGCACCGCAGAAAGAAGCTGACGCAATTAATTCTCGAATAACCCGTATTAATAAATTTAAACGACTCCTCCAAGCGTCGTCGATATCACTTCCCGACCTTCGCTCGCTGGCATGGTCGGGTGTACCTCATGAAGTCCGTGCTATGACATGGCAACTACTTCTCAGTTACCTCCCTACGAATAGCGAGCGGCGAGTCGCTACTTTGGAGAGAAAGAGGAAAGAGTACCTGGATGGAGTCAAGCAAGCATTTGAAAGAGGCGGAACAACAGCCGGCAGCTCTTCAGCTGGAAAAGCGAGGGGTCTAGATGAAGCTATTTGGCATCAAATCAGCATTGACATACCCAGAACAAACCCTCATATTGAGCTTTATAGCTACGAGGCAACGCAGAGGTCGCTGGAACGCATCCTCTACGTCTGGGCTGTCAGACATCCTGCCAGCGGGTATGTTCAAGGCATTAACGATCTAGTTACTCCGTTTTGGGAAGTTTTCCTAGGACTCTACATGACAGACTCTGATATTGAGACTGGCATGGATCCTGGCCAACTGCCCAAGTCGGTTTTGGACGCCGTGGAAGCAGACTCATTTTGGTGTCTTACTAAGCTCCTTGACGGCATTCAAGACCACTACATTGTTGCTCAACCTGGTATTCAGAGACAGGTGACTGCTTTGCGAGACCTAACTGCCAGGATTGACTCCAAATTGTCCAAACACCTCGAGCAAGAGGGCGTTGAGTTCATCCAGTTTAGTTTTCGATGGATGAATTGTCTCCTCATGCGCGAAATCAGCGTAAAGAACACGATTCGCATGTGGGATACATATCTTGTAAGCCAAATCCCTATTTGTTAGCCTATTGTCAGCCAATAGCCAGCTAATCAGAAAATTAGGCCGAAGAACAAGGCTTCTCAGAATTTCATCTCTACGTTTGTGCAGCGCTTCTTGTAAAGTGGTCTGACAAATTGGTAAAGATGGATTTCCAGGAGATTATGATGTTCCTACAAAGCCTTCCCACCAAGACATGGGCCGAAAAGGATATTGAGTTGCTTTTAAGCGAAGCATTTATCTGGCAGAGTCTGTACAAAGGCTCGGCAGCGCACTTGAAGGGCCAGCCGCAGCGTCCCTTGCTAGCGAATCTACAATTATAGCGTGAAATGGCAAAACACTCGAGAAATCGATAATACGAGAATAATATATATACCACTGATAATTTTTTTGGCATACTTCTTATGTCGGAAGGCGATGCGTGAGGAATGAGCTCTTGTACGCACAGATCACGTGCTTGCGCGTGAAGTGCGTCTGACCGCGTTGTAGTCCGTAGTGCTGTGCCAGCTATCATTGTTATAGCCTCCTAGCTAAGCCCGCAAGTAAGGCAGCAGGGTTGGCATCTGGGAGGTTGTTTTTTTTTTTTTTTTTTTTTTGCTTTTTTTAAGCTTGTTATTCATCAGCATGGGCCCTATAACTATTGCGGATTCTGATGATGAAAGTGACTCAAACGAGCAGATTGCCGCCCCTTCTCTTGTGACAGTCCGTCAGGCGCAAACGCGATCATCTGAACAGGGGAGTCTTGCAACCGCTTCAACAGACTCAGCTTTCTTCCAACAAATCTTTAATGAACAGAATGGTGCTGCTTGTGAGAGAGCAGTGCAGCTGCAGCTACAGCAAGAGCTAGAAGATGCGCCTCACCAAAGCTCGGCCATGACAATCCCCGACGTTCCCTTTCAGCGGACCACTAAAGGGTTTTATCATTCATCCCTGACATCGGTAACGGATCCCCATTCAGAAAAAATACGTAATTACCCAACAATACGGTCTTCGGAAAGGACGTTGGAGAGGACGCAGGAAAGGACGCAGAGCGCAGTGGACCCTTGGGAAGTACCAAGCAGTCCGGGAGCGCCTAAAGCACTGGAAGAGCAATCGAAGGATTATGGGAACGATGAACCGGATCAATCATACGGGAGAGATAAATCTCCTCTGTGTGCAGATACACCCCTTGAAAATCGTTGGGACGATCTTGAAACTATGGAAGGTCGAGACAAGAAACGAAGACGGCTAGACAAGTCCGAAGAAGCTCTATCCCAAAGCAACGACATTGATTTGATCATGCCTCCCCATGAAAGCAAGCTTCTCATCACTAATGGTGAGCTGGAGATGGTAGCGGCATCGGGCACCCCGTTCCCTACCATGCCCATTGACGACGCCAACTCCGCATTTCATTTTAAACACTCATCCCCCGTGGAAAGTGTGTCTGGCCATAACTTGAACGCAGCATCTGATGGTATCCCAAAATACAACAATCTGCTCTTAAAGCAACAAACACAGTATGCGGTTGGATCAAGTGGCTCAGCTACCAACATCAATACACCTCGGAGCCAAATGTTCTCGCTCCAGAATTTTGGTAGTAAGGCTCCTGAGGAGCAAGGCAGCGCAATCACTACCAAGAAAATAGAATACCGAAACTTTGTCTCACGAAGAGACTCCTCTCCTGACATCATTTCTGCGCCGGTACCTGGTCTGGATGAAGTTGCTGTAGGTGGGCTACTATCCGGAGCATGATGAATTCAGAGAGCTAATGAAGTTTTATAGCCTGAGCCAGAGTATTCATCTGATCTAAACCCTGGGCCGAAAGCCGATCAGGAATACTGTGACGACAGAGACCCTTTGGCTGATCAGCCCCCGCCGCCAGAAGAGCTGCCGCCAGAAGAGCTGCCGGCGGAGGAGAGTGATGCCGAGTTCGTGGCACATCCTACGCCAGCTGCCAAGTCAAAGAAAAAGAGAGGTCGCCCGAAGAAGTCTCTGGAAACTGACGAGCCCCCACCAATAAAGCCCGCTGAAAGTCCTATGCCGGCGACGGATGCAATGTCGCCAGTTCCAACAACGCAGAAGAAGAAACGAGGGAGGCCTAAGAAGCAGTCAGGTGAGCCCGCTGCCGATGGTTCTCCTCTTCCTGCCACTATTCCCACCTCTGTCGGTAGCACTGGTGGAAAGAAGACGGGTGGAAAGAAGGCTAGTGGAAAGAAGAGAGCCATTGGTGATCACAAAAAAGCTGTCATCTTGAGCGACTCAGAGGGTGACCATTCTGCCGCAGAGAACCTCGCAGCGGAGGAGATAAGTGAGCAGAATAGTGCTGAAGAAACACCCAAAGCAGAAAGTACGGAAGATGGCCAGAGCACGGCGGCCTCGAGCAAGAAGAGTAAAACCAGGGATTCCCTTGACGGCCAGCTCAATCAAGATAACAAGTCGAAAGATGAAGATGAACCCGAAGAGATAAAGCAACATGCTACACGAGAGAAAGAAGAGAAATCAGGTGACAAGAAAGGGCTTTCAGCACTAGGGCTGGCCAAACCTTTATACAGGGTTGGGCTGAGCAAACGATCCAAAATCGCTCCGCTTTTAAAGTCAGTACGGAAGACATGACGGAAATTCGATGGCAGGAGGAATTGAAAAAGGCATTTGATATTGTTATAAGCGGATTTGTTATAGCCACTCAAATTGGTGGCAAGGGTCGAACTAATCAGACTCAACTTGGTTGCCATTTCATGGAGCGTGAGGCTCATTGAGTTGAGGGGCTCCACTCCCTACAGAGAAATAGGTGTGGCAGTTGGTTCAGCCCGCTGAATTTATGCCAACCGAATTATCATCAGAAGTAGAATTTTGGGAACTCCCGTATCATATGTATCGGCAGGCAGAAATGGCGGCATTATACTTACATAAAGGGGATGAGACCACTATTTCGGTATGCAGTCGACCATTTACTATAAAAGCTGTTCGGGGAACCAATAGGCCAATAGCCATGGAGCTGGATAAGTCTACGTTAGAGATGGCCTAGGTGTGCAAGCAGGCATCTAGGCATGACCATCGTCACGACACTTGTTTGACGTGGAAAGGCAGGTTTTACTCCATATCCAACCCTGTCTTGAATATATGGCATTAGATCAAGCTATTTGGGGTTTACCTAAATATTGAGGATCAGCATGGCTTGGTTTAGCTTACATGTATCACAAAAAGAAGCAGAAAGTTGTATAATCAACCACTGACTTCTTTTTTGAGAGAGAGAACCACGGTTATATTGGCAGTTGAGGATTACTCTAGGCAACATTAGGTATCAGGTTTTGGCTTGGGCCTGCCTGCTGTGCTGTATACCGCAGCAGTTTGAATATTCCCTCAGGCGACTCAGATGGAAACTTGCTTTCCTAGCTGATACGGCAATCTGGAGTTCCTTTGGGATGTCTATGCACTGAGCAATGTCTCCGAGGAGGGCAACAGACTTACAGAAGCACGGATTCTCAGACAAACGTGTCAACCCGCTAAATAGTTCAGGCGTATCATAGAACTAGCAGATTTATGCTTATATATATATATATATATATAATCTATCTTCTACATTGGGACTTGTAAAATATTCAATAGATCTCAGAGAGATGGATACTTTGGAGAAAAAAAATAATTATTCACAATCTAGTCCACCACAATTAGGGTTATTCTCAGCACAGCGTCCTAATCAAAATATTCCTAATGGATATTTTCTGTGGTAACCGCGGTTCTCCTGGTGTATAACCTGAGCTCCAACAGTATCACACTCCTCATCCCAGGGACCACAGTCGGCTTCACAGACAGCCTCACCATCCGGCACAACCCCAGTATCAAAGTAATCAGCAATATGCTTATGCAAGCAGGCACTCTCACCATTGCCCATCGCGCAATGCCCAAACGCCTCGGCGATCAGCAGCCCAGCGCCGGGATGCTGGGCGGCCATGGCACGCGCAGCAGCAAGAGGAGTCACGGGATCGAGGCGGTTGGACACAAAGAGGATGGGCGCAGCGGGATGGCCGGCGAGGGGCTTTCCCGCGGCTGAATACGCGGCTGGAGGCGTCGTGAAGGGGCCCTTGAAAACCCAGTTGGGGCGGAAGTTGAAGTTCCACGCGTTGCACGCCATGCGGATGTTGGACCAGTAGGCGCCGAAAACGGTCGACGTGCCGACCTGGCGGCGGATGTAGTGCTTCCACCACGTCGCATTGAGACCCGACACGTCGTCGCCGTCGGCGCAGAGCACGCCGGCGCCAGCTTCCTGGAAGAAAGCCACCGCGCCGCCATCGACTTCGCAGGCGTCTTTGAGACTCGGAATCTGGCGCGCGAACAGCCTCTCGACAATGGCGCTCGAGTTGCCCTTCATTGCGTCGTCAACCGCTTTCGCAAAGCCCCTGAACGAGTCGCGCGGCGTGTAGAGGGCCTGGCCGAGCATTTCGCGGATATCCTGGCTGCTGATGACGACGACGGCCCCCGTCGGGCTGACTGCGGAGATGGGCTCCTCGTCGAGCTTGCCGAGCCATTCGTAGAAGCGGCCTTTGACTGCCGCATCGTTCTCGCGGGCGAGGGCACAATTCTCGGGCCCAGCCAAGTGGCAGCCGGTGAAGAAGCGATCGGCCAGTTCATCGGTATCCCTGAGGTTGGTCAACCAGCCCTAAATGAGACAACGAATCAAGAATATATTAGCCAATAATTTCCAAAAAGAAGAGAACTGAAGATCAAAAGGATGTTTTTTTTCCATTGCTCCATAACGTACAGGTCCCGAAGAGTAATCCTTTGCATTAACAACGCCGTCGAGCATAAGTCGCCCAACACGGCCCGGAAACATGGACGCAAAGTAGTTTCCCAGCACCGTGCCGTACGAATAACCAACATACTGCAGTCGCGGGACATCGTCACCATCGTCAGTGTCAACATCCTCGTAGCTTCTTCTCCGCTTCAGCTCGAAGCGGGCATCGCGGGCATCCGCCTCACGCGCACGCAGCTCGGCAATCTTGTCCACCATGTGCACCATGTCGCGAGCAACGTTGGGCGTGCCCATGTAGCCCAAGATCTGGCCGCCGTTGACGCCGCTCTCGTCCGCGTCCTGGCATCGCCGGCCAATCGCCTTTTGCAGCGCCAGCACATACGGCAGCGCACCGCCGTCGAGCGGTCCGCGGCCGCGCAGCTCCAGCAGGGCGGCGTCACGGCCGAGCGTGTCGTGCGCGAAGCAGTTGGCGCGGGGCGTGCTGCTGCCGATGCCGCGAGGGTCAAACGACACGATTTCGTAGTGGCGACGGCCGGGCTTGTCGAGCACGTCTCGCAGGCCTTTGCCGCCGCTGAGCAGGGACTCGACGCCTGATCCTCCAGGCCCGCCGGGGTTGGTGAAGACGGGGCCGGCAAAGGCCGCGTCGTCGTCCGGCACCACGGCGGGCAGCTTGATCATGGCGAGGGCAATGGTTCGCGGGTCACTCGCATTCCTGTAGTCCAGGGGGGCTATCAGGCGCGCGCACTTGAAGCCGTCGAAGCAGTCGTGATACTCGAGATGCTTTGACGGCGCGATGGTCGTCCAGTCGAATTGGCTGCTGGCATTGCCGGCTGCGGCTAGGCCGACGAGGCCGTTCAAGGCAATTCCCACGGCAGCCCGCATTGTGAATCTAGAGTGCCATGCCAGATGAGACGGATTTCAGGACGGCAATGGCGGTTTATATAGTGCATGCATGTATACAAGGGGGTGCGACCCGAAGATGCATGTGATTAATAACAAACCGTAAAAGACGAAGGGATCGCGGGGCATCCCAACTAGGTAGGCAGGCACTTACACCCAAGATTGGAGGGCCGCATGCAAGAAACCGGCACCCCCAACGGCCAGCCAAAAACTCGAGTAATTAATACACCACCTTGGTCCATCCATGTATTGCCTTGCAAGCCCATACTAGAGTGTCAAAGTTGCCACTGCGCTGTGAAGCCTCCTCATTGATACGCAACAATGCCTAAACTCCGTGCGATGTAGTCGATAGGAATCGCTCCCCTGTCTCTTTTTTGCGGGTGGCGAACAAGGGCCGGTGATTGTTAGAACCAACAGCAGAACTTTTGTATCAAGCTACTGATTAGGCCTAGAGAGCCAGTAGTTGAGCCGATTATACACGGCTGCATGCCAGTTGGTCAAGGTGAGATAGGAGGCCTGTATACATAACCTTTATACATGAATGAATAAATCACGTATTAAAGTGCCCGTGTATTTTTGCATCCTTCTCTTCTTGCCAAACAAACAAAATTGTAATTGAATACCACACAAACATTTAAAATGTATAATGCATATTTTATTGATTTTCTTCCCCTGTTGTGGCTACCAAAAAAAAACCTACATGACAATTCACCATATGCCCCATACACACTTCCTCTCTTCTGAGTCTTCCCCACTACCTTGACGCTAAACAAAATCATAATAATAGAGCCGACGATGTGATGCCAGTGGCTTCAGACAGCAGTAAACCATCTGCGATTGCCTGTTACGGGTGCCAGAAAGAAGGAAGCTTGAACCTTAGAAAAGGAAGAGAAGAAAACACAAAGACTTGGGAGGAATGCCGGAATGGGCTGGGCCTCGAAACACTCCCTAAATATGAGACAGAAAAGAATAAGAAAAGAGAAAAGAGAAAAATGCGGAAGAGAAACGCGGCATACGCCCAGCTTTAGCCAAATACATTGGCTTGTACAAGTACAAGAAGAAGAAACACTTCCGCCATTACCCTCGTTGTTATACCTCTTTGCGTAGTTGCTGCAGTTGTAGACGAGAGGTGGAACAATGCAGACACAGCGTGCAGACTCTCACAAAGTTTTCAGGCCTTGGGTTCATCATCGAGGCTCTTGATGCGTTTTTTAATTATTTCAAAAGATGAAAAGAAAATGGCGTTGACGGCACAGGATCGAATCATGGAGACTCCCAAACCGCGATACATATGACGCTTGAAAAATTCGATTTTCGGTGCTGGTTCGACCTTTTCGCCGCGTGAATAAAGAAGAGCGTTCCTTTGGTAAATGCTCTTTGCTGAGTCGATAGGATCTACGGAAGAGTGTACACGATTAGCAAAAGTGTTGTAGGGAACAATCTAGAGTTTCCTCACAAATCATGGCCCATGACACAAGCCCGCAGAGGCCGCCAGCCGCAACAACAGCTAGCTTGTTGCTGTTCGGGCTATCGCCAGCAAATGTGGTTCCAAGCTGCTTCCCGCTTTCATATACCATAAAGTAAATGGCTGTGCCCAAAGTATCACGCACTATTTAGACAAACAAGTTAGATATAGTTGAGAGCACATGGAAACAGAGCTGCCAAGTTGCTACTTCTGCGTTGGGACAGTGCTTACAGAGATGTAACTGGAAACCGGTATAGAGCCCCAGAACTCCTCGGTGTTTAATTATGTTAGCCATAGTCTTCAGTGTGCCCTTATTCTGGTAGCTCTTAGCCACCTCGCGACTTCGCTTGCAGTCTGTAGTACGCTCCGCCAACAGCACGGAAACTTGAGCGCTGAGCTTTGTGAGTTCAAATGGACAAGCCAAAAATGTGATTGCGGATCCTGCGGTTGCGCCAGCGGCACCGAAGCAGGCCACTGAATAAAAGGTAGGATAGGTTCCAGGAGTGTTCGCATGGCGGTGAATATCGAATCCAGTGTTTTTCTTGATCCAGCCGGAGTAGGCATGCTTTGCCCTCCGATAGATTGAGAACGAGACGGTGCGGACGAGCGTAATGCTCGCCATGGGAGCAGTGACACCTGCAACTTGATTAGCCTACAGCGCCCTTATGTAGAGGACATGATATTGCATCCCGAGGGGACAATGAGGCAAGATGGAATGGGTTCGCCACAAACTCACCTCGAAAGAACCCCGCCAGAGCTTCTGTGCGGTAGGTATGTTTGACGCAGTCCAAGAAGCCTCGGTATTGGTATGTCTGCATGCGTGTCTTGACGCTATCGAGAGGGAAAGCCGCAAGTGTAGAAAAGACGCTGGATGTGCTGGCAGCGACCTCGATGCGATAGCGTTTTATGAGCGCGTTGGGCCATTCCCGCTCTCGGTCTCGTCCCCCAGAATGAGGCATGACAACGGCTGATGCGGAGCGGCCTGTGACATCTTGGTAGCCACGCTTGACCTCAGCGCTCATGCTTCTGGCAATTGGCGTCCGGTCACAACGCGTTCAGACGGCGATCTCGTATGAGACCAGAGTCTGGAGCGCGGATCGCAGCACGGCCAGCAGCCAGCAGCCTCTTGTCCATCAAGAGCCCACGAACGCAGAGTTCGGGAGACGGCTCGCCGGAGAATGACGATGTCTTTGCGTTTTTTTTTTATTTATGAGATTCGATTTCGGGGAACAGCGGATTAAGCGTGAGGTTGACCTGGAGTCGGATATGGAGTTTGTTTGATGACGATCAGAAGACGACACCGACGGCGTCTTCAGCGCGGAGTTGAGCTGGAGGCAGATGGAAGTAAAGAGAGAGAGAGAGATAGAAAGAGAGAGAGGTTGAATGACGGAGAGCCAAGTTGTGGCTGGAGATGGAATTGAGGCGACAGGTCAATCGGAAGACCTTTTTGACAGTGCTCGACAATGAGAGACGACGATGATTCGAGTGCCAGATGGGCGCTTGTTGCAAGTGCTGGTAATCGCTGCTAAGTGCCGATGCCGATGCCGCCGCTTGGACTGTGGCGTGAAACGCTGCTGGGCCACTGTTGATGTTATATGGCAGGCGATGGCGATGGCGTCGTGGGAGGAGAAAGAGGCCACCGCGCCTGGGAGAAGCTGCAACAGGCTCTGATTGACGACGACAGACTGTGCTCGGTGAGGGGTGTCTTCAGGGCTAAGCTCGAACCGCAGCCCCTCGGATTGAGCCCATGCTTTGTTCTTCGTTGGAGTTGATCAGATCCCGACTGGGGAGCGCCGTTGTGGGGAAGCTCGCGGCGTGGGAGCTGATAGGGCATGAGGTCACTGGGCGGCACTGTGCTGCCATGGGACCCCGCCTTGCAGTACTTGGCCTGCTATCTCGCCCTGCCGCCACTACGGGTAGCGAGTCTACGCCATGAAACTGTCGTCACATGCCGTTCTGTCTCGGGCTACTTATACCTGATAGCTACCTAGGCAGATGCACCTAAAGGCATTGGCAGAGCAAGCCCGACATTCAATCAAGCCCCATCGTCAAGAGTCGCTTCCCCCATGCACTCAATTGGCTGTTTGGCGGGTGAGACGGCCACCTTGAGGGGTTGTCCGCAATGACATTTGCCCATGTGGCCGGGCATCTGCTTAAGGACGTCATCAGCGGGAGGCAGCTTATCATGATGGGGTCCCTTTTTTCCCGGCCGGGCCAAGGAACAACAAACTGAATACTTGCGTTGCAGCGAGCAAGCCCAAGGCAACAACAAATTAAAGGCTGCATCGAGTGAAAATACCGCAGGTGTCACTTTTCATCTGCATCTTGCCGGATAATCAATTGCTGCGTCATATATGAGATGCTATTGCCGGTTTTGACGGCCAGGGAGGGAGAGCTGTGTGCAACACAAGGCGATCCTTCCACGCAAGCAACGAGTACGGAGCCCTAAAGAGAACAACGCCATACTAATAAGATTCACAAATATCAATTCAGAGGTGTTACTCTCTAGCTTTCATAACACCCAACAAGACATCGAAGAGTGAAATAGACAATTTCCTTAGTTTTTTTTCTCTTTTGTTTTTATAGACAGAGCAGTAAAGTAGATATTAAGCCGCTTGTGGAGTGTACTCAGTATACTCTTAGGATGACTATTTGTTCCAGCTGCAGCTCTTCTTTTTGTCTTTGTTTTGCGTCTTAGCCTCTTCCAGTCTTGGGAAATGTCAGCTGCAATACTAATCCCCCTTTTTTTTCTCCCCCTACTCATTTCGAGTCCCTTCTCATCAAGATCATTTCTAATGTGAAGCTGATGCGGTGCCATTCTAATACAAGGCAAGTAAACTAGCGGTATGAGGTAAGTGTACGGCCGCCGCCACAGCCATCCACATATCCAAGGCAAGAAGCTTTCTTTTACGAATAGCAAATCACCGCGGCCCTCCTGGAGACCATTGGTCATACTGGTCCCAGCAGGTGCTCGGAATTCCCTCACGCAGGATTTCGCACAGATGGGAAGCTTGGAATCGCCTCAGCTTTGAGTACTAATCCACAGCCATTCAAGCAGCAGGTACTTCTTGGCCTGCCTGTGGGACCGAAGAAGCTTCTCCAGTAACATCGCCTCCGCTCTCACCCGCCTCGCCAGCACCGCTGTCGTCCTCTGCTCCTTCTGGGGTGCCGTCTATCGCAGTTGGCAGCGATCCATCATGCAGAACCTTGAGGCGCTCTTCTTCCTTCTTCTGTCGCAGAGCCTCAGTCTCGCGACGCAGCTTCTCCAAGTTCCAAGGATCGTCTTCATCCTCACTCTCCGCCTCGGAATCATCATCTCTCCACTTGCCACTCTCGAAGAGGGCACGACCAGTGGAATCCTTAGCCTTGCGAGCCTGTTCCTCAGCGGCCTTCTTGTCCATGCGCTCCTTCTTCCATTTGGCAAAAGTCTCAGGCGTAACAGGTGTCAGCGTTCCGGTAAGCTTGTGACGCTCCGACTCCAAGAAATCTTCAAGAGTCAGAGTCTTGAGTGGAGATTTATCAAGAAGGGCCTTCTCTGCCGCCCTCTGCTCTTTCGTCTTGAGAATAAATCTAGAAGTAGACATTAGCATAATTCAGTGACGCCGTTACAAATCGTTCCGAATTCACATACCCGGGGGGGAGAGCATGCTTATACATGCACTTATCGCCACCATTTGGACAAATCCAAAACCAACCATACTTGCCGTCCTCGATGGCCTGGATGAAGAACTTGCACACCTTGTCGGTCGTGGTCTTCTGGTTACCCTTCTTGGACAAGACAACCTTGCGCAGTTGCTCTTCATCCCAGTCCGCAGAGGTTTCCTGCTTCTTTTTGTCATCCTCCTCTTGTCTAACATCCGTGTATAGGTTCTTCTTTTCCGTCTTTCGTTCGATACTCAAATCGTGAGCAAATTTGCACTTCTTTCCCTTTTCGCAGTCACCCTTCTTGTAGAAAATGCAGACGACCGTTTTGGGGTCGACACCAAACGGAACTTTTTGAATCTGGGCCGGCTTATTTAGCAGTGCTGCTGTTTCTTTTCTAGCCTCCTCGGCCGCCTTCTTCTCCTTCTCACGCTGCGCCTTCTCGGCCGCCTTCTTTCTCTCTTCTGCGCTTCCACTGCCCTTCAAATTGGCCGTCATCTGCTGGATTTGTCTCTGTGCCTGCGCTCCTTTCTTGTTCTTCATGCCAAATGTCCTATCCTCCACGAGTTTGGCGGCAGATGGCTTCTTGCCACCACCGGCTTTGGTGTCTTTCTTCGGCGGCATAATGGGCAATCGATGGCTGATGGGCACTTCTAGTGGGGTAAGAGAAGAGATCGGTATAACGGCAAAAAATGCGAAATGAAGTCCCAGAAAAGGAGATTTGGTGATTATATGATCTCCTAAACTCCCCTCTCCTCCTGTTCCCGGAAATACCTTTCCAAGGGAGAACCAAAGAGAAAAGATGTCGTAGGAGATTTTTTAAAAACTGTGGCGGCGATTCTTCGCGGGACACAAAGTTGGGTCTAAGTTTGGTGGGTTTGCCAAAGACCGGTGGACGGATGAAGTCACTGTGGTCACGTGATAGACCCGTATTTTTCTTCGAGGCAGGCCGCCGCTGGAAGTATCCTTGTACGCTGTACTCCGCGAGGAGCTAAGCCATATTTGGAGCCAATGTCTGGCCAATGTAACACGTCGCAAGCCAGAGCTACAGGTGTCCTTCTAACAGAATTGCTTGCAAGATCGTCACATCCAGCGCTCGTTATCGCGACCATAACAGTTTACCAGGTGAGCTTGAAAATCTTGAGCTGAACTGCTGCGCATTTTCGTTGAATCTCGGCTAACCAATTGGCATCAATACAGTCGGACAACGGTATTGCGACTAGCTCAGACCAAGCTCCGGTTCCAGCGCGGCGTCTTCAAGATGATCTCCGACGACGAGCTTTACAGGCTTGCCATTTTCCTAGGCTCCATATCCATGGTGCTCATTGTGGTGTACCATTTTCTAGAAGTCAACTCAGAAAGCAAACCAGTCGCTGTGTCAAAAAAGTCATGATGGAGCACCGAGAGGAAGAAATGCAATAACAGCACACTACTGGCACGTTGGAGCACCACGCAGGGCAGAATCAAAGGACCGCATGGCCAGCTCGATCATTTTTTGGAGGGATAAATATGGCAAGACGATTGACCGAGAACGGAACAAAGCCTTTGGGTTGGTGGCATGACGTTAAGAGGAGCAAATCCCAGCTTTTGATACCACGTAAAATGGGAAGTGCGCAAAGAGAAGATACAAGGGTAAACCGCATGAAATAAATGTATCAAAAAATGCTCCCAATCGATGTTGGAAACTGCGTCAGGATTCAAGAATTTAATAGCACATGCTTTAATTACCTTCCAGAATTCACTCAGCTATGGCGGACCTAGCATATGCACTTTAATTTGGATCCTAGTATCGATATATTTGCATTGACGTTTTGTCTTTTCCTGAAAAGTCAGCTTGCCATTGATTAAAAAACGAGTTCCAGCAAGCAACAGCTACGCGCCGCATTGGTGAGCATCCGCAACAGATACTTGGATATGTGTCCCTCTTCTTTCTACATGTCCCTATGAGCAAACACAAGTATTATGGAGTGGCTTCTTTGTCAGGCTTTTCTAGGAACAAAGATGCGTCTCTACGCATCTTTCATTTACGTGCGTCAGAAATAAACTCCGAGTTAGACATTGCCAGCAGCTCTTTGCCGTCCAGATCTATAAGGCGAGGCTGTCAACAAAGATCTTTCTTTGCCACCCGCTTCCCCAAGTATCTATAGTAAGCCAGGGGTAACGTCCAGATAGTAAGACCTCCATAGAATGCATGCCCCAATACTGGCATATCGGCGCAGAGACCTGGTGGCAAACGTCTCTACCAGCGGGGATTATGCACATATCGCCATCGGCAGAACCCGCGGGTTATCGTGGCTCTTATGCCAGAATCTGGAATTGCTTATTGCATTAGCGGGCTTGGCTGACTTTGTCTCACCTTGATTGCCGCCATGCTATTACTACGCTAGCTGGCTGGCTGACTGCCTGGGCTTTGGAACGAGAGAGTATGAGCTGCGGGAGCCGACGCAAGGTACAAGCTCTTTGGCAGGACGGCATATGTTGGGTGCAGGTACCTCCACCTACTAGCGCTCGTATTAGTGAAGGGCCCCTTTGTTTTTTCCCAGGCACTAATAGCAGGCGCTACAGCAGGTGCGCTGAGCCTCTGGCCGGCACGCGTTCCTGCGCCCGCGTTGCCGTCCATTTATCTGCTGCTGTGACTCCCCTCTTCGCAACCTCGCCTCTTCTTCCTCGCATCTCCATTCCAAGCCCGGCTTCGTTTCCTCACGCAGCCGCAACCACAGACTCTCTCATTCTTCGTCCTTAACACCCACGCCGAGTTCGACTACAGCCAGGCGTTTGCCTTCTTTTTCTCACCACCCTCTTCCAGTCCGTTGGATCGCTGAACAAACGCGCCCTTGCCGAATCTTCCCTTCCCGGCAAGCTGTTGTGATCTGAGCCCTTCACAAACCCCAGCACGCGCATTCTTTCGGTTAAGCCTCATTCGAGCCGCTTCTCGCGATCCGTAATCCTTGACCACTCATCCTTGATTGACTGTCGCTTTTGTCAATCGTGACCACCCGCTGTCGACGCCGCCTCTCGACAGAATTTTCCACACCTTCTCATACAAACCTCTACCAGCTACCAAGCTCATCATCATGTCTACCAAGCTCGACAAGCCTCTTGACGAGATCGTCACCGCCCAGCGCCGCAACTCTGTCCGCCGTCGCTCTCTGCGACGCACGACGACTGGCCGCCCTCCTGCTACCGCCCCTGCCGGCGGTGTTCAAAAGACGGCCGCAAGGGCTAACCGTGGTGCTGCCTCAAAGGCCACTCCCGCCAAAGCTGCCATTGCCCACGGCGATAGCAAAGTCATCGTCAGCAATTTGGTACGTTGTTCTCAATTCCTATCAATGGAGGAAAAAATGGGCCATCTGCTAACATTTCCCAGCCCAAGGACGTGACGGAGAAGCAGATCAAGGTATGTTTCCGTTGAGACCTTTTTTGTCTCCGGACTTTGTTCGACGTTTTCTTCCTCGCCGTACTTGCTTCGTCAAGACGGTCATCCCTCTGAGAGGCATTTGATTGCCTATTTGGCCAAAGCCACTATAAACCGCTCAAGCCTCCTTCCATTGCCGGCGCTCGGGTAATGCCACGCGCAGCACTGGCAAGTCGAGGCTGTCCTCATTTTCGCACAGAATGCTCTCAAATACCTGGTCAGTATTTGGTCGAAGCATGCGATATCTCTATGAGGACTGCAGCAACTCTTCCGACGGACGCTAAAGCGTACTCGTCATGAGAAGTTGCCCTTGAGCAAAAGAAATTTCTGGCATCAAGTTGGTCAAGCGAGCAAAGCAGCGTGTATGTGTATCCAGGATGCCCGTATTCAATATCAACAGCTTGTCTACTCTGGGCGCAATATGTGCCTAGAGAGCTGTTTGCAAACAAGTGCTGGTTAACGGGCATCATTTGTGGATTTCATTTTGTCATTCATGACTCCCACCAGGCTTAATCATGCGGGACGATTTTTTTCTTACTTTTTGGCTCCTATGGTTTTCTGGCATTGGCGTGGTTCCGGGGGTGTACACATTCCAAGCTCCTCTATGCTCTATCCTGGGTTGCTGCTCGCTGCTATGCTCGCTGGTCTTCTTATTACACTTCTTATTACATCGAAATGATGTGATACTCTGGGACTGGATCGGCGAAATTCGAAGTCGGAAACAATATGTTTGTGCAACCATTTGCTTCCGTTTAACTGACACCCATTGTCACCTAGGAATACTTTGTTCAATCTGTCGGCCCCATCAAGAGGGTTGAGCTCTCCTACGGCCCCAACTCCCAGAGCCGAGGCATCGCCAATGTTACCTTTAGCAAGCCTGACGGTGCCTCAAGGGCACTACAGTCTCTCAACGGATTATTGGTAGATGGCCGCCCCATCAAGGTAATTCGATCCTTGCGCATAGGAAACATGACGGGATTCAAGCTTACTTTTGAATGTGTAGATTGAAATTGTTGTTGGCGCTGCTCAAGCCGATAAGGTCATTCCTCCGGTGAAGAGCCTGGCTGAGCGTGCAACGTTTGTCTCACCCCTTTTAGTTCTGATAAGAGAGATGAGCTAATCTTCAAAGCAGTCAACCCAAATCTCAACCCAGGTCTGCTGCTGGCAAGAAGCAGAATGCTGCTGCAACCAAGGCCACCGGCGCCAAGGGAGCTGCTGCTGCTAATGCCAACAAGAAGCGACGCGGCCGCAACGCTCGCCCGGCCAAGAAGACGGCCGAGGAGCTCGACTCAGACATGGCCGATTACTTTGTTAATGCCAACAACAATGATGCTGCTGGTGGCGCCGCTCCTGCCGCTGCTCCTGCCAACGGAGACGCTCCCATGGAGGATGAGATTATGGTAAGTCCAACTCTCTATCTAGAGATTGGTATAGACGACTAATTTAGATACAGTAATGGCATTCTTCTTTTTTCAATACTAGGTGTGACGGCGTTCCATGGGGCCTCATGGTTTAGATATCAATGAATAAATGAGAAAAAAAAATTGAAAACTGGCTCAGCGCGCGACAGGTTAACAAGTCACCATACGAAGTCGCTCACGGAGATGCCGCTACTGCATCAGATTGTCCGCGTTGTGATTTTGGAGGCTTTGGAGTATGAACTCCTTTCGACACGAGATTTGCTTTTTATCTTTATCTTTAATCGTTTCTCCTGGGCTAGGGCGGGCAAATGGGTGCTGTGAAGTATGTAGTAAAATACGATTAATTAGCGAAATGACAGGACTAAGCGACGAAAAAAAGAAAATACCAAACGAAGAGACTGAGCAACTAGTAATGTGTTATGATAGGAACTATCATGTTCAAGAGATAAATATGTTTGGTTTTGAAATCCCGGTCGTATTTCAAGTTACAAACGAAGAATCTTTGACGTCCGACAAGTCGTAATAGATACTCCAGGAGCATAGACCTGAATCCATACAAAGGCGACATTGAAATTGAGAGTTGGGTGCGTCTAGTGAAATGTCTTTCGCTTGAAATAGCCATACCACACTAGGTCTACCTGCTTGTTTGAAACTCGATAGCCTCCGAAGCACACATACACGCAGAGAATTGAACAATAAGCAAATACTCGGAATTAAAGACGCTTTTTTAATATAACTTGAAAATCTTTTTCTTTAAATTGAAGAATCCGTACTCCTAAGTACTTGCCGTCGGGGTCCCGTTAAAACAATGAGGCACTCGCCAAGATTCCATCTCCATGTGCAGTATCTTGTCATCCAACGAAACTAGTTTCTTTACGCCTTTGGTGCAGCCTCGCCCTCCTTCTTCTCCTCACCCTCAAGGTCGGGGATATCCTCGTCCTCGTCGTCGGAGTCAGAGTCCGGGACTCCAGAGCTGCTGAGGTCTGGCATGCCCTCCAGGCCCATGGCGCTCATGTCGGGCATGCCGCCCGCGCCGCCTCCCAGCTTTGAGAAATCGATACCGCCGAAGTCGCCACCTAAATAAGAGAAGTCAGATTGTTAGTTTCATATCATTAATCTCTTTACGCCTTTTTAGACTCAAAGAGAGAAGGGGGGTTGACTGGGGTATTTGAGGGCAAAGAGGTAGTTCAATGTTACGTACCCATTCCGGGCATGCCACCTATTTCACCAAAATGTTAGCAAAAGCTGCAAAAAATACATGCAATAACACTCCGGCGCTGCATGTAGGCCAGTGGAAAAGGTTACTTACCCATGTCACCGAACTTGGACATGTCGTCATCCGCAGCCTCGTTCTGCTCATCCTCATCAACCCACTTGTCGAAGTCGGTCTTGAGGAAGTGCAGCTTCTTGTTTTCCTTGAGCAACCGGGGCCAGTACTCCTCCTTGAGCTCCTTCTTCTGCAGCTTCATCTCGACGTTCTTGGCAGTGTGGTTGATCTTGCTCTCGGCGGGGTCGATCTCGGCAAACAGCTCCAGCTCAACATGGTAGGTGTTCTTGAGGGTGGCTGATTTTCCAGTAAAGGTCACCTTGGAAGGCTGCACGTCCAGCTGCAGGTCCTCCTTGGCGACATCGGGAACGGAAATGGTGAGGTAGACGAAGTTCTTGGAGGCATCAGCCACAGAAGAGCGCTGGGCCCAGAGAACTATGGCGCGAAATCAACTTGGTTAGATGGCATCTTCCAAAAACAGCGAAGCGATCAGAGTGAATTGGGGGAAGTCGGGGGTGGAGGAGACGCGGCTGTTGCAACGCATCGTAAGGCCGTGATGGGGAGAGAATCCTGCGTGGCGTAGCGGGACATCCACGCAGCGTGACAATTACACACCTTCGGGGGTCAATGTCTGAGCCATGGTGTATGTGAGGATTGTTGTCGAAGGAAAGGATTGATTGGCGAAGCTGGTGGGAAGTTGGTCGAGCGCGAAGGACTGGTGGGTTGAGGTGTAATTAGTGGGATGCTGAGTTGAGTCGAAGAGCTTACGTTAATAAGGCTGTGGACACAGAAAGCAAGCAGCGAGTGAAACGATCAGAGGCAGGGAATGGAAAGCGTCAGAAGCCAAAAGATTTGGCGGGCAGGGCTGATGAGGGGCACGATGCGGCAGTACCCCTCTGCAGCGCGGCGGCAGATGCGAACAGCAGGTACCCCACTAACGCCGCCCTGTTCGCATCTGGGAGGCTGGGCGCGCCACGCCAGCTGCGACAGCTTAGACGCCTGATGCAGCAGCCCCCAGAGCAGTGATAGGCTCTACGATAAGGCTCCTCCAGGCGCGGCTCTTAGGGGGGATTGAGCCTTCTGGGAGGGGTAGCAGCAGCAGATGCGGCTGGCGTTCGGCTTTCCATGCTACAGGATCTAAACAGACGCTTAATTATCAAGCCTCATATGCCCTAGCGGTGTCGATGGCATCTCTTTCCGGCCATGGCCAGCCTGCGCTGGGATATTTCATCTTCTCTTCCGGGCCTCAGCAGCCATCGCAGAGCCCGCAGCGGGGTAAAATAGAGTACAAGGCGCTGCAGAACGCAAGGCTCTGAGGGCTGCCTAGCCACTGCGAAAGCCACACTGTGGCTGGCACCAGCCCGCATTACGAGTCAACCGCTATCCGCCTTGGCCCAGTGACAATTCAACTCAGCCTTGGACCTTTTCGCTGCGATAGACAATCCTCACCAACCCTCGCATATCTCGCCGCAGCCCCGACTCCACCAGCGCCGTCCTTGTGCTTCGCCCTACGGCTCGGCGCAGGCTTTCGAATGAGATAGGCAGCCAGTTTTGCGACTTTGTTCAGCATTGGGCCACGAGCCCTCGCACTCAGCCATCCCGCATTGTCGTCGTCTTCTAGCCCCATCTGTTTGAAAGTGATTGGCGCCGACAATGGAGACTTTCAAATCCCTTTTCGCAAAGCCGGATCCCCAGCAGCAGGTAAGGCATTCTAGGAGGATTGATCATATGCGGCTAGGCTTTCAAATTTACTAACCCTCGATTCAGATGCGAAAATGTAATCAGCTGATCCGCTCCAACGTCCGAAAGCTCGATCGCGATATCGCTCAGCTCAAGCAGGTCGAGATCAAAACCAAGAACCTAATCATACAAGCGGACAAGCGTGCCCAGCGAGAGCCTTCAAGGGCCAAGCAGGCGCAGAAGGATATTCGAACTTTTGCGGGCGAGCTTGTGCGTACGCGGAAGGCGTCGGCGAGGCTTGTCACGACAAAAGCGACGCTCAACTCGGTACAAATGCAGGTCAGCGAGGCTTTTGCCGTCCGGAAGATCGAGGGCTCCATCCGGGCCAGTGTCGGTATCATGAAGGACGTCAATTCACTCATCCGATTGCCCGTGCTATCTGAGACGATGCGTGAGCTTAGTGTCGAATTGATGAAGGCGGGCATCATTGAGGAGATGATTGACGAGACATTGCCCGAGGACATGGACATGCTAGAAGATGAAGAAGCAGAGGGCGAGATTGACAAGGTCCTGGGAGAGGTCCTCAAGGACAAGAAAGAGACGGCTCTGCCTACCACACCGCTCCCCGAACCGGAGAAGCCGGTTGCGGAGGAAGAAGAGGACGAGGAAGACGCCGAGGCAATGATGGATCAGATGAGAAATCGATTAGATGCTTTGCGCAGCTAGAGTGGGAACAAGTCGTTGACATCCCGCATACTTTGGATTAAAGGCAGCGGTGTTTTGGCGTCTGGTTTTCTGGGGCAGTGCTTGACGCGCATGTACATACATAATTCTCCGGGAGGAAGGAAAGGGAACCGTTCTGCTCCATTTTCCATTTTCATATAGGTATACACTTTCTGAGCGACATGGTATTGGCAGGTCTGTTCATTCTAGGGTAGAGAGCCATGTGACTCCCTTTACTGCTCCAATCTAGATCTCTCTTATTTATTGTCTCCATTTAAACAGCCCCCCTTGTGTCTTGACGCCATCCGTCACGAGAGAGAGAGCCCATGCTCTTTGTGGGTTTCTGCGCATGACAGCTCCTATATGTGGACCGTCAGCGTTGAACTTGCCTAACTGAAGCATGGGATGCTGGCTGGCCCAAGGCTGACTTACAGACGGTGGAGTTTGCTCCGCTGTTGTGGTCCTGCAGTGATGCCCTGAGGAGACTCCAGATCGGCTTTAGAAAAGTGGGCGTTGAGGCTGATTTACGGTTGGACCTTGGCAACTCTGGGGCGATGGGAGCCCCGTATAACGGTTGTTTGATATCCGGGGGGATGTGCTCTTGCATTAATACAACGGATCTAATTGTCCATATATTTCTTAATGGCATATGGGTAAAAAACTGGATGGCTTTTTACGCTTTCTGAGGCTATCCATTTTTTCCGTAAATTTTCACATATACATCGTAGCTATCCATATTCTATCATTCATTTATCAACTCCGAGCCTTTTCTTGGTATTGAGAAGGGCAAACTCTTGATTACGGACTTATTCTCCATTTTCATTTACCCTAATTCCAAATCCACCCTATCCCAATAACCATATAATCGGCAGAATAACATCAATGGCTTTTACCCGTAATACTAGACAAACCAACTCCGTCGAACAGTCCTACTTCTCCCACGATCTCATGCAGACGAGTATTTTCCCGGGTAGGCAGATGCATAATTCTCCGTCGGCGATACTTGAGCAAGGCAATGTCATAGACTCGGCGCCATACAAAGCACCTAGTTTAAAAAGGACAAAAAGAAATTAAGAGCAAAATTGTGTTTTGCTCAGCACCGTAGAGACGAAGGAAGGGAAAAAAAAATGAATTGCTACGGAATACAAAAAAATGCGTCATCCGGAACTCGAATCCGGGCCTCAACTTTTCAATCGTGACAATGGAAGAGTTGAATCCTAACCCCTAGACCAATGACGCTTTGGGTTGTTAGTGAGCATTGAAAAAAACGACTAAGGATCTAACCAGCTCTCCCCGCGTTTTTTTCCCCCTTCCATTCCGTTGTGTAGTAATCGTACCGCGGGAGGCACATGCCTTCTCCCCGAGCACTGGTCCGCCTGCGACCAAATTCCTGGAGCGCTTTTTGTGGATCTTCACTTTAAATACGGCGCGGAAGATCCGTGAGTTGGGGCTCTCTCTTTTGTTTTAGTCCTTGTCAACCCGGTCCAAGCTCCCTCCCCCTCCCCAGTTAGGATAACAAAGCGCCGCGTGAATGAATCGCATGAAAGAAGAAGGGGGGTGGCTAAACTAGCAATTAAGAACACACGGGCCCAGGAACATGGGCGAAGCAGAGCAGGACTCAAGTCAAAACAAGGGACCTTGTCTGGGGGGCAGAGCAAAGAGGGGGGGATTGCTACTGTAAACTTTTGACATTGCTACCCTTTGGAAATTTGATCTGTCTTGTCATTTTCCGCGCCGTCGGGTCGGGTCGGGTGTCAAAATTTTCAATCTTTTCTTTTCTTTTTCGTTCCCCTCTTGCTTGGCTGCCTGACTTCCCTTTCATCTCCCCTTCCCAAGGATACGGTTCCATGGCTGGTCAGGGCTGGTGTCCCGCGAATTTGGGAAGCTTTTTCAGCTACAGGGGGACCCCCCTTTCACTTGAATCGCGATACATATAGCCTATAAAATAGTGATACCTACTAAAGTATGCAGGAACATGACTTATGACAGGTAGACTTTTGTTTTCAGCCGCAGGTCGGCGATATCACGGGCAGAAAACACTCTTTGCAGTAACGGCCACAAGCACCAACACCAGGAAACTTACAAGTGACAGCAAAAAGAAACACAAGAGGGCTCCCAACAGCCACCCGGAAGGGATCCGGAAACCCGGACCGGAAGCAAGAGGGTTGGCTTTGAAAGCTTCACATGCAGGGCAGGGGGGAGTTCAACTCGGGAACGCTCCATGGCGTTGGTTGCCGTCGCTCTTCGTTCCCTCTCCCAGGATTAAAAGAAGCAAGGGGACGGTGGGTTTGGAAACCAGTAATAGTTCGCTCCGTGCCCTTTGCACCGGTTCCCAAAAGGGAAAACTTCACGATCCTAGTCGAGATTTGACAATCCGAGCGTCTCTGCTTGCTTTTTTGAAAAGAGGAGACAGGGGCTGTCGTTGGACGGTAGCGAGAGACGCCGGCCGGGGAAGCGCTTCCGAGAAATTGAGGACTGGGGCCGCCGCCACAAAATCGTGCCGGGGAAGCGTGGGAAACGCCAGCCACACCTGTTTAGCTCACCTAAATCTAAGTTTCATTTGCTGTACTGTGGCTTGAGACAGCAATAGCTGGGTTTCTGAATCGGGTCAGAACAGCTAGGGGTGTGCGGCTCTTCTCGTCGGCAAAAACGCCAACGCCAAACCTGGGCGGCCTACTCGCAATAGCTCGGGAAACTTTGGGTAGCGACGTAGCCGACAGAGCAAGCATCTGAAAGCCACACACATACACAAACGCACGCCCCCCCAGCCAGAATCTGCTCCTTCATTTTGACGCCATCTTTGCTTTAATTTTAGTTTACCCGAGAGAAATCCGAACTCTTGTTTCTTGTGGCTTCTGAAGTACGGGGTAAAGCTGGGCTGTCCTGGCTAAAAAAACATGTGCCAAAATCCCAAGAAGCCGGAGAGCCGAGAGAGCTCATTTACCGAGCTTGGAAGACCCTTGATGCTTCCGAGGGTAAGTAAGCCAAAGGATCACAAGTGAAGAGAGAAATGTAGGTGCCTAAATTCCCAAGTTGCTTGCCTGGTCAGCGCCCGGCTGTCGCCATCCTTTCACCATCCTTTCATCCATGCGACGAGGCTTGCATCCTTTCGGCGGTCGTGGCTGTCGCGAGTCATCATTGTTGCTTTCGTTTTGATTGAGCTTTCTAATGCTTGGGCGGGTTTGCCGGTTTCATGGCATGGCAGCAAAGGGAGCGCTGTTACAAGAAGGATGCTAGGCATAAGGATAGTTGCTCAAAGCAGATATAGTCGCGCGCCCATGCCACGGCATTGACGAGCGAGTACCGAATCTTGTCCCCAAGGACGAGATGTCACTGATCAGACATTGAAGCAAGAAGGAAAGTTTACGGTATTGAAGCAATCGCGCAAAAAACACACAAAGTCTCAGACCGAACACACCGCAACCACACCGCAACTGGTTTTCTCTCCCGCGCAACAAAAGTTCACGATAGGCCCTTTCGTATAAAGCCTGCAACGTTGCCATTTAGCCGATCGGTCAACGACCGCTTTGCCGCTGCCACGCTTTCGCCATGCCGAGCCCTTTTGCCGACGGGGCATGGGAAATTTGGCAAGGAAGGACGCCCCATATTTTGGAATGTTCAAAGAAGAAATTCTTCAGCGGAGCGAGGTGCGGTTCGGAATCGGCGCTGGTGGGCCGGGGGGGCAGGATTCCGAAATGCTGGGTTTGGTAGCTCTTTGCTTTGACAGCGGTCACTAATTAGGACCGTTCGGAAACGGACCGTAATGTAGTAGTGCGCGACTGACTAGTGTAGCGCGAGTCTGCTGTAGCAGCGCTGTCCAGGGTTTGATTCCGCTCAATTTTTGGGCGTGCGATCGGTCAAAGTGCGTTGACAAGGGCTTTGTCCCAAGCTGCGATGAAATAGGAGCCCACACACAGTTGACAGTTAAGTTGTCTTTTGGTGTGTGTGGTTGATCGCTGTTCTCCATCTCCAAGAGGGCAAGGTGGGCTGGGTTGGTGCCCGAAATCTATATGCTCCACGCGGTGTAGTAACACTGGCGATATGTCTACCTAGCTCACCTTGATCGTGATGCTGCAATGAGTTTTTCGCATCCAGAGATCTGGAAGGCTGCTTATGGCTGAAAGGAGAAGGCATTGAGGAGAATTACGAGAGCGACGCATACGAATAGCTGCATCTGGGAGTTGCCTTTATCATCCTCAGAATCCTCCTAATGGGTTTTTGTCAAGGACGGAGAAATTATTGCCAGGAGTAGGAACGGGACGCCACACAGCAAAGAAGCAACGTCTATAAGCAGAAGAGAAAAAATTTTCATAGCCTATTTTATTACGGAGTACACGTACGGCATATTGCTTAGTACTCCGTAGTAGTGGCTAGAATTGGAAACGGCAGCTGTCAAGCCGATACCTGGAAGAAAAAGCAGAGAAATCGGTGCTAGCTTTTTTGGCTATTCTAATCCCTCCCGCCGGGGCACAGCGTAGACGATCCCGGTGCAAGGGAGGAGGTGCGAAAAAAAAAAAAAAAAAAAAGGCACGGGCAAGGATCGTAGTCATCAACATCCCTGAACTAAGAAACTATAGAATTGGGACCCTATCTGAAACGAAAAAGCACCGAAGAAGAAAAATCGCTGGGAGCTCGCACCGGGGAATCCGCCTCCCTCAGGGCCCAAGACGCTTTGACCAGAGCAAAGAAGATTATAGAGGAGAAAGAACGAGAATGCGAGCGGTTTGCCCTTAGTCCCAGCCGGCCCGGCCCTGGCTCTAGGAGTGGGGGAAGGGAAAAGGATGATGTCCGGACCGTCTTTTTGGTTCTTTTTTTTTTATGGGCGATTTCCGCAGAGCTGGTAAATTAAGCTACTCGGTATTAACCACCGAGTTAATCAAGGCAAAACAAGAGAAAATCCCAAGTTTGATTTGCTGGTCCCCCCTCTCCTCCTATATTTTGGGGGGGGAGTGTCTTTTTTCCCGTTTAGGAAGAGAACACGCGCGGAAAACAATCTAGAAGGTCTCCCGAGTCAGGGTTGGGAAAATTTCGAGCGTTTCGATTTGCCATTTTATTTTTCCTGCGGTGAGCACTCTACATACATACATACATGCCTATTACTGTACAGCTTGTTATATAAGGTACGCTAACAGGAGCAAAGATACCTACGTTCCATGTATGTTGGCTGGTCCTGTCGCGTAAGTCAGAGGTGCATGTTGCAGGAGCGGTCAGAGAGCGATGTGCGTTGCGTATCGCTGTGATGCATGTCGCATGTTGCATGCTGCATGCATGCTGCACGCTGCAAGATGCAGTGACTCCGTCTGATAACAACGAGATGCCACAAGTCAGCATCCATGTATAGCATAATGGGTTCGATATCCATACACCCCCTTTCCCAACCAACATTAAGGTGAAGGGGCCCGATATATGGAGATAGCTGGGCGACAAGCGAGATGCCGGGAGTCCACTATGCATGGCCAACATGGCAGACTGGGGATTTAAAAAAAGAAGAGGGGGGGGGATTTTTTCTTTTTTTTTCACCGGTAAGTGGATTTTGTTAAAATTTGTGTGAAAATTTTTGTTTAATTGATTTTTTTTTTTGCATCTGATCGTGGTGGACAATTGTGGGCTCGCAGACCCTACTCATCCATAGTACAGTAGCTTGTCACCATCATCAACCCTCGGGCGGTTGCCATGCTCACTGAAGGAGGCTACCCTTGAAGCAAGGAGCAGACCCCCCCCCCCGGCAAGGGATCTCCCGCTCCCTGGCGAAATACAGGTTTACACATCAAGAAGCATTTGGAGTGCTGATTACCTTTGCTTAGTTATTATTATTATTATTATTATTGGTGGCACTGTAGCATTTGCAATTCCGGCGGTCGGGGTGAGATCTTGCACCATAATGGTACCCTATACCAGCGCCATGCATCACGTCAACGCAGTGGCATGACTCTTTGTTCTCACTGACGTCACAGGAAGAGCTGTGGAATATGCCATTATTCCAAAATGGAAGAATCGAGACTGTTGGGGCAGGCCAGAGATGTGCCCTACGGCAGTTACGGGTCGAGAGTGCATGAATATACGTGCATTGCGCTGCTTAGTCTGGATGGCATCGCTGCCTATATCGTGGGGGGTTGATAGTCTAATGCTGGAATATTCCGTAATAGGTGGGTTTGTAAAGTGGGAGCTTTCACTAGCAGCGCGTGCCCAGCTCCGAGTTACTCACAAATAGCACAACTTAGTAATCGGGATGGGAATGCTACGTAGCACAGGGTCCCGGAATGTTGGGATGCCAGATTAATGAATCTGACTGTGCAAATCAGGCATTTGCCAGCCCTGCGAGAGGCGGGCTGCCCTTTTCGACAGTCAGCGGCGAAATCCCCAGTCTCAGAATAGAAAGCAGTGTATGATATCGTAAGGATTTGATTGCAACCTCCGATGTCAGGCTCATTCCGGGGTGTGTGTGTCAGATCAAAGAGCCTGTGCTTCTTCTGTTGCGGTGCTGTCATCGCACAGCCCAGCCTGCGGGACCATTCGCGATACGCTGCGGCTCCCCCAGGAATAGCACAAGCCCGCCAGTTCGCTCTCCTCTCTTCCTCCTGCTTAATTATTTTTTCCTCTTCTCCAGATTATTATGTATGCAGCTCCGTATTGGTCCAGCGAATCGATTGGAGGGAGGAGCCGAAATGGCGGTGCGCAAAAACCGATTGACTCACGCCCCCATGAGCATCGAAGAGCGGCGATGAGGGGGGAAACAAACCGCCAGCTGGCCGTTTTTTTTTCTCCTCCCCTCCCTCGCGAAAGCACGGTGAGCTGTCCAGGCGCCCAGAAAATGGATGCTGCTGGGTACTAGCAAAAGACTGTCGTGGCCACTAGCAGTAACCAGGTCACGGATAGGCTGCACAGTAGTACCAGCGTGTCACGGTATCGAGAGGGTGCCTTATCATGTACCTCGTGCGATCAGAAGGACACTTATCGGGCTGCGACACAGCACGCCTTCTGCTTGACCGCCTGGCTGGCTGCGGCCAATGGCAGGGCGCGCACGCAGCCGGTGGGAGGGCAGCCATAGGCCACGACGAAGAGGAACATTTGTTGCTTCCCCCGTCGAGCTGGAATCTTGTGGCCGTGGTTGGCTGGGCGTAGGATTCCACGCTCCGTATCGCCGTCATACTACATGCTGCCTGCCAGGCAGGTACCTACGTGGACTGGCTGGGAGCCGCGGTGACTCGTGTACCACTCGACCGCTTCGTATACGCGCGCCGCAAAAATGGTGGTGGCCGTCTGGCTGCTCTGGCTGGCTACTGTACAGAGCAGAGGCCCGCGACGGTTGGGCTTGGGCTTGGGCAAGCAGAGGGCTTACCTAGGGGAGTGTCGGGTCCGGCTACGGTCCACCCCCGGCGCCTCCCCAGCGCCAGCACAGCAAACAACACAGCAGACTGTCGGTAGGCAGACTTGATGCTGAGAGCACGAGCTTGTCATGCTCCCCCTCTCCAGAGTCACTCCGTCAGCCATTTTTTTTTGCTGTTGCAGTCTTATTACGGTATTACCAGTGTGTGATCCTGGGGCACGGGTGCTCTGCCTCCGTTACCGCGCACCTGGGGCTTAGAATAGAATACCCTGAATAGTACTGACGGGAATCAATCTTGGGTCCCATGCCCTTGGTGCTGATGATGCCATTTAAACTAATAGCTGGGCGGGCAGGCAGTTGATACGGAGGGCCTGGTATTACTCCGTAATTAGTACTGATCTTATTCTCTACCTCGTTCTTTTTGCGGCGGCACCCGCGACGGCTATTCTCCGTTGCGGCCCGTTTTCTCTACCTAGGTACATTTTCTTATCTCACTTGCAATCTTCCTCGGGGAGAACGCGGCCGAGCTTCTCGTGGCCACTAAGATCTGTCCGTTTCGGGCATGTGTTCTTCCTGGGAAGCATGTGCTTTCTACTTTTGGCCTTGTGCCATCTTCGGGTCTTTGTTACACGGTTTGCTTTTCTCGGCCATATTTGCTTTGATAAGCACTACAAGCAGTAAACTCCAGCACTAAGCTAATTTTCCCTTGTTGTTTTTGCCTGCTCGTTAATAAAAAGAGATAGTGTACGGTGCTGGCCCGTTTGTCTCAGTCGGGACTGTGGAGAGAGTTTTGCTACGAGTAACTAGCAGAGTCGGCGGAGAGGCTCCTCACTTCCGCCGACAGCAGCGGCTCTAATACGCGGTGTTAGACTTTTTGCTAGATTTGCGATATATCAGATTGATTGCGCGCATCCCTTGTGAAGGGGGCATCTTAGCAGCAACTAGGGAGCAACAGGCGAAAAAGCAAAAAGGAAAAAGAAACCCGCGAGATAGTTTACCCAGATTCCCCAGACCGAGGGCCGGGACGTGCGCTGAGACGGCGGGCTTGCGACTCTGTGGCAGATCCAGGAAAACGGAATGCCGGGGAAGGCCAGCCGTCGGGAAAACTGGCTGTATCACAGGCCTGGGTGCTGGTGCCAGGTCTCCCTGCTTGGGCTGGCTGACCGGAAAGCTGGGGCGGTGTGCCGCGGTGCCCAACCATGCGCGACCAGGGCAATTTTGGTCTTTTCTTTTGCTGACTAGCAGGTAACGAGCAAAAGCAAAGCTGGGGGCGCACAGGGAAAAACGGAAATGCGCCGTGGGCGTAAATTCCAATGGGCAACGTTCAGCGAAGCGAATGACAATGCCAGATGCAACCTACCAAGCTGGAGCTTAGCAGGGCACGCCCGGGCGGAGCCGTTGGCTGGCTGCCGTCTATATTCCAACGAGACAGACATTCTCGCGGCGGCTTCCCGGCCTGGCTGTTTGTCTGGACGAGCGAATCCTGCTTTTTCTTTGTCTTGGGTCGTGTCTCTGCTGTTCCGTCGAGTGTTCGTGTGCCACTTGATACGAATCCCTCCGTATCTGCCCCCCGTGCGCCGCGCGATAAGTGCTGCCAGCCCAATCAGCGCCAGCGCACACGCAGAGCACAGGCAGTGGCGGTCAGAATCCCGAACACCGCCATTTGTGTGTGACGGTGCGTGTCTGGCTCGTCTCCGTTTTGCGAGCTCGCATGTGCGTAGGGCTGCGCGGCGCTGCACTGGCTGGCTGGCGCCTCAACGTGTCGTGTCGGTGTCGTGGCGTGGGGAACAGGCGCTGCTCTCATCTCGAGTGAAGCCGAGCAGCCTGGCCGGTCGGAGCCACAGAACAAGGGAGGGGCAGGGGTGTGCGCAGGCCGGGGGATGGCGTGGGCGAAATGGCTGCAACCTCTTTGATTTCCTTTTTCCCTTGATAAAACCCCCAGCCCGGCAAAGCAATGCCAAATCCCTTGCTGCCACGCCCCCCCCCCCGCCCTCCAAACGGCGCCCCCATTCCCCCATCTCATCGGCCCCCTTCGCACACCCCCCGCCGGCACCCAGATGATTCACTCATGCCGCCCGTGATGGTCGATATAAGTGCGATGGCTTCCCTCTCTCCAGCTTCCTCGGCCATAGCAAACATTCGTCTCGACGATCCATCTTACTGTGCCATCAGTGGTCAGCAACCGCAAACTGCAATCCTCTCTTCCATCATCAGCATCATCCTCCTATCTCCATCCTCTTGGGCCATCTTGCGTGCAGCCACACTCACACACTCCACCAACACCCTCGGTTCCGCCGCCATCAATAGCTAGAAGCCGAGCCAACTCCTCTATTGTCCACCGAGCCGGATCTTTATCACCACATAAAGACTACTTCAACCCCAGATTTTGGCCCAGGCCATATCTTGATCTGCAAACACCAAAAACATCTCCACACAACGCACATTTCACAATGTTCGGTTCATACAGCTCCTACAGCTCAGTGAGCGCCATGTCCGCCGCCATCGACATCAGCCCCTCCAACCTGCGCAGCACCCGCGATGCCTCATGCGCATTCCCCTCGTGGCCCAGACGCGAGTCTCTCTCCGAGTTTGGCCGCGAGGAGCGAGCCACTTCTTTCCTCTCCGACGACGACCTCCTCCTGTCTGACCCCTTCGACGACGACAGCCACAGCATCGCCAGCTCCAGCGCCTCATCCTCCCCCATCATGATGCAGTCTCCTCCTCGCCTTACTGATCTGGAGATCCTGGAGCTGCAGCGCGAGAAGCTGGCTGTTCAGCGCGAGGCCGTCCGCCAGGTCATGCTCGAGAAGGAGCGCCGAAAGCTGGCCGCCAAGAAGAAGAGCAGCCGAGTTCACGTTAGCTCCAAGAAGAGCCCCAAGTCCAAGCTTGCCTCCATGACTCCCATCTCTGAGTAGGAAAACAAATCGGCTATTCCACTCTCGGGTCATGCGCTGGCGTATGGGCTCTTCTCTCTTCTAATCTACATTTCAAGGCTTTATTACTCATTAAAGCCTCTAATAAACCGACAGCACGAACGCTGTCTCACGACGATACGACACTTTTGTTTTCCATCATGACTGGTCTTAGCACAGCCACTGCAACATTATTTGGCGCTATCAAAGGATTTACAGCGCTTGAAGGAAGAAATCGGGGCGCCGACGGGAGTGACCAGCGGTCCGAACACAATCTGACTCATCCTCACCCCTCCCCCACAACCGGGGCACTGTCACCTCTTCTCTTCTCTTCGCACTTCAACCGAGCTGTGCCACTTGCCGCGGCCAGATCGGTTAAACAAAGATATCGGCCTAATCCGGCTTTTCTTTTCTCTTCCCTTCTATTCCGGCGCCAACAGCGCATTTCAGCAAACCTTCACTTGATACCCCGGAACACACTTTACCCAAACTCGTAAGAGTTTAATTTGTCTCCACGACATCCTATTTGATACCTCTTTGCTTTTCTTTTGTGCTCTTCTTCTTCTTCTTACTCCGATTTAATACTTATGACGGCATTATTTGGGAGTTTATCTGTTTCATCTTTTTTTTTTTTTTTCCTTTTTTTAGCGATCATAGCGTGGGAAATCATTTATTAGGGATACCCTCTTCTACGAGGAAGAGCGATCAGGGCTATTTGGGACATTCACACACACACACACTAGTTTTTTTTTGCTTGGCGTTGGGAACATCAGCATTACTCCGCTACGGCGGACTGGAACAAGGGCATAACAGGGCGATTACTTTAGCATAGTTTAGATAGCTTTCTTTTTTGACAAGATACCCATTTTTGATGAATACTATCACTGGTTCTACTCAAAACAAAGTGTTGCTTCCATGTCCCGCTTTTCAGATCGAAACTGTGCAACTGCCATGTGGTCTATCCGCTCCTCCAGGTGGGCGCCACGGAATTTGCCGCCTATTCTTTTGAGTTTTTGACCCCAGCGCCCAGCGCCACATGCGTGAATGAATGAATGGATGAATCAATGACTGAATTAGAAAATGCCGACATGGCTACCTATTTTCCACACAGCTGGGATTGTGGCCCTCCCTCCTTTTCGCACCAAATGAACACAAACGGCGGCGACAACGGCGGCGACAAACGAAGCTTGCGGCCACCCGGATGTTTTTCCCACCCCAAATCCCGACGAAGCCCAGCTGAAAAAAAAAGAAAGTCGGTGACAGCTTTGCACAGTACCTCTTTTTTTTTTCAGCGTTAATGAAAAAGCGCCACGCTGCAGGGTTGCGCTCACCGACCCTATGCGGTGCGACACTGTGGCGTGCCCTCCATTTTCGCGGTTCAGGTTGAAGTGAAGTGCCTCCCGGATGAGAGGACCGAACATGTACCTACAACGCAAGCTTGAGGAGCTAGCTAGAGCTAACGCGCTTTTTTCGGCCGTGTTGTTTTCATTCTTTTTTTCCCTATTTCGGGTTTGCTTTCCGATATTGTCGCATGGAGGGGGGGGGTGTTGTTTTCTCTTTCTTTTTGTTTTTACTATGTACTGTGAAACTGAGCAATATTGATGATTCATGCGAAGGAAAAAAAAGCAAAAGTGTTACTTCGTGCGCCGCAGCGTTTACTGGCGGCCGCCCGCTATGATTACGTTTTTTCTTTTTTTCCTTTGGTCATTCTTACATTTTTTTTCCCCCCATGTTTCTTTTTTGTTTGCAATGCGACGTGTTATATGAGTAATGGATGCCAAAAAGGATTCGCTGTTGTATTATCTGACGGCCAATGTTGGTTGGATCGCTAATAGTATACTTTTCGTTAGCGGGCTGAAAAGGCGCTGGCTTTTACAGCTATCAAGCAAGCTGTCTGAGAGCTTACAAGAGCTAAGCTACCTACTACTATATGCAGGGCGCTTGTAAACCTTTTTTCTCTTTTTCCTGCCTTGATTTACTTTGTCAACACCAGTCATATTCTCCCTTATATTAATTGGTGTGCTGTACGCTTTGTGAGCTCTCGCTCCCTGCGTGTGAAAGCTGATAAAGTAAATAAATTAAGTCCCCCCCCCTCCGCATGCAGGGCGATAGTCAAAAAGAACTCTATGCCTTACAGCAAGCGGCTCGCCGGAATGCGCTGCCCGCGATAAACAAGTTTGCAGACATGTGTGCTGTAAGTGGTCCCAACCCCTCCCTCCCCCGATGTTTGTCTCATGTACGATGTAGGCACGATCGATGCAGCAGGGTTGCATGTGAAGCGCAAAATTGAAGTTTGGGCTGCTGGTACGAGGCACACTGCAGCATACCTACTTAACCTACCTACCTATAGGTATACGCACTCCAACTCTTGTCTCTCTCGGCACCGTATCTCGCTAAATTGCCTGCATCGCGCACACACGCACACGCATTTGACGCCGTGTTCGTTTGCTGTACCTTTTATCTCTTTCTTTCTTTTCCGCGTGCATGAGTATCCCTGCACACCGAGTGGATTCCAGCTGTGCTGGCATACATACACGCTGTTACCACCGGCCTGAGGGCTGAGATGGTCGGTGTAAAAGCGATGGAATTGCGGTCTGGCTGAAAGCTGATTGCCAAGGGAACACACTAGACACTGCTATTCTTGTCTCGCATTTTTGCTGCCCCCAACAAAAGGAAAACCGGAATAATACTGGCCGTAAGAAGCCGCTTACTCAGTTGTGCACAACTCAGCCAGCCCAGCCCAGCTTACTTGCAAGCCGTACTATGTAGTATGTAGTATGTAGTATGTAGTATGTATTACTCCGCCTGCTTTGGGGTGGTTGCTAAGAACGGACTGCCCATCGGGCTTGGTCGGCACTGGCTGTGACGAGGTGTTCGGCGCATGCATGATAATCCTCCTGTGGTGTGTAGGTGTGCCGTGGAGGGGGCTGAATTGCATGCAGCTTCTCGTTTCCTCTCCTTGACTTTCTTATGCGCCCCGAATAGAGTGTGTACCTGAATGTGATGTGTTACTGGGGTGTGTTGCGTTGATGTTGCCGTTTGGGCATCAGACTTTTTTTTTTTTCAACCTTTTGTTGTTTGACTGTCTATATTGGTTGGTTTCCGTCTCGTTCCCTTTTTGGGAGCTTCTTTGGACGCCTTCCCAGCTTGGTTACTGCCTCAGTCACTGTGGGGTTGACCCCGACATTTCCTCCCATGTTTGACATTTGACAGCAACGTTGTACTTCGTTCCAAGGGGTGTAAATTCCTGTTCGCCATCGCTGGATGCTGGTTCGTTCCCTCGGGATTCCATCTGTCCACTCAGTGGCAGCACGTGAAAATTCTCAAACGGATAATGATTCTGCCTGTTGAGGGTTTCCCTCTCCCCCGCTGATCTTCTGCCCTATCAAAGATGGGGGTTGTCAGAACAGCTTACTGGGGGTCTGGATTTCATGTGGCCAATGGACTTGTAGGGCTGCATTACTGCTGCCTTATTCGCTGCAGATAGTCGCCGAATGCTACCGTTGCCGTGCTCGCATTGGCTGTAAATCGACCAACCACGTGGAGAGGAGACTCGATGGATTTTCGACGTATCAGGTGTCTTTACAGCTGCTGGAGCTGTGATCACTTGAGCTCGTCGTCATGTCCAATACAAAGAGCTCACTGAGGCATTATAATCATCTCTGACTCAAACAATGGGGGCTGTTCAAACCGACCGCGTTATGCGAAATAAAATGGCCTTGGCTAGATAGCTAGTGCTCTCTCCTCTTCGTATCGTCCGGTACGTGGTGGCTATTCTGAGCTGTTTAATTATACGCCCCATGTGATGCCGCGCGTGAATGGCTGTGATTGCTTTTAAGCGGCGCCAGCTTCGGTGCTGTGAAAGGAAATACCGGGGCCCGTCACATCCCCAGGTGTCGTGATCCGAACTTCATGTCCGCGGCGGTTCTTTTGTCACAAGTTGGACGCGGTTGCGACGTTGGGGGCGACTCCTGGGAAGAAGCTGAGACTGAGTTGCAGCCTATAATATATGGATGATACGGCTGAATGTGATCTACGCCTCAAAATCTAATGCATGTGCTTTGATGTTGGGCATTAGAGATGTGGCGGGAGCGGGATAGGGGAGGGGGGATCGCGCTATATGATATCTGATATCACAACACCTTCTATCCAAGCGCCCTTGTGTCTATTTGATGGTGCCTAGATTGCTAGTGAGTGGGTATGATTGCACTATTGCGCTGTGTATTCTAGATGGGAAATAAAGTTGTTTGGACGGAGGATCTTTTGTTATCTCGTTTGGCCATGAGAATCCAAGCTTACAATCACTTACAGAAGGGGTGCTTTCAATCTTTCTATTTTGGCTTATAACATTTATAATCTTTAGACTGCGATCTATAGTACTTAAATGATCATATATTGTATCGTTTGCTTTGAAATAGGCATTCATTACCGAGAGGTTACCTCAAATGGAGTGAGGAATGTCACGACTAAGTTGCCACCCAAGGAACGAATATAACTAAACGGATTGTCAAGTATTTTGTTATTGCAAAAGCACAACTAAGTAACCTTCAAGTACTTTATTCATCTTTGATCTCTTATTTCTTCGTCATCAAAGACGATCAAGCTCCTTCATACAGGTAAATGCTTTCACTCGTAATGGCATGGGGTTAGCTTTGCCAACTATTCTGCTTCTTGTCACCTCACATTCACTCCCCGATTATGGGACCATTATTTTCGTCTTTCAAAAAAGGAGGTGTAGGCAATTTTACAACCACAGGAGACATTTGGGTCCATAACACTCAGCGACTTAGGATAGTCAGCGGATGCAGCAATTGAGAAAGTGGTTGTTATAGATCCTCCAGGCTCCTGTCCCGAATATCCCTTTTGTAATAAAAGCTTGTTCAAAGAATGCCTTCGAGTAGTTTTGGAGATAGTAATGCATATCATCTTACACCCTAATTACTTCATGCGGAACATAGAAACTGCCCTTCCTCGTCGTAGCCAAACTTCTTCCCTCACACTTCCCTAGTATCTTCTAGTCAGCCAAATTATTTCCTGCTAATAGTTGGCAATGGATCAGGTCAGGTGTTCTCATATATTAACTCTGGCAAACGCTTAGACAGACTTGGGTTGTTTCAATATGTACTCTCTATGGGAAGGCATACCAACTGCAAGATATCAAAGGAAGAGCTATGATATCTTGGAGACTTGATGAAAGAAGCTTTCTAAATTGTTTGCAATGGGCTTCAATTCACCAGCGTGTGATATGAACATCGCTAACTAGAAGTGAGAAAGAAGATGCATGTGAAAGTTGAAGTCCCGATTTCACAAAATTCTAGAGATTGAGTTGGAAAGAGACATATATTGCACAGAAAAGAATCAACGGGCGTGTGCGATACTTGACAATGATATTGTACATGAAAATATCTTGCTTTCTTGTCTCTCTCAATTTCGAAAACATGCTAGGAATGGTGGACGAAAAAAGGAGCCTTTTCATTTTGCTGCGGGGGAAACAAGATGTCTTGAGATATAACTATTTCCCCAATGTAAATGAATAGTACGATATGAGCGACATTCAAATAACATTTACCATTCATCATCTACTACTACTAAGTTTGGTTCAAAGAATAACCAGATGCCTCAAACCAACATGCTCGCCAAATAGCCTAGGACTTGGTGCAGAGATTCACTGAACAGAGTTCTACATCTTTTATCTACAGAAAATTTGCGTACTACTGATATGTAGAAAAAGCTGTCCAAGCTTGGGGCTGTTGGCCTCAACATCAGCTGAAAACGTTGGCCGAAAATACCTGGTGAAAGTATGGCTGAGAACATCAGATGAAAGTCACCGAAAATGTCCCGTGCACAAATCTAAATAAAGGGAATTGTGCACAATTCAGGACAGTCATACAAAGCATAACATGATATCAATGCGAGAATCAAATCTAGAGCCTGAAGCAGGGCTACAAGCTCGGAAGTTGAGTGATACTCACAGACGCCCTGGATAGCTGTTCGTGTTTCTTGACGGCCGAAGCGAGACCGGATATGCCAACAACCGCAGCAAGTTGCTACACAAGGCATGTTATCTGGCAAGGGTGGCTCGGACTCTCCCCACGTCATGGTTGTCTTGGCTCCTGATGCCGTTTGCTTCACCATTTCAACTCTCCGCTCTGATGTGACACAGATGATAACAACTGCTCCGTAGGTCTTTCACCAATGTTCAACAATATCCCGGAAGAGATTCCGCTATCCGAGATCGAAAGGAGATAGTATATCATCTGTGGGTTGAGTTGGCTGAAGATGCAAGCCGATACAGATGAATGGAAAAATTGACATAAATTAATGACACCCTATCATGCCAAGTCCTCGTGTCTGTGGTCCTCATGTTCTGGGCTCCCTGTCTTGTCTCGGAGTAGAAAACGTGGTCGTGCGATGCTTGGCAGCGGTTTAATCAACGTCTTCTCCACGGAGTGACGCACTGGCCATAATGGTTTTGGGCGTTGAGTGTGACGAAAACGAAAATAGGCAAGGCCAGAAGCTGCGTCACAAGGCCACAGTCCGACAGGGTGCGGGAAGAAAGCGAGATAGTACTCCGTATAAGTCAGCGGGTGTCGTCGTTGGGCCTCAATGGATTACCAATTTAGTAAACTTGTTGTTGGTCGCTGAGAGACCAGCATGTCTCAAGTGGCCATCACCCACTTAGACTGGGATAGATTTTGCTGCCTAGCAGTGTGATATCTGCTTGTCTAGAATCCTTCCCGTCGTGGCTTTGCGCGAGATGCAGCAAGTTACTATAACAATAGCTTAGTCTACTGATACTAGCAGTGGTGATTGACTTGGAATAATTAGCTCGCATGTGAAGAGAGTGCGATCCTATGTACAGTGGATGGCTGGATGGCTGCGCACATGGAGCTTTGCTAACAAGTCTAAGACATTGCAAAGCATGTCGCACGTGTGCTTTCGGTAATTTTGTTACCGCGCAAGATACGAGCAGAAGGGTCTCCGTCGCCAACCTGAACTGGGCATACCGCTTTGCTAGGATAGTGATGTAAAGAAAAATTCCCTACAGCAGCAGGATCACCAGGGGTTTGCTTGCGAAACAAATGAGATGAGAGGTAGATGCTACTGTGCAAGAGCAGCCGGATAGATGTGATTGCGGAGACTGCGGGCAAGCTTGCTGGAGAAACCTCTTAGCGCGTTGATTCAAGAAGAGGCTAGCAGTAAACAGAGCTCGGGGAAAGGTGATAAATAAGAGAAATGGAATCCTAAGGCCGGCGGATGCAAGCTGAAATCCATCTGTCTCAGGAAGCGTCTGGCACAAGCAAGTGCAGCCGCGATGGAAACAGGGCAAGGATGTGCGAGTGCTGGTGAGTTGTGATTTGACGATGTAGTGACAAAGCGGCAGAGCCTTGACTGCGGGATGCCGCGGTCATGCGCAGAGACTGCCGTCGACTGCAATTGCACGCATTTATCACGACCTGGCCACTCATATCTGCAATGGACGATGAGTTTTGGCGGTGCATCCCTGATCCCTGCGGCGCAGCTTAGCGGGCCGGGATAGAGCGATTAGGCCCCTGCAGGCAGGCGTGATCGAGCCGCCGATTGGCCAGGCTGCGGCGCGCACCTGCATTTGGCACGTCCAATCAGCAGGCGCGACACACCTCGGCGCTTCGACGGCTCCTGCCATTGAGCCACAGGCCCTCGCAGCCCCGCTTTCGACCGCAGCCCCAAAATCGCCTGCTCCAGCCATGCATCTGCGCTTGACCCCCTCTGGCTCCAACGACGACCGCGATATGGATGGCTGGCCATGGCGAGACGGACGATCAGTCTGCCGGCGGCCTGTGGCGAGGCGAGATGAGGCAATGCAGAGCAGCTCAGGGCCGAGCAAACGCACGAATGGGACGGAAGGGTTCACTCGTGGCGATGCACTCTCCAGAGCTCATTGTGGAGGACAATCGACGGCACAAGATACGATACGGCGCCGGTGCTCGCTGTAGGTCTCACTGCGCCGTTCCACCCCCTGCAAGGCACCGTTCAATCACTCAGAAATGTCCAGCATCCTCGCACAGAGGCCAGATCGCCAGCGGTGGAACCACCGATGCAACGGTGAGAGGCGCCGCAAGTCGGGGTAAGGAAAGGAGCCGAGGGAAAGCTCGCTTCTCGTAGTAGGACTCGGACTGTACGTGCGATGTGAGCGCATACGACGAGTCTATGATATTGCAGATACACGCACCTGTCACAAATGGCCTTCTCTCGTGCATCCGCGCGGGAACATGGGATATGGAGTGCATACATATGTATAAGCAGTGCCACTATTATCAGCAATACTGCATGGACAAGAGTGCAACTGCAATCGAGCGCCAGCTATTCGTCCAAGATCTCGCTGCGCTCAGAGGCGCTGATAGGCTGATATCAATGTCTTGCCCAGGGTGGGAGGCTAAGCAAGGGACCTCTACAAGGGGACCTTTACTCCAGCGGTACGCAGCCCGCTAGTGCGTGTACATCACCTGTCGTCAATTTGGCCGTCTGAGGATCTGAGCCCATGGTTCCTAGTTGGCTCACAATCGCCATTTGCCTCGCCCGACTATTTTCGCCTCGTCAATGCTTAGCTGGGCCCACTGCGGACGTACGCGCGCAGGAAGCGACTGTCTGGGCGGCTCGCAGGCTCCAAAAAGAGGGTGAAAAGAGGTGAAGGGAAAAAAAGGTGCCTGGCTCCCCAGACTAGAATGACAGCGATGGTAGCGTTGCAGCGTGTTTGACATCTCGACTCGGTACCGGTGCTCGGTAGCGAGGTAGGTACAGTTGCAGTTATGGGCGCTGCTACCAAGGCTCTGGACGTTTGCGAGCCGTGATGCTGCAGATAGTCGAAACATGGCCGCCATGCATGAGCAACTGGAGGCACAAGCATTTTGCAGCTTCGACGCGCATTGGTCGCCAAGGCCTGTCTCTGGCTGCCGGACCGGACCCGCTCCATTCCCAAGATGGCCGCCGTTAACAGCTTTTGCACTCTAATTTTATATGGCAGCCAACCCCATCCACTGACAGGCCTCGTCCACGGCCGCATAGGCGCCATGCTCGTCTGGCTCCTCTCCATAGGACCCATCACACCAGACCCCAGCCAGGTCTTATTTACATAGTACTTAGTTCTTGGTGCTACTGCTGCGAGAAACTGTTCGTACCTCCAGTTTCTACTCCTCCTCGCCAACTTGTCCATATACTGCTAAGCAGCTACCTGCCTCACCGCGTGTGAGTGGTGTGTGTCTTGCGCCTAATCCTGGATCAGAATTTGGACCAGGGCCATACCTCTCTACCTGCTCCGTAATTCCTCTCTCTCTCTCTCTTTTTTTTTTTACCTACTTCTCCTCCTCCTCCTCTTCTTCTCTTTCCCTCTTCTGATCTTGGCCGTCTCACCAGGCTTGGGAAGAGTAGCAGAAGAGGAAATAAACAAGCCTAGGCGGACAAAGAGAAACTCTCATCGCTTGCTGGCTTCCTATCCGGGTGACCACCATTCTGCATCCTGCCAAAACCTCTCCTGCATCCGCCTGCATCATCCGCAACTCCTAATCCTCGAACAGGAGCATCCCTAGGCGGCTCGAACAAGCGCCGAGCTAATCAGATCAGCCCCTCCCCTAACATTCCCCGGCATATCACAGAAACCTTTGTTCCTTTTGCCTACAAGTGCTCTCTTATATGCAAAGCTGTGACGCTGCCCTCTTCCGTTAGGCTGCCTGACCTTTTCTTTTCCGTTTTGCCTTGTCGTAGCCTTCTGGCTAAGCCTTGCATCTTCAAACTCTCTTCGAACGACAAACTTCATAGCTTATTAGCCCATCGCCCATCGACCAATTCGACGCCTATTCTTACCGAGTCCAATACATTCTTGAACATTTGCTTCCCATCTGTCGACGGCCCGAAGGAAACCCGATATTGCTTTGCTGCTGAAGCTTGTGTGTCCGGGAGTGGGCAGTGGCTGGGTTCCATGTGATGGTTGATACCTAAAGAACGCGCAGCTTGCCGCCCAGAGAGCGCTCCTATAGAGTCGGACCTTTGGCCTGGCAATAGGATTGTGACACCGGATCTGGTACTGTCTCACGAACTTAGTGCACTTTGCATTTTTGGGAAAAGACCGTCCTTGCAGACGCAGAGGTGCCAGGCCGACTAGATCGATCAATATAATTTCGGGCCTGCTACTCCTGGCCATCGTGGAAGATTCGACAGCAAAATCGCAGCCATGTCGTCCGCATCACATAACCATACCGTTTCCAATCGGTCCGGTAAATCATCAACCGCACGAGGCCGTCCATCACAACCAGACGTCTCAAAAATGCCAACAGCAAAGGACCTCAAATACTTCATCCCCTCAGCCGCCACGGCATCCGTTTTCCTCTACGCCCAGGGACCGTCAATAGTGTGCTGCCACCATGATACTCTCACCATCGACCGAAGATTCTCTCGTCATGTGGACGACATCCAACTGATTGCAGTGGACAACCAGAGTGAAATCGGTGCCGGCCGCTTTGTCGTGAGCTATGACGCTGGACAGACGGCTATTGTGTGGGACTTGATGACTGGCGATGAGATTTCTCGCTTTGTTTCCTACGAGACGCTCACAGTTGCCGCATGGATGCGTAATGGAAACGTAGCATTTGGTAAGAGACAGCTCACGGATACTGCACAGCTAGAAGACATGAACTAATACATTGGCTATATAGGCAACACCCAAGGAAATATTATTCTCTTTGAGCCAACCACGTCCGAGCACATCTCAGCTAGGACGATAGATCAGATTGCAGTGACGGCATTGGCTCCGTCGTCTGACTGCCGGACCTTTGCCATTGGGTAAGTGATATATGGAATAAAATACCAACATCTAAAATGCATTATTTACTGAGTCGACATCTAGCTATCAAAATGGATCGCTTTTAATCGCGACATTGCAGCCTCGCTTTACCATCTTACACAACTTGACAACTTCGAGAGGACCATCGCCCATTGTCACGCTTGCCTGGCACGCATCATCCTCAAAGCAAAAGTCGGACATGCTGGCTGTCCAGATGCACGACGGCGACCTGCGGGTCTGGAGTGTGGCCAAGTCGTACAACGCAGAAGAGCCCAAGGTAGTCAGGGCGCTCCGGAGAAATGAGAACTACCAGGCCGGCCCCAATTGGATGGGATGGTCCAAGAACGGCCGCGTTATCCAATACTCAGACTCGTATGTGTTGCCCTTCTCTTAACCTGCCACAGCCTAAGCGCGCGGCCTCTTGCTTTTGGTGGCCGCTCTTGTGCTGACTTATTCATCAGGGAGACGTTTTCGTGGGACGTAAGAACAAGGCATGTTACTAGGGACTCTATCCCAACCCTAGAGCATGTTAAAGGCATAGCTCTTTATGGGCCCGGAGCGAGCCTCTTTACTCTCGGGCCGAATAACACTGTACAGCAATTCGATCTCAACTCTCCAGCTATCATGGTAGCCAACGTGCAGCACCCTGCGGGTGTCCTTCCGCCATCTCCCCCAACTTCCGAAGAGACAGGAGGTAGGTCAGTACACTCTGCCACGACAATTCATACGTCAGAGTCCGAGTCAAGCTCAATTCCCCTCGAGATGAGCGTCTCCGAAAGCGACGACGATCATCTATCTCCTTTCCAGCGCCTAGTAAGGCACAATGTCCCCGAAGTACCCAATAACGAAGTTTATGATGCAGGCAGTCCAGCCTCTAGCCGGAGCGGCATGTCATCCTTGTCCAAGTCTTCGGCAGGTTCACGCACGCCTGGCAGGCCATCAGGATCGCTAAGGTCGCGAGGCATGACAGAGGGAACATATATCTCTGCCGGGTCTTCCTTGAAAACTTCCACGGCGGGGCGGCAGGGGCAGGAGCTAGACAACTATTCGATGGGATACTCGCTTCCTACCACAAGTGCTCCGTCGTTGGCCTCATCCAAGTCTAAACTTAGGCCCTCTCGTTTAAGGCATGAGGTGCCGAGGAGCCCTGCTGATGAGACTAAAGTGCAAGACCTGTTCAAGTACACTCGCTCGCGTTTGAGCGACCTTCCGTATAAACATCCGATACCGTCAAATTACCCTCACCTCACCAATGACGATTTACGTCGACAGATGCTCAACACCATCTTCGGATGGAACAAAGAAGTGGACGACCTTATTCGCGATGAGATGAGCCGCCATCCTTCCGGATCGGCAAACCGTATTCTACTTGCTAAGTGGTTGGGTGATTTCGACTCGGGCATTGTGGCTGCTAGCTCTCAAAACATGACTTCATCAGACTGGATGCTGTTGGCACTGAGTTCCATTGGTGGCCACGCATCCCAGCACAAGCTCGGTCGCGTCTATGTCCAGCGTCTCCTGGAGAATGGCGATATCCACGTTGCGGTGACGATTATGCTTGGCATGGGAGACTTTAATGATGCCATTGAAGTCTATATCTCGCACAAGATGTATATGGAGGCTCTCATTCTCACTTGCGTAGCTTTCCCTAGTGTCTGGGAGCGCCAAGTTGCCATTGTCAAGAAATGGGGCGAATGGGCGGTTAAGCATGGTCAGCAACAGTTGGCAATTCGCTGCTTTGCATGTACCGACCAGGAATCTTCAGAGCCTTGGACCTCGCCGTCAGCTGCGCAACTCAGCTTCCAAAACGTCACACCGAGTATCCCTGAGGTGCTGAGCCCTCCATTATCACCCCCAGGAATCCAGATGGGGCCTCAGCGCAGTGTCGCCAAAGCATCAGCGCTGAAGCTGGTTACGTCGTTTGGAGATCAGAACCAAAAGGCCAAGTTCTACTCGCAGGCTGATGGAGGCCAGACGCCGATTGCTGCTGGAGTAACGCCGATTGCTGAGTCGGCTATATCTCCAAGTGGTGCTTATGACCCTGCGACTGCGCTTCTGCGGCCGTCGAACAATAGCCGGTTCAATACGCCAACGTCAGCTCGCGCTGGAGGCCAAATGTTCAATCGTGGGCGCTTGCCCTCAATTGGAGAGTCTGCTTTTGACAGGAATAGTCTGAAAAATATCGGAGCTGTCATCCAGCCCGTTGACGCACCCCAGGAGCATCGAGCAAGCCACTCTCGCAAGTCGTCTGCGACTCAAGACAACAACATGACGACAGGACTAGCGATGCAGCGCGCTGCTACAGCTAGTCCAATGATGATGAGGGAAAAATTCCCGCCTGTCGTTCAGGGATATGCTGGTGAATATACGAATGAGCGCCCTCCGTCTCCTGACAATACAATCATGAGTAGACTACAAGAAGTCCACGCAGCACAGCGAAACGGCTCCCGGGACCGGATTCCCGCGCATTTACATCTGCAACTGCAGCCTATGACACAGCTGGACACGATGTCTCCTGAACAATCAAACGCTTCATCCAACCGCTACCACTGGCCGACCCGTCGTCGTGGCACTGGTCCCAGCACAGCCCCTCTTGCAGGGTCTGTGGCAGGTTCCATCACATCCAACTCAAGCGCCGGCCGTAGTCACCGATCAAACCCTCGCCACAAGGATGATTACATCCACAGCCTGGAAGCGGCACAGTATTATTCTAGAGGGGCTGGAAGCAGAAATGGGAGCAAGGACCGCAAAAGGGACCCGTCCACTGGCCGTCACGCCAGCCGAGAGCGACGAGCTAAATCGCGTGACCCATCTGAAGATCGTGGTAGAGCCTCGGCCAGATCTTGGACCAAACCAAAACGATCTCCTACATCTCCTGTCCCAATGTCCCCGGAAGACTTGGCTATCCTCAGCAATCGTAATTTCGAGAATACGGTTGAGCCCTTGACAATTCGAAAAGCGAGCGTGGCAAAGAGCGGAAAGGGAAGCGGACGTACGCCCAGTCATGGACGTAGCCCCGATAGCAGGCGCTTGCCACCATTGGATACACGTGAACGTGTCTCCCATGGGCGAAGCAGATCGGCACCGCGGTCACCAACGTCGCCAGTGCCACTGTCAGCAACGGCCTTGCATTATCAGGGATCGGAAGACGAAGAAGACTTTAGGAGGGCTATGCAAGCTCAGGAAGAATTCAGAGCCAAGCACAGTCGGAGCGTTGGCCATCCTGGTAGTTCTCCCGCCTTGAGTCGACGTGAAAACACAGAAAGCCGCCGAAGAGAGGCGGCCAGTGACGCTCGCGACCCAGCCCCGATGTTGTCTCATATCCGTGCTGCATCTACAGAGCACGCTGGCGATTTGCGAAAGATGAAGGATGAAAGACAGCGGAAGAAAGAACAAGCCGCACGCGAGCTCGAGGAACGACGGAAATCTCTTGCAAAGCGGCAGCTGGGCCCTCAAATCCCCCACCCTAGCGAGATAGTATCACCTAGGAAGCCTCCTCCTCTGGTGGAGGCCGATGATGAGGCGTTGTCTGAGGATCTCCCTCCTCGCTCTGCAACGGAACCTCCGAGGAGCATGTATGCTCGAAATGGGCCACAAATTGGTCTGCCTGCCACACCAAAGGCAATGAGACTCATTCTCCAGACAGATGAGGACGAGAATGATGAGCTGCCGCCACCCCCAGTTCCTACAACGTTCTCCCAGAAATACTCCCCACAAAATTCGCCTAAATACTCTCCGCAATACGCCTTGGAAAAGAACAAGGCGGTGCAAAAGGAAGAGGAGGAAGAACAGCAACAGCAACAGCAGCCACTGACATTGTTGCCATCGACAGTTTATCAGCTGCCCTCAACGGTTTACCAACCACCAACTCGACCTATGATTCCGCGAAGCATGTCTGCGCCAATCCCCGAGGAACCATCGCAACAACCCCGCTTTATGAGAAAGGGGAGTGCCAATGAAGGCAGGGGCCTCGATGACATTGTTGAGACGGAATGGCGCCGACAGAGGAGCGATCTGGTGCCTCCACCACCACCACCACCTCCTTCGGCGCCTCTTACCTTTCTGAAAGAGCTGCAGCATCTGGCAGTTCCTCCTCCTCCCCCACCACCACCGTTGCCACATGTACGACGACAGCCTCCCGTTGCTGGGACGGTGGCCTCGGGTATGATTGAGATTGTCATGGATGACGATGAGACGGAGGAGCCTATGGCAGCTGCTCCCAACGATGGCATGGTGCCAGTGATTCCTCCTCCCGAACCACCTGTCAAGGGACACAGCCGAGGTCGCAGTCTTGGAGAAGGCAGTCTCTCTGGTCGCATGAGCAAAGCTACCGAACGTCTCCGCTCGGGCAGCCGCAGCCGCAAAGATGGAGCTATTAGCATCATCAGGTCACCACTTGAGGCCTTTGGCGATGCGACAGCCGGCATGGGCCATCTTCGGTCTCCCGTGGCGGGCGTGCCACCTCCTGTCTTGTATGATCGAGATATCGTTCGATCGCCGGTTGAGGGGCATGGTAGGAAGCTGTCGACCGGGATGTTTTAATGAACGGGTCGCATCATGGCGGAACGACGCCCTTTTCGCCACGCAGCGACTTTTCAATCTTTGTTATTTTATTGTTTTTCTGTTTATTAGTATTGCTTACTTTTCTGGATGCGAATGCTCTATTCCCAGCATCTTGCAAGCAAAAACCCGGGTGTGATATGGAAGGACTTGGTTTCTGGAATAGTGTGACGACTATCTCTTTATTTGTTTCATTATGCTACTCTTTCTCTTTTCTTTTCTCCTCTTTTTGTTCTACGTCGACTGTCTTTATTGCATGCGTGCAATTTTAGCAGATAATCTTTCTCTTCTCTGTTTCTCGTTTTACACGTTGAATTTTGTGTGATATATGCATCGGAGGGCTTCTCTTCTTTTCTCTTTTTGGATAGATGACCTGTGTGGGATTCAAGCTTGAATCTCTCACATGAGCTCACGGGGCAATGTATATCCTGGCTTGGAGACCTTTTTTTCTTCCTTTTTCAACCTACTACTTTACCTCTTTATGACTGATGACGGATTTGGAGCAAAAACAAACAACACGTGAAAAGGTGGAAGACGGCGACGTCTTAATACGGCTAAGAAAAGGGAAAAAAGAGAAGAGAAAACGTGCGAGACAGATTGCATAAACTGCTACACGAGATGCGGCTGTGCCGGACGGACTTAGCGTTCTATATAATGCTGCCTCGCGGCAATACTATTTGCTTTTTTTTTTTTCCTTTTTACGTATTGCAGTGAGGCAGCTGATGCAAAGTTATACACGTCTTCTATTTTGCGCATTTTGTCCCTTTACATTGACGCATAATGTGATGTAGTTCTACTCTATGTATAAGAGCAAGCAAGAGCTCATAGTATCTCTTCTGTAGGCTGTGTGTGATGGCCTCACTTTTATAAGCGCTGTGGGGGCAAGATGCTGCAGAGGGTGGGGTTCAACTGCCGCCATTTGACCACATTGAAGCATTTTTCGCATCTTGTAGATGATGCAAAATGAAACTCGAATGGCTCTTCAATGGTCCAGTATTTTTTTCAAAGGCTGTTTATTATATAGTGAGACCAAAAAAAAAAGAACAAAAAATGATGTCGGACTTCTCCGTCTCGCCCATCCAACCCACGCCCTCCGCGATCGTAATCCAGCCCGCCACGCGACGGGGGAGAGTTCTCTGCAGAGTGAAACCTCCCTCAAGTGTCATCTCCATTGCTTAGGGCAGCACGGCAATCGCAGGTTACCCATGCGAGCGCGCAGCCACCGCGGCGTTCGGGCTGGGCGTCGAACGGAGGGGATCTGACGGGGGTGGGTGTGGAAAAGGCGAGTATTGAGTGAGAGCCTTCACCGTTTGACCATTACAGCCGGCAAAAAGGGCGGTTGTTTTGGTTTATAAAGGGTTGGGCGGCAGGCGGCGAATTGTTGGGCCGGTGGGGGCTTGCTTGGGTCTTGGTGCTGCAGCAGAGTGGCATGTGCTATTAATGCAGAGAGCTATGGAGCAGCTTCAACTTCATCCCATCAATCAATCACAACTACAACATGGCGCCGTCAACTGCCACAGCAATAACGCCGACAGCGCATTGATTTTGGATGCTGCATATCCATCACTTCATGCCGTCCACAATACCTATGGCCATATAATTCGGCTATCTCCCTCTATAGAATGACCTGCACCACCTGATTTGCGCATCTGCGGTCGTCCCTCCAGTCTTCATGCTCTTTCTCACACGACTTCGAACCCAACTCCACGACCTCTAATTACGACGGAAACGAATAAGAACGAAGCGAAGCAACTTGAATATTTACAGCGTGCTCATTTGCAAGAAGAAAAAATTACAATACTTTACGATTTCTACTGCAATTGCCTGTACAACGCCATATATATATAATTCTTGACCATGCTCACCACGGCTCCTCGACTGCGCATCCGCCGTCCTTCTCCCACAACCGCCGAATACACCGTCACCACGCTACCGCCCCAGACGCTGCCTCTACGTCTCTTATGGCTCCTCCTCCTCTTCCTGCGCATCTTCCTCTCCCTCGTCACGCTACTCGTCCTCTATGCGCGATGGGTCCAAGAGCGTAGCTCCTTTGGCGCAGTGCCAACAACACCCTTTCCGCCCTCCTCTCTTCCGCCGCTGCTCTCCCTCGACCGCATGGTATTGCTCCTCGACGCCTTCCAAGACACCCCCAGCGGCAAACTCCTCGCCCGCATCGCCGCCTCGGTGACCCTCCCCGTGCTGGTCCCCGTCGCCGCGGCGGTCTTCTACGCGCTCAGCCTGCGGGTCCACAAGGAGGAGAGCCTGCTGGTGCTGCGCGGGCTGGGCGTGCAGACGAGCGAGAGCCCGGCGACGTATCTGGCCAGCGCGGCGACGCGCTTCATCCCGACGGAGAAGATCCAGGACATACTGGTGAACGAGGCGTTTCGGGGCTTCGAGGTGCGGTATTACCTCGTCGTGGTGGTGGAGGGAGAGGAGGATGTCGTGGTGGTGTTTCCGGGCTTGCTGCCCAAGAGGAAGATTGTCGAGACGGTGTGGAGGGGGCTGAGGGAGTGTTTGTACGAGGGGAGAGGGGAGGATAGTAGAGTGGTGGCTAGCGAGAAATGACATGAGAATGTGGAGAAGGATATATAAAAGAAACGTTATCTCAATAAGAGATACATAAGACATGCCATGTTTTGTTTCCCAGAGATGTGTATCCTAGAACTAGAATATATATATATATATACACCCCATACAACACGCTTTTTTGTTTCTTTTTACTTCCTCTCTTACTCGTCAGCCATGACGGCATCACCCTCCTCTGTCTTATTCGACTTCATCCCCTTCTTCGCCCTCATGTCCTCCGCGTTCGCATACCCCTTTCGCTTCGCATACTTGTCATTCTGCTCGTCCGCTGACTCCAGCAGCTTCATGTTCATGACGCCGGGATACTTTCCGCTCAATCTCCCGTTGTTCCCCCCTTCAAAAACCTTGGTGCTATTGGCAATGGCGGGCGCGGCTTTGCCCACCGCCGCGGCAGTAGTGCCATTGTTCCCCTGCTGCGAAATGTGCTGCAGCAGCTGGCCCGCGAGGATCTCGTCCATCTTTCTCCCACGCCACATCTGCCATGCGTCGTCCATGATGCCAAACTGGCCGAACCGGCCACTAGGCCCATCCTCGCCGACGTATATCCACTTCAGGGCGTCATCTTTGCGCTGCGGCGCTACGGAGTCGCTCAGGTCGCTCGGGAAGATGCAGTCCCAAAGCACCAGGGGCACCTCGTCGGCCATGACGTAGTTTGGCCGGCGCGGGTTCTTCTCGACGTTGAGCAGCTCGCTGATGAGGGAGGGCTTCTCAAGGCCCTGGCCGACGAGGAAGAGGACGGCGACCATGTGGCGGATTTGGTGCCACAGGAAGGCCGAGCCGCGGACGTGGAAGTAGTAGACTTTTGGGTATGCTTCGCCGGACGAGAGGTCCATGTCCTCGGGGGCGAAGCCTGCGGCTTTGAGGTACGGTAAAGCGGATGCGGCATCCTTCACTTCGACAATGTCCGATTCGAACATGCGCCTCTTGAAGTTTGTGATTTGCTTGGCGGGGTCGACCTTGCAGAGGTTGCGGAAATCGTGCTCTCCTTCGTACCGCTTTGCTGCGTCGCGCATGGCTTCGATGTCCAGCCAGCCTGGCTTCATGAGCTTCTTCGTCTCGTCCCTGTTTCCTTTGCCTCCTTCCTTTGCTGCGGAGGTTTCGATGAGAGATGGCGTGGGAGCAAAGGCGGGCTGCGTGAAGAAATATCTGTACTGGCGCTCTCGGCATGAGAAACGGGCAGAGAAGTCGGGAGGTGGTGCTGGACACCAGGCCAGGATTCGGATTTCCTTGGGCAGCAGGCGGTTGAGAACATGGGGGTAAGGGATCTCATCGCGAATGTCGTCAAAGGGTTTTGCCGGCGCTTTTGGCTTGCTTTTCTTTTGGTCTTGGCCCTCTACGGGAACGTCATCCTCTTCATCCTCCTTCCCCAACTCTGCTTCATCGATCTCTGGCTGCTTCTTGGGCAACGGCCTGTTACTCCGTACTCTCAGCCCAATGACCTGTCCAAAGGCACTAACACCGCGGTCTGTCCGTCCACACTTGGAGTACTCGCAGCAGTCAAAGTCCACGACCTTTTCGTCTTCGGGAAAGATGAGGCACGCCTTGGTGAGGGCATTCCATAACTCCTCCTCGATGGACGGTTGGTTGCCCTGAGCCTGGAACTCGAAGCCGCCAAAGTTTTTGCCCAGATATGCCAGCTTCAGGGCGATGAACCGAGTGGAATATTTTGAGGGGTCCATCTTCTTCTTGCCCTTGGGCTTTTTAACCGGCTGGGATAATTCTCCATCTCCCGCTTGTTGCTGTTGCTGTTCAGGCGCCGCCTGGGCGACCTCATTGTTTGATGTTGAAATTGGCCCGGATGATGTAGCCACTCTCAACTCCTTCTCCAGCTCCTTCACCCGCTGGATCAAGCCAGCTTTGGTCCAGTTGTTGTAATTCCCCTGGTCCGCCATCTTCGCTCTCCTCTCACGAACCAGTTCCAAGTTGTTGACTGTTGAGAAGCAGCAGTGAAATCCTTCTCTAGCCCTGCTAGGCCAGCTTTTTATGGCACCTCCACAAATCTTGCGGCCTAGATTCCCCGGGTGGAAAGGTCGCATGTAATGAATATGAGCGTGAGAGTTTTTGATATTTCCATATCAATATAGGGACTCTCTTCTTTTTTTTTCTTCCTTTTCTTAAGCTGCTTGTGAGTTTTTTCGCTGTAAACGACTCAATCGAGTGTGGGCTACTTACTTTTTTGGGCCAAAGAGTTGTGTGGCTTGATACCATGAATGTTGTGGCTTAGCGCGATATGAAGCGCCACTTAAAATGTCAACGCTATTACTGAGCGCATATGACCTCTCTGTTTCATTGCAGCCGATCTCTATGCCGCCTCTCTCCCTCTCCCCTCTTCAATTAAATCGAAGCTTCTTCCTCGGGAAAAATGGAAGATGCGGTCGTTAGGCTGCTTCTCGTGGGAGATGAAAAATGCGGCAAAACGACGTTTCTCTCGTGCGTACAGACATTTCGTAGGGTAGTGACATTCTGCTGACGGACTTTTATGATGCAGGAGAGTGAAGGCTGGAGAAGGGATCAATCCGATACCGCTCCTACGTGATATTGACCAACCATACACATTTTCTGTGAACATGTCATCCAGGAGGTATCGTTTTGAGTTTTACGATACTTCCAGCCCGGAAAACTGGCGGCTGCTGGATCCGGATGTCATTATCATCTGCTACGATATCAGCCAGCGTTTGAGCCTCATCAATATGAAAAGATATGTCAGTATTGCATCTGTTTTATTTGACTTTTTTTTGCCTTATTGATTTACTATATATCCACCCCAAAAGTATTTTAATATTTACAAATTATGTGATTGCAATTAGTGGATCAACGAGGTCAAACAGTCGTTTTCGCGCAGAGACTCTTTGCCGGTGGTAATAATGGGGCTGAAGAGAGACTTGCGGTCTGAGAATGATCCAAATGGTATTATATATCCGCAAGACGCCTATCGAATGGCCCAGGAGATGAGGGCAGATCGGTATGTCGAATGCTCGGCAGTGACGGGCGAGTTGATAAGGCCGGCATTTGAAGATATCTGCAAGACGGCCATTGCGACGACAACGGAGAAAGGAGGACAGAGTGAGGGTGGCTGTACGATAATGTGAAGTGTTTCGGTTTGTTGCCGTCCTTAATGTGATTTTTAGATAGCAAAGCGAGTTATTGTTTGCCCATGTTACCCAAAAAGAAATGAATCTGGTGTTGGTAGTTTTAATCGTAGATGAAAGTCTCATGAAGCGTTTACATCGTCCGCGGCATCGTCCGCATTGCCGTTTGCATTGGGTTCTGAGGCCTCAAACTGGCCCAAAACCTCCAAGATAATGTTGACCATTTCCTCCTGTTGCTCGTCGCTAAAGCGCTCCGCCATCTCTTCGATGACCGTGTTGAGCGCGGCCACAGAAGCTGGCCGTAGGTTGAGAATCATGACGACTTCACCCTTGGAGAGCTCGTACGGGCTTAGGCGTTCAAGCAGTTGAGAGATGCAGTTGGGGGTGTATGTGCTGGGCTTCTGGCTTAGAGGATTGGGATGTGATTGTAAATATTGAATGAGCTGTGAATCGTCAGTGACTAACAGTCTTGGGTATCTCATAAATCTCATCATGACGAACCTCTCTGACGACCGTCTCCAGATTAGGAGGGCCGCGCCGTTTCCTCAGCTTGTATAGGTTCTTTTGCTGGGACAGATGCTGGAGTACTTCATAATTAGTGAGTACAGCAGCCTGAGCCTCGATGACCTTCATTTTGCTGGTGGTTTATGCTGCAGTGAAGATGGCGAGCTCAGAAGCCACACCACCAAAGAGCGAATAGATGCTTGGAGATGAAAATAATAACCCGTAGTTGAAATAATGTATGTTTCCGTTTTCACTTTTTAGCAAGAGAGGCGGCCCAGCACGCAAATCGCCAATTCGCAGATCGATTTACCATGTGATTCAAGAAAAGCTTGGAGGTGCAAGCATTTTCTGCTACCAAACGGATAGCCCAATCAGAGCAGCACTAATTGCCCCCCATACTTTTTGGCTCTAGCTGACCGCCAAACACACGCCGCTAGAAATTTCCTGCGCTGCTGCAGCACTAGCGGTAGTCGTACAGTGTGGATTTCTGCTTTTGCACTTAAAATTATGTACATGCATCTAATATGCAGGGCTTGGAAAGTTGGGGATCTAAGACATCATTTGCCTTGTAGTGAGTACATGGATTATCACATGCAGGCAGTTAAAACTAGCGGTGATGGAAGCGGCAAAGTCTTATGTCCTAGGTCGATGGGACAAGTCGTTGCCATGTGAGTAATTGTTTAAGCTAGATCCTGCATGCCCATAGCGAAAGATCCGGACTTGAGTATTTGGTAGCTTCGTAGCTACTTGGCAGCCAACATTGTGGCGAATTTTGTGGTGAATCTGTATGCTGGAATCATCAAGCCAGAGTACGGGGAACCGAGCGAGGCTTGTACACACTTGTTACATGGCAGACCCTGCGGCCAAGTTGGAGAACAGAGGGACCCTGGGAAAGAATAAGACGGCAAATGCCTCATGAGCTTGAATTGTGTGCTAAACCTTTACTGTATTGTTCATTATAATTACTTCCTCTTGCGGCATGGTGTAGCTGTCCAGGCCAGCCACTATTAATAGGTGCGTGTCAAAGCATTCTTTGGTTCCGTTGCATGTCGAATTCTCTTGGTGCTAGTAGTACCTAGTAGAAGCCTCTGAGCCAACAGCAGAGCCTATAGCACGCGGATGAGACGAAATCTTTGCGTGTACGGAGTACTGTAGCAATTGCGCAATTCTCAACCTTAATGGCTCCAGTACGGCCGCCAGTAGGTATATACAAGCTGTTCTTATGAACGATGACTGAGACCTTCCGTCGCCGCCGAAAATGTCTCCAAGCCTCAACCACAACATCAGCCCCAGAAATCGGGTTCTCTCCCGCATTTCGGCTACTCGGCCAGTGAGGGCTGTACTTTCAACTCCGCGGTTCGGCCAGTGGTGGTTTTGTAGCTGCCCAAAAGTCTGCGACCACGCTAATTGCACCAAAAACATAAATAATGAAATTGTTATAAATATCCCAAAAATCCAGACAAATACTCAAAGCCTATTGCTAGGCAAACTAAAAAGTACTGGAACTGGTACTTATTGTTACTTCGAAATTTTCCATCTGTCAGGTCAAACTGTGAAGAGGCCAGAGCAATACCTACAATAACCATGGAACCCTCGCACGAATTGTAATGCGTTTTCAATCTTTAGCCACTCCATTAGTACTGCAGCGTCTCTAGAAATGCCCTTCCCCAAGTTCCATCCTTCGTACTCTATACTTGCACATGCAAGAGTTTCTTCACTGTGTCCTCCGTAGTAGGTACCTGTTTCATCTGCGTTGATGGTTTATCCGTGCCGTAACGCACACAGTGCGCTGTTGAAGCAGCAAGTACCAAGTGGAGGGGCGGAACAGCCTTGACAGGGCGACTCCAAGCAGCGGCAGCGGGGAAAGGCGCTGGCACGGTTTCATTTACAGCACGTTTAGCCCTGTAGCAGCCCTGCAGCCTGCCCTGGACGAGCTGCATCTCGCTGAGGCAGACCCCACTCATGCACGTCTCGGCAGCAGACGCAGGCCTAATAATTTTTTTTTTGCCAATGCGCAATAGATTTTTTTTTTTTTTTGAGTTCCGCCCTCCTGCTAGTCGTCGAATCGGCGTCCTGACTCAGAGCCTCTCTCCTCACCTCCAGTTTTTCTTCTTCTTCTCTTCCTCTTTTTTTCGTCTCCTCTTCTCTTTTGTTTATCTCGTCACCATGCTGCTCTAGCATTATTCCCGGCCTCCTTGCTGCTGCTGCCTTTGTGGCCTCGCCGTTATCGCCTTTGCTGTTTTGTGCGCTCTTTTGAGATCCCGCCTCCTGCATCTCCAACTTCGGCCGCAATCGGCAAAAGGACCACGGCTCTGCTATCTGACGTCGCCTCTGTCCTTGCTCCCCACTTGCCAGACAGCGGGTCTAGCAGGAAAAAAAGAGCATCGCTGCTCAAGCCCTCACGCGACACCTCCAACTCACAGGGTCTGCAGCTCGTTGCGCAATCCTCAATTGGAGTCTCCTCCTCTCCGACAATCTGCTCTTGATTGCTCGTCTTCGACACCGCCGCAATGGTTCGAAACATCGTCGTCCTGGGAGGCAACTCCCACCCCCAAATGACAGAGAATGTCTGCAACTTCCTTGGCATCCCGGCCTGTGACCGCATTCTCTCCAAGTTTTCTGGTGGCGAGAGCCGATGCGAGATCAAGGACTCTGTCCGTGGCAAGGACGTCTACATTATCCAGTCTGGCTCTGGCAATGTCAACGACAACCTCATCGACCTTTGCATCATGATTTCGGCATGCAAAATTGGCTCTGCTAAGCGGGTGACCGCTGTGGTGCCTCTGTTCCCTTACTCGAGGCAGCCTGACTGGCCATATAACAAAGCCGGTGCCCCTCTGTCTAAGTCGTCCGAATCATCCAAGAAGGACTACACCTTCGAAAGCGTCCCTCCCACACCGCGGCCGGGCGGACCACGAAGTGTCGGACTCACAAACGGCGTCAACGGCCTTACAGAAAAGCTCTCCAAGAGCTCCATTGCCGAGAAAAGCCCCCGAGAAGTTAATGGCGACTCATTGCCGAAGCGATCAGATACCGTTTCGAGCGTCGGTTCCAATGGCCATGGAGTATACCCCGATGTCTCACAACGAAGTTTTACGACTCACGATTACGAGAACCCTACCAACATCAACGGGTTCCAACCCAAACCTGGGTATAAGCAATGGGTTGCCCAGGCTGGCACTCTTGTTGCTGATCTTCTTACTTGCGCTGGCGCCGATCACATCATCACCATGGACCTCCACGACCCTCAGTACCAAGGATTTTTCGACATCCCCGTCGATAATCTTTATGGTAAATTCCTTATCCAAAACTACATCCAGACCCATATACCCGATTACAAGGAAGCCGTCATCGTCTCGCCCGACGCAGGTGGTGCAAAGCGAGCTACTGCCATTGCAGATAGTCTCAACATGGACTTTGCGCTGATTCACAAGGTAATACAACCCCACAATCTGCTTGTTCGAAACTCATGTTTTATACCTTTTAGGAACGCCGTCCCATCAAGTTTACAAACCATCGCAATGCCAGCATGATGCTTGTTGGTGACATTGCCAGCCGCGTTTGTATCTTGGTCGACGATCTTGCCGATACGGCCAACACCATTACTCGCGCTGCTAAGCTGCTGAAGCGAGAGGGCGCAACTAGAGTTTACGCTCTCGTCACTCACGGCGTCTTCAGTGGAGATGCCATTGCCCGCGTCAATGCCTCTGCGATTGATAGCATCATCGTGACCAACTCGGTCCCGCAGGAAGAGCATCGTCGTCTGTGCCCCAAATTGGAAGTGCTTGATATTTCGCCAGTGTTTGCTGAGGCTATCCGCCGCGTCCACCATGGAGAATCTATTAGCGCGCTTTTCCAATACGTCTAAGTTTTGGGCCTTGATGGAGAGCTGCTAATTGGTTTTATTGGGTCAGCCATGAATCACCGCGATATTATCATTTGAGTGCTGATAAAGGGAGTAAACGGAAACGGGCAAATCTGCTGGGGCAGTTGAGATTTTTAGGGTCATTTGGTCTGGGTTGATTATTTTTCATTTTTCTTTCTACATATTCTCTCCCTCCCTCTCTTTCCTCCCCTTCTTGCTTCACGGGCACACCTCCCGTGGTCTCTTGAGATCTCAATTTACATCTATTTTGACCATGAGACTTGCTTCCATTTGGAGTTTACTTCATGGGAAGAGGTGTAGTCATTTTCTTTACCTTGCATCCCCATCTTTACCAAAATATATAACTCTCCCTGCATTTCCTTGATTGGTCCTCCTGAGCTATTCATCCCTGCTCGACCTATCTCATAAGATCTCTGGGCGGTCAAGATTTGGAACAGGGGGTTTCATTATTTACATGCGGGCCATGCCTTTGTTTGGCTGCCCCTACCAGCTACGCAGCCGGGCCTTGTGGCGCTGTGCTTTACGCTGGTCTTTTCTTATTCTTCTTTACGCATAACAACATTTGACATATCGTCAAAACGAAGCAGAAGCAGCTGGCATACCATCCATCCCATCGCTCACTTCGAAAAACCAGGGAAGTTACGAAAGAAAGAAAAGTCAAAAAAAATCGTGCATAACATGTAAAAAGATAATTATACATAGAGAGTAAATGGATCGTAGACTTTGGATGGAGTTCCCGAGATGTCTGTGCTTGCGCGCCCATATGTGCTGGTATCATGTAATCGGCGTCGAGTGGGAAATATCGTTTATGGAAACGTCAATCCATATGAGCACAATGCTGATTGTATAGAAAAAGAAACAAGACAAATATTAAAAGATATAGAGAAAAGAATTGATGAATAAAAATATAAGAATTGCGTCATCTGAAATTTGTTTGGTTGCGTATCGACTATTGCATGTTGTCTTTTATACAAACTTCTTTAAGCTGTTTGGACGAATCAAGGTAAGCCACCAAAGATGTCCTAATTTAATGATGTACTTCATTGCTATTTGTTGGAATCAGGGGCTCATGCGCCTTGGTTTAAACAAGGGCCATGATTGGCTATGTTAGAGCTCGGGGTCGGTGTTTTCAGGGCGGAAGGACTTTGTCAAACTGATTGGTGGTCTGAATCTCAGCCGCATGAATGCGCGCCCAAGGCTTCGCGCCCCAGGCTCCGTCCTCTCCTCTCGGACCGTTAAGCATGCCTGGAACCTTGTTGTTTCCTCACTGTTAGTTCACCATCGTCTTAACATCGTTCATCTACAAGCCAAGTGTGTTTGATCTTCGTCTTGCATGGTTATTTCTATATATGAAATAAAAAGAGAACCACGCAACATCTAGTATGGCGGCTCGTGAGGTAACGCGCCCAACGTGTCGCGAAGACTTCGAAATCGCAATCGTTTGCACCAAAGACCATGAATACAATGCTGTTTGCCTAGCACTCGATGGCTTTTGGGATGATGATGGAGATCCCTTCGGTCGAGCTCAAGGAGATCCCAACACATACACGACGGGTTTTATGGAGGGGTTCAATATCGTCATCACGCTTCTATGCAACTCAGGCAAAGCCACAGCAGCAGGCACAGCGGCTAGTCTGCGATCTAGCTATCCATGCATCAAACTACTGTTGCTGACTGGAACTTGCGACGGTGTACCAAATGCTGCGGGCGAAGAACTTCTTCTCGGAGATGTAGTTGTTAGCGATACCGTTATCCAATATGACTTGGGCCGCCGTTATCCTGATGGATTCCGTGAGAAGGATACCCTCGAAGACCGTCTTGGCCGACCAGACAAAAACGTTCGGAATTTGGTTACTGTTCTTGATACAGACATAGGAATACGGCGCCTGGAAGAGAAAGTTTCATCTTATTTACGAAAGATGCAGAGTCGGGCATCTGAGGAACCATATCAGCGAAGGTCCAAGGCAACATATCAGTATCCTGGTTCAACAAACGATATGCTTTTTGAATCGAATTATTGTCACAAACACTACGACTCACCGCAATGCATATGCGACGATTATACTGAGCTTGGCGATCGTGTATGCGGCAAATCTAGAATGGCATCCTGTGAACAAACTGGCTGTGATAAAGGCCATCTGCTCCCTCGAAAACGCCTAGAGCACAAGAAGAAACTGCAAGATGACGGCGATGTCGAATCTGCCCAGCAGCCATCTATTTTTATCGGAAGGTTTGGCTCTGGTGATACAAGCTTCAGTGCAGGAATTGACCGCGACCAAATTGCCCAGAAGCATAACATCATCGCTTTCGAGACAGAAGGCGCCGGGATCTGGGACGAACTACCTTGTATCATTGTCAAAGGGGTGTCCACATACGGAGATGGACATAGAATGGGCGACACAGAAGCTTGGGAGAATTTTGCCGCCGCAACAGCTGCATGTGCCGCAAGGGGTTTGATCAGCCGCTACCCTCAGACGGAAAAGTCGCTTGCCGTGGAGTCTAAGAATCAGATGGAAATGGTTTTCAAGAGCCAGGCAGATATAGCTTGTCTCAGGGACTTGTACATCACTAGCCCACCGAACGACAAGATTCGTATTGAACAAACCAAAGGCGGTTTACTGCTGGATGCTTACGCGTGGATTTTAAAGAATGATCAATATAAACAATGGATTGAGGATCCAAGCACATGTCTCTTATGGATAAGAGGTGACCCTGGAAAAGGAAAAACGATGTTGTTATGCGGCATTATCGATCAACTACAAGGATCGGAGCTTTCTGGAAACTTGTACTATTTCTTTTGCCAGGCAACAGATTCACGTCTGAATAACGCATCATCAATCTTACGTGGATTATTACATATGCTTATCTCGAAGCAGCCGTCTTTGATATCATATGTCAGGAATGAGTATGACAAATCTGGGAAGTTAATATTCGAAGACTCAAATTCCTGGGTTGTTTTATCACAGATTTTTCTCAGAACACTTGAAGATCCCTCTATAACAGATCTTACCTTCATTATTGACGCTCTAGATGAGTGCCTGGGAGATTTACCGAATCTTCTCAAGTTAATAAGGCAAACTTCATCATCTTCTCGAATACGATGGCTTGTATCAAGTCGTAATGAGGCAGATATTCAAGAAGTGTTACTGTATACCGAGAACCGGTCAATTGTAAACCTTGAGCTTAACGCAGAATCCGTATCGGCTGCTATAAAGACTTACATCGACCATAAAGTGGAACTTTTATCTGGAAAGAAAAGATATCAGCAGGACATGAGAGACTCGATACGAGAATATCTTGCCAATAATGCGGATGGCACTTTTCTTTGGGTCGCATTGGTCTGCGAGATGCTTGAAAAAGCTCCATCTTTTGACCGAAGTCTAGAATCAGCCAGATATCCCCGGGGACTTGATAACCTTTATGAGCGCATGATAACGAAGGTTTGCAATGGCGAGTTAGACTGGGGCAGGCGAATCCTATCCATCAATACTGTTGCGCGCCGACCACTCAGCATACAAGAGCTTGAAACTTTGACTTTCTATCCCGAGAGTGTCGACATCACAGTCGAATCTCTAGAGAAACGTTGGGAAGAAGCGCTAGGCTATTGCGGTAATTTTCTAACTCAAAGAAAAGGCGTCGTATATTTCATCCACCAATCCGCAAAAGACTTTATTCTTAATAAGGCATCCTACAGGCTGTTTTGCGAGGGCATGGAACATGTTAACAAACACATATTTAAAATTTCTATCTCTGTAATAATATCCACTTTGAAACGCGATATTTATGGCCTGTCTAAACCAGGTTTTCTGACTGGTGACCTCACTAGCCAAGACATCCCAAGTCCTGACCCACTTGCTCCGGTTGGATACTGCTGTGTCTATTGGATCGATCATTTTGAGAAGTCAATTTTGCTATCCGGGGATAGCGAAGGCGAAGAACTCATATCTACTTTACTCAGCAAGAAGTATTTATACTGGTTAGAGTCTTTAAGTCTTCTTAAAAGTATGCATCAGGGTCAGATTGGAATGCGTAAATTGGAAAAGTTATTGGTGAGTTTATTTACCCAATAGTGAAAAGAGAAGCTTGAATTAATAAAATTATCAGATTAACACAGAGAGTCCTGGATTAAAAGAACGGATCTGGGATGCTCGCCGATTTATTCAAATGTTCGGTAAAGCTATAGGAGACGCTCCTTTGCAAGTTTATATATCTGCATTGCTCTTTAGTCCAGCTGAAAGCATCACTCGCAAGCAATTTAGTGCGGAAGCCCCGCATTGGGTCAAGGTATGGCCGGATAGCGGTACAAATTGGACCTCGTGTATACAGAAGTTTGATGACCAATCTGGGGACCGGTGTGATACCATGGCCATTTCTTCCTGTGGAACTTGGCTAGCAGCTCATTATAACTCAGAAATTAGGATTTGGGACGTTGAAATGGGAAAAATTATACGCTGCATCAAACTTGATTCATATCGACGGATCTCGGCCTTTGGTTGGTTTAAATTCTCTCCGCAGAATAAAAGCGAGTTGGCAATCCTGACTTATGATGGGAAACTACTGCTCGTCTGTGACATTGCCGCAGACAAAACTGTACGAAGAATTAGACTTCCAGACGCAAAAGTCTACGGTATATCATTTTTACCATCTGCGCCTGACATTATTAGCTTAATTATGGGCGACCACCATAAGAATAAGTATACTGCAGTATACTTGAACACTCAAAAAGAGGAACAAGTACAGATAAGTCCTTTATCTTTAAATGGAACAATTAAGAGAGTTGCATTCTCGCCTATCAATGGCGATATACTAGCAATCTCTGTTGATGAGTGGATGGAATCGCAAATCATCATCTACAATATTAATACAGACGATATTATTCATAGCCTAGCCGTGTATCGGGTCGGCGGCATTGCATTTACCCCAGATGGTAAATATCTAGCTGCCTTTACCAGACTCCATACTCCTGACGGCATATTTCATTTACCAAAACTCATTTTGCTTGACATTATGACGGGTAATACTGTATGGGCATCGGAAATACAACACTGTTCTCTTGAAGCACCAACATTTTCAGCCGATGGGCAGCTGCTAGGAGTTGACACCAGAGGCACGGTCCAAATTTGGGATATAGCGTCGGGCCAATGTATACAGGAGTCTGGAGTGGAGGCCAATTGCCATGTCTTCTCCCCCAACGAGAACAAACTTTTTTGCAGCTCTCACGGATCCATCAGCGTCATAGAAGTTGGCCATCGCGGGATGGCTCCCCCGCGAAATACAGAAATACATCCCCAATCCGTGATCGTTTCACCAGATGGCAGAAAAGTGGCATCTTCGCTACTCAATAAACGAAACAAGATCTGGAACGCTGTATACCAAATCTGGGATACTGACTCTGGAACACGTTTATTTGCTATTTTTATCGAAGGCCATAACGGAAACCGCGAACCTATGTTCTCACCTGATTCATCAAAGATTGCTTTACTGTCACACACTTCTCTCGCAGTATGGGATATCTCCTCTCAAAAAGCAAAACAGATCTATTTTGAAAATTCTCTTACTTGGACAATTCCGGAATTTCGAAAACCCATTTTTTCTCCTAATAGCCAATATTTAGCTCTCGAGAATACTTCGCCAGTTCGGAATGGAGATATCTGCTTTATTAAGATTTTGGATATGGAATTTAGAAAGTGTCTTCTCTGCCTTAGGACCGCACCTAAGTTCAATTCCTTAATCGCATTCTCTTCTGACAGCAGACAACTGGCAGCTTCTCTCGGGTTTGACGATGGAGATGTGAGGACAGTTAAAGTCGAAATTTGGGATATTGCCTCTGGTTCAAAAACACATGCAGTAACCCTCTCTAATGACTACGTCAAAAATTATATAAGCTCAAAAATCAATGCTTGTAGTTGTGCTGTTGATACGATAAGCTTATATTTCAATGCTAGTAAATTTGCTTTCTCTGACGATAACCACTTAATACTCGGCGTTGAATGGCATTGGTACAATGGGATACCTCATGACTTCAATATCAAAGTTATATTGACGATTAATACGAACTCTGACACAGAGAACACACAAGACGATGAAAACTTGCTCGCTGAAGAAGAGCCCAACTGTGGTGTAGATGCTCTAGGTTTTTGGATTACTATTAATAAAGAGAGGGTTGTATGGCTTCCCCCGGAATATCGACGTACCAGACTTTCGGACAGTTGGGATGCGAGAAATGGCTGCATCGCAATAACAAATACATTAATAGGTCTTTCCATCTTTAAATTCTTCTGCAGCGTATGCCCGGGCCAGATGGTCGCCCAAAGTGGAGAAAAAAGAAAGCACACTTCCAGCACCCCTGAAACGCACAAACGTCCACGTACGGTTAATCTGGATGATGAATGTTTCATTATACGCCTTAATATGAGTCCTTTAGGAGGAAAAAATGGAGACTTATAATGATGGAGACTGAATATTTGAGAAATAACTCGCATTACCAATTTTTTTCTGTTACGAGTTGATAAGACTTTAGGTATTACGAAGTAGGAGGAGCCAAGAGAAGGCATTGAAAAATTTTTGGGGGAGAAATACGCCCTCAAGTAGTTGTGGTATGTGTCTTGCACACCTTCCATGTTGCGGGCCTCGACTCCGGCAGCATCAAGCGATGTCTTCGGAACAGCATACGCACTGGACATATTCTCAACATCTAGTCCGATAATACCTTGACTTATGCATTCAAAGTGGATGAAGATTATCATAGCCTACACCAAACATAGGTAGCCATTACAACGAACCATATGGGGGCTGCTAGTATAAGGAGGCGGCCTTCTTTGATTGTGAAATTTATGCGAAATAGCTCTATTAATTTGACCTTATCAACTTTGGTTTCTACATAATGCCAAGAACTTGATACAAAGAAGTTTAAATTAACGGTCTGAAGTCATTTATAGTGTTGTAAAAAAGATTCGCTGTTGTTATCACCTACGTTCTACATGCCTTGATCCCAGCCGGAATCGAAGTTGATTTGTAAACATTAAACGTGATACTCTGCTGGATGGCCAACCTAATTATTTCTCCCCTAGCTATTCTGAGCTGCTTACAAATAGACTGCTGTAGTTAGACATGAGACATTGGTTATCACTGTGGACGCATCATTTAACACTCTTATAGAGCCAAGATGAGCACTTTATCACTCTCGTCACGCATGCTTGGAAGTACATTTTGTACTGGTCCTTTGGGACGCCGACAAGGGTAAAGGCTGCAAGGGCCAGTATTTCACAGTATCTTTGATGCTCCTCATGGGTCATTGTTGCAGTATTGATTGCATTGTGTTGAGTATAGTCTTTGTGAAGTTTGCGGAGGTCTTGATTCTAGTTTTATGTAAGATAACCCCATATTGTGCGTGGAGGTTCGGTGACGATGATTGGGTTAGGGGTTTCCGGTAGCTTTTTTGGCATTTTGGCAATGTCGTCTGATGATTTAGATGCTTGATATGATGCTGCGATGGCAGACTGGGGACTGCCTAAAATTATAGTCAGTGACAGAGACAGTAAATTTATGTTTGACTTTTGGCAAAAAAATCTTTTAATTAATAAATATAAAGTTAGCAGTCGGGCACCAGCTATCATCCACAGACAGATGGAAGCTCCGAAAGGAAAAACTAAACAGTGGAGATAGTAATATATTACCATATAGCTACTTCAGACGTGCTATATATAGAGATAATGCGGGTGCTGCAATTCATCCTTAACAATAACAACAGTGTCCCCATAGGACGAAGCCCAAATGAATTGGTAATGGGGTTTAAGCTAACGAGACCGCTGGAAGCCTTTAATCAAGATGTTAAACTTGACCAAGATGCATTGGATATTTCGTTATCCTTTGCTACCGCCAGCGGGCAAGATGTCCTTAAAGGGAAGAAAAACCAACATTCATCGTTAACATTCGACTACTTGGCCGGTTGGTAAGAGACAAGTCTCAATCTCTAGGTTATATCCTTCAACTGCCAACTTTTTTGGAATTCGCCAAGCATGTGCGCTTAGTTTGTCAAATAGGAAGCAAAAAGATAAGGAATCCTGCACAAATTAGCATCTACTTCCTCTACTTCCTCTAAAATTTTTCCACTGATTCCATTGTTTATGTCGCCTTTACCGGCTCTACAGATTTATTTCTTTCAGCGCTGCTAGTCTACAGTAATGTTTAGCCCACTTTTGTGGAATACCACGAGCCGCATCTACATATCCACATTCTCCTCTAATCATCATTCGTTACCCAAGCATATCCGATTTGTTGGAGGTCTTCCGGAACCAGCCAGCCATGCGCTCTCGCAGCTCGTTGGTAGGCGTCAACTGCCTCGCCAATAGCATAGTCTCGTGTATTATTCATTCCGTTTGTCTTGTCTAATCTAGCCGGAGGATCCAGCTCCGTCAAGCCCAGGCGGATCTGTATGAATACTTTCTCAATCGCCATAGCCGCTGACCATCCTGAATTGGTGAGTATTTCGGAACAAATAGCTCCTCCGACTGTAACATGGCCCCCGCCTCCTCGTGCAAATGGCAGAAATCTTGGTCGTATAACACGAACGAAGGGAGGAGAAAACGGAAAGTTGGCCCCGAATCGAAATTCGAGCACGATGCTGGTACATCCATTTTTCTCCATGTCTTGAGCAAGGGGGAGCTCCAAATCGAAGCTGTGAAGCTCCACAATCCAGTGAAAGACGTTGCTAAGGTTATTGAAATCGATGTACCACCCGAGAGATGCAATGTCTTCGCTACTACTACTTTGTATCTGATGTAACTCTTTGATGGCACGGTTTAGGCTCCTAAGTGCCACTGGGGAAGAAGCCCAACTTGGATCTGGAAGTCTCGGGAGAGTGTGTAGATTTAGGCTTCCAGGCAGAAACTTGGTCTTGAATTTGGAAATTGAGTCACCGCCTGACATATATGTTGCAGATTTTAATTTCGTCCTTCGAATAGAATCCGTCGATGAGTTTCGGCGTTTAATATATCGCGCCGTGGTGGCGTCAATAGCTTCGTCTTCAGAATCTAGAAGAAGCTCATGGTCTGTCTCGCCGTGGTCACTATCAAGAGTCTCAGTCGGTGTTTCCTTGATTCGAGGCGTCTCTTTTGTCTTGGACGTCAACGTATCCATAATTTCAGGCGTTGATGCGGCCTTTGTCTTCGAAATCAGGATTTCCTGATCTTTGAACTGCTCGAAACTTTGACCAAAACCCTTCCGATTCAACGGAACTGCCGACAATGGAATATGAACCGGCGTGCCACGGACTGCGAGTTGATTTGATGGGCATTGAGATATGTACCCGACACAGGCATTTGTAGGTTTCATGGGAAAGGGTTGCTTCATAGCTTCTGGCGCCGGATCTACAGCAACAAACAGATATCTGCACTGAACCCATTCGATCTTGTTGACCACATAGTGAGGCTCCACACTTACAAACTCCTTTGTTTGATTGACTACCTCGCAAATGGAAATGGCAGAACTCGGCCTCAGAACAGAATTGGGCCAGTAATTTTCCTGTAACAGGAAAGATATTAGCAAATTCTTTGAGAAGCAGTAGAGTTTGTAGAAGTAGTTGAGGCAAGAAAGATACAATGAATAAACTTACTGCACGCGGACCAGTTGACTTCTGGGGGGAAGACACTTTGCCACTGTAATGCATGCTCACTAAGAATTCTTTGCTCATGTACACTCCATTCCCAAATGAGCGTCCAAATGAAATAGTCTCAAAATCAAGCCCTGTTCGTATGATGCTATGCCAATTGCGAAGGGGGCTGCCATGCCAGGTAAATATAGATGGAAACTGCGATTCGGGGCTTTTGGATTGCGACACCGCGGTTAGCTCTTTCATGAAAAGACGTTCTCGTTCTGGCGTCCCCTGTAGAAAACGAAATTGCATCCAATGAACTGGTATACCCTGCACTTTGTTGGGATTTAAGGCTTCAGCTTTCTTGAGGTTATCTGACTTTGGTGAGTCGGCCAGAGTCGGCACTGCATCGTCTTGAAGGATAAGTGACGTATTGGACGATATGATCCACTGGAGAAGGGTAAGCGCGTTTTTGTCAATACGACCCCAAGATGTAAGGCGCTTGCTTGGATTGTTTAATAGATAAGTCCTCATATCCAACACGGGTGGAATCCCGCGGAGCATTAAACTCAAGGCAGTGGATCGTTCGCTCGCATCGAGATTATCAACATCGTTGGAATACTGAAAAACCAAGACTTTTACCCATTCTTTTGTTGGGTTCGAGACTTGTGTAGGGCATTCTTCTTCTGGTAAAGTTAGGACGTTGGGAGGGCCTGTCATGGTTGTTACGATCTCAAAGGAGCAGATGCCGGCAACGGTATTCGTCACTTTACAAACATGTCTCTCGAGATCTGGAAAAGGGAATAATGTTAGATGAGAACAGCCGAATGAGTCTTAAGGGGGCATGGAGTTGGTGCCTGAGAAAGGAATGGAGAATAGAAGAAGAGCAAGAAAAAAAGAGATGAGGGAGGCTAGTTACTCACTTCCATTGAGTATAGATGCGGTTGGACTCGGTTCCAGGCCATCAATAACTACTAGAATAGTATCTCCTACTTTGATACTGCGATGTTTGGAATAATCAGTTGGATCAAAACGGATTGATCTTTCAAAGAAGCAAGCTTCAGCAACAGAATGCTGAGATGGATTGGCCTTAGATCCGGTGTCAACGGACTTTAAATTGAGGCCAGTGGGGTACTGCCGCACAGACTTGGGATGTGCGAGGGCTGAAGCAAAGAAACTGATTAAGATGTCGACAACATAAGGATTGTGGATGATTTCATGTTCAATGCTTGCTCCAAGCCCAAGTGTAACAAACTGATAGGTGCAGAGAGGACTAGCACAGACGTAGGGCTTGAGAGCTTCAAACTCATCTTCTAATCTTTGGTGACAAACCATGCAGTACTTTGTACAACGAACAAGGCGCCGCAAGGCGAACTGCATAGCCACCATAGGGAGGTTGAGTTTTTCTTCGTCGTCCAGAGCGTAATCATGACTCAAAGATGGCATCGCATTATCGAATACTGAGTTGTCGGATGTGTCATCCTCAAGAGGATCATCTTGCTGCAAAATGTGATGCCCTTCCTTAGTGAGCAACTTTTGACGTCGAATAGCCCTGTCCCACGATAACCCATCGCTACGCCTCATATGCAACAGCTTGAGAAAGTCGCCATTCATCAGCATGTTGATTGAATTCGACATGTATAGAGGAACAAATCCTCCGCTGGCACCTTTAACATCTCTCCTCTTGCCATTCTCGTCAGCACTTTCTCGGTTATCTGCGGTCCCATCAAATGACTTTGTAAATGCAAGACGGGAAGTCTCAACAGATGGCTTGGGTCTTGAGCATTTCCCAAAGCGAAACTGTGGCTTCCATTCTTCAAAAGCAGTGTTCCAAATCTCCGAAATAGTCGGATAGTTCGGCGCAAATCGGCACAGGAGAACTAAATATTCTTCATTCTTAAGACCCCATGCCTCAAGTGCATGCTCTGGGATACCAAGTTTCATTACTCGAAGAGATAGAGAATAGAATTCTGCATCTCGAAGCGGCCTTCTTGGAAAGACTCCTACCGAAATGCCAGCCGATTGGACAATTCGTAAATCTCTCTTTAACTGTCTGATAAAGATTGCAGCTTCAATATGTCGGCTCGGTAATTCCTTAGAGGCAGCTGGAAGGAAAGAATCTCCATCAAAGTTATCGTCGTATCCTGCTTCGTCGTAGTCATCGAAATCAGACATGCTGTCTGAGTCGGTGACTCCAGGCGCATCATTGGCGGGCTCTAATTTGGCAGAAAGTTTCTCCGCAACAGTCCTTATGATTGTCTCAATGTTCTTGTTCGCAAGAGAGGGGGATAGGCGTTCAAGTATAGAAGACACGTCTACAGCGGAATGATCTGATTCTGTAAATGTCATGACGCTCGAACTTTTAGGATACGAGTCGACATCTGCGGAACATTAGCTTTTGGCTTTCTCCCCAGCGGGGGTCGGAGATGGTTGTGCTCACCAAGAACGAGAACCTGAACATCAAGAGTTGTTGCGACGTCATTGGATGACGACCAGGTGAAAACGGCCTCGCCGTCAGAGTCTCCTCGTCGAATGTTAGACACGGCGGCACTGATTGAGATTGCTCTAGATGCGGCTAGATCCTGGTTGAACTGTTTCAAGCCCATGATGGAAGGCTTGATCGAAAGATCCGATGGTAGTTAAGTGTAAGCAAGATACATAGTTCGCTGACGGCCAATTCGTTGCTGGTTCGAGGAGATGATGTTGGTAAAGGCGATGCTACACTAGAAACTGGAAAAGATGGAAAGGGAAAAGAAACGCCTCCCGTATTGTTGACGCTCGAAAGGAATATGGTCGGGCGGTGGATGCCACTGGTGGCAAGCGGTAGGGGAGATGGCCGGCACTGGGGAGGCTTGGAAGGCTTTTATCGATAATACCTAATTTTGAGAAGGAAGACTGAATTCACCAGTTTCGGCGGCTGCAGCTGCATACAAGCTAGCGTCTCTGTCCCTACAACATTCAGCAGCTCAGCCTGAGCCCAGTGAATGTCAGAGGCTTGATGGAATGACTATACTGCGGCGGCATAACAGGAGACACGCCGTACAAAAGAGTCCTATCTGGGCAAGGCGGATTTCCTTGCCAAAAGTCTGGCGTGCGACTTTATATGCCGGCCGACGATATGCGCAGGTATATGTATGGAGTTATGGATGTGAGCTGGCTGTTCCAAGCTATGCAACAGCCAGCAAGGAGCGCGGCATGTTTAAAACGTTTAGGTATATCTCCAGAAGCGCAAGAATGTAGAATGTCGTAGGACATGGGCAGGATATCAAGGCTGACGGCCTGCGAGCCGAGTCAGGACCAGAAGACGTGCAGATATTAGGCTTGGGACATTACACGGAGGCAAAAAGATTCAGCCTGGTGGGGGACTGGCGCTGCTGCCTGCTACACACCATAGTCTAATGCTAGCTGGGCTTATATGCACAAACGAAGTACGAGCACGAGCAAGCTATGCGGTCATGATCTCTCATAGCACTCCGATTTGGCGGCTCTTGGAGAAAATCAGTGGCGGCTGCGACGGGGGGTCCGGTATTAGCGTGTGACTTGTGCGGGACGCCTCCAATACGAAGTAGAAGCTGCTGAAGGTAAACCAGCTCTTTGCCTGATTCTACGAGAGTTTGGCTGAGAAGCTGCTGATTCTGTGAGCTTCTTGAATTAGACATCCGACATTAGTATCACTTGGTTACGATGAAATACGGGGCACTTAATAGGTAAGTACTATACCTTAGCCATCACCTACCCGCCGCTTGCGTTAGGCGCGGGGGGAGGAGTCCGCTAATATTGCACTGATCTGATGCCTCTCGTAAAGATAGCGAGCTTTGCTCTACCCCGTCAGTTGACTAACACAGCTACTGCCTCGGCACTGCAAGCAGTTCTCCAGGCACACAGCGCCACCCGCCATGCGCCACTTTCCGCCGCCTTCGCCACAGGAAACCAACATCGAAGACTGCACGCGACTCGAAACCGCCGAAGCATCGTATTCACGCGTTGTGATGCCGCTCCATCTCGAAATTCCCAACAAGGCTTCGGTCTAGGCGGGGCTTGCCGCTGCTGCCGATCTCGCTACTGTTAGCTGCGCATGCATGAGGGGGGCCAACCCAGCTTGCATGGGACTTGCGTTGTCGATTGTATCGTGCAAGCTGTCAGATTATGCTCAAACGATCTTGGGCGCGGGGCAAGCCACTTTCTCGGCTTGGCCCTCGTCGACTCCCTGCGGTATTAGTTGTCTTGGCTATCCTCGCAATCCTTCTTCTCGGCAGCTTGCCTTCGAAAGCTCCAGCTTTGCCAAGCTACTCTGAATTTGAGCCCAAGTTACCTTCGTCTCCTGTTAAAGACGTGCCTCCTGAGAAATTCATCCCACCGTCTCAGCAACAACCACAGTTACCTCTGCAACAAAAGATTAACAAGTACAATGGATCATCTTGGTTGACGGATGAGCGGTCTCTCTCAACAACGTATTCTAGCTCCGTCACGCTGGATGATGAGCGGGTATTGCTCCCTCCTCTCAAGGCTCGCCAGCCCATCTACTGTTATTATGATACGGACAAGAAGAAGGCAAAGGATGAAAGAGATGCTGAAAGCGAGCTACTTTTGACATGGCGCCGGGCGTGGTGGGCACAAGGATTCCGTCCCGTGGTGCTAAGTGCTGCCGAAGCTATGAACAATTCCTTCTATGACCAATTACAAAAGATGACATCAAATTCCGAGCTGAGGCGAGATCTCATGCGGTGGCTCGCCTGGGATACTATGGATGGAGGCATATTATCAGAGTTCACGGTACTCCCAATTGTTCCTCAACAAGAACCGCTGCTGCCATTTTTGAGAACCGGAACCTTCCCAAGCTTGATGAAATGGACAGACCTCGACAATGCATTCATCGTTGGTCCAAAAGCCGATGTGCATTCAGCTCTGCAGTCTATTCTAAAGGTGGCGCACATGCAAGAAGCCATGAGTGTCACGACTGCTCTTTCAGACACTGCAGTAGCAGTAAACAATACAAGTAATCCGCTTGCTTACTATAGCCCCAAGATTGTCGAAACCAAGTATGCCAAACTTATCAAAAAGGATGATAGGGCTGGTACTCTCCACAATCTCAATAATCTCATCAACTACCATCTTTTGGTTACCTGGCAGAACAGCTTCCCTGACGGTATCGAAGTCATTAAGCCCCATCCTGAGCACGCTACGGCCATGCTGGCAGGCGCTTTAGAGCTGGCCAAGTCTTTAGCATCTTGCCCTGAAAGTCCAATGCTATCGTCTTGTCCTCCGAATCTACCTAAATGCTATCCATGTGTGGCGTCCCCCATGGCCGTCACCACGCTTCCACGCCTCCGCTTCCGCAACTCGCCCCACGTTTTTACAATCGGAGTAGTTCCACATCCATGGTCCTTTGCATTGGTGAACAATCTACGAGAGTCCATCAACGTAACTTGGATTGTTGAATCTCCTCGAGATACGTGGCTCAGTGCCGTTACCCAAGCATATCTCGGCTCTGGTGTAACCTCGAGTCGCAGAGTTGTGCGTTTTAAAGAGCTGGTAGCGGGCGAGGCCGACTCTGCGCATTCCTTATGGCTTCCTGCAGAAGACAAAATACCTAGTGATATGGAGTGGCATTTCGGATTCACCATTCCCGAGAAAGGCATGGACGACGGAAAGTCTCGCAGCCCGGTCCCAGCTGAACGATTACTCAAAGACGAAGAGCCAGACAAAGCCAAAGAAATCGCTCATGAGCAGGCTTTGCTTGATCGCGCCAAGCAAGTGGTCATGATGAGCAAGTCGTTTATCAATAGAACTGAGATGCGCACTTCACTCGAAGCTTGGAATATGGCTGATACAGAGGCATGGCGGTTCACACGAGCTTTTAACGCACGCCGCTTTTCGGAACGTGAGGAATGGGAAAAGACATATCGCCAGAGGTGAGGTATGAATTAGACATTGTTGAAAATTTTGTAATATTTATCTTCTTATCTGCTTTCTTTCCCCTCTCGCTGCTCTCCCGTGTGCTTGAGCGGCAGCTTCATTCAATGTACATAGATTTTAGATAATTTTTCTTCCTTGACGAGCAATCCAACTAGACTTCTTTTTTTTTCTCCTCCTCTTTTCTGAACATTTTCTAAGAAATAAAACGACGGTGAAAATAAAATCGTTTGGTAGCCTTTTGGATGTTGAATCCTTATGAGCTACCAGACCTCCATTTCAATGACGCAACCAGTCTTGAATATAGAGGCCACTAACATTAAACCTTGACAGTAGTATCGCCGCCCATCTCGCCGCTCATCTCTCGTGAAGTTACTCCACGGCGCAACAATCCAAGGCCGTGAGTATCGACATCAACATTCGTGCCGTTAATCTTCTCTGCCCGACCGTTCAAGGCAGCATCCGGCAGCTGGGCGGAACGCACGCCACCGTTTTCAGGCTTTGAACTAAGTCGGTAATGCTGAGAAGAAGCTTGCTCCTCAAGAAGCTCGTGGATGTGGTCGTTAAGCCAGAGGCCTTTGAGCAGCTCAAAGGGCATGTCCTTGGCGCCAGTGATGACCCTTTTGCAAGTGGGCTTACCACAAAAGCAGTCAAATGGCTGGGCCATTTCCCATTCAGTTGATGGGTAAAAAAACTATAGCAAAGACAAAATTAGGATAAATAAGTTCCAACTTGTATTTTTTTACTGCAGTGGAGTAGGTGTAGAGTAAGGAGGAATAGGTACGGCTTTACTAACTGTGAGTTCATCTCCCGGACGGAGGCCCTTAGGGCCAGCCACGATCCTCATGCTCCCCATATCAAAATGCTACAAGTAAATATTAACAGCCAAATTCAATAAAAAGTCCACGACAAAGGCTTCACTATTCCGGTGGTTTAACTGACAAGAGACGGCTCGCAAGAATGGTTAATGTAGAGCAAGTCGCTGTTGAGATTCAGGTGTTTGTCTTTCCCCATCTGCACCGTAGCATAGGTAGCCTTCTCAGCCATATCACAAGGAGGGAACTCGAATTTGGCGAACAGGCCAAATGGCGGCACAGTCACTTTTGAAAGGCTCTTGGTCATGAAGTCGGCTCCGCTGACGACGACATCTTGAATGTCGGGGTGGGAGGGCTGTTTCCAGGACGGCTTAAGAGGTGCCATTGCGAGAGTGTATTCGGCGGGTATGAAGATGGATACACAGAAAGTAGAGTGCCAATGGATATAGTATGGAATGAAAAGATGTATGTACAACGAGAATGACTCTTGGAACGAGGCAATGGCGGTGTCGGATACGAGTGGATTTATGGCTGAGTGATTAAGCAAGTCAGCTAACCTTGTAGCATCTAGCATCCAGCGATTTAGCCAAAGTCAATTCCCGTCTCTAAACTCGGGCACCACTGCGGACTATTTATAAACCAGCTTCCCCCTATGATGTATTGAGCCCTAAGTGATCCATCTGCTCTCAACTCCTACGCGGCTGTCAGTCTACCGCGGGAACTTTCTCGGCTCTCTCCAGGTCTCGGTTGCCGAGGACATGTCAGCGGCTCCACGCGGAGGTGGTCCCACAACCGCACTATATTCGTAGCATCTCGGTCCATTCCCACGTCTACAGCACTAGGGTAGCTGATGACAGGTAACGGCGGGGTAGCATCAGGCGAACTTGTCTTTTTCTACGCTCCATTTGTCCTTTGGAGGGGCGTGGACCTTGTCTTGCTTGTGCATGCTCGGCTGCCGATTGGAGCCTATCATGAGCTAGTGTGCAACCTAACTTGGTAACGCAGAGAGCCACCGCGAGGGTTCTGCTGCCTTTGGGCCGGCTGGTTGCACACGGAGATTTTGGCGAGGGCATGATTGGCACATGTAACATTCTCTTTTTGAAACAGTGAATGGGGGCTCAGTAAACACTGCATGTCTCTGTAGGACCTGCTAGACTACTGTCTAAGCCCCGAGTTCAGCTCTTCTCTTCAGCGGGGTGTAAAATCCACATTTGTAGGTTAGTAGTTTCAGCTATGATGCAAATTAGCGCATGTAATTTGTGCAATTGCATGTTCGACATGTGAAAACTGTCGAAACTAAATGACAACCATGGCAACCTCCTTGTATCTGAGATCACGAGATACTATGAGGAAGCTTTAGATATGTAGTACTTCAAGAGAACAACCCGCTAGCTACATTACAATGGCAATTCTCCCAGTCACTAACCTCTTTGCGCGAATTACTCAGATACGAGTTATCTAGGTGCATAACTGTGCTCCGACTCTCAGCTGCTACCACTTAAGTACCAACTGTATTTGTCTAGGCGCTCTTGAGTCTATTTCTTAAGGGCAATACTGGCATATCAAAGCTATGCAGTTTCAGAGCAATTTCATGACCACTGCAGATTCCCTTCTTATTCATGTTCCCATACACCTTTCTAAGGCTAGAATGTTTGATGCGAGGTCCATAAAATAGAGGCAGAGAAAATGCTTTTCGATCCAAGTTCATTATAAACTTGAGACAGCTGGCAGCTATTTCGCTAAGAGTGCTACAGCCGGCACACAATTGACAATAGCGAGGGCTTTATACCTAAATTGCCAATAAATGCAAACGCTGTTCACTTTATTCTTAGTTTCTCTCTCACTTGCTGAAACTTACCAAGCGTTCCCTTGGCACTCTTTCGTTCTCTTTGTGACTGCGCATCCTGCAGCAACATCGCTTCATCTCTCTTAATGCCCAGCTATCAAGCAGGCCGGAGCGATCTCTGCTATCACCTATAAGTAATAAGATAATAAGAAGGCGTATGGTTCGATCGTATCTGACTTTGTTTTCTCGTTTGTTAACAGTACGGTCCTGGGTAGTGAAATCTTTAGTTGCAAATGCAGCTGGCTAGCTCTGGGGCACCTTGATCTTAAGTACATGTACTTTAGACTTGCTAGCTTCAAGCAGTATTATAGGGGCATCTTGAATCGTATCACTAATAGATCGAAAGATCCATTTATGATACAGCCCCGCTGGCCTGATCGACCAAATGAAGGTTTGGTGTTAAATAATTCAAGTTTTGGAGCGGTACTGGGGGCCTGATCTGCTCTCCTGCTCTTTGAGATTATTAAACGGCACGGGCTGAATTCATTTGACTTAGTATTCCTTTCTGCTCTAGCCTTGGTTATGACCATGATCACCCAGCTTCCGGCTAAGTCATTGTTCATCCACTGCTGACACAGAATATGACTCTGGAGTAGCTGGACCTGTCTTGGAATTGCCTGAGGGAAACCTCTCTCCCAACGAATATCCTGTCAAAAATGACGGCTGTTGTGGTGTGTTACATGGGCGGTGTTGTTGTATAAGGTGAGAACCGATTGAACAGCTGTCATATTGACAGCGGTGTACTGTTTTCTGGATTTGCAGAGTGTGGTGTATATGGACATTTCTCCAGGCATAATGGTCCCCTTACTAAGACTAAGTCATCTAGAATCGATTGACTACTGTACTTGGAAAATTATCTCACTAGCAACTTTCTTTTACCTCAATTGAGAGAGTGGATGGCGATGAATGGCATAAGTACAGATTTACTCATCAAGCTTAAATACTGCCTCTACTTTATATCCAGGAGCTAATTTCTGTATTTAGACTTATTCGTGATTCAACGATCATGATCATTTATTTCATCACGGGAGACAATTTAAACTTGCTCATTCGAAGCTATTTATCAACAATTACGTCTAAGCAAGGCATAATCAGCTCATTCCTGCAGAGCCCCTACAGGAATTGGCCTATCTATTTACATTTACTCTATCTTGTCGTCAGTTGCGGTTCAGAAAACGCTGCTTGGTACTTTCAGTCCGCCCTTTATACATATAAAAAAATGGTACACCGGAGCCAGAATATCATGAATACGGGGGGCAGAGTAGCTCAATTGGCGTGCAAGAACTCAATCACCGTGTGGGAGTGCCTTGATTTGAGCAATTTATACAAGGTTTCCTTCAATGGCTTCCCCTCGGCAACCAATTCACAATATTGTTGCGTCTCCGGGGGTTACAGGTCCGCCGACCCGGCACACGTCCGGCAGCCTTTCCCCACGACTCTTGATAAAGTACGAAAAGCTTTGCTTGTAATATGAAACGAGCTGTCACGTCTCCAGGGGCTTATAACGCGTAACACCGGGGCAACGAGCAGGCAATTGCTTCTTAGTGCTTTTTTCTTTCTCAGCAGGATAACAATTGGCCATCGACACAGTTCCTTCTCACCCAAGTGCACTGCACCTTCCGTTCAAGTTTTGCAGCCACCACTGCAGTCAAACAGACTTTCCAGAAATCTTCTGCTCTTCACCAGAAACCAATTCTTGTTTAGCATCAGAGCTTCTCGGTGTTCAGTCGAGGCTGCACATCATTCAGATACACGGCATCCTTCTTGATTGACCAATCTCTTCTTGGTACCTACTCGACATCTTCTGCTCCGCGTTGGCTCCAGCCTATCGCTAGGCTCCTTAAGAGGTTGCATCTTCAGCAACATCAGAACGCTGCTACACCGCTATCTAGTTGGAGACTGAGATTGCTCATCTCGATCTCCTTGATATCTTAAGCTGACAAATATCAGGCGGCGACGTCACCTGCACTTCGCTTGAAGAACATTTCTGTGTGCCTTGCACTTTCCCAGATCTACCAAGACCGCTTCCTGCTCTCTAGTTCATTTTGGCAAGTACCTACCAGCTCGGCTATCCTCAAATAAAAATAAGCTCCTTCTCGCATATACTAACTCGGACTCTGCAGATCTTGGAAGGTACCTGATTCTGGTACCAAGGTAAGGCAGCTCGTCGGTGCTCATTTCGTGCTCGATTTGCTCTCTTCACAAGCCAATCCACTTCTACTCAACTTCAACTGCACTCTTTCGATCACCGGCCAGCTTCAGCACCGCCCTATTCATTTCCTCTTGTGTCTGCTGTCTTCAATAGTTTGTCCCCGTTGGAAGCCTAATTAAGGCTTTGTATGCATACTCGTGCTCACTTGGCACCCACTTGGTAAATTTCTTCTTCTCTCCTCGCTCTCCGGCTCTGCATGCACCTGTTGATGAAATTATTCCCCCTCTTTTCCCTACCAAGAGCTACAGACCTCTAACTCCTCTTGCCTACGATTGCTAATCACATACCAACGAGAATAGATTCCAGCTACAGTTGTGCTTGTTTTGGCTTGCACTCGTCCGCGACTGTTTTTCTTCGCAACTTATACTGTTCTTCACTTCTGTTTCTTCCTCTCACTTGGGGAGGAATTTCTATTTGTATTTACTGCCATCGTCTTGAAACTAGCAATGGCCGTACAAACCTACACGCCCCACGAGCTTCTCCATCTTCAGAAGGCACCTATCGGAAAAGAGCTATACGGTCAGCTCCAAGCAAAGCTTCGCCAAGATCAAGAACTAGGTAAAGTTCTACCTTTCAGATCCTCTAGTGTCTTTGCTAACTGGCTGGAATCACTTTAGGCGAAGTCTTACGGTTACCCCTTGAACGCTCGCTTCCTCAAATCATGGAAGAGCCAACTAATATCTCCGGTGGTGCGGAGAATGCCTCCCCTCGCCGTGGAGAAGGGGCTAGACAGCTAGATGGCACTGAGTCTGAATGGAGATACCGTGGCCGCACTGATTCGGATGCCATCGGAGCACAGCCCATATCTGCGCCGACTGGCTTAGCTGCTCAAAAAGATGAAGGTTTTCAACGATTCTACCGAGCAGTTGTGTCGCCGACTCATGTTCGAGTTACAGCCGGTGGTCGCATCGTACCCAATACACGCGGCTCTCCATCGCCCACAACTAGGTGGCCCAGAGAAAAGTCTACCATTGAGGCAGCTACCAACAACAGCCGCCAACCCGGCCGAGAGCCTCTCCAGCAAGGTCAGTTTGCTATGCCGCAGCCTATTGGCTTTTTCCCTCCGCATGCTATGATTCCGGGCTTTGCTCCTGGAATGGTACCTATGCCAACAGGACCAGCCCCATATCCTATTATGCCATGGCATGTAGGTTTCAATATTGGCGGAGCTATAGGAATGGCTCCTCACCCCATGGGCCATGTTCAAGGCCTCGTGGCAATGCCGCCGCCGCCACCAAACTCCGCGAATAATGACCGTCAAAGTGAAACAGGAGCTTCAGAGAACGCGACTCCAACTCGGGTTGTTGCATCCGACCATTGTGATCCGACACGTCCCCATATCCATAATGGACAATGGATGGTGCCGCCGGGAAGTACTTTTCACCCCTATGCTTTGGGATCTCATCACGGATTCTTAGGACCCCCAATGTTGCCACCCATGGCAGCTGGCCAGAGGTTTATCCCTAGCCATATTATGGCTCCTGTGCCTCAGGGCAATGGACAGATTCCCCAAGCTCAGGCAGCTGGCGTGCCGCTTCCCTTGCAGCAATATCCTACGGTACCGAACCTTACCCTTTCTGCTGGACAACATCAGTCCTCCATCCGGGCCAGCCAGATAACCAAGAGACAGCTTTCGGTGCTTCGAGCATCTCTCAAGTGGACAGAAGACCAGCTACAATACAACAAGCATCAGATTGATGAAAGAACCATGGAACTCCATGCGCAGTCGTTGCGTCACTCCATCGATCATTTCGAGAAGATTCAAGACGAGCAGGCTGCCAATGAGGATAGATGCCTCGCAAAAGATCAGTCTCAAGACGATTTGAGTGATTCTGCATCCGCAGACGAAGATCGGTCAAAGTCTCCAGTGACCAACAGCAGCGCAAAGCCAGAAAACAGCGCCGACAGCTTTTCCAGTCTCCCAGATGAGGCCTCTATAGTGCGAGCTGATAAGGGAAAACCAAACGGCCAGCGGATTGCTTTTCCTTCTAACCATGACGGTGCTACAATGCAAGCTACCCCTAACGTCCAGTCTATGGGTGTACCCGATGAAACTGCCGCCGGCAAGAAATCATCAACTTTGCCTGTCACTGCGGCGCTGGCTCCTCCATTCCAGCCTCGCGTAATAGGAAATCAATATTCCAGCGACGAATTGCCTCGTTCTGTTAATATGCAACCCATGCACGAGGAGAATGTTTCCCCTCAGCCTTATCTTGTGGGAGAGCTACCCCTTGGTATGAACGCTGAGCAGGCTCGGGACACAGACTACGTGTACCCTCGACAATTGACTGAGGATGAACTCCGAGCTCGTCACATGTACTGGGGCAAAGCTCCTCACCACCTCCAAAGCGGTCTTCCAAAGTTCGATGGCAAGGACTTTTATCCACCTTCGCCAGACAGCAGTCAATCTCCCGACAATGACTCGGATCTCAATCGGAAATTTGATACCGTCATGGCCAAGGTGATTGAGACTGAAAGCGGTGGCAGAAACGGTGGAACTGAAGCTGATCCTTTCCAATCTTCTCGACGTACTCCGCATACATTTGGACGAGGTGGAAAGGGTGCCTCAACTGAATCCGGCTCATCTCAGAAATCCACGGCCCCTAGCCAAGATAGCGATATGCTGGTTGTTCGTCGTTCGCGTCAAGATTCAGGAAAGAAAGTCCTTAATGGAAGTCGTCACCAGACGACTGTTGCTGACAGTCCCAATGCTCGCTCTGAGAGCGACAGCCCCGACGAAAACGACGTGAAAAACATCGTATTCAAAGGACGTAACTCTTTGCGTCAAGCTCGGTTCGTAAATTACCCTTCTACATCGCGATTCGACTAACACAGAGTATTTCCAGGCCAAGTCCTCGCAGCGGCATCTGGCATGAGATGATGAAACGCGGTACCTCAAGTGGTAACGCAGTTCCCGGAACAGTTTCGTCTACCACAGCCCAAGGTGTTCTGCCTCACTATAGCGGCCACGCCACTGCATCCCTTGCGCCTACAGCCACCAATATCAACTCTGCTCCCCGAGAGCAGGCCACTAAATCGGGAAACTCCAATGAAGGTGGATCGACGAACTCCGCGGTGGAAAGACAGATTGAAAACAGACCTCCTGGAGATGGCAAGCTCAATGCCTATCTAGGCGTTCAGGGATCGAAGAAGCGGCCTTCGGTGATTTGAGAACACGGCAGTACGGTTTCATGATGCTGCAGAGAGCAGCTCAATCGAAGATTCAACAGAATCATGTCTTATTACGAGCACATTTAAGGATTGTATGAATACCTATCATGAAGATTACGAGATTTCGGCATTATTTCCTTTCAACTTTGTTACCGCCTTCTTTAGCAGTGACGAATCATCTGAGAATCATACCATGTCAGTCTCAGCATTTATTCGTGGCCAAAAGGAGCGGTACATTATTGCTTTTTTAACAGATTCAGGGCGCCGCTTATTGTTAGAATTCCATTGTATGATAGATGTAATACGTTGGCATGTGAGGAATCATGAGGCTATGTTCAGACCGTGGAGGTTTTGTACAGAGTATAGTTTGCTACAGCTAGAAATGGCGTTCTCTTCAATGGCCAGCCAAACTGCTACCAAGCAGGGAATTTGGCCTTTGGAGGAATCTCATTTTGTTTATGATCAATAATATTGCTTTTGCTTTGCTAATATCTTTGAGCCATTGGCTGTGAATCCAGCATGAATGAGAGAGAAGGCCAGAAGGAACGGTATACATAAGATAGAAATGCTGATTTGCTTCGGTACGAGGTATAGGTGAAAATACTCGCACTGTATTTTCGACATGGTAAGACGCGCGAGACTAGTCAAACAACGGCTCCAAAAGGCTTATCGTCTACGATTTGTTCCTCACTATCAAATTTCTAACTCCGTTGCAGAAAAGGCAAGCAGAAATCTTCAGCAAGCGATAGAGATTCGTGGTATGAGTCTCAGTCGGGGTTTATTCTTCGCCAGTCGTATACCTCGAAAACCATCAGTCATTGTGGTCGACGCGGAGATTATCTAGCGGGATTCACATCATACTACGAAGCGAGCAACCGACCTACCTGCGTATATGCCTCATCTTGCTTCGCTCTTCAAGAGCTTTAAAAGCCAAGATATCCATGGCAGTCTACAAAGGCTGGGTTGTGACAGCCCCTCGGCGAAATCAAGCCGAGTTCACAAAGCCTCACTGAGACAGCAGCAAAAAGTAAGAGGGACACAGCGAACGCTTCGGGAAACACCTCCCATGGAGCATTTCACACAACAAGTTGGTGAAACGGCCATTGAGAATCGTAAAATTCTCGATTCATCTACCCTGCTGAGAACGCCGGACCTGCAGGGCCTCGGGTATCGCTAAAAACGCCGGATTATATGCCCATTCCCTTGTCCCGTTATTGTGCCATGGATGCATCACATGGAAGAATTGTTAAGCTGAAGAAAAAAATTATTCACCTCCTCGTCCCGTCCTTTTTGTTGTTTAGGTGTTTCTGCATTTAAGCGGAGACCTTGTTGGGAGCGCGGAGCTCACGGCCAACCTTGGAGCGGGCCAGGATGCTCTCACGGTCCTTGTCAAGCTTGAGCTTGGTGATGACGACGTTGGAGGGGTGGATGCCCAGAGGGACGCTCTGGCCGCTGGCCTTGTCGCGGGTGACACGCTCGACGTGGATCACGTACTTGAGACGGTAGACGGAGGTGACCTTGCCCTCGCGGCCCTTGTTAGAGCCACGGACGATAGTAACCTCGTCGTCCTTGCGGATGGGGATGCTGCGGACCTGTTGGCGGAGAAGTGTTAGTTTTTTATCGCGTATAGAGAAAAAAATTGGTATTGGGCGAATCAACGTACGTTGTACTTCTCACGCAGCTCCTTGCTGAGAGGGGCGCTCATGATGACACGGCGCTCGCCAGAGCCGGCCTTGAAGTGAGCACGGCGGCTCTTGCTTCGGGAGGAAGAAACGTCTGTTTTTATCTTTGGTTAGTTCCAATATTCAATCAATTGGTTGGAGATACAGCTAAACTCACTCTTGTTCAGCTTGACCATTTTGGCGGTTGGATTTTTGGGCGACGAGGAAATCCTGTTGTCTGGCGTTGGGTGATGAGAAGAGAAAGAGAAAAAAAAATCCAGCACAAGTCGCGCGGTCAGAAAATTGGTTGTCAAATTGGTGGGCGAAATTTTAGCGGACTGTGGTCATGCACGTGATTTTGGCCTGCCCTACTTTGACGCTTAGCGTTTACTAGGCGATAGTCGTGCACTATGCTTAGTCACTCAAAAATGGCTAGCAGTAGATCGCCTGCAATTAGATTTGCGAGATAAGCTATTGAGATAGAGTCTCTAAAGGCTCTCCAATTGGCCTTTGTGAGCGGAATACGTTTTTTTTTGGGTTTGTACGCTAGCTATGCATGATTGCTTCCCTTTCGGAATAATATACAGTGTTTTATCCAAAGTCCTCGGTCATCTATCTATAGTATATCATCATAGAGAGGCCGCAACGCCACATAGAAAGTATTATACAAGGGCACATGGATCTTCAAGGCCGTTTAGCTTGAGGCAGGAGGGGTGAATCTGCCATTGTTATCATATCTCGCTTCTGCATTGAGTCAGTAATGGAAAGTAGACGGGGTCCAAGGCGTCATGAAAACTTACTAAAGAATGTGTAGTTTAGTGTAACGGTTTCAACCCCTTTCATGTTGACATCATTCAACAAATCGGGGTCCAAGTAGAAGAAAACAGGCATGTCCACTGTCTCGCCAGCGTTTAATCTTTGCTCTTCAAAGCAGAAGCACTGGATCTTGCTGAAGTAGCCTGCACATTGAGCGGGCGTTACGCTATATGTTGCCACACCAATGATATCTTGATCGCCGAGGTTCGTGGCCTTGTAGAATGCCAGGGCCGTCTCGCCAGGCAAAACTCGGACCTCTCGCTGCTGAGGGACAAACTTCCATGGGAGGACGTCAGATACGGCAGCGTTGAAGGTGACTTTGATTCGCTTCGCAGAAGTGACGGGCACAAGACGGGTGGAGAGGTCTTCGCCTTCGTCGCCGCCCAGGCCATAGGCGCGGATCGGCGTGCCACCCCAGCCAGTGGTTTGGCAAATCTACAGCCAGATTAGCCCATTGATCAGTTCAGTCGACAGATTGAAGCTTCGCGAACCATTTTGTAGAGGGGCACAGCGCCGTACGCCAGGCCAAGAAAGCCAATTATCGCGCTGAGGGTCCAGTAGCTGCAGAACACATGAGCCTAGTCTTCTCCACACGAATTGCCCGCTCAGAGAGAGTCTCCATACGTCGAGGTCTTATTCTTCTGATTGTACTGCGCCCGAATGTTTTCCATGTAGGCGGCATTCGCCTGCTGCCGAGGCGGCGTCTGCGGCTCTCGACGAGGTCTTGAGATGGAGAGATTGCGGCGAAAGTCTGCGAAATTGGGGCTGCGGCTCTGTGGCCGGGCATTCTGGCAGAAAAAGCAAGCCCATTGGGGCGATGAGCTTGCTGTCCGTGAAGGACTGCTGCGCACAAGGCGCAATGCGGTATTCATTGTTGCTGCGTTGCGATATTTGCAAACGGTTGAAGAGGCAGTAATTCTTACATGTAAGCTTGAATTTGGCGCTAGCATCTCTAATCTGATAGCGCTCAGTGGCGTGACATCTCGAGGTGGGGCAGCGGTTCGGCTCGGGTTGATTTGGCTCCAGCAGTTCAACTCTGCCAGGAACGCAATTAACATGTACCCCACTGCCTTGATGTCTGATGTGGTCGAGTTCGGTGATGGTATATACGGAGTATTGCATTGGGGCGTCTTGTGATGGCGTCGTGGACCGGATACAGAGTTGGGTGAAGCAGATTGATATCACGAAATGGAGCATCACATGTCAGACTTTAGTTGGCTGGCCGTATCCGAATTTATCTATTCATATTGCAGTCAAGCTTCGGTATTTATGCTTATTACTATCTATTGCTAATTTCAATATTCGAATGTCAATCTTGTATCGCAGCATCGTGCTGATCGTGTCATCATATAAATATAAAACCCAGGCTACTCCATACGCAATGGGAATATTTCTAAAAAGAATAAGATGAGAAAGAAAGAAGGAAAGAAAACAAGGCCCTTTCAACATCCGTCAATGTTTTATGCCAATTTTTGACGTCCATATTTCTTCTGGATACCATTGACAAGTGGTTTCACCACTTTCTGTCTTCCGGACTGCGCCAGCCTCTCTAGCACCTGAATGATGAACACTTGGATGGCCAGAATGATGAGTCGCAGTAGCTGGTCCAGCAAACCTAGTCTGGGAACCCTTCCACGACTATAGGTAGAGTCTCGCATCTCAAAGGGGAGCTTAGCACCTAGATGATCCTGAGCCACTTGCAAGCCGCTAGTAAATCCATCTTCGTGGAATCCGTATCCGGTCCAAGCACCGATATAGCTAATCCCTCTCCTGTCCTGTATGTAGCGCAGCATTTTTTGTGCACGCACCGAGGACGGAGTGTATAGAGGATGGCTGTAGCGGAATGTCCCTTGAACTTTGCTTGGGTCGGGGCGCTGGATGGGATTTAGAGTGACCAAAACATCTCCAAATGGATTTCTTGGAATGTGCTGCAGGATATTCATGTTATATGTCAAGCAAACCTTATCCATCATGGCCTTTTTCGTTGAAGAAGAAGACGTTGTAAGGAAATTCCAGCTTGACCATGCCTTTTTATTTCGTGGCATCAGCGACACATCCGAATGCAGCACTGCTTCGTTTTGCGTCGTTTGAAAGCAAGACAATATCGAACGCTCCTGCTCTGTGGCAGAGGCACCGAGGATGGACAGAGCTTGGTCACCATGAGTCGCTAAGATGACATGGTCATAAACCTCAGTCTTGCCATTTTCAAGATGTAATAGCACTCGACCCTGCGAATCATTCGAGACGTTCTTGACGGCAGTATTGAGGAACAGGTGATTGGACGGAAAGCCCTTCATGACAGCATCGATATATGACCGAGCGCCATTTTTCAATGTAAGCCACTTCGGGCGTAGGGCCAGTGTTGATAGCAAGTGGTGATTCCATCTAAATCAATTGTCAGTACCAGGATGGCTGGTCAAAAAGGTATATTCGACTAACAGGAAGCGGACAAGCGTCGTCGCAGGAAACTCTAATGCGCATTTATCCGGGCTGGCACTCCAGATGGCAGCCGTCATGGGTATCAAATAGTCGTCTCGGAAGCCATCCGAGTACCCTTCACGCTCTAGGTACTCTCCAATGGTCAAGGTCTTGTGGACATGGTTCATCATGTGCTCTCCTCCATATCGAGGCTCATATTCCTCTTCGTCTATGAGCAGATCTAGTGCAAATTGGCTGAAGCGAACGATATCAAACAGCGTCCTCCACATCCTGGGAGAAAAGATGTTTCGCTTTTGGCAGAAGATGGTGCCCAGGCTCGTGCTCGCCCATTCGAAAAGACCCCGATCTCGCGATACGCTAAAGGTCATCTCAGTGGGCTCGGTTGGCACCCCGACGGCTGGCTTTCCAACCCTACTCAGAAAATTCAAGAAATTCGCTAGATATAGAATAAGCGTTTGGCACATTACAATCGACCATCTCCATTGACTCACGGTATGTCGCAGTGTTTAGGACAATGAAGCCGGTGTCAACGTCCGTCGTATACTTGCCAGCCTTCCACTGCACAGTGTTGGCGTGGCCGCCCAAGCGGTCTGCGGCCTCGTAAAGGTAGACATCGTGATACGTCCTGTTCAGGGCCCAAAGCGCAGCAATGCCCGAGCAGCCGCTGCCGACAATGGCCACTTTCTTCCTGGTAAATCTGTTAACGGAGTGGCTCATGGGAACGGCGGTTTGTGTGTAAGTGGCGATAGATGATGGAGGTCGAGGTGAAGCACGAATATTAAGGCTGGGAAAAGCTTCAGCTGCCCAAAAAAAAATAACCACCCAAGGCCATTTGCACATGTCAGAGACTCGACCTGAGCGGCCTCGAGAACGACCAGGGCAAGGGGGGGAGGAGCTGCCGGCGCCACCGATGGAACTGTGCATAAGTGTAGCGGCGCTGATTCGATGACACGGAATAGATAGCATGCAGGAGAATCAAACAACTCACACATGCCGCGGTTCTGCTCGCAGGGGCATCGTTACTTGCAGTACATGCAGCGATCTATGCTAGGAAGGACTGGGTACTGCGTCTGTGCTGCTGATACACGCGAAGGCAAGGGATCGGATCACCACAGGAACACACAATCTGGCCACCGGGTCGGGGATTTTACAGGAGAGGCTCCTCTGCGGTTTATGTACTCCTAATGGGCTGCCAGGGTCGTGGACGATCGAGGACGCAAGCGGCTGAGCTAGCGCCACAGGTGGCTGGAGGTGGACGCTTTCAATGAACCTTGGATCTGCGGCCTTGTCAAACTCCCTCTCTCATGCTACCTCATATCTGGATGGCGCACGGATGAAGGTGCCTAAGCACACTATCTGGGCTTGCAAGCCAACGATTTCGGCACATCTTGTCAGGGGCTGAGAAGGTGGTGGGTGGCTGGCAGATACTAGCAGCCGGAATCAATAAGCTGCTCTTAGCACGGCTTGTCATGACAGCGATGCGATGCTGCGCACTAGGCAGGCTAATACTTGGCGCAACGACCAGGTATGGAGTATGTACTGGCCAGGATGCGATAACGCACTCGCATAAGACTCTACAGCAGAACTGTGGCCTGATGCAATTACGTGCCTCGACGTGGAGATACATCAGTGGAGCAAAATTTTCTGTTTGCCTCCATTATCACATGCTTTCAGCTGGTAGAAACCAGAGCCCGAAATTTGTCAATCGTTTCTCCCTCGCCAGAGGCGGATCAGTCCACCGTCTAATGAGACCGCTACGCGCCTTTGCAATTCTTACGGCAGCCGGTGGCTGGCATGTCGAGCACTCAACGGGATCGGGAAACGTGGGATTCGAATCTCCAATTCTTGAAAGCGCCGTGTAGGAAAACCTGCATCTCATATACCCGGCATCTCAACTTTGCGCCATTGACAAGTCTAGACGCTTAGCCTTTATATTCTTCGAAGCCGGGAGAATCAACTTTATGGAAGAAAAGAAGAAGAAAAAGTAAATTTTGCATGCAGCTCTGCAAAGATAATATCTCCCAGAGTGCACGGACCATCTGCTTAGTCACTCTTCCATGTTTTAGCCGTCGCTTTGCTCTTGAAATAGGCTGCACTGTTTAGAGTTACAGTAGGTACTTCGATGTGCACTAAGGCAAGGTACTCCGCTACAGGCATCATGTAGGGAGGGTACATGGCTGCCCGCAGCAACGCAGTACCCCCTCTTATTGCCCAGCCGACTTGTCTCGAATTTGGGTGCATACGTACGATGACGGCGATTTCTACGGTCATCCGAGACGGCCATTTCTCAACAACATCAAAAGAGCCAAGCAAAGCGCAGCACGCATCGCAAACTTTGAAGCCATCGCCCCGACTCTCTCCTTTTCTGCGAGTCTTCTTTGATAGCCGTTTGTCTCTTATCGAATTATCTCCGCTGCTCTCCTTGCCCCGATAAGCAAGATGGCGAACCCTCTCGACACAGATGCTGGCTCGGAACTTTTCAGCTCCTACGAGGCCGAACTCAAGCTTGTACAGGCTGACCTGGCACAAAAGCTAGATCAGATACCTGATCTGTCCGGTGAACCGCGCAAGGCTGCCGTCAGCCAAGCTGAGCGCGCCTTGGAGGAAGCAGATGAACTGGTATTATCACTGTTGTACCAACACATAAACAAGGCTAATATTTTTCTCGCATAAATGCAGCTCGGCCAAATGCGACTTGAAAAGCAGAATATCCCGACATCTGCACGAGCCAAAGTTAATCAGCGCTTCCGCAACTACGAATCCGATATCGATGCGAGCCGCCGAAAGCTTACAAGTCTTTCCTCTAACCGCGCAGCTCTCTTCGGCTCGCGGTACACTGATGAGCCATCTGGAGACATCAACCTGGAACAACGACAGCAGCTGCTGTCAGGAACCGAAAGGCTCGACCGAAGCACACAGCGACTTTTGTCCAGCCAGAGACTCGCCAACGAAACAGAGGCTATTGGGGCAGAAACCTTGGCCGATTTGCATCGTCAAGGTGAAGTTATTCGCCATACACATGATACCCTCTTGGACAGCGAAGGATATGTTGACCGCAGCGTCAAGACTTTGAGGGGGATGGCTCGGAGGTAACGTAATGTCCCACTGGCAATGGCAAAGCACAAAATATTGATGGTAAATAGCATGGCGACGAACCGAGTGATTACAATCTCCATCATTACCATCTTAGTGCTTTTGATCATTGCTGTGATTTTCAGCAAGTTCCGATGAAAGCAAGGCTTTACTTGGAGTTATATCGGCGACCCGGAGTTTATTCAACTGGACTTATGATTTGGTTTTCTTCTCTTTCATTTTTGCACAATACAGACTCGCACATACAGATCATACAAGCACGGTTAGCAGCAGGGCAATAATTACAGCAATAATGGTAGCTAGATCAGAGGTTGAAATAGCGTTGAACCATCTCTTTCTCAGCACGCCCTGTCGAGACTACATGATTTATGTCTATTGTGTTTACTTTTTTTAATACTATACAGGTCAAATAGAGCGTTCTCAGTAAAAAAAAAAAAAAAAAAAAACTCTCCATACATGACCAAATTCTTCTCATCAAGACAAGTGTAACATCCTGTTCTAATGAGATCGGAGTTCTAGTCAGCCGACTTCAGCCTTGCTGTAGCTGGTGGCTGGGACACACGTGTGGGGTGTATAGTTATATTGCCGAGGTTGATCCGGTGCGTAGCCGGCGTTGACGCGGCCACTTCTGACAGGGTTCCTCCCGAGCTCTCAGTTCTTTTACCCAATCGTTTTTATTAGCCTCACAAAACTTTCCTCCTCCCACAAACTCCAATACTCCCTCTCTGCAACCTCCACCCCCTCCCTCACGCGACAATTTCTTCTTTTACTACTACTATTCCTTAATATTTCTTATCTGTCTTTGACGCATTGGCGCACTCTTGTATCTGTTTCTTTTGATAGCCCCTGGTCGCAGCTTGCTACGTGGTCGACGTGGCCTCACGGCCCACCATGTCTGAATTCTTAGGGTATGCAAATAGTCCTTCTCGCTTGATTGTTCCCTTTGGGCTAACAAGAGAAACTCTAGATCCCGCATTTCACTCATTTCCAAGAGCGATATTCGGTGAGAATATATGCATCTCGTTCACAAAGACGGTCACTGACCTCTAGTGAAGCTACGTGGGCACTTTGCACGAGATCAATTCGGACGAGTCAACAGTGTCTCTCGAGAATGTTCGCTCATTCGGCACAGAAGGCCGCAGAGGCGCCCCTCATGAGGAGATTGCGCCTTCAGACCAGGTCTACGAATACATTGTCTTCCGCGGTAGCGACGTGAAAGATTTGCGTATCGAGGAGCACCCCTCAATTAAGGAGAACAAGCCCCCTCCTTCTATGCCCGATGACCCGGCCATTGTCGGCGTAAGTGATGCCTTTTCATATTTTCAAAATCATATTACCCTTTCATGATGAAATATTGCGGATGTAAACTTTTTGTCACGTCGGAAAGCGCAAAACCATGTCGAGATTTCCGTTGCCTTCCTTCTGATTTATCAAGGGAAAATTTTATCTTACACTTTGATGCCAAACTCTCATTTGAAGTACTATTCTAACTGTTAGAAAAAAAAGGCTCGAGCCCGTCCTGGAGCACAAGGACCGAACCAGAACGCCCCTCCCGGAGCTCCTTCTGGCGGCCCTCCTGGCGCCCCAGGGTTTCAGCATCCTTACCCTCCCAACAACTTTTATGGCGGTCCTCCGCCTCCTGGCTCTTGGGGAAGAGGTGGACCGGGCCCTATGGCTGCACCAGGCTTTGGTAACATGCCATACCCCCCACCTCCAGGCTGGCTTCCTCCGGGTCAAGGTTTCCCTCCGGGCCAAGGTTTCCCTCCTGGACCAGGTGGCCCAGGTCCTTGGGGTAACGCTCCATTCCCCCCAGGTCCTGGTGGCCCCTCAGCCGCTGAAGCCGGCCAAGGCCAGCGGGCACCTGAGAACCCCCCATTGGCTCAAGATCCGTCGAAACCGCCTCCTATTGGACCCGGTGCGGACAAATCAAAGGGAGCCCCTCAAACAGAGCCCAAATCTCAACCAGTAAGACAGCCCACCAACGCGCCAGCTCCTCCAGTAGAGTCCAAGCCGTCGGCGGAAGAAGTCAAGGCTGTGGCCACGAACTTGGCGTCAAATGGAGCTGTTAAGGCGAACGATGCACCCAAGGCCATCCCCACTGGGCCCAAAGGCAACCGTGTCCAGCCAGCTCTGCCTCTTACTGGGCATGCACACAAACCTTTCCAGCCTCCCTTTGCAGCAGAAAAGGCGGCTCAAGCCGCTCAGCCAGCAGCCGGTACTGGACCAAGCAGTGTGCAAGATGCTACTAGCGCAGCTAGAGCAGCCGTGGCTCTGGCTATGGCGCAGCTAAGCAACCCTGCCGGTAATGCTATGGACAACTTGACAAATAAGGTCAACGAGATGCGAATCAACGCAGGAAGAGGCGGAAACGCCAGCCGCGGCCGCGGACGAGGTGGTCGCCCTGCCAAGGTTGAAGTTCCTGACGCAGATTTCGACTTTGCCCAGTCAAATGCGAAATTCAACAAGGAAGATGTCGTGAAGGAAGCCATTGCAGGTTCTCCGGCGAACGAGGCACCTGCCGTTCCTGTCACAGAGGGTTCTGAGCCCTTGGAAGGCGCCATCCCAGTCGCATACAACAAGTCGAAATCGTTCTTTGATAACATCTCCAGTGAAGCGAGAGAGAGAGCTGAGAATAACGGCCAAAAACCTGGTGGACGCGAATGGCGAGGCGAAGAGCAACGCAGGAACATCGAGACCTTTGGCCAGGGAAGTGTTGATGGGGGCTACCGAAACTACCGCGGACGAGGACGTGGTGGTCGCGGAAACCGAGGCAGCCGCGGCGGATATAGTCGTGGTGGCCGAGGAGGCCCTCGCCCACAATACCAGTCCACTGCCGCTACCCAGTAAGGTTCATTTAGGACCTGGCGACTTTCAATATCAGTGAAAGTAGGGCAACGACACGAACACTCTCTTTTTCTCAAGATTCAGAGATAATAATTGATGTGGCGACATTTAACCATCTCATTACAGGCTCTTACTACGATTGGAGCCTCCTCTACAATTTTCTATCCGTAATTCTCTTTTTACTAATGTACCAAAATCTTGCGATGTTTACCTTTCGGAACTGCTCTGCAGCAGCTACGGAGACGTTTAGTCATATTTGATTTGCTTTTAGCTCAGGATGTGGGCTACGGTTTTCAACGGTCGCGGAACCCGATGATGATGCCGGAGTTCGGATTGCGTTTCAAAGGAGCACAGGCGGGTATTCCATGAATCATGAGGATACATGATGAACGAAGAACAAATAACCTCACCGGGAGTGGGATACAAATAAAAAATGAGTTGAATTTTTATGTTGATCAATGAAGCCGGGGAAACGCATGCGGATATATGATTCTGTATTATTTTCTACGCGCAGCACGGGTCTGATCAAAGCAGTCAGGCAATTGAAGTTTAATAAGCTAGTATCTTTGTACTGGGTAAGAGCATTTTCAGCTCGTTGCCGAATAGAGTGAAGATGAAAAGGGGAAACCCCCAAGGTTATTACCTATGTACCAAGACGACAAGTGGTTTCACGTTAATGCGGTGATGCTAGTAAAGAAACATGTGTTTGTGTTACTAACGGACCTTGGGGCCGTGTAGATCTGTGAAGCTGTGTAGCCGCAGAGTTACGGCTAGTATGTAAGGTAGATAGTGCATCTACCAAACCTGCCTTTGGACCGCATCCTACCGTGAATCATGACCAGCTCCAGCATTCGAAGTTTCTAGTTCTCGGGCAACAGTCATGGCTAGAGTGGGTTTTGCCGCGCAGCCCCACCACGAGCTCAAGGCGGCGTGACGCATAGTAAGCTGAGCCCTATCAGTTCTTAATAGCTGCGTAGCCAGGTTAACCTGGAGCATTGAACTTCGCCTTTATTATGACATGAAGCCCAAGACTTTCAACCCGAATTGTCTTGTGCAACTGACTGTAATAACTTGACTCATTTCGGTATTGGAGGAACACTGCCTCGAATTCAATTGGTGTGTTTTTCGTTGAGCGTTGAGCTCGATTTGTAAAATCTCTGCTTCGATCTCTAGCTCAATCGCTCATCTCATCGAGGAGGGGCATACACAGTAACCAGGTCCACACAGAGATCCAAAATGTCGACGAGGCAGCTTCGCAAGCTGCAGAAGCAGAGAGAGCTAGAGGCAAAGGTTGGCCAGGAGTCTGAAGGCAGCGACGGCAATGCTAGCGACGACGAAATTGTTCCTGTAGTGGCAAAACCTCGGGCGAATCTGTTTGCTGCACTCGGAGGTGACGATGGTGACGATGGTGATGAGAGCGAAGAGGTAGAGCAAGAAGCGAAAGGACCGGCTTCACCTGTGGAAGAGCCAGAGCCAGCTGCTCCAACTACTGCCAGAAAGAACAAAAAGAAGAAGAAGAAGAGCAAGAAGAATAAGGCGGCGACTCAGGCTCAGGATGTTGAAAACAGCCAAGATGATGAGATTGACCGAGCCATCAGAGAGCTGAAAATTGAGCCACGGGTTCAGGATGGATCTTCACAGGACAATGCCTCATCGCTCAACAACATTCTGAAAACCAACCCTTATAACCTTAAAGTCGCCAATGAGATGCGAAACCTATTCGGCCGGGACATTATCGAGTCAGCAGCGGTAGACGACGAGGAGCAGCGCCGCGGGGCACGCCGAAGGGGCATGCCGCAACAGATGGACATAGAGACTTTCCTCAAGTGGCCGACGGACGACCGCAAGCTGCCAGAGAGCTCTCGAAAACGCAACGTCTTTATCCATGGGAGAGAGCACTGGCCGCTGAAGCCGACTGGAGGCCTATCCATGAAAGAGCTCGGCAAGACTGCCGATGGAACTGGAGTCGAATACACCTATGTACACAACAAGGACTACGATGATGTTCAAACTATGTTTTTTGTGCAGGTGCAGATGGGCGATCCAATGAGGATGGTGTACCTGCTCAAAAGATTTCGTGAGTAGCTCTCTAAACTCTTATTAATGTTGAATTATTTTACTAATAACTATTGGGCAGCCTACCATGTCTCGACTCTCCTCCAGGTGAGCAGTGTGGCAAAGCAAGACCAGAACATGGCTCTCTCCGCAGAACTATGTGAGCGCGCCCTATTTAGCTTTGGCCGAGTGGCCCTCTCGTCTTTCAAGCAAAATCTCGAGCATGGAATGGCTCGCTTGGATTTCAGGAGACCGGAGAACCGCCAGTTCTGGCTCGCGGGATACCACTACATAAAAAGCCTTATAAGGAAGGGAACTTATAAGACTGCGCTGGAGTGGGCAAAGCTACTCTACTCTCTGGATCGTAGCGATCCTTATGCGATGAGACATATGATTCACTCTCTGGCTCTAAAGGCACACGAATCAGACTGGCTCCTGGATTTCTTGGGCCAACTAGACACAAAGGGTGAACGAGAAGACACAGAATATCTCGCCCAGAGCAGAATATTGGCGAGACTGCAGATTGGCGATATCGAACAAGCTAGGCAAGATATCGTCGATGGAATGAAGAAAGTTCCCTGGTTATACTCGGCCTTATTCCAAACGTTGAATCTTGACATCCCACCGTCTATCTGGGGCATCAAAGCTGAGGGAGGAACCCGCCCCTTTTTGACACAATTATATGTGCATCAAGTAGGAGACTTGTGGAATAGCCCCGAAGCAAAGTCACTCTTGGAAGCTGTGGCCAAGAGCATCGATCGGGCAGACGTTGAGAAAACACCGGCCGCAGCCGACCTCCCAATTGACATGGGCCTCGCCAGGTTGGTCTTCTTAAATGGGGAGACATCTCTCATGGGGCTATTGCCGTGGGATGTATTTGACCAGCAACCCAACTACGAATTCGATCCGCTGCCGCCCGCGGAGGAAGACAACATCTTTACGGCAGAAGGATGCAGGCTCCCCTGGCGCGAGCGAGAGACTGCCAGGGGGCACCCCCCGGCGGCTCTTGAGGAGTTCTTTGCTCAAGTGGAAGAGCTAATCGGGCATCCAGGTAGAGGGGCAATTGCTGGAGATGAAGAAGACGCAGAAAACCCAGCCGGACGCCAAATGCTGGCATTGCAACAGTGGGCTAACGGCGAAATTGGGGATGTTGGACTCAACCAGAATGCTACGGACGAGGGGCTTGAGCAGGATGCTGCGAATGAGGCGCCAGAGAGCGCTGAGGACCAAGGGCTCATGCGCAGGTTCATGCAGATGTTTGGATTTGGACGTGGTGCCGGGGCCGCTGACGCGACGGAGACTGGGGCCCACGAGGCAGCAACAGAGGAGGAGGGGGAGGAGGAGGAGAATAATGACGATGAAGCTCGCAGATAGTATACATACTGTTGCAGGGCTATGAGTAGTAGTATATAGAATGTACTATTTGCCTTAAGCGGTAGTTGCTCTCCTATTGGATGCCTGCTGATGATGAGCTTTTCCGTGCATCCATGTAGATCCATACCTGCGCAAATCTGCCCTGCCTGGTCATCAGGCTAGTCAGCACGTATCGTGATAGTTTAGAAAGTAGCTACAGTGGATGAGGCACCACTATTGCGCACTATATTTGCAGTAATTATAGAATTACGGGAGCATTATCTGCTACTACTAGTTCTATGCGCGCAGGAAGGATTCTAGGATATGCGGGTATAAGCAAGTACCCGCCCTCGCCTTTTTCCGAGCCGTCTGCCGCCCTATCTAGCATGATCCTTCGGAGTGCCTAGAAAAAAAGTATTTATAGCAATGACTAGCGGTACTGCTGATGGCCAGAGTTCGATCATGCCAAGCCTATACATGTACGGAGTATGCACGAAGTAATTCCCTCGGTGTATGAAAGACAAGTGATGATAGAATACGGGGGACTGGTGGTGCGGTTTGTTTACTACGTAACAGTGGAACGATTGTAATAACTGTTAGTTTATACTTCTTTATATACGAAGTAGGATTATTGTAACTGGAGTAGTAGGTCTATATGTTGACTGATTTGGGTGGCGGTCAAGTTTCCACGTTGAGAGCGCGCGGTGCCTCAAAAGAGATACTGGTATTTGCCTAGTCGGCTGAGCCTTTGTTCTTACACGGCGATGACAAAAGAGCGCATCAGAACCAAGTTGGCTAGATTCTCTCTTGGCTGTCCAATAGGGGGGGGGGGGGATTGCAGGCTTTCCTGCTTGTGCCTGGGCAACCTGGGTAGGTGAATGGATAATCTGATATTACATGGTAAGCACGCTACATGCTGATTTGAGATATTTTTAAAACGCTGCGGCGTCTCTATTTTCTCACACTACGGTCTTTGCTTCATGCTTCGTAGGGCCAGAAAAAAAAAGGCTGAGTGAGTGTGGTGGCCGGGGATTGAGATCCACTCCGTCATCTCAATCAACCTTGTGTGTAAAGGCCCGGAATCTATTTATACACGCCGGCCGAAAATGGAAGTGCTTGCTAGCTCCGGGGAGGAGGAGGAAGAAGATGATGATGTTTAGGCAAAGAGAGGCATAGAACGAACAGCAAATAATTCCAAATCTTGCCTTTAGATAGGCTGAATTGGTTCACAATGACGATAGGGCGGAGAGCGAGCTGTGGAGATGTGGAAAAGGCGCGGCCGCGCATACAAAACGTGTGTAGAGCAGGCTTTGCGCTAACAATTCTTGGCAAGCGGAATATCTACAAGTATTTCCCGTTTGTGTCAGTATCGGCCGATTGCCCGCTTTTCCCCTTTGTCCTTTTTTGGTGTTTCCAGCCTGGAGGAGCCGAGAAAGTCGGGGAGATTTTTTTTTGGCCAGGGAGGGGGAGGTGACATGGATTTGGGAGATGTGAGATGCCTGCAATTCCGGAGTCAAATTCCGAGTCGGCAATGGGATTTGTCCCGTGCGGCTCTCATGCTATGGTGGCGTCTATCCGTCAGTTCAAACGCAGCAAGAATGACGATGAGCCGTGTCGCTCTTTGCTGCAGCCAGGGACGGTTAAAGCTATAACCCCCCTACCTCGACCGTAAACCCGCAATTCGCGTTCTGCCGTTATGGCTATGCTGCGCGGTGAGACGGAGGAGGGAAAAAGAAAGAAGCGGGCTTGTGGCTGAACTGCATCTCGAGGGCTTAATGTCGAGGCGGCCGCGGAGAAAAGAGAATTGAAGGAGAAGAGGGAGAGGGAGAGGGAGCAAGGCCCGGCAAAAGGGTCAGTGCCCGCTGCGGGTGCCTTTTTTGAGATTGACGGGGACGGGTTTGTGACTCGGTCTGGGCAAAGCAAGTGGGTTTCTAATCGGTCGTTGCTATGCGAGACGACGACTATCGAGGGACAAGTAGCGGTGCTGCTGCTGTTTGCGTGTGAATACGCGTAAACGAGGAGAGTGAGTGGCCGGAGCTTTGCCTCAGGAGGTGATGCTGCCTCAGATTTGAGCACTACTAAGTACTAAGGTACCACTGCGATGCTACTTTGCTGGTACTGTACAAATACCGCTACTCCAAGTTGCCTATTACAGGTGCTATAATATATGTTGGCATATAATTAGCACCCGCTGGCATATAACACCCAGGGAACAATGGGTATATCCTACATATGTTCATACACTCGCTGTACTGTAGTATTCGGCAGTGCCACATGCACCATGACCGCTCCAGCTACATACGCTGGCTCGATGGTGCCGCCTTGGTTGCATCGACGATCCCTCTCCAAGCCTAGATACGTGTCTTGCATAATCCAGTACACACTCTCGGCGTCGACGTGCGAATAACTGCATGGCCATTCGTCCGACCCGGGTGTTGTAGCACTCGGCCGGGAAGAGCGAGGCTCCATAGCAACAAAAGGACTCACTCAGCTAGGACTCGGCTAGGACTGCAATGCTAAAACAGCACTAAGCAAAAGCTGCTCCGAAGCTAAGGCCAAGGGAAGCATGGTGGTGTGTTCGATATTAGTCGTAGCTGGGCTGGAAGCAGTAAGAAATCGGAGGTTTGGCTCCTTAGCCTGTGCTATTTGTGTGTACAAGAGTGCATAACCCACGGTAACTGCCGCTGCGCTGCCATTCAGGAGAGTTTGCATCACTCATTTTCATTTTTTATTTTATTTTATTTTATCTTCTGTTCTTGGTCTCTGCCCTTTTTTCTTACTAATACCGAGCAAACTGTGTCAGCAATCAAAACCGCATCTGCTTCGTCAACGCTTGGTTAAGTGCCCAGCAAATCCTGCGCGAAAACGGCCAAGTGCTCCGGCGGCGCTGCAGGCACGGCAATGTTACCGCTTATATCGATCTGGCTGGCATGACTACTATGTACTACTGCCTACAGACGACTTTTTTTCTCTCTCTCTCTCTCTCTCTCTCTTCTAATGAACCCGCATCGCCCACGACGTTACTCCGGCAGCACCCACCCACGCACGAGCCGCCGGACCCCCTTGCTCTTTGCGGCTGCAAGGCGCTGAAGAGCGTTCAGGGATCCGGCGCTGCTAGTGCTGGGGCTAGCGGGATTTCATACTTTGAGGAACTTGCCGCACAGCAGCGCCGCTGACAGGAGCGCTGCAATGATTGCGACGTAAGTGCGCATGTGTACAAAAATATGCTAGGCGAATGATTGGCTCAGGATACGTGGGGGATGAGACGGTTGGCATATGGCTTCAGGTTAACAGCACGTAGAGCTGATTCGAGCTGGGCTAGTGCCTGGTAGTAGCAGGTGGTACTGCCAAGTGGCATTCCGTATTAGTGCAGCTCTGCTACCAGCTGCTGCGACTTACAGTAGGTATTACCGTGCTCCAGTACTACACTAATTGGTACTACTCTTAATGCTACCGTGGAGGCATAAGACGCCCTGTAATACCAAAGTGGAATGGAGGCATCATAGCTCCATATCTGTGACAGCTTGCCGGGCCTTGCACAGACCAGAGTTTTTGACCGAAGACCCCAGCCAGACCGGCGATATGACAGACGGGGTGTTGGGATGCTCTTTTGGCCGGCTCCCATACCATGTCCGTACTCGTATCGGTGCATGTACATTCATGCTGTTGGGATATCGGTGTGCGAGAGGTAAAGGATACTCTGTACGAGCAGTACGAGCACCTTGCCTTGAGCTGGGACTCGTTATCACCGTGGTACAGCTTGCTGGCTTCTGGTAGTAGCAGGTATCCGTATAGCACCTGGGTATAAGCGTCGGAGCAATGGCAACCTTAATTGCCTGATGGAGCCGGGTGAATGCCAAAGGCTGTTTTAACCGCGCCGAGTCATGCTGATTTTGCAGCGTCTGCTGTCACCGGCAACTGCCGATAGGAAATCTCACCGTCAGGCATGTTAGTATTTCTTATCGCACGTAATACCCAAGGTACTGCCTACATACCTGTACATGTATGGGCCATCAGGGTCAGCGCTCGAGACGCCGTCACGTGGTTGTGGCGCTGCCTGGGGTGAATCCCCGGCGCAGCGTCTGATGATCGGGTCCTGTCCAACCAAGATCAGAGGCTTTTGGCTTGGCTGCGTCCAACTCCTTTTTACCTTAACTTTGTGCCCGGTCGAAGCCATTCCTGGCCGTCGCGCAGTAGCTCCGGACCTGGGCCCCGCCCACACACAGACCGGCGACGCTTGACGTTCTGCAGCAAGCAAGGGCAGGGCCATGGTTCGGCCGAGCAGTCTCGCTAAGACCAGTCCGTTTGATACATCTTGCTTCTGCAAGCTAGACCGTCCCAGAAAATTAGCTGCTAGGCATGCGCTGGCTGAAGGAAAATTACAAGCAGAGAGAGAAAAAAAAAAAGGGCGGAAAATAGGTACGGAGTACTCCGAGTGTGCACTGCAGCTTTGGCTCTGACATGGGGTCCAGCAGCCCACGCCGATCACAACCTCACACCCAGCTTCCGTCTCATCATACACTGGCCAGATCGCGGCTTGTCAGAGAGAAAAGAGATCTTTGCTATTCTTTTTCCTTTTTGGGAGACGCAAACCCGCGAAGACGCACATTAGCTGCGTGGAGGAACTGCTGAAACGGGCTATTCGTTGACCAATCACTCTGGGCCTTTGCGTGACTGCCTGCTCTCACTGCCTGTGAGAGACGAGAGACAGAGATAGACGAGAGAGAGAGAGAGTGTGTGTGTGTGTGGTGGGTGAGCACAAGAAAGAAGGAAGAGAGTCAGAACAGTCTCTCTTTTTCAAGCCACAGCCTCCAATCCTCTCTGACGCCCTTCCCTTCCCTCTGCCTCGTCTCACAGCTCTGGTCACCCTCTCTGCCTTGTCGCTATGCTTGGCGTGCTACCAGATTTTGATAAGCAACCTGCATCGTCTCCTTGACATCGCAAGCATTTTCCGCTAGTTGAGGGTCGATACTGTTTTCAAACTTGCCCTCCACCCCTTCCCCTCCGATTCGGCCGAATCACTCGGCCGTTTGGCCGTCCATATACAATCTCCCATCCCCGTATCCCCATCTCTGCCCTATTCTATGCCAGCCGTGCCCACCAGATGGCTTCAATGCATACGTATCCTTCCATCACAGAGCCGGGAGTGGCTCCCTCGCCCGCCGCCGTGGGCGTTGATGCTTCCAACCCGAGTGACGGAGCGAGCCCCTACGATACTTCTTCAATGTCCCAGCAGCCCTCGCCGCGACAGCTGCCGCACCAACACCTCGGCCTGGTGACACAGTCATCGCAGCAACAACTTCATCAACAGGCGCAGAAGCAGCAGCAGCAGCAGCATCAACAACAACAACAGCAACCTGCCCAGCGCAGCGTCAAGCGACCAAGACCCGTCAAGTCATGCACCGAGTGTCGGAAGCGCAAGCTTCGCTGCGATCGTGCCTGTCCCTGCTCACAATGCCACAAGGCGAACCGTGAGTGCAAGTACGCGCCTGACCAGGAGTCGGCCAACCTGTCCGATGGCTCAGACGCAGAGGGTGCTGAGCCCAGCCGGCCGGCCAAGCGCAACTTCTCGCATAGCACCATCCCTGCAATGGCTAGTAGTCCTTACAACGAAGCTCCCTCTGCGGCCAGACCGGCCAGACCTACCGATTCTACGAGCCTTCCGATGCTTGAGGACCTTTCCATACGAATGGAACGACTGGAGAAGCACGTTCTTGTGCGAAGCACGAGCAGATCCGACCTTGGCGGGGGCAGGATAGTTGCGGCAGCGCCAGAGACCATACGGGGGTTGACGGTGAAGCGCGATGCCTTGCGAACTCGATATTTTGGGCAAAATGACCCTCGGGTGCTGTTGAATCTGGTAAGTATGGATGGATGCGTGGATGTAAATCAAATAAGCAGCCGATACAAGATTGTGCTTTTGCTTTTTGATGTCTTCATGTATATCAACCAATGGCTGACTTGGACATTGCTTGTTAGTTTGACGACGCCAAAGCATATGTATCCCACAACTGCCAGCAAGAGCCTTTCCCCAGCTTTGAAGTCCTACATAAGCATATACGAAGCGAATCGGCCAAGGCATTAACTCCAATCACAGTCTTTGTGGATTCCATGATGCCAATTCACAAGAGAATGACGGATATCCTGCCGAAAAAGGCCATCTGTGATCGACTAGTGACTGCTTATATCGAAACATCAGAGACCCAGTATAGGATCATTCACGTCCCGACGTTTGCAGAGCAGTATAATCAGTACTGGGAGGGCAAGCCACAGCCAGAGCATTTCCTCCCGCAGATGCTCTCCGTGATAGCGGTGTCATCCAGATATGAAACGAAATCCAGGGGGCTAGCTACCGAGCGCATAGAAGGCGTGCACATCCCGACCGCCTGTGCACTGGTTCGGATTTGGCTAGATAGCTTGAAAGGCAAACAGCTTGTTGAGCTTGCTACGCTGCAGGTCGAGGTGCTTCTACTGCTCGCACAGAGGATGATTATCACACGTCCCCAGGATTCCTGGAACCATCTAGGATTCGTGGTCCGCATGGCCATGTCTATGGGCCTTCACAGAGATCCCTCAGAGTTTGAGCCGCGAATGACCCCATTCCACGGCGAGATTAGAAGGAGGCTGTGGTTCACGGTTCTAGACATGGACTTGTACATGTCAATTCTCGCTAATATGCCCTGTCTCACTCGCGAGGGCGACTATACTTGTCGGCCGCCGCGAAACCTGGACGACAATGAGCTCTTCCCAGAGATGACTGAGCTGCCACCCTCGAAGCCCCTGGATCAAGTAACAGATAGTCAGATGCAAGTCTATGCGTCCATGACCCTCCCGACACGGATGAAAGTAGCCCATATGATTAACCGCATCGACACCATCCGTGACTACCAGGAGGTGCTGGATGTAGGCGGGAAGCTAGAGCGATTCATTGAAGACATCAACTATATATTTCCGCGGCATGCCCTCAACGATATCGGAAAGAGCAGACTGTGGCGGAACCGGGCCATTCTCGATATGCATGTGCGACGGCCCCTGCTGGCGTTGTATCGGCCATTTGCCATGGCAGCCCCCGAGGCGCCGACGCTAATCTCACGAGCGTATCTTCGATCATGTATGGTGATATTAAAATACCTCGACGAGCTGGACCCCACCTTGCCGCATTTTGACGACATTTATCAAATGTATATGCAGCTGTTGAAGCGAGACATAATCCAGGCTTCGCTGAGCGTATGCTATTTTATCAAATCGGCTGTTCGTCCTTCTGTCAACAGCAGCATGCTCGCCCAGCAAGGACTCAGGGCTTCTCCGGGGCTCTCAGATGATATGCCGTCTTATATCCCATACCCGAACTATGTCCCAGATGACCTGGTGCTTTGGTCGCCGTCACGGCTCATCAGCACCGTGCAAAAGTCAATCGAACTGCTCATTGGGCAACTTCGCGGCAGCGACCTCAAGGACATTCTCTGCCTCGCTGTTGTTCTGGAGAGCGTGAGAAAGACCGATATTCGAAGTGAGGAGATTACGAATAATTTGTTTGACCTGCTGAATGCTTGTCTGAGAGCCACCAATGTGACAATGGAAAAGCTTCGTAACCCATCGTTGGGTAATGTTAATGAATACCAACGCGATGCGTACGCTCATGGGAGGATGCCATATATACAACAAGGATACGGTATGGGAGGCATGCTGGATCATGCCCATGAGTTCGGCGGCTGGATAATGTGGGATGGTTGGGATTGATACCAGTCTCTGCGGAGGCTTTGTTATATGTTTTTTTTTCCCTTTCTTTTTTCTGTGTAAATCTTCCATTCCTCCTTGCTGTTTTAATGTTTTGTCTTACGGCTTGGACGAGCGATGAATATGGTTACTGGTTCCCATCCTCGATAGGAAACCTGCTTAGTATGAGAAATTGGTGAGTATTGGGCTCATTGAGCAAGATGATTGTCGAATTTCGGATGGCTCTCATGAGAAAGAGATTGAGAGAGAAGAGAAAGGAGATACCCATATGCGCGTGAATTTTTTTTTTTGGAGTAAGATGAGGAGACTTTTCTGTTTCAGCTGGCTTTTTGTACAATACATGAAGGACACATGGCTAGGTTTAAAGAGGGTTAGCACCCGTACGGCATAGCAATATGCATGACGGAGATCTTATTATTATTATTATTTCCTTGTTTCTTTCTTAACATGTGACTGCCTATTCTGATTTATTGCCCGAAATACACTGTCTATACCTGGAAAGGAGAGAAAAAAAAAGGTTCTCCCCTCTGCCCTCCCGTTTTCCAATCATACCAACCTGGCTTGTAACCCCCCGTTCCTTGCTCGCTATTTTGTCAGCACCGGGGATCTCCCATCCCACTCATTCGCCTCAGCTGCCCTAATCATCCATTCTGCCAAGCTAGCCCTGCTAATGGCCGGGTTCCAGCCGCAACCTTGCCCATTGTCTGGCCAGATCCTGACCGCTTCGGTCGGCCCTTCGGTTAGTCTTGCCGGCCGGGCAAAGACAAACGGCACGCCGCTCTGTCGGATCAATTCGTCCATGTTGTTATGGTCCTTGATGGCAATCTTCATTGTGCTGTGGGTCAGCACGAAGCGGAGCGGCCAGGCCATGTTGTCCATGGATTCGCGCGCGCCGAAGAGGGAGTTTACGACAATCTTGGGAGAGGGGTGGCCGTTGAAGTCTGTGTTTGCGATGGCGGAGAGGAGGATTTTTGCGGTGGATGTGAGGAGGTCGGTGGGGGTGTCGGGGGATAGAGCCGCGAAAGGGTTTTCTGACACGCGGCGCTGGTTGATTGTTGTGAGGATGGCGGAAGGGGGGGTTGGTGTTGAAAGGGCGGTTTGGACGTCTTGGAGGGAGGTTGGCGTTCCTGCATGCAGAGAGATGGGATTAGCTTTTTTTTTTTTTTTTTTTTTTTTTTGAAATTTTGATCTCATGTGGGAAGAATAATAGTTTGAATTTTTGGTGAAATACGAATAGAGGGAGGTTGTTTTTTTACGTACCTTTGATGATTGTGAGGTTTGGGTGTGGTGTGAGAGAAGAGGGATCGCGGGCGAGGACGGTGACGGTATGGTTGCGCGAGAGGGCCTCGGCGAGGATGAGGCGGCCGTTGCGGCCAGTGGCTCCAGAGATGAAGATGTGCATTTTCTTTGTTTTTAAAGTAGTTGTATAAAAGAATAATATTATTAATTATTGGTTGTTTTGTTGCTTGTCGTGTGACGGGGAAAATGCAGTTGTGTAAATGAATCAAGGAGCAGATATTATAGTAGCTTCAACAAGATGTGTTCAAATCAGGGTTTGGAAAATGTCTTGGATTGATGATGGATTTCTACAAATATTTCAAGCTGTGTGGTATTACGCTATTTAAATACTTTTCTGTCTTTCCATTCATTTCTCTTCCATCGTAATGCTATTCGGGCAGGTTTGGAAGAGTTTGTCCACTCGGCCGATATATATACATATATCAGCTTCGGATCCGTGAGACTCGGCCGGTTGGAGTCAGACTACGTATTACTCTTTCGAAAGTCGAAAGAATTGCGAGCTCCGAAAGGTCCATAATGCTCCGTGCTTATTAGGGATTACGTCACATGACTTGGAACTCGGCCGAGATGTTACTATTTAGATAAGCAGAGTTATTCATCCTTCTTGTTTGTTACAAATACAGTTTGCTATTGTTCTTTTCTTTGCGAAACATGAGCCTCGTGCCTCTGAAGGAGTCAGTGATTCTCGGTCGGCGACTTATGCCGCTACTGGCCAAAAGGTCCGACTTGCCGAGGAGGACAAGTAATCTTTTATACTTTTTCAGCAGTATGGTCTACGAGGCATAAATACATGTAGGTACACCTCGGCTGGCCTTTGCACAAAACTCTTAGGCAATCGCACTGGTTTACGGGGCCAAGAATAATAGCGAGCACCCGAAAGGAGCTCACATGTGCTTCGGCTGCAATCATGTTACCACAAAGAGGCATCATGTCTAGGCCAACATAGGAACACTTGGCTAAAACGGGTAATACGGACACCACGGGCCGCCGCCAAACGAACCTCGGCATGGCGTCCCGGATTTGAGATCAGCGTGCCTCCCCGCATTCTGTCGGCAAGGGATGCATATACTCCGTATACTCCGTAAGCGATGGCAGCTCACGTTCCTACGGTATATACTACTACTATATATACAAGGGGCGGTGACGGTGTAACAGGAAGGCGGAACATCCTTTTACATGTTTTACGTGAACAACTCATCAAAACAAAACAAAAAAAAAGTAAAGGGCTCTTGAAAGGATAACGTCACACCACAGCCATGGCTCCCAAACAAAAGGCTCCGGTCTACATCCTCGGCGTGGGCATGACCAAGTTCATCAAGCCCCGGGGCAAAGTCGACTACACCGAGCTGGGCTATGAGGCCGGCGTCAAGGCGCTCCTGGACGCGCAGATCAACTACGACGATGTCGAGCAGGGCATCGCCTGCTACTGCTACGGCGACAGCACCGCCGGCCAGCGCGTCTTCTACCAGTTCGGCCTGACCAAGATCCCCGTCTACAACGTCAACAACAACTGCTCGACCGGGTCGACGGGCTTGGCCATGGGCCGCCAGTTCATCGCCAGCGGCATGAACGACTGCGTCATGGTGGTGGGCTTTGAGAAGATGAACCCGGGCAGCCTGCAGAGCTTCTGGAAGGACCGCGAGAGCCCGACGGGCACCTTTATCAAGCAGATGGCCGAGACGAGGGGCATCACCAACGCGCCCGGCACGGCGCAGCTGTTTGGCAACGGCGGTAGGGAGTACATGGAGAAGTACGGCGCCAAGGCCGAGGACTTTGCAGAGATTGCGCGCGTCAACCACGCGCACTCGCCCAACAACCCGTACTCGCAGTTCCAGCAGGTGTACACGCTGGACGAGATCCTCAAGTCGCCCATGATCTACGAGCCGCTGACCAAGCTGCAGTGCTGCCCGACGTCGGATGGCGGCGCGGCGGCGATTCTCGTCTCGCAGGCGTTTCTGGACAAGCGGCCGCACCTGAAGTCGCAGGCCGTCCTGATTGCGGGCCAGTCGCTGGCCACCGACGGGCCGAGCGTGTTCTCGCGCAGCGACATCAACCTGCTGGGCTACGAGATGATCCAGCACGCGGCCAAGGAGGCCACCGGCGAGGCGGGCATCACGCCGCGCGACGTGCAGGTGGTCGAGGTGCACGACTGCTTCAGCACCAACGAGCTGATTGTGCTCGACGCGCTGGGGCTCAGCGACAAGGGCAAGGCGCACGAGCTGGTGCGCAACGGCGACATCACCTACGGCGGCAAGTACGTCGTCAACCCGTCGGGCGGCCTCACGTCCAAGGGCCACCCGCTGGGCGCGACGGGCATCGCGCAGTGCGCCGAGCTGGTGTGGCACCTCCGCGGCTGGGCGAACAACCGCGCGGTGCCCAACACGAGGTACGCCATGGCGCACAACCTGGGGCTGGGCGGTGCCGTGGTGGTGACGGTGCTGCGGCGAGCCGATGGCCAGGTCGCGCCGGTGGTGGACTCTGAGACGGTGGGCAGGGCGAATAAGTTGGGATACAACCCGGCGGTGGAGGCAAAGGGGTTCACAAAGGAGCAGGCGGACGAGGTGATGAGCAAGACGGCGAGGAATGACTGGGCGCTGCAGGAGACTCGGGATAAGGTTGAGGCGCGATTCTAAAGCGCGCGTGTGTGTGTATATGTGTGAAGTTGAAAAAAAGAAGACGGTTATGGGCTATGAATAAGCTTGTTTTTTTTTGTGTATTATACCTAGTATGAATTTTTTATTTTTCGTTATATTGACGATAGCATAGCCTATGCATGATGACCTTTTATATTGTTTATCTTCCATCTTTTTTTTTTCTTCTCCTTTGTGAATCAGGTATTGATTGCTACAGCAGGTACTTATGGGTATGGTATGAATTACAACTCCGTATGACCAAGATAATGAACTGGTTACCAATGATTATCAAGATGAGCAGCAGGATGAAGCGCTGACACAACCTTTGCGCTGTTTGTGCCAACGATTTGCATTCCATGTCTCGCTTCTTGTGATTCTATTGGGCGTGTAAATGCTCCGTGATATGCATCCGGCACAAATACCGCAAGCCTTGTATCACAGCAGACGGGACAGATTCTCAACACAGCGGGAAAAAAAAGGGGAAGCGAGGGAACAAAACAATAGTTGTTCCCCCCTTTTATATGAGCAAGTTTTATGTAGAAGAGGAAAAAAAAGGGCTCTTCGTTATCGTTGTTGTGTCTCCTTGTTGTCGATGCTGTCCTCCTCGAGCCGCCTCCTGCTGGCGTTTCACATCTCGGTAGCAGCCGGTCCAAAACAGGTGAGCAAGTTTCATTTGAGGCCCCTCCCCGCCGCAGCTGACCGTGCCTTAGCGGGGTATTGCCTCCCGCTGGATAAGGTTTGACGTACCCGGTACGCGGAAACGTGCCCTGTGTGACGCCGTAATCAGCGCGGGCATGTCTCTAAATAGAAGTAGCAGGTACTTGAATGCCCCCCCTTGGGACACAAGCAGTTACAGCGAGGCCGTGGCGCAATTTGCGCGACTGTGACGAGCACCTTCCCTTTTTCTGGTGGGGGTTGGGTTGCTGCGGCTGGCGGCTGCGATAATCAGCACAAAGGATCAATTATTAATCTGATTAATCCGGCGGGTGGTCAGCGCGCAGCAGGTTATAAGGCCAAGTGTTTGTCTCGCAACTTTTTCTTCCAGACCAGACAGATAGTTCAATCCAATCCAATCCAATCCAATCAGTTCACCTTCACAACAACAAGCTTGTTTCGCCGCCACCGCTTTTTTTTCCAACTTGCAAACAACAACTCCATCCTCACACGCAAAAATGGCCTCTCACACCTACAAGTTCGATGTCACCATGACCTGCGGCGGCTGCTCTGGCGCCATTGACCGTGTCCTCAAGAAGCTCGACGGTATGTAACGCATATTCTTGGGCAGCAGATGTCCCCTCTCCCCTTGTTGCAGCAGCAGCAGCAAAAGGTGCTGACAGAAAGTTTGCTCCTCCAGGCGTCGAGAGCTACGAGGTTTCCCTCGAGAACCAGACCGCAACCGTCGTCACCGCCCTGCCTTACGAGACCGTCTTGGAGAAGATCTACAAGACCGGCAAGAAGATCAACTCCGCCACCGCCGACGGCGTTTCTCAGTCAGTCGAGGTTGCTGCCACTGCGTAAAGGAAAAGAAGGGCATGCAGAGGAGGAAAATGAAAGACGAGAAGCGAAACAAGATGTTGCGAGGCAACTATTCATGAATATTTCGAGCGTCTGTTCTTTAATGAAATAATGAATCTTTTCAACTTCCATTTAAAACTTTGCATGTTGGCTGTGAGGGTGATACCATTTTGACGGGATATCTCTGTTGAGTCGTCAGCTTTCCTTTTTTCCACAATGATTAGTAGGCGGGATTGAGCACGCAGAAGAGCTTTCTCAACATGTTTACCGAGAGAAATAAGGATAGAGTATGGTCAGCTTCAGATGTAAAAGTGCTAAAGGAAGCATGGAGGATATCACGTAAACTCCAAAAGCAGTTCTAGTAGGGCCAGCTCGGAAATTCGCCGACGGCCTGATGGTGGCATCGTCATTAATCTTGCGCCCAGCTAGATCTGTCGCTGATAATGGTAATATGCTGGAGAAATGGAACTGTAGATCTACATGTAGCAATAGATATTGGCCCACGGTCACTTGTAGATGCCTGCATTGTGGACTTGGCGGAACAAGCGATACGCCTTCCGACACGCCTTGTGACGTGGTCTAGGCCCCATCAGCATTGCTCGATAAAGGCCAGCTAAACGTCCTCTATGGAGCCCATTACGACGACGAATCTCATAAGACAATACAATATCTTTTCGCGAAGCAAATCCCTACCAGGCCCAGGATTGATAGAGCTGACACCTCATGCTCTCTAAGCTCCCAAGACTCCGTTTCCCCCGCATCTAACGAATCTTTCATCCGCATCGCCGGACTGGCGACGGCCGGAAAGCTTGACGCATCCCACCCTATGAAACGCGGTTCCCCGCGCCCAATCTATCAATAGTAGGCAGCCTAATCGATGTACCCCGGATTGTTATAGAAGGGGAGATGGGAAAGCTGGGGTAAATACATACATACAATCAATCGTATAGGAGATGGAGAGAAAGTTAGTGCGCATAACTATACTAGCAGAAGAGGGTTAGTGGCCCTGGGGAGAGAAGGCTCTGGGATGCTCCGTTCGAGCGAGCCAAAGAGGCTTATCAGGTCCCGCATCTATCGGCGGAACGGGGTGGGCTTGCGGTCGCCCTCTATAAGGGATGGGGGTTTAGAATGTCACGGCCTGTGATGTTGGTGCTGGGATGTATTTGTAGGCATGGTTTGCTGCTGTCAATCGATCGAGAGGAGGAGAGGAATCTGTTGGGTGAAGAGGCATCTTTGCGGGGATGGAAGGGGGCATAACATGGGGTAACGGGGACTAATACGGGGAAGAATAATATGGAGAAGGCAGGCTTTGTAAGAAGAGCATAAGAAAGGGATCTGGGAGTAGCCTTGCCGTGGAGATTAGTCTAGGCCTTGGTGGAATAGGAACGAAATAGCGTCCCGTGTAGTTGCTATCGGGCTGGATCCGTGGCTGGACATGTGTCTGGCTGTGATGATTGATTGGTTCCATTCCTGGCACCTCTCTGCCTTTTCTTTTGCTGTGATGTATGTTGATACATACATGTCATGTATCTACTCCATCACGACGACTAACACGGCGGCCTCTCGCTGCAGCAGCCTCCGAACCACCTGGTCACCAGGACAGCGTCAACAATGAAACGCCGATTTCTGCATGTAAGCCAATAGCTGCAGTCAATCTCCATCTTCATCTGCGTTTCCATCTGGCCATCAGACACCCCACGCCATTGCCCGCCTCCTCTCCGGACTCGTCCAAGCGGCACGGCAATTGGATATCTAGACTAGGCAATTGAATCCGACTGGGCACCTCTCTTCTCCTGGTCTCGTTCCTCGCTCCCGAATTTAGCTATGATGTTAATATACATACGTAAATGAATAAATAATCAATTAGAAAAGAAAATCCCTTTGAACGCTACACCGCATCTGGAGGCTTCATCTACGGCAATCTCCCCTCGTCTTCCTCTTTGCTTCACTTCCGTGGGACTGTGTGGCGCAAAGCCCACTTTTGCCCGTCACTGCCGCTCAGCATCCAATCTCTGTGTAGAGTAAAAGTGTAACTATACCTGCTAGTTGGAACTAGGCAGAAGGAAACAAGAAGGGGGGGGTTTTGGAGAACTACTTCTTCAAACGATGGATGTGGCTGGAGATGATCCAGTCCGTGGAGCTATGGGAAGGATCTTGAAGGTGGACACTAGGCACTGCCTTCATTCTTTGGATCAAATTCCGTTACGCCTAGCGCTGCTTCTTTGGTGCTTTCTTCAGCTCTTTTGTGGAAACTTGTAGATAGTATATGCACTGTCCAAAGCGTAGCGCGGGAAGTTTGAAGCCTCGTATAAGCCGTGTTACGAAGACGAGAGAGAGCGAGAGAGAGAGAGAGCGGGCGACAATCTAGGTACATATCGAGGTTGAATTCGGTGACGTATCACTTCTCGACGGAGTTTCTTCATCATTTCATTGAAACCAACAAGCAAGAAACGCCTTGGTAAGGCCGATCAAGACAACATTCGACAGTGCCAAAACAGCTCAGGATTGTCCGATGAGGCCGTCCCGCGAAGTGGGGGGGCATCGCCAAAGCTGCATCGCCCAAAAAAGGATCCAGAAAAATACTGAAAAAGGGCCGGCGGGGCAAAGCAGCATGCAGTCGATTTGGCCACGGACATGAGGATGTGGCTTGCTTTTCCTGCCCTTGGTCTTGGTTGCCCTCTTTTTTTGCCTGCAGGCTGCATGACGGGTGGGCATCTGATATGGCTTGATGGCATGATGTCGGCATGGCATGATGGCGCGCCCCAGCGAATGAATCCACTTGCCCCGCCCCAGTTATCGGCTTCGCTCGACCGAATCCAATCTAGAGCTTGCATGCCTGTTTGTACTGTATGTGGTGCTTCAGCTATCTATCTCGAGCCTATTTTTTTTTCCCTTTGTTCGGTTTCGTGATTTTGTGACTCTTGCTAAGATGTGTCTGGCCGAATAGCCACACCACCATCGGCCTTTACTAGCGATAGGTTGCCCCTTTTCCCCAGTGATGCTACCCAATCATGGATCGGTCCGTCCAGCCGAGAACGGCCAAAGAGAGAGAGAGAGAGTGAGAGGATACGTGAGAGGGAATACCTTACATGCCTGGATGAGATGATATCACTCACGCTCTTTGGGTTGTACTGCAGCCCTCTTGGCTGGAGCTGGGAGCTGGGAGCTGAGTTGAGCTAGGCCCAAGAGGCGTCTCTGAGTTTTATATAAATCACATCTGCCCGTCATTCCATCCAGCTGTTCTTGTCTGCATCGCCACTCATCATCAACAGCTTTCATTCAGCTTCTGATATTTCCTCATCAGTCAATTCAATTCAATTGTTTCCACTTTATAGACTTGTACACAAAAAGTTCAATTCCTATATACATCACCACCATCCAAAATGGGCAGCCTCAACCTTCCAACTGACCAATGGGCACAAGTTGTCGAGAAAGTCGGCGGACGTACGTTCTCAAACCCTCAAATCACACTTCTTCTAATACAATCTTCTTTTCTTAAACTAACATTTACATTCTTCTCTTAGCCGCCACCTACAAGAGGATCCCCGTCCAGAAGCCCGGCCCCGATGAAGTCCTCGTCAACATCAAGTACTCTGGCGTCTGCCACACCGACCTCCACGCCATGATGGGCGACTGGCCGCTGCCCACAAAGCCGCTGCCCCTCGTCGGCGGCCACGAGGGTGCCGGTGTCGTCGTCGCCCGCGGCTCGCTCGTCGACGACATTGAGATTGGCGACCTCGCCGGCATCAAGTGGCTCAACGGCTCGTGCCTCAGCTGCTCCTACTGCCAGAACAGCGACGAGTCGCTGTGCAAAAAGGCCCTGCTGTCGGGCTACACCGTCGACGGCACGTTCCAGGAGTACGCCATCGCAAAGGCCGCCCACGTCGCCCGCATCCCCAAGGGCACCAACCTCGAGGCCGTCGCGCCCATCCTGTGCGCCGGCATCACCGTCTACAAGGGCATCAAGGAGTCGCAGGTCCGCCCCGGCCAGACAATCGCCATTGTCGGCGCCGGCGGCGGCCTCGGCAGCATTGCCATCCAGTACGCAAAGGCCATGGGCATCCACGCCATCGCCATTGACGCCGGCGACGAGAAGCGCGACCTGTGCCTCAAGCTCGGTGCCTCGACCTTCATCGACTTCACAAAGTCAAAGGACATCGTCGCCGACGTCAAGGCCGCCACGCCCGACGGCGAGGGCCCCTACGCCGCTCTGCTCGTCGCCGTCCAGGAGAAGCCCTTCCAGCAGGCCACGCAGTATCTGCGCTCCAAGGGCGTCCTGGTCTGCATCGGCCTGCCCGCCAATGCCAACCTCTCTGCCCCCGTCTTTGACACCGTCGTCCGCATGATCAACATCAAGGGCAGCTACGTCGGCAACCGCGCTGACACGGCCGAGGCGCTCGACTTCTTCGCACGGGGCTTGATCAACGTTCCTTACAAGTCCATTGGCCTGAGCCAGCTCCAGGATGTCTACGCTTTGATGCACGAGGCCAAGATTGCCGGCCGCTATGTTGTTGACACCTCCAAATAAATGTGTGCTTGAGAAGTTCTCAAAAAGCTCAACAAACAAACAAGAAAGTAAAAGAAGAAAAAAGAAAAAAACAAGATGGTTCAGATACAAATCTAGGAGTATAGGTTGGCGGGTTGGTGTAGGCAGGCAAGAGTTTGTTGTTTGTTGGGCAAGGATTGTCTTATTATTGACATGTATCTATAAATGATGGCGGGGTGTAAAGGTAACGAGGTTTACGAGCAGTTGTTTATTTGGAATTAATGACACGAGAAATGAATTATATTTGATCAACTTGCTCTGAATGAAAACGTAGTCTGTGATTGTTTTAAATGGATTTCAACGAAAACACAAAGGGTATGTCACCGCTGGCTCAACTTATTTTGGGGGAATGTATGCCTCATGGTGACTTGCATCGGACATATCAGAAAATAATACATATGTAGTATATTGTGCATATATCCTCTTTCACTAAAGTAAAAACGCATCTTCCAAGTCTCTAATACCCCGCACCCTTTCCTAAACAGCTTCCAACACCACCTTTTATGAACCGCCAGGGCCACCGAGAAGAGCAAATCTTCGCACAATGCTAGGTCCGTATTCTTGGTACTAAGCGAGTAGTCAGTCATGCCATGTTTCAAAAAGCAATCGGATAGAGTGGTATGACGTACCTCTGCCTTGGTGTGGCAGTAGGATCGGAACTCGGGAGTCTGGCCGAGCAGACTGCCGCCGAACCAGGGTCCATGTCGCTGTCTCTTGTGAGTAATAACCTGGACATCCACTCCGCCGCTACGGGCACCGCCGCTGCGCTGCTCGCTGGCCTGGATTCTGGCATCGACGAGCAGCTTAATGTCTCGCTGTAAACGTCTTCCAAAGTCCTTGTAGAGGGTGCTTCCACCGGACAGGACAATGTTCTTGTAGAGACCTCGTCGAACATCAATTGGCGATTGCTGGATGACGCCATCCACAACGGTTGGCAGCGGGGTCAGGAAATCTGACGTGTAGATTTCGGGGTTGAAGAAGATCTCGGGAGCCAAGAAACGTTCGTAACCGACGTCGACAGTGACCTGGCGACCGCCAGGCTGGGTCACGACGTGCTTGGCAAAGCGGCTGCGGTCACGGTCGTAGCGGGCAAACTCCTTGACAATGTCGGGGCAGACGTAGCAGTACTCTTCCTTGATCTCCTGAGCCGTTTTCAGGGACGAATCGGGCTCGCCGCGGTCTCGCAGAAGAGACTGGACGAAATATGTAATGTCTCGTCCGGCAACGGGGATCGACTTGATCGATGATCCGATAACGTAACCTTCAGCGACCGGGATGACGTGGGTGACACCATCACCAGAGTCAATAACAGTACCGGTCAAGGATCGGTCCGAAACCTTGGAAGAGGTCCACGAGGCCGCCAGAGCCAGAACAGCCTGCACGGCAATGTACATGCCGGCACAGTTGAAAGACTCGAAGAAGATCTCGGCAGTGTTTTCTCGGTTCTCGGGAGGGTTCAGCGGCTACCAGGTGTTAGCAGCTTCCAATCACCACAGACATGTTGGAATCTTACGGGCTCGGTGAGAAGGAAGTAGTGGTCTTCGGGCTCGACTCGCAGGTACTTGAAGATGGAGTTTGACCAGAATCGCTCCATGTGGTCCTGATTGCCGGTTAGCAAGACAATGCCTCTCCCCAAGATATCACAATTGCTGATTCCATACCCAGTTCTCAATCTGACCATGGCGGATGGGATAGTGGAGGCCGTATCCAGGACCAGCCGCGGCGTTAATGGCCTCGTCACCAATGTAGAAGTCCAAGTCCTCGGTTCCGCGCTTTGAGTTCAGATGGCCGCTGGGACCAGCTCCTCCGGTCAGGAACGAAGGCTTGTTGCCGACGGCCGGACGACCCGATCCTGATCCTCCGGCGCCTCCACTGGCAGCCTTGGTCGCGATGGCGGTAGGGAAGACGAATGAAGGGGAATCGTTGCCGGCAAAACCTAGCAGAGCGAGCTCAAGTCAGTCGACGGCATTTTCGCAGACGAGATGCACATTGGCAAGGAGACGGGCGAGATGGTACCTAGCTTGGAGAAACCCGTGCCGCTGGACGAGTGTCGAGTTAGCACCTTGCATCGAGCTGTCGTCTGGAGCCATCCAGGAGAGAGGAGAGAGGGGCGGGCTGGCTGGCTGCTGCATCCACGGCAGGAAGCAATACTTACTTGTCCATGACAACGGCGGGAGTTTGGTTCGCCATGATTGCAGAGGGTGCTGGCAGCACAGGCACAAGCTCCCAGAGTCGTGACGGTGAAGCTTCGAGGTCGTTGGAGGCGGAAGAGCGCAGCAATGGCCCTTCGACAGCTGGACCGCTCGAGTCTAGGGACAGGTGGGGAGATGCGGACGTCGACACGGAGTACGTAACGTGCCTGGAGTGGCTAGGCAGGCTCCGGCTACAGAGGCACGACCGCTAAAGATAGAGGGGGCGGAGGGCCTGTGAGGCGCCAGCTCCAGTTGCTCTGACGAATCTCACCATGCCAGCCCCGCCAAGCCGCCTGGCTAGCTGCGTACTGGGGTTTATGTCGTTAAGGGGGCGCTTCTGTGGGGTACGGTGGCACCTTAGATAGGGTGTGCAAGAGTGCAAAAACTCCAATTTTCTAAAAAAACAAGAAAACTAAAAACTAAAAACTAAAAAGGATACAGTGTATGCACAGTACATGTACTGTATTTTCCTAGTTACAGCGCCTTATAGGGCCTCTGCAAGGCTGAAATATGCCTTAATTTTTAGGCAGTATGACTACTTATAAGCTGGATGACCTTGAT